TGATGATTAAAGCAGTTTTGGGATTTACGGGTTAAAAATATTAGTTTTGGTGGATGGTTTGGTTATTTTGATGTGAGTTCAAGAGGTATTTTTTTAACGTCAGAACTTCTCTAATTAGGGTATAATACTTGTATGTACATGTGAGATACGGCTTGACCGGACGTGCATTCTTGCGCTTAACTAGTTAGCAGGTTATATAGTCAATAAAAGAGTGAACGATCGTAGTTGTTTATATAGCTCGGATAGTTTTATATGATGAATATTCCATTGCGTGGTATTCCGAAAGGATCGGGGATGATATTGCCAATATGATACCCACGGCAGGTTAGATCTCTAGCACGCTGGCGAGTATTACATGCTAGCCAACCCTAAGTTGTAGGGCGCTAATTCTGCAGTCTTGAAGCCCTTATACCCAACTTTATTCTTCCCTTAGTTCATCGTTTATGGTTCCTTTTGATAAAACGCCGATGCTATTGAAAGCTTAGACACTCCTTGACGAGCCCTAAAACAAACAACAACTTCTCAAATTCGTTATTCTCCATGCCTTCCAGCACCGGCCAGAGCTTGGATGACATACTCACAATCACGTCCTTGTTCACGCCACTTGTCACAAAGAGCTTACCCAACTCGTTCACCATCACCTGGAGCTTCAAGTTCGCGCTCCCGATCAAACACGTGGAGTTAATCATACTGGCGACCGACTGGAGGTCAGCCGAGATGATTTGTTGCGTCTGGAAGTTTGCCTGCGCCGGTAATTGCAACGCGTAGGTGGTGTCTATTTCGCCGTTGAGCGCGATTTGGACCACCACGCGGTCGATGAAGCTCAACGCCGAGCACGAAAGAATGTTGGCATTAGAGGATTTCCGCACCGGAAATGGGTATGGCTGGGAGGCGAATTTGTGGCAGGTGCTGAAGCTTGGATCGCTCATTGAGATGTGTGGAGCTAAGTGGATAGTCGGAGGGGTGTCAACCCTTCGGTAGTGTCTTATGGTGAAAAGCTAGCTCAAGCATGAGCGTGCAGGACATCTCAGTACCATACTGAGAGTATCTCGGTGAAAGAGAATACACCAGGGAAGTTTATATTACCTATTTTTCAATCTAGGAAGGGTTAAATGATATATTAGGTTATATTTTATTAGCGGTATTATCAGAAGATGTAATCTGGCTAACACTGAGGCAAACACAGGGACATGCACTGAATCACTGAAACAATTACAGAGAAGTGGCTGTAATAAAACAATCACAGAGAGGTAGCTACAATAAAACTCTAAATTATCAGAACTACAATAAATATATTCCATTCTTCATGGCTCAAGACCCTAATCTAAATCATCTTTCAGATCTCCAACCATGCCGCATGTGCCGGTATCCTGCACCTTTGTGCATATCTCAACATGCCTCGCATTTGACTTCGGCCTCTTCCATACAACCTTCATCCGAGGGGCTCACAAACACTGACTAATTGGCTTTTCGCAGCCTAAACCCTCCATTCCCAGCTCTATGAACTCGGACTCTTCCATGAACGAGCTTCTCCCGCGTGTACTGCCACCACACTCGCAGGTGTACCAAGAGTCAAAGATCTCCTCTGCCAACCGCCTTGTTTACCGCATCACATCAGCAATCTGCTCGTTCTTCTTCCTCGCAATCCTCCTGCTCTTTGCAATCATCCACAACGCCTTTCTCCGACTGCCACTGCGGGTGGAGGTTACGCAAGAAGCGTTCCCCACGTCCGACCTCAAGATGGTGCCTGATTTACGGTACTATCTCAATTTGCTAGGGCTAGACGCCCTCGAATACTCCGTCATCACCCCGGATGGCTTTATCATCACTCTTACCCGAGTCACCGATCTTTCGAGTGAGGAACAAACCCCCACCTCCCGTAAACCAGTTCTTCTCGTCCATGGGCTTCTCCAGCACTCGGGAGCGTATGTCACCTCGGGAACCAAGTCCCTCGCCTACTTCTTGCACCACCAGGGATACGACGTATGGCTCGGCAACAACCGCTGCGGCTTTGATCCCCAGCACCAATTCTACACTCCGGGAGACCCCAACATGTGGGCGTGGGACATCCACGAGATGGCCATGTACGACTTGTCTTCCCTCATCAAAGAAGTCTTGTGCCATTCCGTGCACCCCAAGCTTTCCCTTGTCTGTCATTCACAGTCCACCACCCAGGCGTTCATTGCGCTTTCCAGAGTCTCCCAAAGCTTTCCTACGACCTGTCTTATTCATGATAGGGTTAACTGTTTTGTGGCCTTGGCGCCCGCAGTGTATGGAGGCCCGATCCTCACGGAAAAGGCATTCATCCGCTTCATCAACACATTTCCCACACCGGTCTTTCACCTCTTCTTTGGCGTCACCTCCTTCATCCCGTTCATGTTGACGTGCCGGCGTTGGTTTGTGCGGATGCCCAGCTACGGCTGGTTCGCATATCAGATGTTCCGCTTTCTCTTTGGCTGGAACGACAGTCTCTGGGACCCCGCGGTGCGCAACCAACAGTTTGTGTTTGCCCCTGTGTATGTTTCCGCAAAGCTCATCCGGTGGTGGTTGTGCAACAAGGCCGGCGACAGCACTAGGAGCGTTGGGTTTATGAGCAACAACGGCGCGGTGTTCAAGCATGAGGAGCGCTGGTTTGATGAGGCACCACCGATAATGTTGGTGGTTGGGGGAAAGGATAGGTTGGTTGACGGGAGCAAGTTGCTTGACCACTTCAGCACCTTCGATGCGGGGAGTGTGGTGAGCGCGGTCACGGTCCCCGAGTATGCCCATTTGGATGTTTTGTGGGCTGATGATGTGTTGCAGCGGGTAGGGGTCCCAATGGCGGATTTTCTCGCCGAGTGGGGATAAAGAGAGCCTCAGGGGATAGTCAAACTGTGTGTGACTATAGCGGTTGAAAGTGCTAGGCTGTAGCTAGGACAAGCACGTCTACGCCCTTTTTGCTACAGTGGATATGACTTTTAAGCTGGTGGGTGGATTAAAAAGCAGCAATGAATCTTGAACCTGGCGGTAGATGGTGTCCTGTGAAAATAGAGAGAGGATTAGATTTATGTCTCTAGAACATTTATTGGGCTGGAATTGGCTAACTCTAAACTCAGTCACCCTCGGACTCGAAACAAGAGGTGTTTATGAAGCCAGTCTCGAATTTTTTTTTCAGCACTGGCACGGAATACAACTATACACGATCGAAGGATTTGAGATGAATTATTTATGATAGAGTCCTATTTTCAGGTAATGTTCCAGGTTAATGCTGTATCATAATTTGTACCAATTGCGCTTTCACAGACGTTAAGGACATTCCCCGATCTCTTACATTGCAACCCTTGTACATTTTACCTTGTACTTTTGATGGCCCCGACATCCTGAGTCTCCCATACATCTCCGCTTGGGTGATACCTTTTCAAATAAGGTGGCTTTCATCGATAAATCTGCGACGAGTTTAAATCTCCAATGGATTTTTGAACCCGACAAATCCCTCATAAACATTTCTTAATCATATCCCCCTGCATTCATAAGCCATAGCTATATCGGATTCGTCTTCCTATCCTTGTTCCGCAAATCTCTCAAATCATTATACTGCTTCATATCCACCTTGTGCAAGAACTCCTGCTTGTCCAAGAACCCGTTCTTCCCCTGTGTCTTGAGCTCATCGCTGATCTTATTATGGTCCACATACGTGGCCCAGTCTAATCGCGACTTCTCCAACGTTGACAACTTTACCGCTTTCGGGTTCAGGAGAATCGAATCAATCAACGACGGACGCTTCAACGGGCGGCGAAGCGGCAACCCGGTCTTGGTAAACTTTTCCTCCACTTTCACCTCCTCCGGGGCCTCCACCTTTGTTTCAACCATCACAAGCTTGCTGGAGTTCAAATACGCCTTGGCTTCGGCGGAATTGGCATCCACCATTTTTTTCTCAGACACCACCCTCCCCGCAAACTCGTACGTCCGCTCGATCTGGATTCGCTCCACCTGGAGCTCTTCTGCGGGGGTCAGTCGCGTGGATTCGGGTGTGAACAGTCGCCCTTCCGTAGACATCTTCTTCATATCGTCGAAAATACTGTTGACATCGATTCCGGACGTTCTGGAAAGTCCCACCCGCGCAAACTTCGACTCCTGTGCCTCCTGTGCCCGCTGGGTGCGGGTTTTAATCAAACCGCCGCCACCTGAGATGTGAGTATAGTCGGGAACGTCCTTGCCTTTTTGGGCCGGCTCGTCATAGTCATCTTCGGAGGAGCTTCCGTCCGGCTCGGCGGTGGCGGCGTCTGGGTCAAAGTCATCGTCTTCCTCCTCGTTGTATTGTTCACCGATATCCAGCGGTGGAACAGTTGGAGAAGCAGAGATGGCTGTATCCGTTGGAATCTTTGTCTTGGGTCTGGCCATGATAATATCGGTTAGGGATGAATGACAAAATGAAGATAGAGTATATTGTTTTGATGAAGGTGGAAAATCGTCACGTGGTCCTGTGCATAGGCGTCATACTTAAGGCTGAGCCAGCACGCTGACAATGTGTGTAAGGTGTATCCCCCTTATTCTCCTTAAATTGACACAAAATACGTAATTATATCTATTTTAAAGTATTCACGAATGATTGAATGGTCATAATCAAGTTTCGCTAAGAGACTGGGACTCCTCATATCTGACTCTGAGGCTAAACTTCAATACAATCTCTCTGGCTTGCTTCTAAACCTGTCTCTCACATTACCTCTTTGTCATTCCCGTTACTATGCTTTGCATGATACATTCTATAATACATAATCTAATTACCCCCACTCAAGATCGACCACCCACTGGTTTTGCTCGGTATTCTTTGCCTACGCAACCGTCTGGTAAACCCTCTTCTTGGCGGTCTTCTCCTCGTGCTGCTGCTGCTCGTAGCCATCGATAAACTCCGCATTGTGGTGCATGTTCCACTGAGCCTTGATATACTTCAACCCCTGGATATTAACACCCAACTCGTTCACGCTGTGGGTCAACTGGCCACGCAACTGCTCCTTGACGTTGGACAACTGAACCTTGATGCTCTCATCCTTCTGGTTAATCAACTCACGCGCGTTGTGCTTCACCACCATGAACAACACACGACAGATTTGTGACATGGAGGTTAAGTTCTTGGACACATTCTCCTTGTTGGTCCAGATCTCGATAAACTTCAACAATCTCAAAGAGAACGAGAACGGAAGAACCAACAATGCATCCTCTAATTGCGCAGCCCTGATCTTCATAATGGTCTGCAACACGTACTCGGACCCGGTGACTCCCAACGCCTGTAAGACGGCATTTCTGACCGGCTCCATTGGATGCATCGTGGTCTTCTTCGCGTTGTACTGCTGCATAGCACTGGCATACTCTTCAAACTCCTCCACGTCCTTGATCCCCAACTCCAATGCCTCCATCAACTTCTCACCGGCCTTCAACGACTCCATAGTCTGTTTGGTGACCTTGGTTGATTCATCAGCTTCATCATCGCCCCTGGGCTCCTCCCCTTCCAACGACTCTAACAACTCGTTCTGGTACAACTCGTCCATCTCCTTCTCTCTCTCCTCCTCGAGGAAGACCTGGTCATCGGTCTCGTACCAGATTCTAATGCTGTGATCATGGGCTGTTGAAACCACGAAGGCACCGTCGCTGGCCACGGCAAGCGCCCAGATCTCCGACTGGTGCGCCGGTAACTTCTGAATGCACTCGAACTTGTCACCGTCCCAGTACTTGACAAGCTTGTCCTTCCCGGCGGAGAAGAAGTTGTGGGTGTTGGCAACAAACTTGACGTTCATGATTGAGTCCTGATGCCCGAAGATGGACTTGTGGCAATCACCAAAGTCCAACCCCCATATTTTGATATTCTTGTCAGCGGAGGACGTAATGATCATCTTGGAGTCGTAGGAAATATCCACCGACAAGACCGGGAGCTTGTGCCCGTACAACGAAAGGTAGAACTTTAACGTATCGTAGAAAAACACCTTGACAGTGTTGTCGAGAAGCGAAACCGCAAGATATTTGGCGTCTGGCGAGATCTTGACCGCCAAAATCGCATCGTTCAACTCCAACGTTTTGTTGTGGACAATCTTCATTTTCGGCACGTACGTATCCTTGGTCCCCGGCACCAACTCTCTCTCCACCTTAAAGTCCCAAAACTTGACCTGTTTGTCGGAGGACCCGGAAACGAGAGCCTTCCCGTCAGGGGTGAGGTCCAACGACCAGATCTCGTCACTGTGGGCATCTTCGACCGTGTGGAGCAACTCGGACGACGCCAAGTCGTAGAGCTGGAGCTCACCGTGCTTCGTCCCCAATACAATAAGCGAGCCACCCGGCAAGAACTTGGTGCACAAGGCGTAGCCGCACTCGAACGTTCTGATGCAGTTGGTGGTCTTGACGTTCCAGACCTTCAACATGCCCTCGGAAGCAGTCGCAAGAAGCTTGTTGTCGGAGGAAATGTCCATGGATCGGATGTCCTTCCGGTGGCCCTGCAACTCGACAGAGTGCTGTCTGGCGGCAACAATGTCCTGGGCCTTGGAAATGACCTCAGGCAACGGAATGGTGTAGTACTCGATGGAGTTGGCAGACGTCGAGAGCAAGATTTCCAACTTGGTGGAGTTGCACACGGTCCAGGTCGCGGCCTGGATCTTCTGGGCGCTGGTCTTTTTGTCCTTGGACTTTGGCAACGCCGCGAGTGACAAAGACGTGATCCTAGCCACCAAGCGGTTGATGTCCAACTCGGCCACCTTGGTGTCAATCTCGGCATCTTCGTACCCGTCCTTCTTCAAGTCCTTCTTCTTCTTGGCAATCCTCTTGGCGATTTCGTCCTCGTTTCTGATTCGGAAAACCTCCATGGTTCTGTCGGCGTTCTGCACGTAGAAGAACAAGTGCGCACCCACCTCCTTGAAGGAGATCTCGGCCGCCCTTCTGGTGCTCTGCTTCTCAAACTCGCCCCTTTCGGCCACCTTGGTGGCTTCCTGGGCTAAGTCTAGGCTCCAAACCTTGATCTGGTTGTCTCTGCCGCTGGTTATGGCCAAGTTTCTGGAAGTGTCGACCGCAAGAGCCCAGCACTCACCCGCGTGGGCCACGTGGGTCTCGATACACTGCTGGGTCTTGAGGTCCCATAACTTGATCAAACCGTCCTTGGAGGTGCTGACCAACCATTCCTCCATCTCATCAATGTCGGTGGTGTGTTCTGAAAGAAAGTGCACGCCCGTAATCTGGTCGCTATGGCCACGCAACTTGAACAAGCCCGTTTCGCCGACGAGGTCCCATACGATGATAGAAGCGTCCTTGGATCCGGAAACCAATCTGGTCCCGGTACGGTCAAACTTAAGCAAGGTGACTGCAGACTTGTGGCCGGTGAAGGAAATGAGCACGGAGCCCAGGGCAAGATCCCACACCTTGATAGAGCCGTCGGCATAGCCCACCGCCACGAGGCCGGTGAGGTCGTGGTACTGTAAAAAGGTGGCTTCGGCCGGCGCGGAGGAAGTCACCGAGTCGGCCGCACCTGGGTTGAGGCCGTCGCGCATCTTCTGCAATAACTCACCGGTCTTGATGTCCCAGATGAGAATCTCCTCGAGCCCGGCTGTGAGCGCGCGCCCGGCGGACGCCTTGCCCTGGCTTGCGGATGGAGGCAACCAGACGATATTGCTGCTGGAGGCAATCACCCCGAAACAGCGTTCTTGTTCGTAACGCTGGTAGGATTTGACCATTTTGTGTGTAAATGGAGAGTGTAATGAGGAGGGTATAGGTGGAGTGAAAAATTAGAGAATTTTTTTTCACCTGCAGGAGGCGATGAGATCACGTGGTGAGCGCGAACGAAGGCGCGAGCGCGAGCGCGAGTGCATAGAGCAAGGTTAAGAACTCAGAAAGCACAGATGATAAGTTTGTCAAATATAGGCACAGTAGGGGATTTGTACTCTTAATATGGGTATATCTGAAAAATAGACAGTGGAGATATCATCAACCGAGATGGATTGATTTGTAACTTTATCCGTTTCTACAGAAAGGGGTTATAACATTGACAAGTGGAATCCGAGATGTATACCTAGATGGATAGGCTTGTCCACTGTAGTTGTGATAATCCTGTACCAGTCCTCTACAGTCGCCTTAAGTATGAGCTAAATTAAATATGTACGACAAAACCGTAACAGCAGCTAAGTGAAACATAATGAATGGGAAAAAAAAATGGGTATTGTAGTTTGTCATACTGAACCAGAGAGCGAGTCAGCCAGTGAGATGCACATACCCCTGGTGCCAAGCAACGCGTACGCCACTCGGTCTGGTCAGTGGAAACGTAATGAATCACTACAACAATTTGGATGGCCTGTGTGCGGCACGCTAGAGTTACCAGACGCTTAGTAAGGCTTGTCAATGACGGTCCAAGAGCTCAAAAGGTTCAAGTGAGCAAAGTCCTTGGCATCACCCTCCATCCCGAATGTCAAGTCTCTGAAGTGCCAGAAGACACTGATGACCAAGATGTACAAGAAGGCAAAGATCCCGTACAACGCAACCTGCTTGGCCGTGGACTGCTTACCCAATCTTAAAGGACGAGTGAAATGCTCAACGACAAAGACAAACACCATCATGGCAAAGTACAACGCTGGCATGTAGTGGTGGACGTACTTGACACGACCCATGATTACGAACGGCATGAAGTGCAACCCCCAGCCGAGCATTGGGTAGATACCACCCATAACAAACAAGTGCAACTTGTTGTCAGGAGCATCACGTAAAGTCAACCCGTTGACCGCCTTGGCACCAACAAAGTCGGAGTACTGTCTCTGCCATCTCAACAAGTAGTAAATAACCATACCGGCAAGCACAAAAAGGGAAACAGTAGAAGGCCAGGTGGTGGCTGGGGAACCGATCAAGTAGTACTTGATAGAGTCGTTGGCCCAAGAACACAAACGGATACCAGTGTTCAAGGTTGGCCACTGCCACCACTCGGAAGACAAGTCATCCTGCTTGTCGGAATCTGGCACCAAAGCATTGTTGGTGGCCATCATCGCGATGTTCAAGTGCACAAAGTCCTTGAGGAACTTGGTGCGTGGCAACTTGAAGTCAGCAGCTGGAGCTGGAAGGTTGGCGTTAACGTTGGTCTCCAAGTTCCACCAAGTGCGCTTGTCCTTGCGGTATGGGTCCTTGACACACACAACTTCACCCTGGTTGAAACCCCAGGATGGCAAGTGCTTGTCGGACTGGGCAAGGTAGCAGCCCATGGAAGGCGACTTCATTCTGAAGGAAGTGGTCAATGGGTGCAATCTGAACTTGTCTTCGTTACCGTACTGTTCGACGATCTCGACGATCCAGTTGTCCTTTTCGTCACCAATGGTGTCGTTACCGTAGCAACTGACTTCCTTGTGGAAGGCGGAAACCGGGGCCTTGACGTCGTGGGTGTGCAAGTTTTTGCCAGTGAGCGCGTGAACTAATCTAACCTCCATGCCGTCAACCACATACACGTTGTTAGTGCCCTCGGTGAACGCAACCGCCGGACGGCCGAAATCGAACTTCCACTCGTTGTTAGCATCCTTGTGGGCGTAGGTGGTGACCTGCTGCTGCTTCGAGCCTTCAGGGTAGGTCTGCACGTGGGAGTGCAAAAGAGAGCCACCCAAGCCCTGGTTCTTCAAGGTGATAGAGGAGTAGCCAATAGTGACCTCACGCGGATCCAGACCGACGCTGGAGCCGACCAAGTTGGCCTGGAACAAGGAGGACATGGTGGCATCGCCGGTTCCGGAATGACTCAAGAGGTCAAAGTGGACCTTGAAGGCAGCCATGAAAACCAAAATTGGGATGATACACAACCCAACGATACGGGCACCCCAATGCTTCAAGTAGACAACGTTAGACATCTGCTTGTCGCCGAACTTGTTCCACAAGTCGACGACGGTGTAGATTCCGACCAACGAGGTGACAAAGAGACCAACCATCTTGGAGGCACACACACACCCAATGCTCAACCCGAGCAAGCCCAACCACTTGAACCACTTGCGGGTGAATGGCTCCTTGGTGTTTTCGTTGTGGAAACGGCCCAAGCAGAAAACGACGGAAACGGTAAAGAAAAGCAAGATGGAGTCCAAGAGGATCATCTTCCCCAAGGTGACGTAGGACAACTCAAACACGATCATAAGCGAGAACAACCACACGGAGAGGAGCGAAAACCCCATGTCCTTCATGGTGAGGTAGGCCAATGGGGCACAACCAGCGGACCACATGACCTGGAAGAGTCTCATCTTCACGTAGTCGATGTGGTCTGGGTAGGTCTCCCCGGATGGGAAGTCCCAGGAGCCGTTGTAGCCGGCGAGGTAACCGGAGAACCCCACGAGCATCTTGGCCAAAGGTGGGTGCACATCGTGGTAGAACTCGTGGCGGAGATAGTAGGAGCCGAACTTACCGAAATGGGCCTCGTCCCACACAACGTGGTTGTTGACACCAATACGATAGGCTCTGACGGCAAAAGCGAGCGCGGTGATGATCAATGGCCCGACGTAGGACTCAATGCACAACAACTGGGACTGTCTCTTGGAGGCGGCGGCAGCCTTCGTCTTGTTCAAGTCGTCATCAAGCGGGGCCGCTGGAATCGCCGCTTTTTCGTCTGGGTGGGAGGGAACATCCGCACCCGAGGCCTTTTGCACGTAGGAAGCCATCTTAGTATAAAAGCAAAAAGACCGTTGAGCAAGGGAAGAAGGGTGAGAAAGAAAGCGCAAAGAAGAGCAGCATGTCATGTACTGTTTCTGAAAAAGAGCCGCTGGCGTGTTCTTTCGCCAGACCTGACGTGTATTCCCTGTCGGGGACGTCTGTGCAGGAAAAGGCTGCTGGGGAGACGCGTCGTGCTTATGTCAGCGGTAGAAGACACGGTGGTCAAAGGTGCGGCAGGCGGTTGAGACGCGGGGCGGCCGAGACCCTCGCAGGGGTAACAAGGTCTAGGGGGCTAGCTTTTGCACAACTGTAGTGGGATATGTATAGGTTGGTCGATGGTATATATAAATTATATTAGTTTGGCTGGGAGGGGAGGTTATTCAGTGGCAAAGCTGATGGTTTGGTGATGGCCAGGGCGTGTGAGGCTACACGATAGGCGATTTCGAGCCGCACACTAAGTGCATGGAAATAACTTCTAGGCCCTTACCAGCTCAATTTGGAAACGGGGTGGATCAGTGTGATTCAGCAGTGTTGTCTAAGTGGCCTATGCAAAAATTGACTGGTTCTGAGATCTGACTGGAAGCATGGCAATTGGGTAGTCATGTATGGAACGCGGTGTTTCTTCAGTTCCGCGTTGGTCAACCTCTCGTATAGGCTTGAACTTGTATTATTGGGCAACGTGGCCGAGCGGTTAAGGCGAAAGATTAGAAATCTTTTGGGCTCTGCCCGCGCAGGTTCGAGTCCTGCCGTTGTCGATATCTTTTTGCTTCTTTAAATGGTTAGTGTTTGTTTATGAATTCATTGGTTTGTGGTTGCAACGATTTGTCGTTCTGTGAAAGGTTTTAGGTTTTGGGCATCGGGGGGTGTCAAGGCTCCGAAAGGGACGGGAAGCTTTCTGTCTCCGGGAAACTGTCGTTAATTAAAAAAAAGAATATTCAGCGGTCAGTAACAAAAAGATAATGACCGCTAAGCGGTTCGAACGCTTGCCTCTTACGAGATCTGATCTTGAGTCAGACGCCTTAGACCACTCGGCCAAACGGCCATTATTTGATGATGTCAGAGTTATAGAAGCCATCTCTGATGTTGTGAGAAAGACTGCGTATAACTAACAGGAAGTGGTTGTTGAAACTTATCAGAACAGATTCTCTAGCACGAGTGAAGCGAGTGCGCACTTCCAAAACGAGTGAAGCTACGTCGCTATCCAAGAAGAGTGAACCACCTGTGGTGATTCAAATCTAAAAGGCTATATAAGAGAGTGGTTTCTCGCTGGTAGAATAGGTGTTTAGTTTAGAAGTATCTTTATTCTTGTAGAAGAACGTGATAGTACCTTGTGAATCAACGACTGATTACAACTCCCTGACTGGAATACCAACAGGTGCTAGAACCCTGACAGATGATGTCAAAGTTAGAGAGTTGTTTCGGGAACCTCATGAGGCCCCAAGTAAGACTAGGATTGTTTGATAATGAGCATTTGAAACTATCCTGCCGCACGAAAGAAATAAATGAGGCACTGACGAAAACCATATAATGAAGTAGTTTTTTAAATTTAGGATATGATTTTAGGGGAATATTATCTTTATTCCTGTGGAAGATCGTAATAGTAACGTGTAAATCAATGACTGGTTACAAACCCCTGGCTGGAATACTAACAGGCACTGGAACCGTGATAAATGAGACATCACTTCCTTTCATATATTGCGAATTTTAGCACTGTTTGTTGGTTTTGAACGATCTGCTACCGAATAATATTAATGTTCTTTACAATAAATTGTTGACATTTGTTTCTACCCGTATTCGATATCACGGGATTGTGTACACATTTGTGTGGAAAAATGCAAGACTGATTCACCCCGTTAGTCAAATGATGACTCAGAAGTGATTTTGATATAACCAAAAGCAGCTTTACTGGAAGATCTAATTATCTATAGAAGGGTATACACTGCCATTACTCATACTATTCTTAGTATTAGAATTAACGAATATACATATTCAAGATTTTGTTGCCTTACCAGCGGACAAGTGAATTATTATAGTCAATTACCACAGTTTGCTTATCATCATGGCTGCCAACGCAATTTAGCTGTAGATTTCTAGAAATCAACATATGTAATGAACGGTAATTGATGTTTCTATGTTGTCTTTTGGTAAAATATCAAACTCTTGAGCATGTAAGTAGAGAGTAGTAAGTGTGTAACTGTCACGTGGTAGGGATCGATATCCTGTAGAGAGGTCCATTCTTCCTTCCTTTATCCTATATGCATTGTATAGCTAAAAAGGGTCCAACGACTTAATAACAAGCTAAAGAGGGTGTTTTAAACCTGTTTTAGACACACACCAGAGAGAAGTATATTGATGATAGACTATACGATATCCGTATACCGACTCCATACTTGTTATCGTGGGTAACGCCTACCTCAGATGACTTAGGATTATCCTCTATTTAAGTAGCGTCTCTTACCTGTTGTGCTATCTCTAGTTTACGTAACCTATATCAGAGTATATTATATCAATATAACACCAGCCAGATATAAGACTTATGCTAATTTATGGATGAGCTACAATTTACAAATGTAATTTTAGTAGTAGCACAAACTCAGTCTTGGGCTGGAACATTCTTGGAATTATACTAGCACGGATATCTGTACTTATTCGACCGCATAGCTATGTCAGCTGAAACTATTAGTCTAGTGAAAGCATGCATCGTATCGTTCTGGGCTGCATGTATTCATAGTGTCATCCTCTCACAAACTCAAAGCAGGTCATATAACTCCCTCTTACCTCGTTTGTTCCTTAGGCCTCTGGTGCGATACTCTAAACTCACTTGAGATACCATACAGCGCATCTCTGAAAAATAGTTTGGGGATTGGTAATCAAAAACTTTGGAGGTAAGTATTCTTAGCTCGGGGAGACGTTCCAATCCTGTTCACGAGACAAATTCTACGTGATGGGTTATCAAGGACAGAATCTAAAGGGTTCAACAGACTGTTTCCTTTGTCCGTTATTACCTATATATGCCTCATCTTGTGGTCTTTGATACACAATAAGAAAAATCATGTATGACCAAAACTTCTGTTGTGTTTTCTGCGGTTGTACTATGCAAGATATCGATTGAAAAGTAAGCTAACGAAGCTCAGCCTGTCTGGTCTAGACAGTATAGACGATTATCCATGCACTGGTCCACAGCAGTACTGTACAGTGCATTCGACTGCATATCCCTTGACCCATGATACTGGAAAGCCACTTTTGTTTGCTTAAGCACACCAAACCTCCTCCAGAAAATGTACGCTAATAATTAGATGCTATAGCTCCAGGTAAATATATTACTTATATACCGAGGAGTACTGGGACCATTAAAAACGAAAGGCGAATAATCTCTCTCCAGAGATAAGGGGACAATATGCTACTCAGTCTAAGCATTTGTGCAGGATATTTTGATTTGGAAATTTGGCCATGCTATCATAGAGGGTTTTACAGGTTGCTTCTGTACTATGTATTATCTGATACTGTAGGGAATGCTACCGGGTATTGATGATGGATTCTAGCGCGCGACATAAAATCTTGTTGAATTCTGGCCGATCCGTAAAAGGCCATGCAATGTCACCATTAATTTTCCAACACATAGTTGCTCAATTTAGTCGGACTTAGCGTCGTTGAAACAATGCTGTCGTTTGAGCACCTTTTTGTATTTCTCGACGCATACCACAGAATTCACTTGCATGCTACCCTGGCCCTTCATAAACAGGTACCTATTTCATTCTACGCGACCTACCACCCGACTTTCTCAAAAGTTGTAAATCTTAAGGAACTATACTCAAAAGTCACAATATCCCTTACAATTCAAGTGTGGATAGAGCGGCCGTTATAACGTGAAATCGTGGATTTTTCACCGGTATGTTGGTTATGGAGACACAATAATCGAACGTTAACATATGCTCTATAGCATTACGGTCCCATGACCAATAAGCAATCCACAAAGCTTAAATTGAGATGCAGGGAAATGGTCTGATTTTCGACAAGGGTGGTCCCTGATGTATCTATTAGTCACCTAGAGAGGCTAGTCTCGTATAGCATCTGAAACATGCACTTCTGTTTCTAGCTTGGTGTCATGCGGTTGAGCAGACCAACCTCAATCGTATTGTTGAAAATCGGGGAGACCACTTGATTGCAAAGTTAGTCCATTATTATATATAAGAGTAGGTTGTTATCCTATACAATTTTTGTTCTAGCTATAAAGCACCGTTTATTTTGAAGACTCTAAGTGCATCACTAGAATCTCTTTTAGTTGACAGTGACAGATAAACTACGGAAACAATCTAGTTATAGCAGCCAGCTCTCATGAATCAAACATTCGACTGTGGTAACGGAAATTTTTCAATTGACAATATTAGCAGCGACATGTCTGCATCGGAGATCAATTTGATCTACCAGTGTGGAATTAGCCTTGGCAAAGTGTCCAAACTGACTGGGGCTAAGGCTCACTTAACAACTTGGGCATTATGGCTAGCTCTACTCATTGGCCTAGTCACTGCTGTCGTACCTGATTTCTCAAACGATGTCGGATTTAACCAGACGGCGCACCAACAGCTATTCGTTTCGAACAGCACAGTTTACGTGATCGGTGCTGCTAATGTCACGAACGACATAGCTATATTGAATGACTCGGGGTTAGATCTGGTGGTGAACTTAGAAGCGATGTCTTACACCCAACGCACCGGTGGAAGCTATAACCTGACTGTGGTACTTGCTAAACGCGGGGGCGAGGTATCGTACTACCAGCACGCGATAATCGCACAAAAAGGGGTGTGGTGGACACAGTGGTACCCAGCATCACTGTGTTTCTGAACAGGGAAGAGTAGCGCTGGAGGCCAGTACCAGTTGCTGTACGGTTACACGTACACATGGTCGGTCAAGGCTTCTTTGGACTGGGACTTGATCAAGGATATATTATCGATTGGGATCGGCGGTCTGGTAGAGAAATCTATTAGTAAGTCATCGACATGGACGTGTAACGTGAGCGCCGGTTCGGTAGTGCAGGTCTGGACTCAACACGCAATTACGTGGTTTGATGCGCAGGTCCAAGGGTGCACGCACACTGCCGGATCACCCGTCCACTGCGGGGCTTACAGTGCTTATATACATGGCAACGCTCCAATTAAGGATGGTTGGGCGACACAGACCGGGTGCAGTACCGACGGCAGCGTTAATTGTAACTACCAGTGGCATTGAGATTGCTTGGTAGATGACCTCGACAGAACATCATATCAACATCGGTGACAGCTGGTCTGCCCGAGCCACTTGATGCCAGCCGACAACAGTAAGTCGGTTAGATCGGTAAACTGAAATAGTTGACGATTAAAATTACAACTATATTGAATTAAATTTGAAAAAAAATGAAAAAAAATGAAAAGAAAAGAAAAGAAAAAAAGAAAAAATTATTTAAAAAATTATTTAAAAAAGAGAAGGAAAGAGTGTGGCATATCTAGTAGATAATAGTGGTTACTGTTAGCTAGCTAAAAGGGCATCCTTTTCGTCCGTAAGATATACACAAGAAAAGGGTAGTCGGTGGTATTATATACTGAGGCAAATACGATACCAGGGTATTCGCCTATCGGAGGTAAGGAGATAACGATTGCCAACGTCCGTCTAACTAAATGGCACCTTTACTATACCTTTTCTATGGACAGAGTATTCCAAGGTTGCCGAAAGTATTGGTACTAAGATGAAAGCGATTATATTGGGAACAAAAGAATATATCGTTGATGTGCGGCAAGCTCAAGAGAAGGTAAATAACCGGTATCGCAATTCCCATCAAAACAAGATAATTGAGTTCTTATACATTGGGAAGCATAATCTACAGCTGAGGTGTACCTGAAGGTACGCCCAGTTTATTTTGGTCCTCATAAGCTTGTTATGGACAAAGGATGGAACGCATTTGAGGTCGACCTTCTGGTGGTATCCGGAAAGCACCGCGTGATACATGTGCAGAAGCTCAAACTCTTCGTAGAAAATGATGAAATGTATCCCGAGGATCCGCCAAGAACACAGGCGGAGGTGTTGAACAGAATTGATGAGGCCAGCGGCATTGCTGATTACAATGCTGAAGCAAATATCGTAGCTGTACTCTGACAAGACTGCCATCCAGGCCATGCATGTACGATGCAGTTGGAGTTTATGAGGAGCGTCAAACAACCGTTGAAATTATCGTTATTAGAAGCCTTTAATGGCTTGATTAAAAATCGGGACGATTTACTAAAGAAGAGAGGATAGTGAGAGAGAATGAGAATTGTTGCACATGCCTGGAGATCTAAAGGATATTGTGATAAGGGTTCGGCCCGCAAAAGTATCGTGTACTCACACAGGGTGTTGCAGACCGAGGAGATTGCCTGATTGAAAAGCTAGCCCTTTTTATATATAAGAGTAGGTTTCTATCTCATTTTTTTGTTCTAGCTAGAAAAACATACTCGTTTTACCTATACTTATGCATTTCGCAGCAATATTGAATCTCGCCACAACTATAGCCTATCTGCGAGTAATCGCCGCTAGCTTTCAAAGTTACGACCTGCTTTTATTTTTACTCGAGAGCTCTATCGCTATTGACGTCCCAGTCAGTTATAACTTAACTGAAGAAACAGTATCCAATGGCGTGGCTGAAGAATTCTTGGGATAGATAGTAAGTGTCGAACGCAGCGGTGTTTTAGTCAATGGGGCAATGGGATATAATTGTAGTAAGCGTGTAACTGTCACGTGGTAGGGATTGATGCCCTATATAGGGAGGTCTATCTCTCTTTCCCTTATCCTATATACATTATATAGCTAACCGGTATACTTGTAGTAGAGGTGTCATTTAACTAGACAGAAGTCGACGTTCATTATCTCCCTTCCTCCGATAGGCGGACACCCTGGCATCGTATCCACCTCAGTATTTAAAACTACCGACTACACTTCTCTTGCATATATCTTGGAGATGAAAAGTATTCTCTTTTAACTGGCTAACAGTATTCACTATTACCTACTAGATATACCACAGAGAGAGTATATTTGTTAATTGCTTCTAAGGATAATAAGATTAAGGGCATTATGGTATACCTACGTAGGTAGAAGATAATTCTATATCAACTAGATATACGAAGAGGCGGTCAGTCGGTCTTTATATAGACCGGCTGGCACATCTCTGTGACAGTCTTCAGACTTGTTACAGAGGTTGAAGCGTTATCAGCGTTTCACGTCATGTAGCCATACGTGGGATGGGACACCTACAGCACCTTTACTACAGGCATCGTACGCCGTTTTGTAGATAATTGATTCGGATAAAGCTGCATTTGATGATACTGAAATCTCTTGAAACAATATTTGATATTTTTGTGTTGTATAACATTCTTCATACACATCAAACGGTCCCCTGACATCAGATGTGTACAGGAACAGGCTTCAAGGAAATATTCTTCGGGTATATTTGGTGATTTCGGCTCCTCTAGATTTAGTGAATCCATAAATTATATTGATGAATGAAAAAAATATCAGAGTGATTTCGCCCAGGATCGAACTGGGGACGTACTGCGTGTTAAGCAGGTGCCATAACCAACTAGACCACGAAACCTATCTGATATGGGACAGAATTGTTCCATCTGTCATACAAACAAATGAGAATAATTAAATCCATAGCTATGATTTTTATATTTTTAGTCTTATTATAAATATTTATAATAATCTTGCATGTATATAGCTGCTTTTAGATTATATACTTGCCATTTTTCCAAAATACACCCTTTACTCATATACATCCAATTTCAAACGGATGAAATCACCATACAATATATATATACCGAACTCCAGGAATTTATACTTGGTGCATATATACATTTGCTTTGAACTCTAGGAATTTACACCTCGAATTACAGACCTGCAGAAAAGTACAAAATTAAAACTGTTAGGTAGAAAGTACGGACAGCCTTCAAGCGCTTAGCACCCAGCACATACTTTCAAGTTTCTCGATCGATTCATTGTATGGGAACAAATACCAAAGCAAGTTTATTGACACTTTCAAAATCCCAAACCGTAATTCTCACTCGGACCTTGCTCGGTCCAAAGCTTGTAATCTCCAAGTCCGTGCTATTCACCACTGGTCCAACCATGACACATGTAATTAACACTATCGCATAGCACATGTCCAACGGTGCAAAATCAGGTGATTTGGTCCGTATTTACTTGACCTGTGTGCTTGCGGGGTAGGCTGCAGCGGGGCCATGCTTTTAGCCGAGCGCCGCCGCCGTTGCCGAGCCGAAGTGCGGAGGAGTGACCAGTAGAAATCAGACGACTTCTTCTACGCAGGTCAAATTGAGATGGAACCCAAACCCGCCTATGATGTAGCTATTCGTTGAACGTTTTCTGAGGGGGGGCAAAGGAGAATATTAGTAGAACTACACATACTGGAATAATCATAGTGCGTAAAATAGCTTGCAGCCCTGATTACAACCAGAACAAGTTTTTATACAACCCCAATGACCTCGCAAGTGTCACGATTCTCCTCGCCGTTTATTAGCTTGAATCTGCATTTATCTCAACTCTAATATCTTTTATCCGTCTCACTCCGAACCATCGAACCATATTCCGTCTTCATTTTTGTCTCTCACATAAGCCAACCACTGAACTCTAACCGGAATTACGGGCCCTATCCTGCCGCGTGGGGGAAAGAACGCCTAGCCCGCGTGCGGCTCAGCGTGTATATATATACCGCTCGACCTGCCCGGTTTTGCTGCTCCCCCATTCGTACTACACACTAATATTCTACAATGTCCGTTACATACTCCAACGGCCCAGACCCAGCCTCTACCATTGCTAAGGAGAGAGCCCAGACCAACTTCGACCTCGATGTCATGAACCAGTTCCTCGAGGGAGGCAGCGCCGAACAGGCGGCCATAGTCAAGAGCATTTACCTCCAGTTCGAGCGCGACCCAATCCTTTCCACATCCACCGCCGTGTACGACCTCACCAAGGAGCAGAAGCGCGAGCTCACCGCAAGAAAGATCGCGCGCATGGCGCAGTACCTCGAGAATGACACGCCAGCCGTGTTCAGCAAGCGCTTGCATCTCATGAACACGGTCGACCCGCAGGTCGGGACCAGAATCGCGATCAACTTGGGCCTTTTCCTTAACTGCGTCCGCGGTAATGGGACCGATGAGCAGTTCAACTTCTGGATCCACACCAAGGGCACATCGCAATTGAAGGGGATCTACGGGTGTTTCGGGATGACCGAACTTGCACACGGCTCCAACGTTGCCGGATTAGAAACCACCGCAACCTTTGACGTTGAAACCGATGAGTTTGTCATCAACACGCCTCACGTGGGGGCCACCAAGTGGTGGATCGGCGGTGCTGCGCACTCCTCCTCCCACTGTGCCGTCTATGCCCGTTTGATCGTCAAGGGCGTCGACCATGGGGTCAAGACCTTTGTGGTGGCGTTGAGAGACGCCAACCACGAATTGATGCCGGGTGTTTCTGTTGGTGATATCGGCGCCAAGATGGGTAGAGATGGTATCGATAACGGCTGGATCCAGTTCAACAATGTCCGCATCCCACATGCTTACATGTTGTCCAAGTACGACAAGGTTGCCAGAGATGGAACCGTCAGCAATGCGCCATTGGCGCAGTTGGCGTACTCTGCGCTTTTGGACGGCAGGGTCACCATGATCTATGACTCCTTCAGGTTCGGCTCCCGTTTTGTCACTATTGCGTTGCGCTACGCCGTCGCCAGAAGACAGTTTGGGACGAACTCCGACGGCTTGGGTGGGGAGGAGCAGTTGTTGAACTACCCCTTACACCAGAACAGATTGTTGCCGTACCTTGCGTCTGTGTACGCGATGTCCGCCACCGGCGACAAGATGAACCATTACCTCGAGGATGTCATCAACAACTTGGAGGCGTCGGTAAAGACTGCTGATATGAGGAAGATCGGTGCTTCGATCGAAGATATGAAGAATTTGTTTGTGATCTCCGCCAGTTTAAAGTCCACTTGCACCTGGTTGGTCTCCTCGTTGATTGATGAGTGTCGCCAGGCCTGCGGTGGCCACGGCTACTCCGCCTACTCTGGGTTCGGCCAGGGCTACACCGACTGGGTTGTCCAGTGCACCTGGGAGGGGGACAACAACGTCTTGGCCATGTCTGCTGGTAAGACCATCGTGCAGAACGTGCAAAAGGTGCTCAAGGGCAAGAAGAATCCAAGTGAGTTTGCCTTCTTGAACAGCTACAAGGCCGGCGAGACGTCTGAGGTATTGAAGGGCCCTGTTGGGAACTTGTCCACCTTGTTGGTGACGTTCCAGACCTTGGTCGGGAGATTGTCTGGCCACGCCAACGAGATTTTGGGACAAAATGGTGGTTCTTGGGAGGTTATCTCTGTCCACCAAGTCAACATCTCCAAGATCTTTGCCCACACCTACATCTTGAGCACCTTTACCAAGAGAATTGCCGAGGTGTCTGACCCTGCCGTCAAGACCCAATTGACCCAGTTGGCCCAGTTGTACGCGTTGTCTACCTTGTCCCAGTACTCTTCGTTGTTCCTCCAGTACAATGTGCTCTCTGCTACCACTTTGGCGGAGGTTCAGGCCGAGGTTGGTGTCTTGAACACCAGGGTTAGACCACAGGTGGTTGGCTTGACTGACGCCTTCCAGATGCCAGACTTTGCCATCAACTCGGCGTTGGGTTCCAAAGCGGGGAATATTTACGAAACCTACTTTGGGTTGGTCAAGAATCAGAACGATCCATCTGTAACCAAGGCGCCATACTCCGCTGCCTTGGAGAAGATGTTGAACAGACAGGATCTCAACGTTAGGGAGAGAAACGAACGCACGGAACAGGTTTTGAGAATCTTGGGCGGTGACGACGAATAGTTTGGTTTATGTTTGAATATATTTACGATTAAATCCGGGAGTTTGGCTTGGAGTTTGGCTTAGAGTTTTGGTTGTCCAAATCTGCGTAGTGGATATAACTAGTGTATAGTGTAACATGAGTATTTTGCGAGAGATCCATCAGAAAAGTTCTCACCCAGGTGATTCATTACGTAATAAGCAGTGAAAGTGATGCCGATCAGAGATCCATTACGCTGGAAAGAGATCAGACAAGCAGATTATGTCGACACAAGCCTTATCTAGACCTTGGAACTTGCTTGGGAGCACTGTAACCAGTAAACCATTTCTAAATCAGAAAACCCTCTAGCTCAAATATTCAATCATAGAGCCGGCTGTTACTTTGTTTATGGTCTTTCTCGCCCTACTGTCTCTCCCACAGTTATCCTGCGCATTCCGATTTTTCACCCTTTTCACCTGCATACGGTTTTGTCTCCACCTCAATCTGGCTCATACCGCATTCAAGTCAGATGTCCCAGATCAGCAGATAAACTTTTCCGTCCTACCTGCAATGTTGAGGCTCTTATCTAAACAGCCAGCGCGTGCTGCCAAACTTACGGTAACCCCGCGCTTCTCCACGGCGGTTGTTCTTGCAAAGAAGGATAACGTGATGCCGGTATTTGCGCCTTCTGTGTCCAAAACTGCCTTCAAAAAGGCACAGACGGCGCGGAAACTGCCAGTTCCCCAGGAGACGGAAACTTTCGAGCCTATGGACGAAGCGGCGGTGGAGGAGGAGCGCCGGAAGCTCTTTAACTTGATCCAGGAGATGAAGTCGAAAATCACCGGGGACGTGGATTACGGCAAACAGATGTTCCCTGAGCGTCTGGTGTCTGGCGAGCCGCTAAAACTCGACACACTAGCCGATGTTATCCACCAGTCGATCAAAACCACCGGGCCGCTTCCCTTGTCGTCGTTCATGAGACAGTGTCTCACGCACCCTACCATGGGATACTACACAACCAGAGACCCTTTCGGGTCACAGGGCGATTTCGTGACGTCGCCAGAAATATCCTCCATGTTTGGCGAAATCATCGGGGTCTGGTTCTTTAGCGTGTGGCTCGCACAAAAGACGCCAACACCTGTGCGGTTCATGGAGTTTGGGCCCGGCAGAGGGACATTGATGCTGGATGTATTGAGATCCTTCGACCAGCTCCACACAAAGTTCGGGGGCGAAAAGCGAGTACCGGTGGACGTACTCATGGTGGAAGCGTCGCAGGTGTTGCGAGAGGCCCAATGGAAGAAGTTGTGCCACGTGACGGAAGGCGAGGTGTTGCCCCACGACAAGGAGACCGGTTCCTGGAGCGCCATCACAAAAGGCGGCGGGAAGATTACGTGGGTGGAGATCGAAAAAGATGTTAAAGATAGCGATCAGTACACGAACTATGTCATTGCGCACGAGTTTTACGATGCTTTGCCGATCCAGCAGTTCCAGAAAACCGCCCAGGGCTGGAGAGAGTTCTTGGTTGACTTCAGAAGCGGTGAGGGCGAAATCGTTGCTGATTCTCCCCAAGACTTCCATCTCGTGTTGTCTCCCAGGGAAACCCCGTTCACATACATCCCAAAAACCAGACCGAGATTCAACGATCTTCCGGTTGGCACCAAGGTGGAGGTGTGTCCTGACTCATTTTCCTACTCTAAGGCCATTGCAGAGATCATCAGTAGCAACAAGAATGGCACTGGTGCGTCGCTCATCATCGATTACGGTCCGGAGGCGACTAGGGTCCCAGAGCAGACTTTGAGAGGTATCAGGGACCACAAGTTTGTGTCGCCATTTAGCGACTGTGGTAATGTAGATTTGTCCGCCGATGTGGATTTTGGCACCATTCGGGAGATTATGCACGAGAACGGCTGCAAAACCTTTGGTCCGGTCGAGCAGGGTGACTGGTTGAACACTATGGGCTTGGGATATAGGACATTCCAGTTGGTGGAAAAGGCCGCTACCGAAGTGGAACGAACACAGTTGGAGGACAGTTTCATCAGGTTGGTCGCTAAGGACGATCAGTCTATGGGTGGTATTTACAAGGTGTTAGCAGTATTTCCCGAGGGCAGCGATGAAGTGCCAGTGGGGTTTGGTGAAGGCAAGCTCTAGTTGTGGTGGAGGGAAGAGTTGTAAATATTTAGCTTCCCAAAGAGCTGTTTTGATGGAATATTCTAGAGCGTAGTTTTGAATCATGGGTTGGAAGCTACTTGTGGGTTTCCCAAGTTTCAGTTCATTATAAACACAATGAAACTAGCTTGAGTTTGTGGCACAGGTATAGCAGACTCAATTAACAATAGAGGAAAAGTGAATAAACTAGTAAGCTGGGATTTGAAACTATGGTTGACGAATACAAGAGATTCAAGCTGTACCAAAATATCAAAATGAAACATCAAACCAAGATATTAAAACGTCTAAGTGATTAAAAATGGAATAACTCAAAAAGATAATCTCAGAAGGGTTATTTAAACACCCAATCCTAAGATTTCAATTTAACATTAGTCCCGCACCTTAGCCACCCCGAGCTTCGATAACATGGAGGTTTATAAGTTCGTGATTGCCACACTTGTGATTGGAAATCTCACAAACTATGATATCAACTACAAATCTTTCATACCGCCGTATTGGGCTGGCTGAAAACCTGAAACTGCAACTCGTTTTGCCAGCTCGTCTCGCCAAACTGCGCCAACGCCAACACATAATGCTCATTCAACAAGTCAATCTCCTCCACTTCGTCCAAAAGCTCCAATCGGTTCAATCTCACCAACTCAGGTCCCGCGACCCAATGGCGGAAAACGTACGCCATATTGGAGAGCTGCACTGAGTGCAAACCCATTAGTTCGAGGTATGCTAACCTGGTCCAGAGATCGGGGAACCGGAAAAAGGTGGGCAATTTGATACCTCGCTGGGACAAGTTATCCGCCATGACGCGGGAAAACCCATCATCTGGAGTCCCCATGGGCTCGTAGATAAGAACCGCACCGCAGCGGAGCGATTTCAAGAACGCCGCAAGCACCTCATCCACCTGCTCGGGCTTCATGTAACACAACACGCATTCGCTGAGGATGAGAGTGGGCAACGTGAGGTCGATATATGGAAAAGCTTCGGCAAAATTGACATTCTTTATGGTTCGCAAATCTAGAGCTGAAAGGTGATAGTTGTCTGTATGCAATTCCGTCGGAAGGGTATCCTCGGTGCTTGGGGCACATCCCACTAGGGAGGCTAGCTCAGGGGTTCCTTTAATAGTTGCCGCCTTGAGCAGCACTGTTTCACCAAAGTCAAACTCATGATACACCACCTTTTTTCCATACTCCAGCAAGATCTTGAACGAACGGGTATCGGAGCCCGCGCCAAGGGAGATGATCTGAAACGCATCCCCAGAGGCATTTTTTGCAAAGCTCTCTACTATCGTGTCGATGGCTGTGGTTCGAATATACGTTCCTCGGTTAATGATCGGTAGTTTAGGCAGCGTAATGGCCTTTACCGTGCGATTGGCCGAGAATTTGTGGCCCGGGAGGCGTGGGAGGTTAGTCCTGAGGCCCTGGACGATGTGCTGGATATATGGGTCCAAAAGATACTGGCGCAGGACTGCCGAGATCCGACAAGAAAGAGCATCAAAGTCTGTCGATCTAATCACCTTATCGTGTCTCTCGTCCATCCTATACCTGTAAGGTGACATTATAGGGAACCGCCCATTAGCTATCAAGTGGCTCCTTTCGATGCAGGCCTGCTCAGCATGCGTGCACCGCCAAAGCACGTGACGTAAATGGAGCCAATCAATATCGCGTGTTTCCTCAGCTTTTCCCAGCGTCTAAAATATATGCGTATAGCAAAGTGACGTTATTGGAGACATTGCTTTACCTACCACACAATGTCTTCTTCGTTATACCGTACCTTAAAGAACGTTTGGACCAACGGTCTCAAGAGATCTGGTAGACAGATTGCCTCCATGAACGATACCAAGAGAGGTACCTTTGTCGGTATGGACAAGAGCGGTAACATGTTCTATGAAACCGACGCTCCTGAGGAAATTCACATGAGAACCAGATGGGTCGAATACAAGGACTTCTGGACCCCGGACATGTCCCAAGTTGAACCAGGCTGGCACTACTGGTTGGGCTATGGTACCAACACCCCTCCAAACAAGTTGCAGGCCGTTGCCCCAGCCGGTGAGATCCACGCGCTCTCCGTCAGAGCCTACCCAATGCCAGACTACGTTGAAATCAACCGGTCATGTACCAAGGGGGCCTATATTCCTTACAACACGGCCAAGCCAAAGTGCAACTCTTGGGTCCCTCAGGTTTCCGCCAGACAGTAGGCCTGAACCTCAACCATACTCACATACACTGATACGCTGTATCTACACAGGATCGTAGGAATCGTGTTAGACGTTTCTGCATCTACAGGACCTGACCGTATTCCACATCGATAAACGGCCGGGTTCTCTTCTCATTTCATCCGCCATAGGCGATCTTTCTTCTCATATTTATTTATATTTTCCGTACAGCAATGTAGAGTAAGGAACGAGGGTGTAAATGGTTTATCTGGTTATTTTGCTAAACTTTCTCGATCGGTTCTGGGTCAATAGAGTTTTGTGTTGTAAGCGTTTGGTGCATATCTGCCATTGACCAGGCCCAATGGGGCAATTTCTTTACCACGAGAGTACATAACAGGCTAGAGATTGGGAGAGACAGATACGTATTAATAAAAGGTATTCCGGGGGTTTTTGGTGTAATTTTGATCACTACAACCCATTTTGTGTACACCATGACGATCCTCTCCAGCGTTAAACACTTTCCTCAGGAATTCCTCATTCCCTTGAGCATTTCCACCCAGAACCACAGAATTATCCAGCTTCCCAATGGGATCCTAGTTCTCCTCATTTCTGACCCCAGTGAGGATCTCGCTTCCTCCGCCGTCTGCGTGGCCACAGGAGCCCACGCCGACCCCAGTGTAGTGTTGGGTTTGGCTCATTTTTGTGAGCACATGCTCACTCTTGGATCAAAACAGTTTCCTGATCCAGATGGGTTCCACAAGCTTGTAGGATCGTCCGGTGGCCGCAGCAACGCATTCACTACTGGTGAACAAACCGTATTCTTCTTTGAGGTTCCGACAAATTCAACGTCCCACACCGATACAATAGCCCTGACCATGGTTGAGACAAGCTTTAATTTTGAAAAGATTATGCAAGTATTTGCCAGCTACTTTAAGAAACCCCTTCTTAGCTCCAACTCTCAGAAAGAGCTATTTGCGGTCGACAACGAGCATTCAGCAAACACCGCCAGAACGTCTCGGATTTTGTACCATGGTTTAAGACTCCTATCCAACAAGAACCATCCGTTTTCGAGGTTTGCCACCGGGAATATTAATACCTTGAGTGAAATACCGTCCAATGAAAAAGTGAATATGCACAGGCAGTTGGTAAAGTTCTTTGACAAAGAGTACAGTGCAGAAAGGATGACCTTGGTGATCAGAGGACCACAGTCGCTCAACCACCTTCAGGAAGTGGCCTTTACGAATTTTGATGATATTCCGCTGAAGAATCCCTTGTTAAATTCTGATTTGAATGAGTTTAGCATACTCGAGACCTGGAAAGCCAGGTACAATGGGCAGCGCGTTTTCGAACCAAATAATTTACGGCAGATTATGTTTATCAAAAGCAAGAAGGCGCTGGTATTGAGATTCACATTTCCTGTGCCCTTTGGTGTCTTGGATGAAGCGATGATACAGCTACTTAACAGAGCCTGGTCGAGCTTGTTTGGAGATGAAGGCGAGGGTTCACTTGCTAGTGAGTTGAAAGAAGCGGGATTGATCTCTAGTTTGCGAGCCTCTAGCACTTCATTAGCCCAGGGTGACGATTTGTTAACTTTAGAACTCTCTCTTACGTCAAAGGGGGTTCGGGAAGTGAAAAAAAGCATAGATATGGTTTCGCTCTACGCAAGGACAGCAACGGATGCTGTTACCGGACGGTTTTTATCAGACTCTTTCTCCATCCATCTCTTGAATTACTTACACCAAGATGTGGCATCCTCACCAATGGACGAGGCCTCGAGGTATTCTCAAACCCTACAGAAGAATTTGTCCCAGTTAAATCCTAGAAACATTTTCCGCGACTCTCCCAGCTGGAGCGATATGCCCTACTATTCAGGTGGGTTTGGAGAATCACGCCGTGCCACTTCCTGGTGGACATATCACGCTAAAAACTTTACAAAGTACCTCGAAACCTTTGTAAATCTCGATAATTGCAACCTTTTGGTCATGGGAAAGAACATTAAGATGTTGAATTTCCTCTCCGTTGACGACGTTAAGCTAGAGACAGATCTTGCCTTTGACATCGAATATCACATTTTTCGTGACGTTAAACTTAAAGTTCCCAACACGCTCTCACCTCTCATGATCCACCCCAATCCCTTTCTCGCATCGGTAGCGCCTTCACAGCTACATTTGATCCGAGATTTGGACCTCTGTTCCCGTGTTTCAACCACGTCTTTCCTTTCCTTCATCAACACCCACGTTGAAGTCACGCCGTCGTTAATATCGCACGATTGCCGCCACAAGTTGTGGTTCAAAACCACTACTAGTTCGCTTTATTCTCGGGCCTTCATCACTTTCGAACTAGCAAGCGCCTTGAAACCGTCACCCACCCTCACAATAAACTTGGAGATTCTTTGCGAAGCAGTGGCTATCCGTCTCCGTAAAGAGTTGTACCCTGCAGAGATGCTCGGATATTCGTGGCTCATCCAGCCTTCGATAAAAGGGGATGGAAGAGCAACATTTACCTTTTCAGGCTTCAGCTGTGGACTATACTCGATGATCGAGAGGGTAATCCGCTGCTTCAAAGTTGCCATAGGAGATCCAGAGCACGTGGATACCAGAATCCTACGAGAGGCCAGACGCAACGTCAGACTCACATACGAGGGATTGGCCAAAGAGAACGGATTGGTGCTATGTTCGGCTGGGATGTTGGTGTTTATGGAGCAGCACACGTGGCAGTTGGAGGATAGAGTTGAACGATTGGAAGAGATAACCTTTGAAGAAACAAGAAACAGTTGGAGAAGTTGGCTTGGAAGTGACCTTCACGCCACGGCTTTGGTTCACGGAGACTGCGACGAAGAAAGTGCACACCGCGTTATGGCCTTACTTGATGAATTTTGCGGTAGATACCGAAAACCACAAACGTTTCACGAGCCATCCACATACATTATCCCTCAGGGAAAGTGTTTCGCCTACGAGTCTTGCATGGCGGAGGGAGACCCGATGAACTGTGTTTCAATATACTTGCAAACAGGCATCAGACATGATCCTTACATACACACCCTTTCCAAACTACTTGCTTATGCCATGTCCCTATCACTAGTCCCGGACCTCAGAACCAAGAAACAGCTCGGCTATGCGGTGCTAGGGGGTCTCCGGGTGTTTCGCGAGATGGTGGGCTTGCATATCACGGTAATGAGTGGGACCTACCGGCCGCGGTTTTTGCACCAGAAAATCGAGGATTATATTGCAGAGTGGGAGGTTCAATTGTCTCGTTTGTCCGAGAGGGAGTTCCAACACGAGGTTTTGAAGCCGTTCATCGACTCATACGCCAACAATAAGCAGAGGTTGCAGTCTTCGGGAGGCCCGGAGAACCTCGCCATGGCCATGAATGGTGGTTCGGGTGGAGCATTCGATGGTTCAGGGAGAAATGTTAGGGAACACAAATTACTATGGGACCAGATCACTACCCATCACGGAGACAAAAGTGAAGTTGATTTGGACGTGATTAGAGCCATCACCAAAGGGGAGTTCATGGCTTTTTTCACAAACAAGATCTCTGTAAATTCCCGTCAGCGAGCCAAGCTTTCAATAATGCTCAGATCACGAATTTCCCAGGCTGAAGTCCAGAAGCAGATGACAAAGCAGCAGATCCAGACCTTCTTGCGAATGAATTTGCTTTATATACCGCCCAAGGACTTGGATGCGATTTTAGAGGCGTCAGGAAGCAACCGCGCGCTCTCCAAAAACTTGCTAAAGTACTTTGCACAAAGAAGCAGCTTGAAGTCGTGCCGGGTTATAATCGTGCAGCTCATGAAAGGAATCGGGGCGTTGTTGAAGTTTAAACAGCAGGAGGTGACTAGAACAGTGCGCATCCAAGACTTTGAGATCAAAAGTATTGAAGAGTTTCATTCGCTCTGTAAAGTATACTCCTGAAGATGTTTTTTTTTTAATTTAAAGCCACCAAGAGGTTATAGAAATGGTAAAGGGATTGTAAAAACTCTTGGAATATCAGACCCATCTCGATGATTTATGTTCGAATCAACCCATGGCTCGCAAACACCGGTTTTGAGTTGTTCTAATCCTTAATTATACCTTTTAATGAATATTCTTCGAGTTAATCTTACAGCTCCATCAGACCACTTAAATTATACTATAAACTTCTGGGATATGTTTATAGTACCTGGTTGCTACCCTAACTTTTTAGTTAGCGCTTGGTGGCCATGGTAATGTCTCTCTATCGTCACAGCCGCGTATGCAATGCGACGTAGTGTAGTACCACTAGGGCCTGCCTACTTCTCAGCTGCCTAGCCCCCTTTTCAAGAAAACTATTGAAACTGAGGGATTCGGGGGAATCATCATTCACAATTCACATTCCGGGATAATCACACCAAGAGGCCAAAATGAATCGCCGTTTGACAGATCCCCTCCGAATAGTTTGTAGCCTCCCTGGAAGCTATCGGAACATGTGCCCATCGAAGGCTCCTCTGCGGGTGAAGTTTGTGGGGTTCCCTCTGTGCTCCAACTGGTAGAGCCTCCACGCCTCCCGTAGATGTTCCGGCAAAAGTGGTTGGTCTTCAATCGAGGCAAGCTTAAGCTCAGGCTGTTTCACGGTCCCGGTTTCCTTCTCCTTTCTACACTGGCGCGCTGCCTTCCGCTCCTGGTATTCCATCAACAACCGGGCCTTATGATGCCGCTCTTGCACTAGCTTTGCCTTTTCGATAATCTCCATTACAAAAATCTTGGAAATACCCACGAGGGCGGTGGCAATGGGGTTAGAAATCTGGTGGGGAAGCGTGTTATTCGCCACCTTCTTGATCCCCAGCTTGATCGGACCGTTACGGAACACCTGGTACCGACGCATCTGCTTCTCGTCAAAGTTGTCTAACAACAATTTCAACTGCTCTTTTTCATCAAGATCCTCAATCAAGTCACTATCGTTATCCGAATACTGTTCCTCGTCCTGCTCCTCGCCGTGAATATCCAGGAACAATGCCTGCCACAAAACCTGATCATCTGCAATCTGCTCCTCGTCTTCCTCCTCACTGGAGGATTCGTCGCTTGAGGATTCACTGCCCGAGGAACCTGTGCCAGACGAGTCGGAACCGGAGCTGGAGTCTGTACTTGATGAGTCGTGTTTGCGTTTCAATGGGCTAGATCCTTCAACCCGAACACCGTCTTTGGCGCTGTCATCTAGTAAAATGGCTTTAGGGTCCATCTCAATGTGTTGTATGCGGGTTTGGTTGAAAGCAAGAGGAGAGTTATGTACGCAATTTTGTGAGTGTGATGAAAATGTCGCCGCAGGCCTCCGAATCGGGTAAGTGTGCGGCGATCCAGAAAAGTCACATACAACAAGGTCCAGATATAATTAAAAATAACCGGTATATTAATATTTAGTAGGGGATATTTAATCATTTTTTTGAGGCCACCAGAGCCCAACTCATTGAGTCGTCACTTGCACCACGTTATTCTAACTCATGGCTACGTAGGCTCCTGTGGCTACAGACCTAATTTCTCGGGAGACACTGCGATACTTAAAATTACCTTTGATCGGTAATGTATTCGAATTAACTAGAGGTATAGCTGAGACCTTGCTATTTGGGTAAGATACGATGAAAACCCACGAATATCCGGCGAGAATACAATGGATAGCCAAAAGTCTCAATTATTTCACATCCATCATTCAAAAACAGCCTCTGGACTAAACGCCGCAAGGTCCCTCTGAAGCGAGTCACTAAACTCCACCGACCGTACCTTCAACTCCCCCAACTCCCTATCCAAACTTGTCATTGTGTGCCCGACAGACGTAACGTCACGCATCAACGATGCAAAGTTCTTATCGTACCCATCTAACTGGAGTGTAAGGCCCTGGTTCCGTTCGTGCAACATTTCGTTGCGGAAGCTGGTCATGATCATCCGGTCCTCGAAGTACTCTGCGGAACGCTTCAACACCTGGAGCTTGGCCCGATACATCCCTAGTAATGCGGTTTCCTCGCCTTCTTTTTCTCCCTGCCTCTGGAGAACCTGCTGGAGCCCCAAGATTTCCTGCTGCAACGCGGTGATCTCGAAGTCCTTGTCGTCCAACACCATCTTGTCCTCCATCTTGACCTTTATGTGCACGTTACTGATCTTCTGGGTGGCCACAGTGGTGATCCGCTTTGCGGAATCGGCATACCGTAACGTGGAAAGCGTCTCCTCGTAGTCTGTGGGCGCGATGCACGCTATCATTGCGGTCTTGGAGTTCCCGCCCAATGATTCCTTCAAAATCCAGGTTAGTGTGGAGTCACGATACGGCACCATCGTGTTCTTCTGCGAGGTGGAGTTTGCTGAGAGGATGGAAATAACCCGGCCTAACGTGCTCAACGACTTGTTGATGTTTGATCCTTCCTTGAGCCGAACTCCGGAGGTTCCCGTGGCACTGGCTCTTTCGGACCCCGCAAGATCCACCAACCGGAGTTTGGAGTTTTTTTCCAAAATGATTTCATCACCGCTTTCACTGAACTTTACCTGTTTGACGCTGAGCGTAAACACCGCGTGGCTGCGCGAGGATTGGTTATTCATCTTGGTCAGCGCCGTGGACCGCTGCTTATTCCCAATCGCAAAGTATTTTTCAATGTCGTTGTATCCGTTCACGGTGAATTCCGAGAGATTTTCCACATACGGTCCCTCTGAGGGCGATTCGCGCACTCGCAAGCCCGCGTAACTGTCATCGCAGAGCAAATCACGCACCTGTTCGTTGTAGATCTCGAAATACGACACGCGTACGGTGCAGCTGACCTGGTTGCGACGCATTTGGCTTGTCTGGCGAAACAAGTGTTGACAGATGAGCGGAATCAAGCCGTTGGCACTATCTCCCATCATCGTGTAGGACTTTCCTGAGCCGGTCTGGCCGTAAGCGAGGATGCACGTGTTGTAACCCTCTAGGGTGTGCTGTAGGTACTCCTCCCCCACCAAATGGTACGCCTTTTGTTGGTCCACAAAGCCGTCACGTTCATCAAACGACCAAAGCGCACGGTCAAAGTGGAACACCGATGGGGCCCCGGCCTTGGGGGTCTGTTCTAGCGATGAGATGGACTTTTCTTCGGGTGACAATGTTACTGACGTTTCAGACATCGATACAAGACACCGTGTGTTTTTTTCCGTTTCGCGTGTTAGAAACGGCCTCACCCGTACAAACACCTTCACGTTGCCGTGGTTGGAATCGGCATCTCTGGGGGCGCTCAGCGCCAGGGATCTCAGTGGAACGGACATATATTGTAGGTGAGAGAAGACAAGAGAATAAGAAGGGGAGATAAATTAATTCGCATCATCCAGGTTTGCGTTTGTTTACGTTTTGTGCATGCATCATGTGATAATGACGTTTTTGTCACGTGACAAGACTCAGACTTTTTATGGGCAATTTAACAGGGCCAGGTTCAGGACAGAGGCTGGTTTCGAAATTTTTTGAACATTCATCCGTAATTGAATGAATTGGGTTTAGCAATCTTAAATATGGTTTATTTACACTTGCAACTGGAGGCTTGTTGTAGTTTTGGGGAAGAATGGATAAGATATATATATATATCTGATTTAATTTCTTGATTAATAGTGGATACACAAGAAATGTATTTATATATTTGAACGAACATATAATAGGAACCTTGATAAACATAAATTACGGAGTGAAAGGTTCTGAATCCATATACAGCACTCCTTTAAGATTCCTGAAAGTATTCATGTATCTGCCTATTTGAACTTCCAATACAATACTTATGCATTTGTTTCAATAACCTATCATACATTTATTGGCCTCTGCAAAACTAGTCATATCCTTTTTAGACATTCTCGTAACTTGGCCTCTTTTCAATCCCTCCTACACCCTATATAAAAATACTCAATTAAAATACAAAAAAAGTACAACAAACCAACAAAAATAGAAAAAAAAAAAACTAGGCGTTGTCAAGCAAGTAGTTGGTGGCATCCTCCATGTTCCAGTCCTCGCGTCTCAAGGCGTTCACGGCAGACTCCTCATCAAAGCCCATACCTACCAACTCCTCAATCGCAAGCTTGTTACTGAGGGAAAAGTCAGTCCCGAGCGGGGCACCGATCGCCGGTGAAGCTCCAGAGGCGGCCCTAGGGGACACTGGAGGCGGCTGTGAATGGAGAGGTTCCTCGACCTGGGCGTTGCCGAACCCGGCAAAGAGTTGGTCCCACTCGTCACTCGCGGTGCCGGTAGTTGGCTGTTCCTGGCTGGCAGGGAACGGATTGTTACTGAAAGGTTCATCACCAAAGAAATCGTTAGTAAAGTTGGCGTTGAAGGCATCTTCAGCAAAGTCGTCAGTATCTTCCGGAGCCTGTTCGAGGCCAGCAAAGGCGTCCTGGAAATTGTCAGACTGGGAGAGAGACTTGGCTTCAGGGGCTGCTGGCTCTAAGTTGGAGAAAGCGTCGTCAAAGTCAAAGTCGCCGGTTTGCGGGGCAAATGGGTGGGCTGGACGAGCAAAGTCAGAGGACGAAGTAGGCTGTGAGTCAAGACCTGAAGGTTGAGGGAAGGTTTCCGAGGCCACAGCCTTAGATTCCAGATCCAGCTCAAACTTAGGCGCTGGCAAGGATGTTGGAAGGTCTTCGAAGGCATCGGCAAACTCGTTCAGATTGGCAATGGAGCCGCGAACGGAGGGACTGTGGGTGACAAGAACGTCCCGTGGCTCCTCAGAGGAGTCGCTCTCATCATAGTCGAGCTCACGCATCGGAGGGAACTCCTCACTGGAAGGTAATCTAATCGTAGAATCGTCCGCCGGACTCTTGTGGTACAAGTCATCCAGGGCAGCGTGGTCGAAAGAGAAGCCGTCGGAGAGTTCAGCTTTTTCCACCATCTCAAAGCTGTCAGGCGAGGAGGTTTGGGCAGAAATGTGGGAAGAAGTGTCTCTGGAGGTTGGGATAGGAGGAAGAGGAGCCTCGAAAGCACCATGGGCCGTGTGTGGCGATTCTGGTACCGTTGTTGTGACGACGTCAGACTCCAAATCCGATTCGGCGTGAGAACTGGCCGATTCCGTATCTGAGGCCCTAGAAAAAGCTTCTGGCTCTTCAGTTTCAACCACTGCATGAGCAGAAGTCGCTGGTACTTCAGATTCAACCTCGGGTAACGCCCCTGGGAAGCTTCCTGGCATAACCACGGGGAAACCAATCTCCGACAATGTCTTTGACGAACCCTCCGGCGAAACCTCGGGTTTAACCTCCCTTGCTAAAACCTCCTCCGGAGCTGCAACTTCCTCAGCAACCTCCTCAGAATCCTTCACCGTCTCCCTGTCGTTCTCATCGAAATCCCCTCTCACGCTATCCCCCGCGTTATTCTGAACGGAGCTTGTCACGCTCTGGGGGCGAATGAGATTCAACTGCTGGAACTGGCCAGGAGAAAAGTCCAGATTTGGCGGAGACGACGCAGCGGTGGATGACGGGGCGTCGCCAGAAGACCCGGCCACCACCGTCCGACCCACGCTCGAATCGTCATCCTCAACGTTAGCATACTTCACCTCTGAGGTTGGGTACTCCACCGTGGATGCATTTCTGGAGTTGGCACCGGAGCCGAAGAACGGATTGGAGGTGTCAAACGTGGAAAAATCGTTGGAGAACTCGGCGTTCGGGTAATCACTCGAAGCAAACTCGTTCTTCGATTCGTAAAAACCAGTTTCAGGGTAGAAATCGGCATCCGAAGTCTCCTTGGTGTGGGTTTCGCTGGCCCCAAGAGTAGCACCAACAGCCGCCGCAACCCCCACGGCCACGCCCTTAGCACTCACACCCTCAGCAGGAACCACAGATGGCTCCTTAGCGATAGGCGGCACAAATGGCTCCGGATACACGATCCGCGCCTTCTCTTCCTCTAACTGCGCCGCGCGCTGGAGCGTTGCCGCGTGCTGCGCCTTTTGCTGCGCCACACGATCCAGCATCGCCTTATACTGCAGCTGCGCCACACTTAACTGTGACTGCGCCACCTCCGCCTTTGCGGTACTAAGCTTGAGCTCACGCTCCGCCGTCTCGGCTTCGCGCAGCAATTCCGCCTTTTCGGCATTGACGTTCCCTATCTGCTCCTTCAAGGATGCGTTTGCCTTTTGCTGCTCCTCCAACGCCATCTGGTTCTGTTGCAACTGGAGCTGAAGCGTGTTGAGTTGGGCCTCAACGAGCGACGCCTCCTGGCGGAGCGATTCGGTCTCAGTCTTGGCAGCCAGCAACGACTGCTCAACCTGAGCCACGGTGATCTTTTCCCGGTCGTACGCCGCGTGGAGTTTGGCCAACTTGCTTTCGATCTCAGCCTTGAAGGAGAGAATCTGAGCGAGCTCCGATTCCACCTTGGAACGCTTTTCGTGCAACCCCGTGGTTTGCTGCGATAACGACAGGACCTGGGTGGAGAGGTTGGCAATGTCAGTGGTGGCGGCAGAGAGCTGAGCACTGTCGGGGTCCGCGAGCAAGTCCGAGTTCGAGGTATTCGTACTTGCCACTGGCTTTACATACTGGTTGCCGAACCCGCTGCTGGTGGCCCGTCTTTGGAACTGGGGGTCCTTTTCGGGCGCGGGTGGGGCCTGGTTGCGGACAGGTGGTGGTGGGACCGCGCGCAAGGCGTCGTAGTTGATGTTGGCAGGGTAGCTGGAGGTTTGGGGGATGGTCAGACTGGAGGCAGATCTAGATGACGAGGCGGAAGCCGAGAAAGCAGGAGCATTTGCAGGGACAGGAACACTCGCAGGAACATTTGCAGGAGCACTAGCATTTAAATTCACGGTCGAATTCGTGTCAGCTGGAGAACTCGCACCTGCGTTGTTCGTGGCCAAACTCTGCCCGAATGATGAGCTTGGCATAAACTTCCCCGTAGGCACGCGTTGACTCGATGGCGCTGGGCCCGGCAAAACCGTACTCTCAGCGGCCTGGGGTGTCGGCTTGGAGAACGAAAGATCAACCAAGTCGTTGAAGGAGGATGTGTTCTGCGACGACAGCAGCGCGTAGCGTGACTGCGCAGGGGTAGCGTTCGCCGAGGCATTCGCCGACACATTCAAATTTGTAGTGTTTGCATTCAAATTCGTAGTGTTCGCGTTCAAATTCGAAGTAGCGTTTGCATTCGTAGTGGTGCTTGGAGTACTGGCACTCCGGATCAAGCTCTCTTCCACCACATCCGGTAACGCCACCCCCTCCTTCACCTTCTTGACCAAGAAACACGCAACGGCAAACTCAACCGGCGAAAACTCGCCAGTATTGTAGATATCCGCCAAGTCCCACACCGTCGCGAGCATATCCTGGGGAAGATTCGATGACATGAGGTAGTTTGCGACAACGTCTGGGGTGAGGTGGTCGGACGAGGGGCTCTTCAACAGCGCAAAGACCGCGTCATACTGCTGCTTGAACTGGGGTGAAATGACCCAGTCAGAGGTTTGGTGGGAGGGAGTGATGTCGCGCGTACCAAGAGTCGCGTCTGCGTGCGCACCTGTGCCCGCGCGCGTGGCGGTCCACAAGTATTCCGGCAACGTCTCCGGCAACGCGCGAACCTTCCCGTTCAACGAATTCTGAATCAAATACATCGCGAGCACAAACTCGTCAATGCTCAATTCCCCCGCGTTATTCACATCCACCAAGTTCCAGATCGAGCCGAGCACGGGCATTGGCAATTTGGCCTTCATGAAAATGTCGCGCGCAGTGGCGCCCGCAAGCACAGGCCCACGCGCAGTGTTGCGGAACAACGTCGCAAAGTTCTGGATCTCCACCGGTGTGATAGGCGGAAGGGGCGCGAGGTTGACACTTGACGTGCGCGACACGGTCGCAATGCTTGACGGCGCGAAGGCGATGCCCGCAAACGTCGGCAACGGCCCGACACGATCAATCATCTCGCTCGCCGGGGCGAGGCCCGTCGCCTGGACGTGGCCAATGAGACGCATGGCCACGCAGAAGCCGAGCTGCGAGAGGGTACCCGTGTTGGCGGTGTCGGCCAATTGCCAGATCTCGCCGAGCACTGCCGGGCTGAGGCCAGACTTTTCGAACGTGGCGCGGGCTTTTTCGCCAGACACAAGGCCCAGCCGCTGGGGGTCCAACGTGCGGAAGAGGTGTGAGTAGAGCTGTTTCTCCTCAGGGGTAAGGGGCGTGGAGAGGCTCATTGTTGGGGAGAGAGAAGAGAAGAGAGGGTATTAGAGACCCAAGGGGTGGGTCATAAGTAGAGGAGCTGGTACGCCGCTTCCGGGGCGATTGGTGAGGGCACGCAAAGCAGGGAAAGCGGGGGAGAGGGGGGCAGCAGTGGGGGACAGAGACAAAGCACGAGTTTCTGAGCGATAAAAAAAAAAGGTCAGCAATTTATATTATTCACGTCGGAATAAACTAAATATTTTTAGGGCAAAATCTACCGTAGACTAAAGATGACTATCGTTCAGAGCTAGGTGATCAGACCGTGGTGTCCTGTATTGCGTGTAGGTCAGACTTCCGGCGAGGAGAATAGGTGTGGCTGTTGGTGGAGAGCTAAATTTAGCACATGTGTGTCGTGACATGGCTTTGGCGGGTTCAGTCTAATTGACACTAACAAAGGTGACAATATGATTTCTTAAAGATCCCTGGATAAAATATTCCGAGCTTGGTCGCGGTTTCGTCGCCGAACAAGGCTATCTATGGTATCAGCTTGTTCTCACATGCTAACATTCAACCATCAGGTGCGGCATAATGCTGAGTTTAGCGAAAAACCCACAATTGTGCCGCTAAATGTTATCAATGTTTCGCGAAACGGGTATAAATTTATTCATCATACGGTAGCTGGGACGGAAACCACTTATAGCTCGGTAATAGTGATTCAATTTTATATCGCCGAATTGATCCAGTTTAACAGGATGGACTTTATCTCTTTAACCCCCTCTCGTTCTCACTCATTAAACGGAAAACTTCCATCCTTTATGCCAACTCTATAAAGATTAATCTTCCAGATTATCCTGCACACGACTTTGATTAACGGGGCACCTTAATTGTTTTGCTTTCTCTGAATTGTGTTTGATATCCACCACTCACATCTAATAACCCATTGATTGTCAATAACTATGAAAATAAGAATTCCTTTTGCTGTTTGTATGTTCTTCAATTCCCCGCCCCGACCCTTACTAACCTCCCAGCGTTTGTCTTCCTCTTGGCGCTAGCTGCGTACCTTGGCCTTGCGGACCTCCACTACATCCACGACAAGGTGCTCCACTTTGTCATGTTCTTTCTCTGCACGGCCAACTTCTACTGGATTTTTGATACCCGCTCTGTGAAGCTCTTGTTCAAGCTCACGTTCGGGCTCTGCACCGTCGCCGCCAGCATCGGCTCGGAGTTCGCTCAGCATCTCATCAACCCGAAACGGGTTTTTGATTTATGGGACATTGCTGCAAATGTTAGCGGCAGCATTTTGGCGCTTCTGGGAAGCGTCTACTACCACATAATTCTCTTACAGCAGCTGAAGCGGGCAAGATATCTGGCCCTTGCCCAGCCCACTGAGTTGCAAGATATAAATGTGCTGGCTAGCGATGTAGCGGACTTCGAGATTCCGAGCGAGGAGGCTTCAAGGGTCCCTACGCGTAGTGCCACTCCGCAATAAGAACTCTGTTAATTGTATGAAATTGAATAATGTTTGGAGCCAGGTAGAGAAGATCCTCTCGCGGGAACTCATGTTGGTAAACCCAGCAATTTATAGGAAGGGTCAGGCGTAACATTTTGGTTCAAAGCATTCGGAAGTCCCAAACGGCTAGGGGTTCCAGAGTGGACCCGCTAGTTTGCTAAAGTCACTTCATCGAAAATCCGCGGTTTCCAGCTTCTGCAACCTTGTGGTATAGACGTTTCTGTAAACCCCTCTGTTATCATTTAGTACACCAACCCAGCAGCGATTTCAATATCCAGGGATTATTATTTTGACAATAAAGAGCACCAGGCAGTCGAACATAAGATTCAATTGCAACATACCAGCCAGAGATAAATGTACGGATCAGGATTCACACTTAGATCTTTGGTAGATTACCTATCGCCAGATTCTTCCCCACAACCTGGCTATTGCAATGTGTAACCCAAAAATAAAGACAGAAAATCTATTACATCCCCTCGAAATCTATTTATTTACATATAAAAAAAAGAATTCGTGAACGCTCCCTGGGAACCTCCACCTCTGCCTTGCTCTCATTCCTCCTGCACGTAGCCCTTGCATATGCATTTTTTCATACAAGACAAGCCGTTGCCTCCACCATTAATACTCTCTTCATTGTTCCCGATTCCACAACACCAAGATGCTTGGAAAGTGTGCGATTCCACTTAGAACTGGATGCTTTATTCGCTGTAATAGCGCAAGTCCATCCAGAACCTCTGTCTCGGTCCTTGCAGCCTTGATCAACACGCCAGAAGAAGCTCCGATAGCCAAACCCAAGCCTAAAGCATCCCCCACTCCCAAGATACCACCCAAAAAACCCATAACAGCCGAGTTCTTGAACCAGATATACCGCAACAAACTTGTCCCCCGAGTTTCCAGTGTCCAACGAGGAAACACCAATGCCTTCTTCAACCAGGGCTCGATCGATCTCGAGTGGTCCGTCACCAGCGTACGGGACATCCCGTCGGAGGTGGTGAAAAATATGGAGCGTGAAATGTATGCAAAGCAGGAGAAACAGCGGGAACTTGTGGAGGTGAAAGATCCCAACGCGATTGAAAGAGAGCTAGATGCTAAATATAACGCAAACAAACACGACCTCACCGTCACCGCCACCTCCGCGATCCCTACAAAGTTCAAAACCGGGATTGAGCTGCGCTTTTTGTCAAAGCTCCCGGAAATTCTTCTTCTCGGCTCCACCAACGCTGGCAAGTCCACCTTGTTCAACAACCTTTTTTCCCCCTTGGAGCGCACGCGATCGCTAGCCGAGTTTGCCTACACCTCCAGCCGACTCAACTACACCAAGACGTTGAACTGCTTTAACGTGGGGAACCTCATCAGAGTGGTGGACACGCCAGGTTACGGTGTCAAGGCCGCGCTGTCACAAGGACGTGCGGTTATGGGTTATTTGCAAGAGCGCGAGGAGTGCAAACGCGTGTACCTTGTGATTTCCGCACCAGATGGGTTTAAAAAGACGGATATGATGGTGATCAACATGCTCCAAGACTTGTGTCTTCCGTTTGAATTGGTCTTGACCAAGGTTGACAAACTAATAGCCGCAAACCACAACAACATCGAGAAGGTGACCGCACAGCTCGACCGCATGTTTGAAGAGGTGGAATTTTCCACCTGGGGGATCCAACCAGATGTGTTTTTTGTGAATTCGTTAGTCAACAAGCACGTGGAGAAGCGTGGGGGTGTCCAGGCATTGAGATGTGGTATCATGTCCGCCTGTGGGTTGGATGGGATGGCCCTGAAACCCTTCAAGTACAAGAGACGCGAGGGGGTGTAGGGTATGCTGTATATATTGAATGATGCCACAATCGGAACTTTGGTTAATCTCCAAAGCAGATGCCTTCTACGTCTGAATTGTGAGCACTAATAATCCCGGGCTTATGCTTGAGCCCGCGATGGAGTCTATACGTTAGCTCTTCGCACCATGTTTCAGCGGAGTACTCTTAATAAGGCATTCAAACGAAGGATACATACCATGATATGAAAATAGTATATCTCTGAGACAAAAACGATCTCGGTGAGGGTCGAACTCACGATCTTGTGATTAACAGTCACACGCCTTAACCAACTTGGCCACGAAATCATTCCAGTATGCGAGCGTACGAGAATGCCACTGATACCTGTGACTGTCACGCTGGTTGCTGACATTTAACGTTGGGACTTGGAAGGCGGAGAATTTCGGTGCATATAACCTTGCACAAATTATTAGTAACCAGAATGTGTGATTTATGTCTACCATTTACAGTGTTTAAGCACAAATACTGACAATCCATGATTTACCTAATTACTATGTTCAACTCCGGAACCAGAAGTTTTATTATCACTTCGTAAGCTACATCTGCTATCACTTGCTAAACCATTTATACGATGCTATGAATTCACCGCACCAATTTCCAAAGATTGGTCTTGCAATTATATACTTTCGTATGCACCAATGAAGGGCGAGTTTTGCAAACGTGCCAGGACGCTTGTTTGTGAGGACTCCAAATTGAGAACTATTTCATCCTTGGATATACGATCAATACATTAGTATAATGCACACGGGTGGGAGTAATAAGGGATACACTCAGCTGGTATACCAGAAACCATTTCAGTCAATGCTCTGAGCCCAAGTCAGACGAGAGTTGTCGACTGTTTTGCTTCTCAGCCATGTCCAATAGTTCCTTTATCCAGCTATTCTTCCATAAACCTCATAAACAAAACTCCTATATCAATCTCTATTTCCACTTCAATCTTCCAACGATTCCTTAAGCGATTGGCGAAACTCGGAAAGATTACCGAGCATGCCAGGGATTTGCTGCTCAAGAATCTTTTCCGGCGATCCGTTAGGCTTCGGGTCGATAAGGTTGAGAATGCTCTGTTCTGTAAGTGCCTTCAACCTTTCCGTCTCAACTGTGTGTTTTTTAAGGTCTGCAACCAGCATGGTGTGTCTAGCGGTGATCTTGGTGAGTTCAGCCTGGAACCACGTGTTCTGATCCGCCATGTTCTTGGCATGAACGGCCAAGATATCACGGTGTTCCTCAAACCAGGCTTCGTCTTGCTCAGTCGGTTCTTTCTCTTCGTTAGCGGCCTCGGCCGACGCCTTCTCGGCGATTGCAAGTGCCTCCTCCGGGGAGAGGTGCTCAAAGCGCTGACCCATCGAGTCCCAAAGCTTCTGAGACATGGACTCCGGTTTAGTCTGGGGCTTGGATGCGTTGGCCATTGGAAGTAGACAGCTAGTTGAGTGCTGGCTGTTTTTCTTAAGAACTTACGGCTGATGATGGATCATGAGATGAAAAAAAAAATGCATGACTTGTGCACACGTGATAGACCTAACCTGGATATGCCAACCAGCACCTGTTTCTATAAAAATCCAAAGAAAATTTCTTTATGAATTTTCTATTCCGGAATTAACATCTAAGATACACAGCTCTCCGATTTACAGCGTTGTATCAATGTTTCTATACGTAGAGCTATACAAGAAATGAAACCTATTCCTGATACCATCTGTTCCCACCATATCTCGTTCTACTTACAACGACTTTTTGAGAACATCCTGGAACTGTCTCAAATTCTTGAGCATGACATCGCGCGGGACAAAATTCATAAGCTGCTTCTCTGGAGTGGAGTCGGACGCTGAGGAGGAGTCGAGGAGGTTGGCAATGCTCTTTTCGGTTTCAGCCAAGTGCCTTCTCGCTTCGATCTTGTGCTGCTTAAGGTCCTCAGCAGACATTTCTGAGGTTTGATTTTCAACGGCAGCGGCCATGAACGCCTTTTGCGCCGTGATCTTCTGGGCGTGACCTTGCAATAGCTCTGCGGTGGCCATGTACAGTCTCAACTCATCGACTTGGGCCTGGTCTTCGTTCGCGGAGACTTCAGGGATACCAGCTTCTGGGGTTACGACAATATCAGTTTCGGGGGTATCATGGATTTCGGTGATTTTAGCTTCAGACATGGTTCTGGGTTTGGGGCTCACTGGTTGTTTTCTGTGTATTTCTCGGTGGATTTTTCACCCACGCTTTGTATTAAATTTTTGAGGATGCCATCCTGCATATGCGTGGCGCATCCTTTCGTCTCTCGCATGTGAATTCAACTCGCCAGACCCTTGTCCTCAGTAGGGGCGAAACGACACGGTTATCCTTAGGGTATATAAGGGACTCAATTCCTTATATAAATATTATACACGAGAAATATCATCTCTTAGCTAGTGGTATCTATCACTACCCATTGCTACAAAATGACAAATCAAGCCTCATCTGCGGGTATGCCAGCCTAATTCCTCTTTCCCACCCATTGTAGTCTTCAAACATATTGTCATGCATGTGTAAGTTGTTCAAGCTAGCGGGTAAGTCTAGGTGTTGGATGGCCTGCTCAGATAAACCGTTGTGGCATAGCTCTAAAGTTTGTAGCCTCGGCGGAAGTTTGGTCAACCCAGCGAGGCTCGTTAAGCCTTTTTGTCCAGATTTACAGGGTCTCTCTGACAGATTTCCATGTGTAGAGGTACAGTCAAGCGGATGGTCACACCCTTGGTGGCTCAAGCATAACTCTTCAAGGGAATCTGGTAGTTGCAATTCGTTGATAGTGCTAATTGCGTTCTTCTGAAGGTGCAATACTTTCAACTTGGGAGGAAGTTGGATGGCTTCGATTGACGCAAGCTTGTTAGCATTAAGCTCTAATTTGAGTAAACTATCCGGAAATTGGGTATCGGTTAAGCTGGATATCTCATTTTTCAGGAGAAGCAAAGTTTCCAAGTACGATGGGAACTTGGCATTTTCCAACAAAGTTATTTTGTTATTGGAGGCATCGAGGTATTTCAATCCCGCAGGTAATTGAATTTCCGACAAGGAGCATATATCAGTACCAGTTATTTCAAAAAAGGTAAGGCTTTGCGGTAGGGGAGAGATGTCGTGGAGTGAGGTGACACCAATACCGTTTAATTCAAAGCTTCGGAGTTTCAAATCCGGATCATCTGCGTTGGTGATTTGGATCTTTTGAAGAGGATTGGACGAGAGGATAAAGGTGGTACAGTTCACCGGAAGATGGAAGTTCACCAATTCTTCCAATAGGTTATTCCAAAGGCTCACAGATTTAATACTGTCAGGTAGCGTCTTTGAAAATTGTTGAAGCTTATTGAAACTCAAGTCTAAATGGGTCAATGTCGGTGGAATATCGAGTTCTTCGACCGATATCAAATTATTGGACCGTAGATTGAGATCTTGAAGCAGTGGAAGGTTTTTCAACCCCTTGACTGAGGCCAATTTATTGTACTGTAAGCCGAGAACTTGAAGCAGCGGAGGGAGTTTTAACCTCTCTACCGAATCAATATTTGTGCTATGGAGGCTCAAATTTGTTAAACTTGGAGGGAAGACAAGGTTTATTGGCGAGTACAGGATGAACAACGAACAGTTCAGTCCGAGATAAAGCTTCTGGAGGCTTACTGGAAATTCGATTTTGTATGACCTGGCAGCGTCTGCATTTTCATCTGTTTCTTTTAAAGAACCAAGGCAATTGCAACTGAGATCGAGGATTTCTAAAGACCCTGGTAATGAGTTGACAAAGTCTAGCGATGTTAGCAAGGAGAAGGTAATCAGTAAGGAAACCAAGCTGGGCGGAAACTTGATCATACGAATCTCTGATGATGTAAGTTGTGTACGCTCTAGTACCAACTCTCTAAAGCAATCAGAGAAGGTGTATACACGAAACTTCTTCAACGGACACAGGGTAAAGGATAATCTCTGTAACGCTAGAGGCAATTGCCGTTGTTCGAAACTAACAAAGTCCAGACTTGACACCTGGTTTAGCCACCATTCCAGATTCAGATCCAGATCCAGATCCAGATCCTGACCCCACTCCTGTTCCTGTTCTGGCCACGATAAGTCCAAATTCTCCAACAGTGAGGGTAACTCAAATAGCTCATTAATCTCCGTCACACCATGAATGTCTCTCAATTGCAAATCTCTTAAATTAGGCAACTTTAGCCCATTGAAGCCCTCAACAGAAAAGTCCCTGACCCCCACTAGCACCAACTTCTGTAAGGTTGAAGGGAGGCCGGAATACACTGACATAGGTCCCCAGGGGGGGCTAAAGACAAATTCTTGAAGATTTGGCGGAAAATTAATCGGTAGAGCGCCATTTGTAGACTGGGATAATAGGTTGCAGTCGAAAATCATAAGTTTGCGCAAGTTGGAGGGCAAAGGTGGAACGTTATGATCAATCCGTGATGATTGGATAGATATTTCTCGGATACAATCCCGGATCAGGGGCAAGGATGGTAAATAGGGCCAGTCGAATGCTGGATAGGACCACTGATCGCCAAACTCTAGTATGATGTCGGTCACGATAGAGGACACTTTGGTGAACACTTCTCCCTGGAGGAACTTGTTATTCTTGGCCATCCACAAATAAGTGGAGAGCTTCTTAATTCGAAGCTGGTCTAATATATCGCTTTTTGCCAACTCTTCAAACTCAGAGAGCGTCATGTAGAGGCAATCATGGTTCATACAGCGGAAGTTTTTATTGAACGGGGCGTCGATGAACAATTTGATATTCGAGTAGTAGCACTTCTGGGCCATGGAGGCAATGCTGGCATTCTCTGATTTCATCAATATGCTAATTAGGGTTAGTGGTAGATGGGAGAAAATCTTTTCAGATATCTCTAATGGAAGTGTGTCCCAAATGAGGGGAATGTCATTGGAATCCATGGAGGTGAGAGGATAATGAAGGGGATGCAGAATTGACACGTCGTAGCTACTGAATGATGGAGATGTTCAAATCTTTATAGGAGCTGAACAGTAGAGGTGAAGTGTGCTCTGTTATTGTCGCACTTACTGCCACCGTGGGGTGGCTAAAGTGCAAGGAGGACTCTCGAGAAAGTCATAATTGTTGCGTGGAATGCAGGAGGATAAGTTACGGCTTTGACTAAGCAGGTCTCTGGTTATAGACACGTTCGACGATTTACGCTTGACTATAGCTTAATTCCTTAGTTTAGAATTTCATCGCTTTCCTCTTGGATACGTCTAGAATATTGAGTAACTGACAGTATTCTATTCTAGTTAATAAACGATACCATTAATTGCTGGATAAAATACAATATGTAATCAATTTAACCAGCTATAGGAAACATAATAAAAACCACAACTCTGAAGTGGTAGCAAAGATCTGCTCCTCTTAATGTTTATACCTTCCAATGACCTCTTCCAATGACATCTCTTAGATTTTCTGATATTTCACTTACCGGTACTAAAAAGCAAATTGATCAGGCTAGCGATATCTTGACTCTAGATATGCAGAGAAAGTCATACAATACACATTCACTTATTCAGAAATCACTTACTCTCTTCCTGTCCGATCAACTAAAATAATAATCTCATAATCTTTAACAGATAGATACGGGCACACGGAGATATAAGTCCACAATGACGTCATCGTTAAGATTACAATGAGGGCCGTACACGTAGCGACCCTCTCACAACGTAACCCCCAGGGTTGGCCATTTCAATAATTCCCTAGCCCCAATGGCTACCATAATCGCAATACCAGACATAACAATAGTGTATTTTTTTGCCATATCCATTAGTGTGTATCATACTCAGACATATGCAGTTTTGTTAGCGCTGGTAACAGCCTTTCGGGTAACGTAGTGGAGCTTCCTCACAATCAATCGACTACTCTCATTATTTGAAATTTAGTCGTATGCTACACCGCGATCCGAGCACGAAGTGGACGGCCGTTACGTAGTTCCCGATCTGGGGTAACGCACTCCTGCACATCGGAGATATGGCCGCACGCCGCTGTGGCTGCTCGGATACGTGCACGCAACTCTTTGCCGCTTGCCCGTGCGGATGCCTATAAAAGCACCCAACCCCCCATTTTCAAACACATTGTCTGCCATTCCACCAAAACACATACCAATGACTTCCTCCTTACCCCTCGAAACCCTCTCGTCCTGGAAGGACGACTTCCGCGCGGACGCGACGTTCCGTGTGGGCAGCGCCGCGGTCGGCAACTTTAACGCGGACGAAGTTCTCATTAACAATGACGTGTGGACCGCGAACTGCTCCAACACATTCAGCCATGTGATCGAGACCGAGGGCGCCCCTATCCTTTCGCAGGGCTCCGCGGGCTCCTGCTGGCTCCACGCTGCGGGCAATGTCTTGCGGGTGGAGCTCATGGAGAAGTACAGTTTGAAGGAGTTTGAGTTCTCTATCCCGTACCTCTTCTTCCACGACAAGCTTGAGAAGGCTAACTTCTTTTTGGAGCAAATCATCCAGACGGCGGCGGAGCCGGTGGAGTCGCGGTTGATCCAGCACTTGTTGAGCGCTCCAGTCAACGACGGCGGGCAGTTTGACTTGTTCGTGAACGTGGTGAAGAAATACGGGATGGTGCCGTTGCACGTGTTTCCAAAAACGTTCACCGCGACGGCTTCGCGCACACTCAACTTTTTGCTCACAACCAAGTTGCGCGAGTGGGCGGAGGTGTTGCGTGCGCGCGTCGCGGCGCTGCAGGACATTACAGAGCTCCGCACTGCATACCAGAAGGAGCTCTATCGCTTGTTGTGCATGTTTTTCGGCGTTCCACCCGGCCCGGACGAGGCCTTTACCTGGGAATACCACGACAAGGACAAGGCGTACCACTCGATTGAGTCCACGCCGTTGAAGTTTGCCTCCGAAATCTTGGGTTACGACGGCTCAGAGGCTGTTTCGTTGATCAACGACCCGAGAAACGCGTACAACCGCGTGCTTAAGATCGACCGTTTGGGGAACGTGATTGGCGAGCCGCTCGTGCACTACTTGAACCTTGCGTCGGACGACTTGGCCGCGGCCGCGATTGCGCGTATTAAGGAAAACAAGCCGGTCTTTTTCGGGACCCACTCACCACTCTACATGGACAAGAAGCGTGGGTTAATGGACGTTGCACTCTACGATTACGCGGCGATTGGGTACGTGCAGACCCAGGAGAAGGCCGCGCGTATCAAATATGCGCAGTCGTTGATGACGCACGCAATGGCGTTTACCGGTGTGCATTTGGACGCGCAGGGCGTGCCTGTGCGCTGGCGGGTTGAGAACTCGTGGGGCAAGACCAGTGGTATTGACGGGTACTATATTATGACCCACGACTACTTCAAGGAGTATGTATACCAGGTTGTGGCGGATAAGAAGGAGCTTGGCGCGGATTTGACAAAGTTATTTGAGGACGGGAAGAAGGACCCGATTGTGTTACCACCGTGGGACGCTATGGGCTCGTTGGCGGTGTTTAAGAACGCTGCGGAGCCGCAAATGGAGAAATTATAGTAAGCAATAGACCGAAATAAATGGTATATTTGAATAGGGTTTAGAAGTATCCAATAAGATGGGGACAAGATTAGTGTATACTTTACTGTAGAAACAGTGAGTGAGGTCATTTTAATGCTTCCCAGTGGGGGTAATTGAAAATTAGGGGTGCGTTTTGTCGGTCGAGGCTTACCCAGGAACGACATAGATCAAATCTAAATGTAATCAAGGCTGTTTAAATGAGAATAACCGAGACTTATATCAATGAGTTCTCAGTGGTTGACAAAGTTAATAAGTCGAGTTTCCAATAACGATCCATTGAGGATGACAAATGCATCTAGAGAGCATAATAGCTACAAACCGTGAATTATACATTGGTTTTTCTGCGTTTAATGTGATTTATTCTCCTTAGTCAGAACCTTGTAAGATTCAATTGCCTATGAAAATCTCTGTGAGCTTGGCTTTGTATCAGAAAGTTGGTCTTGTAACTGCAGATCCCAAACCAGCCTCATCAGGACTTGCATATTATACCATCAAACCAAGATATGAATGATCTCTCATTCATGATCAATCCAAATAAGCACATTCACGAAGTGTCTGGTTCACAGTGTCGGGTCCGAAATGCAACTCTGTCAGGCAATCTTATGGTATCTCAGCGAGGCGGCAAACTCTTTCATCTGTTGAGGCATTCTTTTCAAGACGCCTCAAAATTAAGAGAATTCAATCACAAACGACATGACCATGAAATGTTCCTTAATGTCTGATTAATCTTGTCAAAGGATGATCCATAAGAACCGTCTCACTTAGCCTTTTGACATACCAATCACTGCATGTAGTTCTTCGCTAACCATACAAAATTTGGTTCACCGTGGATATCGGCAAATCTCTCACCCCACTGGTCGAAACCCGCACAAAAGGATCTGCTGCCGCGACCCCCACATCGTTATACCCGTACCCCTCAAACGTCTCCGTGCTTTCGGTCTCGCCCGCGTTCGCCATGATCCCACTCTCGTCTACGATGTTCCGCAAGTCGTTCAATGGAACCGTGGCAACTTCGATGTTATACAAGGCCAATGCAATATACGTATAGAGCATCGCCATGAGAAGATAGGCGGGGATCGTGAGTGCCCACCAGCGCGACGGATAGTAGTAGATGCCCACGCGGTGGAACGCAGCCTCGGGCACAAACGTCCACGCGAGCCAGACCGCAAAGAAAATGGTTGCAATTGTGAACGTTGCAAAACCCTTGTACTCAAAGTGCGGTGTAACTTTGTTAGAAACCGTCACGTCCGACTCGCGCGCGAGCGCGTCCGACGCAGCTTGCTCGTACTTACGCGCAAAGAGGCGCCGGCGTGCACTCTGGGGCATGCGTGACAGAAGTAGCGACGATGAGAGTGTGCGTGTGAGCCGCTGGAATGGCGAAGAAGGTCTAGCAGGAGAAGACATCAAAATAAGGAGATTGTCAGGCTGTTTTGATGGAACATGTAACTCGTGCGTTTCAGCTCAGACCCAGTTGAAAGGTAAAAGATGGGATATTCTAGACGTTGTGGTGATTTGGTTATTACCTATTCCCGTATAAGCTCAATTTTTGCAAGACATGTGCTTGTGCTGACTAGCAGATTGGGTATGTTGGCAGATGGTCAGATGCGCGACTTGGAGTTGAGGTTGGTCGTCGACGGTGCAGGATGGGCCAGAGGTAACCAGATGGATTTTGAGAGAGCAGGATATGGTCGCTAGACCGTGATTAATCAATAAAAAAGGAATTAATATTGTTACTAATTTCGCAAGGTGTAATTTCATTATACTTTTGTATTCCTCTTGTGTAAAATGGCACATTATGTCTACATCTGGAGTTGCCATTAATTGGGACGATCTCAGAAAGCTCGTGCGCCATTTCATATTAAATATAAACTATGCACTTGTATCCTACTTGTGCCAGTTATTTCCAGCAATAAGTACTATTGAATAACCACACTCCAAGGTTATATATGCTTAACTAATTACAGAATCTCGTCGCTGTCACAGCCCGACTAATACACGTACGGAATGATCTTATACGGCACCCTCTTTTCGTACGCCTCCCAGGCCTTTCCATATTTGGCCCGGCACTTTGCCTCATCTCTCGTCTGTCTGTGCACCAACAAAACCCCAAAGTACACCACGTAAAAGTACGTAAACACGGTCCCAAACCCGGTAGGCAAGCACCACGCCCAGGCCATCAACCAGTCACCGAGGTAGTTTACGTGCTGGGAAAGACTCCACCAGCCGTCGCACAACAACTTAGAGCCGGTGGTTGTTTTAATCGACTCCATGTATTCTAGCTTGCCCTTTCTGAAGTCAGACTTCTGCTGGTTAGACGAGTGGAAGATGTAGTACCCAAGCGCCTTCAACGCGACGATAAGTGCCACGTTCACTGCCCCCAAATGGATTGGCTTGACCACCAAGTAGCGCGCCTGGAGGGTATAGGCCCACGGAACCCACGCCAAGTCGCCGAACGACAACATGAAGCCAAAGCCGTCAGTCGTGATATCCATCATTGTCAACACCCCTTCCTCGTTAATCACCCCGTCGATGATGTAGAATCCCTGGAGCGCGTTTACAAGTACAAGCGAGTCGTTTACGTGACCAGTTGTGTGGTACTGTTGATGCAAACACGCAAGGTTGATCAAAAGCCAGAGGAGCATGCCGGGTCTCAACTCGCAAAAGAGCTTGATGTCCCAGGCACCAATCCGCGGGTTGAGTTCGCGGCCGATGAACCAGTCAAAGATCTGGTTGCCGGTGTTGCCGCCCACCGCCAAAATCCGCTCTCTGGTGTTTTTCCCGTTGGCAGCACGCAATGGAAGGTACGAGCAGACGTGGACAAAGACTGCGAGTAAGAATGAGAATACGATGGTCGTTCCGGTGAGCTGAGCGATGTTGTTGTAGATGAACTGCAATTCGGGCATTTCACCTGCGGTGGAGACCCATCTGGCCGCAAGAACCGCTCCGAGAAGCCCGGACATTGCCAATCCGTTGATCTTGTATGGCAATTTGGTTCCGTCGCGCAACTCCACGCCCTGCAAATGCTTGCCTGGAACGAGTCTGTCCAAGGCGACCAAGGTAAAAAACCACGCGAGATACGCCTTCCAGCAGGTGTAATTGAAAAAAAGGTCATTCAACGGTGGAACCTGGGCGATGATCGCGTCAATGTCGAGCGAAACGCCCTCCACGACGTAAGACGGGTTGCAAATGAGGTGGAAACAGATGATGAGGGTAGGCAAGCCAAGAGTAATGCCGATGGCACCAGGCACGCCCGAAAAGTCCCGTTCGTGAGTAACCGGGTTGAGTAATGTCATGGCTAAGAGGGTGGGATGGAGGAATTGAAGGCGAAAGGTGGCTGGAGGTTTATATATCTGATTCAGACTTTTCGTCGTTTGTGGTACGAGTGCAGGAAATCACAGGCTGCAGGACACATACGAGGCTCGTATAGAGTGGGTAGGGGTATGGCGGTTTAGTAGATCAAAGACTAAACGGAGCTGACGTTTTTCGGAACTTGCAAAAACCAAACAGCGTATATGGTGGTTCAAAGTTGCCATAAAAAATGGTACAAATATGCATAACTTTAGCTACCACCTTCACGCAGTGCCATGATTTGGCCAACTTCAATTAGAGATTTCAACCTACATGTTTGTCTGAGATCTTAATTATTAATATACAAAAGTAGAGGATAAAAAAGCAATACAAAATACCCTAGAGCTTCTTCAAATCCTCTTTGGCCTTCTGGAGCTTTCTCTTCTTGGCGGTCAACTCCTCGGCTCTGGTTTCCTTCTTGTCGATACCGTATTGCATCTTCTTGTACAACTTTCTCTGCTTGTTGGTCATCATGATCATCTTCAAGTCCTTCTCCTCCTTGGTTTCCTTCTCTTCTTTGGCAGCCTCGGAGAGCGCTCTCTTTTTGGACGCCTTCTTGGCCTCTTCTGGGGTCTCGGAGTACTTGATACCGGCGGCTTCCAACTCCAACTCCTTCTGGGCAACCAAGTCCTCGTCTTCGTCTTCAGATTCTTCAACATCTTCAACATCTTCGACATCCTCAGCTTCCTCTTCGGATTCCTCGTCCTTGGCCTCGACTGGTGCCTCTGGGTCGTAGATCCCGGCGTCACCCCATGGCGACAAGTGTGGCGGTAAGGTCTCGCCCGGGGCGTACTGGGAAACATTCAACAAGGTGGACTTGTTGAGCGAGTCAAAGATCCATTGTGGCTGGACGTAGGTTCTGCCCGGCACTCTCTTGGCGATGGTTGGTCTGTCACAGATCTGGTGGGTGACGGCGGAAAGATCCAAGTCGTTCAAAGCGTTGGCATCATCGATCAAGAGCTCATCCAAAGCGGCCTCAGAAACGATGCGGCCGCCACACGCGAGCACGAGAAACTCCAAAATGTCCAATGGAACCTCACGGCCGACATAGAAGACAAACTCAGAGAATAAAACGGCGGTAGGGTTGCCGTGCTGGGAAGGCTGGGCCAAATTGTCGCCGGTCTGGTTCTTGAACTCGTCCAACTCAATGGTTTCGACGTTCTCCTGTTCTTCCTCAGCCTCCAGGGCGTCCTCCTCCCGCTGGTCGGCAGCCAAGGCCTTGGCAAGCGACTTGGAAGACAACTTGGTCTCCTCAGTGGAGGTGGAAGCGGTAGCAGCCGGCAACAAACCGTTGATGCCCTGCTCAGAAGACTCCAAGACGTAGGTGGATAAGCCACCGATACCCTTCAACTTGTTTTGGTCGATCTTAGGAGGGTACATGAGGTTAGAGCCGGTGTACAATCTGTAGAGGACAAAATGCAATAAGGTGGAGTAGAATTCGAGGAAGGTCAACATGATTCTGAAATCAACGTCGGATGGGATGTTCTGTGGGAACTTGAACGGAACCAACCACATCACATCCTGGCCCTTGACGGTGGCCAGGTAGTACACACCCTTGATGGACACAAACACCTTTCTGACCAATCTCTCTCTGGCAACGTAGGCCGACCATTGGTTGCACAACTTCTCGGCCTCCTTGGTGACCCGGTGGGAGATTCTGTCGGTGGCTGGCATGTTTGCAAACAAAAACAACATGTTCAAGGCATCGTCAATGTCTCTGACGGCATCCAAAAAGGTCGGGTAGCGCTCCTTGATGACGTGGTCCAAGGTGTACTTTGGTCTGTGGGTGTCCAATCTCTTGGCATCGCCAACCTCACCTCTGCCCAAGGCCTTCTGCAACTTCTTCGCAAAGGTCTTGTGTTCTCTGAACTTGGCCAAAACCGGCTCATGCAACAAGTACTGGATGTCCTTGGTGTAGTAGAAGGTTACCGGCGCGGTGGAGCCCTTGTTGGCCTTCTTCTTGTTGCGGGGCTCCCGTGGATAGATCCCCTTGAAGATACAGAGACGACGGAAGTCGGCAAGCGAGACCTGGAGCTTTTTGACGGCCTGGGTTCTGGTGATAAAGTTCTTTGCGTTACCGGACGTGTTCTTCTTCTTGATCTTCATGGTTAGTTGGGAATAAGCAGATAAAGGTCCTTTTGTTAGGAATTTTTCACTGTGATTTTTTTTTTCATGCGTACAGGAAGATTTTTATTTTTCAAAGGTTTCTTTTCCGATGAGCTACCCGGCCGCAGCGGGCGTGTCACCACCAGGGCCATTGTTCAACGCACGACCCGGGAATTACCAGGAATGAGCACCTTCCAAATGGGCTTGAAGGAGTTGGTTTGACCATTGGACTCTAGATTTGTCAGGAAGGTTTTCAAGGGTTATATAGATAAGGGCTATATGGATAAGGGCTTGGTGTTAAGGTTTGTCTTTATAGGTTAGATTGGTTGATATACAGATGTGAGCATATAAAGGGAAACTATCCAATTTAGCCTTGAAATTCTCTTTACTGCTTTTCTCATAAACTTAAATGGAAAGCAGCCAGACCAGTTTTAGTATTTACTTTGCCATTTGTATAATAGAGCTAGCCCTTCTGATAGTATGCTTCGAGGTGCATCTCTCCTGCTTAGACAAGACCTACACGTGATGTCTGTCTCCAATATCGTGTGTGGGGGGGGGGGGGGGAAATTTCAGGCACCCTGGGCAGAGGAGGGAAGCTTCTCACCCCCATCTTCCTCTATCAAAAACACATGATGGGACTAAAGGTACTCCGCAGATGCTACTCTGCGAGAGTTGGCCCTGCTTTAAACTCTGCCGAGGATATTCGTCAGTTGCTAGCTACCCCTTCCTGGTCGTCCGCCGAATTCCTCAAGCGCACGAAGGATACCAAGGTCACACAGCCGCTTTTGCACAAATTGTTGAAGCTTTCGGGCTTGTCAAGCCAGATTTCCGCCCAGGAATCCGAACTGCTTTTGCTGGCGCTCGAGAACCAGATTAATTTCCTCGATCACTTGCACTCGGTGCAGCTTCCGCCGGAGGCCGCTGCCACTTTTAAAGACCCACGCTATGCCAGAATCTTGAGACACGAGCCGGAGGCGGTGGGGTATACCGAGTTACAGGCGATGGTGGCAGAACAGAAACAGGCCCACGATAAGGGCGAGGTGGACGACAGCTGGAGCCCTATGGACATGGCAGAGATACGGGCAGGGCCAAACTATGTCATCAGAGGCGGTTTGGGCAAGGACGAGCAATAGATTAATGAATAACGATAATTGTATATAATTCTTTTTCCAGAAAAAAAAGTAGAAATTGACTAAAGGTATCTTGAGCTTCCTTGGTCTTGGTGACTATGAGGCACTGGTGTAGAGAGATATCAGTTTTAATCCTTGGTACTCGGGTAAGCTTGTTACAGTTACTACTGCTTTTTAGGTATCATACGGATTGACCAGTTACAGGTAATTGCAACTCCATTAAAAGCTACTCGGTGTATCAGGAAGATTTATCTTGTGCTTGTCTACTCTATGTACTTTAGAAGAGCCCCATGCGTCTGTTTCTTCTCTCCAACTTCTCCTTGATCTGCTCACGACAGACATAGCCATAGTAGATCCCGGCCAAGGAACCACCGAGATGAGCGGCATAGTCGATGGCGCCCCATCTCATGAAAAAGCCCGCAGCGTTAACAGCAATAGAACCCATGAAGGCGACCCAGGCACCGCCAGGGATAGGGAAGAAGAGAAGACTGATCCCAGCGGTAGGGAACAAGTAAGCAAAGGTGCCGAACACGGAGAAGATCGCACCAGAAGCTCCTAAAGACGCCACGCGTAACGAGCTGCGGGCCATCATTGGCAAAAGCACGGCCACAAATGAGGATATCACACAGCTATTAAGATACATGACAGTGAACTGGGACACCCCGATCCAAGAGATCAAAGAGGGCCCAAAGGAATACAACGCCATCATGTTCATTGCCAAGTGCCAAAAGTCCTGGTGGGAAAAGGCGCTCCCTAACAAGGCTGAACGCGCCACGATATGGTCCTTCTCCAAGATAAAGTATCGCTGCAAGATCCTGTAGCACAGCGGAAGGCGCCACATTCCAAACACCGCAAGATTAGCCCCGATTATTGCGTAAATAACGTACTGCGGGTGTGACTTGAAGTACAGAAAGCCAGGGACATAGGTATACACGTAGGGAGTGGCAAAGTGGGTGATACAGCAGAACCCGACGGTGAAGATTCCGCACCGTTTGAGTGTCTTCATGTTCTGCGGATTGCGCCAGAACGGTGGAATTCCGGCGCCGCCACTAAAGTTGGAGCGCAGGCCTTCGCTCTGTTCCTTTACACGGCGTGCTCTTCGGATCCCATGCGAGCTATTATCCCTGAAGGTAGCATACCAGCGCTTTGAACTTTGGAAGAGGTTCGTGAGCGGCTGTCTGTTTGTGAAGTGCTTGGTGGCGGTGTTTGAGGTGGAGCTAAAAAGTCGCGGAAAAGCCGGAGTAACGATTCGGGCCGAGAGCACCCTGCTTCCCATCCGGGAGGGAATAAGTCTGGATAAATACATGGTGGTTGAGGAAGAAGAAGGATGGGTGAAAAATGCCATACAAATATGTTCCGTGCTCTATACAGGTTGGACCCGGCACGGGCGGGTTACGCACTACCACTGGAGATCTTGGAGCCAGTTTCCGGTCAACCGTATCACAACCAATGGCCATATCCGGTGGATTGTTCGCCCATGAGTTTTATTCTATATTTAGCATTATTGTCCCGCTCAGATCCTCCAAACGCTTGAAACCCTAGCCATCGATATGCATGTATGGATCAGGCCGCCGCGCGTGTGCCGCATCTCATGGACTATGTTGCATTTAAGATTAACACAGACACAAATGAATGCGAGTATATACCCGTTGTTCCTTCTCAGATAATATTCCTCATAAGTTTTTATTAGTACATGGGCGGGAAGGTCTGATATCCTTCGATTATTCCGCCAATAAACCCCTAGTTCGTTAAATTGATATATCCGAGGTACCAAAGATTATATTCAATTCCAGGAAGTGCAGCCACAAACAGAAATATATGGTGGAACTACTTGAGCATTTAGGCCTCTGTCCGTTACTGGAAGACCTCTCGAGCAGAGCATTAATACGGGGGTGCGGTACAATCTACCTCCTTATACATTGCTTGCTCTTGCACAGGTATATATCCTTCCATGCCTCGTTCTTTGTCTTTTCCTTCGAACACAGCGTTTTATCGCTCAAGAATAAAACAACCGCATTATTCTGGGACTTTTGTCTTTACTTTTTAATGAGGAATGAGGTAAAGATTGTCGTTACCGGAGATGAGATGGAAATTGACCTGGCATTGATAGTGTGCAACCATGCCTCTCTTGCTGACCACTTGGTGATGGCGCACGTGGCCCGAGTAACCGCCCAGAAGGGATATGATAACAAGCAGGGCAGCATTAAGTCGCTTATATTGCCGCGTATCAACTTTTTTACTTGGTTTTCCTTATGGCAGATACCGAGTGTGCGGGTGTTTGGCAAAATGCTCAAGAGCGACGAGAACTGGGAATTGGACGATACTCTCAGCAACCAACTCTTCAGCAAGGTGAGCACCAACGCGCATCCGGAGTGGGTAATTTTGTTCCCAGAAGTCAACATTTGGACCAAGGAAGATGCCTATTTGCAGCAGCGGCAGAGTGAGATGTATTTCACCCCTGTCTTCCAAAATCTATTGTATCCGCGGTTTTCCGCCTTGGCCAATGCCTTGAGTGCTCTCAAAATGAACAATTCGCTTTTCTCCAAGTACTATGATGTCACGATTGTTTATTATCGACCGCGGATACTCCATGCCGCTTCAGATGCACAATCACCGAGTTTCCTAACCGGTGCTCTTTCAAGTTTCCCGGTAACCTCCACTTTACTCGGGGCGTCCGCACAAGCATCTGGAACTGTGAAGACGGAAGCACCTGGTGGGAGTTTTGAGATTATCAACGAGGAAAGCTTTGATCCTCCGTCGTTGCTTGAGATTTTTTCCAAAAAGCCATCCAATTTGCTCGTCAGGGTTCACGTAAAATCGCGGTTGCTCAGTCGAGTCCCGACAAAGAGAAAAAAGTTGGAGAAATGGTTGGAAAACTCGTGGAAAGAAAAGGATAAACTTATTGACGAAATGAAGGAGACCACTAGAGTTGTGTCGGAGTAGCAACCATCGGATATATTTATTTATTTATTGTAGAGGAGTATTGGTTGCGATGGATCATAAGGCTAGGAAATTTCAGTCAAATAAAAACTCTAATCTATATACTAAAGGTTTATATATTCATTTTTCAGGATACATACATAATTCAGCAACCGTTAAGCTCAGATTAGTAGTTATTCTTGGCCGATCTCTACATTCAGATTCTTTTAGTATGCCAATTATCTATACTGTCTTTGTAAAACAGTCTAGACTATTTCATGAAGTTCTTACCTCAACATTTCAACTTAGCAGTTAAAGCTAAGCTTAGCTTAAGCAAAATTCAACTTAAGCAATTAAGCAAAATTCAACCTAAGCAGCCAAAGACAAAACCTCAGCTCGAGCTACGCACTCGCCAGTATTATCAAAATATCGAATTACCATAACACCAAATATATAACCTAGATGCTGGTCTTTTCAAGTTCAGCAGCAATGTCGTCGACAGACGCGTCGGCCTCTTCTGGAACACCCAACAATTCCTTCTCCAACTGATCCAAGTCACCCTCATCATCCTCCTCATCAGCATCACTACCTTCCTCCTCTTCTTCCTCCTCCTCACTGTCAAGTTCTTCCAAATCGTCCAAATCGTCCAACTCGCCAGAGCCTCTTTCTTCAAAGATCGCAGTAATCGCTTCCACAATCTCGGAGTCTTCCTCGAATCGGTTACCATTCAACTCCAAACCCTGCAAGACTGGCAAGTTCTTCTGGATGATGGATGGAACCAACGCCAACGCCTTGGCGTCCAATTCATTGTACTGCAACTTCAAAGTCTCCAACCGTGGGAACTCAGTCTTGGCCAACGCTTGCACGACAGAAAGAGACCCGGCCGGGTTCATCAAACAATCATTAACGTTCAATTCCTTCAAAGTGGCGGCCCAGAGGTGCAAACTGTTGGCTAAAACCTGAGAGGCAGAGCTGGTCAAGGTGTTGTCTTGTAAATCGACAACCTGCAAGGTCTTGATCTGGGACAAGGCGCCATTGATCAATTTCTTGAGCCCCTGTGGTCTGATGCCGTTCTGATACAATTTAACCACTTCCAACTCCTGGTGGGCTCTTAACCCAATGGCAAGGTAGGAGATGGAGCCGTTCTCCAATCTGTTTCTGCCGCAGATGAAGGTCTTCAAGGACTTTGGACATGCGGTCTTGCTGCCCTTCTTGGCCTGCGCCATCTTGAACAAACACTTTCCGATTCGGGCACCAGCGAATGGCCCCATACCGTTGTTGGACAAGATCACATGTTCCAAGGAAACGGCCTTGGCGAGGTAATCCTCTATTGGGTCAATGGTCTGTAAGCCAAACGCATTGTCGCACAAGTTCACAAGCGACAACTTGTCACAGGTCAATAACGCTGGCAACAAGTACTCCAAGGACCGCGGGATTTCAGTGTTTAATCTGCCAGTAAAAAAGTCCGCAAAGTTAACCTCAACTAACTCGGAGTTGGACGCCTTGATGGCGTCAGCCAAAGCCTTGGAGGCTTCAATGCCGATGGTATTACCGGAGAAGTCAATCTTCTTCAACGGAGAGACCTTGAGCAACTCATCCAAATAAGGCTGGATGTCAGCCTGGGTGTTGAGCTTCAACTGCTTGTCTGCAACCGAATAGGTGGTTTCAGCAGTGACGCCTAAGTCGACTTGAACGTAGGCCATTTTATCAATCGGGAGAGCAAATGCGGATAGAGGTGGACCGGAGGTGAGAAGAACCAGAAAAGGTTATCCATAAAGCAGAACGAGCCAGCACTAGATCTGGCGCCAGAGGCTTTGCATCCTGCGTACTAGTCCCGAAAAATGTTTAAAGAAAAAGAAACGTGCGGCAGAATGGGTGGAGGCTCCTCTCACAAGCGATCTTCCTAGACCAGTGCCAACTATATACTATAGCCTTTTAGTTAATAGGGTACTCCTTCCGTATGAGCTATATTCGGAGATTGGCCAGAACTCACATGGATATTGAAGGGCAATAACAACGCCTGGGGTATCCGATCTAAGGTGAAATAGGTTTTGCCACCAAAATGCATCTACATTCGAAAACCAGACTTGGCCTTGAAAGTAAAACTCTGTATGGATTTGCTCCGCATTTCAGATTGACCAGCCAGATGGTTTACAAATTAGATACCCCTCAAATTAGACACAGTAAATACTCCCATGGGTCTACGCTTTGGGTAAAGTCGCCTAGCTCTACAAACTATCAATTGTGATATAGATTCGTCAAGAAGGCGTTAAAAGATTTCGTAATAAACAAATGTATAAGGGTATGCTGTTTACTTCTTAGCGTGCAATGGCTCACCGATGCCCTTACCTCTCAACTTGACCCCCAAGGCTCTCTCCATCTTCCCCAACAACTGTTGGTTGGGAACGGCTCTACCGGCTTCGTAGTCGTTAATGACGTTTGGCTTTTCGTTAATTTTGGTGGCCAAGTCCTTCTGCGTCATCTTCTTTTCCTGTCTACCCTGGGCAATGGCCTTACCAACAGACTGGTCAACCTTCTTTGGTGGGGCAACCTCGTTTTCTCTGTCAATCTTGGTCAATCTCTGGCCTTCTGGATCACCCTTGGTGTTACCGGTGCTGTACTTCTTGTCAACGGAGACAACGCCACCGGTTCTTCTGGCGGCGTTGATCTCACCAGCAGTTCTGGCAACGGTCTGACGTGGACCACCGCCACCGACTCTAGCGTTTCTACCAATAATGGTAACAGAATCCCAATCGTTATTAGACATGATATGTATATGTGTGTATGGTTAAAGAAGGGTCTTGGAAATAGCCTCCGATGGATTATTTTATGGAGAACTGGTAACGGATTCTGCCATGCCAGGGACCTGAATCATAGTGTGAGACGTGCCGACGGAGGCATCGCAGGTTACCCGGATAGAACGCGGTAGAAGTTCCAGAGAATATCTGATAGACAGCAAGGTACTAGTGCGTGTGGCTACCGAACAAGACACGCTAGAAGACACTACGTGCACACGGCTGAGAAGCCCCCTTGGAAAAAAATAACTATGGGAGCCATAATACAAGATCCAGTTCGGTGGCGTTTACCCGCTTCAATTATTGCTGGGCTTGCCCCAGTGCCATTGGCCAGTATTGTATTCTGTGGCAAAGCTTAATCTCCAACTGCGGCTGATTAAGTGCAGGATAATCAATTGCAGGATAATCCATTGCTCTGTGCCATGGTGGAGTGACAGCTCAGAGAGTTGATGTAAACGTATACGACCAACTGTATTTTGGCAACAATGCAAAATCGTAGCAACCACTTGGGATGCGTCTAGAAATAAATACAGGCTTTTACCGGTCAAAAAAAACGACATAAGCAGGGTTCGAACCTGCGCGGGCAGAGCCCAAAAGATAACTGAGTAATTCAAGTCTTTCGCCTTAACCACTCGGCCATTATGCCTGGATTGCTTTTAGTTCCGAAAAAGCCTGCTCAGGCAGTCAATATAGGAGAAATTATTTTGAATTTGTGATAACGACTGGGGTTAGGCCCAAAGCTAAGGTCTAGTCATAACTGAACGTTTCACTTTAATTGATAACAAGCCATATGCAATGCAGAAAGGGTGAACTACGTGTTATAGTTGAGGGATAAAAGAGGCAAGGTTCAAATTAACCAGGCGGAGTGACATACCGTTAATTACTCTCGATGAATTTGCTTACCTGCTTCGACGATTTCCTCGCCAGAAGAGGAACTGCATGTGTCGCCTAATGCGGTATCCTGCGCCTTCCAGGTGGCCACTGTTATCGCCCGCAGTTTAATTTGCCCCAGTCTACTATACCCCCACAATCGCACCGGTCTCTCTTTAAAACCTCTATAAGCTCATTATGGAAGTCCTGGAAAACCCTTTCGTCAGGAGCACCAGCCCGTATGACCGCCCCGCTACACCCGAAGATTCGGCCTTGCCGCCGGTTAGCCACCCACCACCCGACTTGTACACCAGCTTTTTTGCAGACGAATATGACAACAACCCCCAATCAGGGTACTCTATCCAAGAAGACACGACCGAGGGATTTATGGAGGAATCGACAGGGGAGCCAGTTGGGGGTTCCTCCGAGGTTGGGTCCGACTATAGCGATGAAGCGTCGATGCTTGTGAGCCATGACCAGCAGAGCTCCCATGCCGTTAACGCTGCCGGTATAAAACCTCAGCAAACAGAGCTTGTGGAAAACTCAATGTTTATCTCGCAAAACCTCGACATCTCGGATGGGCTCCGTTCGCTCATCGGACAGGACTCGGTGCCGGTGCAAATAGCCCACACGGGGCGGTTTTCGGCGTACTCACAGGCGTCAAACCCGCACGCTCCGCGCCAGTCGCTCGTCTCAAATGTCATCTACTACACAATAGACTTGAACTATGGCCAATTTGTGGTGCAGAGACGGTACAGCGAGTTCAGCTCCTTGCGCGACGCGCTTTGTCGCCTCTACCCGACCAGATACGTGCCCACGATCCCGGAAAAGCACTCGTTTATGAACTACATTCTTGGGGGAAACAACACGCTGCATTCAAAAATCAACCTTTCAATCATCGAGTACCGCAAACGCTATTTGACCGACTTTTTGGTGGAAATCATCGGCAACCCTGTGTATCGTCCCCTCAAGCACTGCGAGCTATTCATCAAGTTTCTCGATCCCTCAGAGAGTAATTGGGATGCGGTAATCCATTCACCGCCGATGACATTGATTCCGACGTCTTATTTACTCGCAAACCCCATCAATCCCACCGAAGCGGAGGGGATCCGTTCACTACTCCCATTGCCGCTTGTGTCTCAGATCAATGCCTTCAAGTTCCAGGATACGAAAGCGAAGGACGGCGAAGCTTATAACGTGAAATTCGCCCAGCTAGAGCAACGCTTCCACCAGTCGCACAGACTCGTGCGCGAGCTAGGCACCGTGAGTGGGAAGCTAGACAACCTCTACGAGCGGTTGATCAAAAACTACATTGAATTGGGCGGAAACTTGAACAATTTCGCCTTAACGGTAGAATCGTCGTCTACCACCTTCCGCGAAAGCGTAGAAGCCGAGGACGAAGCCAACCACAACCTCTCCTTGGTGATTGAGAAGTTTGGGTCCACCATCGACAAGAACTTTCTCCACATGGAGGCGTTCCAGTACCAGCAACAGCTTCAGCTACACGAACACATGAAGATCAGCATCGGTTCCAAAACCCAGGAGTTGCTCAAGTTGCTAAACTTTGTCAAGCTCAAGCAGATCCAGCTCATGCTCACCCAGAAGAAGTACCAGGGATACGCTGACAGCAAAAAGCAGATCGAAAGCCGGGTGGAGCAGAATGAGCGTCTCCAGGATGCGTTGCTACGGGGCAGTGAGCTCAGTCCAAGCATCGCAGAGGCCATCCAGCGATACGAAACGTCCCATCGCAGAGGCGCCAATGGAAACGGCTGGTTCACCGTCTTTGGCGGCAAGCGGGCGAGCCGTCCGGTGGATTCTGGTGTCCATGGCGACAACTCATCCACCCATTCGCTGGTGTCGACAAATTCCTCGGAGGATCAGACCGAGGCACACCGCAAGATCAAGCTATTGGATGACGAGATGGACAGCCTCAAGCGGTTGATCCAGGTGATCCAGGCAGACGTGAATGCGGTTTCGGAGCATGTGGCAGTTACCTTGGACGAGGAGTGCACGTTGATTGCGCAGGACTGGTTGAGGATCATGATGCGCAACAGTCGGAATATCCAGATCATGAGCGAGGAGAATTTGAGTGCCTGGCAGGAGTTGAAGGACGAGATTGGGGAGTTGCTCTAAGGAGGTTGTCGGCCCCGAGTATGTGTCAGTACCGCGCGGATATGCGTAACATTGTCAAGGTTTTACCAGGATGCCTCCGCTAAACCGTTGGCGCATCCTCTGAATATTGTCATATTCCTAGATTCGTCGCATAGAAAACATACGAGGATGGTTTATTATGATAATTTACTATTAAATGCGGTCTAGCTGTAGCATGGTTGAATGAGTATGCATGGCACAGTCCGGTGTGGCCGGTTAAATTTCCGTAGACTCTCGACGATAAATGCCCCTTGGTTTTCAAGATAAGTTTAGCTCAAACACCGGTTAAAAAGTTTGGGAATTCTCCCTTATGCATTCGGCCGAAAAAAAACAAAAAAAAATCACTCCATAGAGATACACCTAAGGACTACACGTACCCGCTACGACATTCCATATATTTCAAGGAGTGTTCAATAATTTCCCGATCGAGGTGCGATTGTAGCACTATGGTAGCTATGAGCCCGCTTATCCGTGTTGTCCGTGCGGCGTCAATTCCGTCTCACACGACCGTATTGGACAAGACGTTTGAATACACGGCCATGTCAAAGTCTCGTTGCGGAGATTAACCAAACTTACACTTTATTAGAACTACTATCCATTGCTACCACATGAAGTTATCTCGCAGGTACCGTGTTGGCATCTTGCAGGTGCTCACAATCCTCCTCCTCGGCGGGCTCATGCTCCACTTGAAAAACATTGAGAACACGAGGATCAGCAAACACAAGGATGAGATCCTTCGCCAGTACAGTGAAAAACACCACAGAAAGCCCCATGGAAGCACCTTCGGAAACACCCTCGGAACAGACCTACCCGGCGAGGTGTTTCATCCTGCAAAGGCCAATCGCAAAATCCACCGCCCCATGGGCGAAAGCATCCGCAAGAAGTACTTTCTGGCGTACCAGGTGAGGTCTTTTGTGAGAGCTGGAACGGCTGACCCAGATCCAAAGCAGTCACGCGAAGCCACCCGGAAAATAAAGCGAACAATGGTCAGAAAACCGAAGGAGGAGAAGGAGTCAAAAAAAGTGGATATAGAGCCGAGCTCTGAGGAATACGATTATGCATACTCCTCCCCACACAGCTGCGAGTCCCTTGAATACACCGGAAATCTCAGTGTCACCAAGGCCCAGCACCTCACGGTACCACTTACGGAAATCGCCAGGTTAATCTCAAACTCAGGTTTTGAGGACTTCATCACCTACCCCGAGGGCGAGGCCGAGGGGTTCCACATTTCAAAGCACTGGTACTTCTTTGGCGGGGCGTCGGTGTGGCTTGCCGACTATGGAGTTTACTTCTACACCACACGTGTTTACTTCTCTCCCACGGGCTCCAAACACCATTGCACATTCTCTTTCGTCTACGCACAGCTTTACGACTCCGACTGGAACGAAGTCAAGGGAACCCTCGAGGTTCCGCAGTATGATTCAGCAATCCCCGAGTCACCCATGCCATTTCCACAGCTCTTGCCTATTCCGTTCAACGGCGAACAGGGCAAAAAGTACTTGGGCCCTGAGGACCCACGGATTCTCACGCGGCGCAACCCCTTGGGGTTTGAGGAACCTATGGTGGTGTTCAACATGATCAGCGAGGAGCACGACCGGAAGCGACTTTTGCACGCATACTTTCCGTTCACCGAGACTTTGATCAAGTTTCGGGTGTATGGCTACGAGCCCCTCAAGCGTGAGAAGAATTGGACACCATTCTTTGATCCGGCTGAGCCTAGCGATACCCACGTTCGGTTCATCTACAATATCAACCCGTTAGAGATTCTCCTCTGCGATTTGGAGTCTGGTTGGTGCAAGTTTGTCCAAGGAACCGCCCGCCTCACGGAGGATGATGTTAGTGCCATAGACACCCTCGAAGACGTAAAGATATCGGAGATGAGGGGCGGCACCACGCTCTGGCCACTTCCAGCGGAGCTCCAGTCGCAGCTTCCGGCCAGCAGAAAGCTCTATATTGGGTTTGCCCGTGCTCATCTCACCAAATGCGGCTGCGGAAGCTCCATGTACCGGCCGAACTTGTTCATCTTGGAGGAGAATCCCGAGACAAAGAAGTTTGCGGTGCTATTAAACAGCGCGTTTCTCGATTTCAATATAGAAATCACGCCATGGCACGCCGACGAAGATCAGCCGCATTGCACTGACTCCAACGTGTTGATTTCTAACGGGATATCGTATTGGGACGTGCAGGAGGTGAAGGGGAAGGCCAGTTTCGATGATCATTTGGGGTTGACGCTCTCCAGTGGCGATCTGAACGTTCAGGTGATTCACATCCTGGGATTGTTGAATTATATTGCGCGCATTCCAAGACTCTTGAACGAGGCCAGCATGGACGGAGCTATGTCCAATGTTGTGGGCTGTGCGTTGCGGTATTCGAGGGAGTACTGTCGTGCCTATGGAGAGCTCTTTGAGAACCAAGATCCGGAGGATCTGGGGTTTGGAAGGTTGTGGCTGCGTCTAGGTTTCGGATCGGCAACCGAAAGAGACGATTGATGAGTGTGGGAGTTGTGCTTTAGATGTTTGTCGTTTTATCCTTAGTTTAGTAGGAATCCAGATCAGAGAATCAGACAGGCATGCGATTTTGAATCTCAGAGTATTCTTTCGTATAGTGTTCTCAATCGCGACCAAAACATGTGTTTTTCAGAGCTGCCAGATATCTCGTCAAATTCCCAGTGTACTTGGTTAATTCTTGCATCTTGCGGTTTGTCGTGAAACTATCAATTATATAGGTGTAATCCATCGAACTTGTCTTTCCTCTCTGGGCCATACACTTTAGTCACGGTATCCCATGTCACGCTGGCCTATCCAAGGAGGGTCTGGCCTTTTCTGCTACTAAATGCCCGCTGCAGTTTAGACGGGTCTGAACAGACTCCTGATATTGCTAGATATACCACGCGATTACCCTAGCAACCAGAATATTGGAAATGTCTTGGCTACTTCTATGTAGAGGTATACCAGGTTTATTAGCCGACCCATGTGATTGGATCCAGAGTGTTGCCACCTTTCGGAATACGAATCTGCACCGCCAGCCTAAGATTATCCCAAGAACCCTTTTTGCGTCTAAGCTAGGGCTATTCTTCAGATATAGCGATCTGGCTCCCAGACAATTGACTAGTCGGAACGTTGCCACACTATAATCAAGTACGTTTCTATCTGCTTGAAATTTTCCATGTTAGAGAGCTATAATGCCATGATACATCACGCTTCATGCATTACTAACGTCTTTCGTCGTGCATGGGTCTTTGCACCAGTCTGAGTGGCATAACTATCCTTATGATTTACATGCACTTCCTCGTCTTCATGTATATATTTAAGAAATAAGGCAACCAGCGTTAATCTCGACTAGTAAATGGCGGGTTCCACCTACTAGATATACCAGTCTTACGTTGGATGATGAGATATAGCGAACGTACCCGTATTCCCGGAAGATATCTTTAGCCCTTAGCCTATTTTATGTTTCCCATCCTTACAAGCATAAGCTGGCTTTAGGCGTTTTCGCCCATGCATAGATTTGGCTAATATCAACTTACAGGGATGTTCATGTAGCCAGTCTCGAGTAGCACCACAGAATGCAAGGCCAAGACTTTTTGAAATTACTTTGCATAGGGCTCAAACAACAAATCTGCGGAGCGAGAAGATCTCGCTCTAGAAATGGGGTTTCAAGGAATTTCAATTATAGTCCGATACGCAGATGTGATTTCAGACTGGAATAGATTTCAGCCTTCCTCGGTTAGTGTGCTACGAGAAATATCCTGGTGGCCAGGCTTCAAATACCCCTTTCAGGGAGACTTTTCAGGGAGGCTTTTCAGGGATTAGCCACAAAGAAAACCATTCGTGGCCGGCACGTTTGAGGTAAAGGCGGCAGAGGACAAGTGAGACAGAAGCAGAGACTTGCGTCAATTTAAACTTGCGTACATATCTAGCTGAGCCACACAAAGCCTTTGCAGGGATGCTTTTGATTAGCTCACGAGTCACTAACTACGCCGTATATTTGATAGAATAGGACTAAAATAATCCACAATTGTCCGAGGCACGTGGCCAAGTATCTATTGGCTGAGCAAGTCCTTGTGTTTCTGGAATATGGCAGCACCGTCATACGGCTATTTTTTGGCATTTCCACTACTAGCCTACCGCCACTAATTCCTACCCATTTACCTTCGCGACAATTGCGTATGGGTGATTGTTTTTTCTATATGCTTTTCCTCAGTAGATCTGCACATGCACCACCTAAATCGGTAATTGTCCGCAGCAAACGGCATCTGCATTATGCGTTACTCTGCGTGCTGCATATATTCTGTGCCAGCAAGATAGCCCAGACCCAATTGTTTCATGGAAGTTGACGGGGCTTCATTTCAGACTGTAGATTTTTTTCTACTAGAGTCGAGTCTTACCGAGGGTTTATCCCTGCTACCCTGATCAAATTAGATTGGGATTTTATTCACGTAGACACAGATTTCACTGCTAGATACCATCTCAAGGGAAACTATTAAAAAAAATCCTGAATCTTGCATTTCAATTGTTTGGCATCGTTATTAAAGAGGTACCCGAATAATTATACAATAGGACCAGAATTTTGTAAAAAAAAAACGCCTAGCCAACCCAGTTCCACGTGTTACTCCACCAATTTAACCAGCCATTGTTTCAAGACCCTTTCACTCCTTGAATCGCTCCCCTATTTGGCACCCATCCTATCCACACCTATCGTGTTTTCCTTAAATAGCCATTCTGATTTCAAGCCATTTCCAAGCCCATTAAAGATGAGCCCCAAAATCCCAGGTTATCTCCGCCTTGCATTTGCTCTCGCCCTCCTCGGGCTTGTAGTGCTCCAGTTTAGCCACCTAGAAGGCCAGGTTGAATCTGGAATCGACATCGAACACAATCCTGACACCCCCGTTGCCGATCGAGTCTATTCCCCCTCCTTGGCGAACCGGAAACGTGTACCATGCGGCGACAATATCCTCGAGAACACCGAGTTTCACAGCTACGGCTTTACTTCTTTCGCAAAGATTCCCGAGCCCAGCCGCGACCAGCTCGACGCGGCAGCGGGCCGTCTCCTCGACGGGATGGACCGTGAGGAGATCGACGAGTTTCACCGCGCGGCGCAGCAGGCGGAACAAGACCGCTGGAAGAATGAAAACGAGTTTGCTCGGGCGAACGCCTCCAACTGCGATCCGCTAAAACTTGCGGCCAACGTCCAAGTCTCGCAGCTGCAGTTCCTCGAGGTGCCCCTCAACTTGCTCAACCACATGGCGCGCAAGTCGATCTACCGTGACCATATTAGCTTTCCGGACGATGAGCTCGAGGGCGACCATGTCAGCCACCACTGGTTTTACTTTTCGGGTGACTCCGTGTGGCTTCAGGATTACGGCGTACACTTCCACGTCACGCGCGTGTTCTTCTCGCGCGACGGAATCCGGTCCCATCCGAAGTTCTCGGTCTTGTATGCGCAATTGTACGATGCGGATTGGAGAGAGGTGAAGGGTATGTTGCAGCTACAGACTTCGGCTCCGGTAAAGCCTAAGGAGACATTCTTTCTGGGGCTTTTCAGATCCTTCTTGCCTTCACAGTTGTATCGCAGGGAAAACGAGTTTCTGGATGGACCTCTGACGTCTTCGACGAATATGAAATTTCCCCAGATCCTCCCCATTCCGTTCCGCCAAAATTCTGAGTCTTTTCTCGGCCCCGAGGACCCTCGTATCACGCTCCGCAAGAATCCGCTAGGATTTGAAGAACCTATGATCGTCTTCAACATGAAGTCGTACGAGTTAGGCAACAAGCGCTGCCTCCACACGTACTTTCCATTCACCGAGACTCTCACGCCTCTCCTGATCCAAGGGTACCCGCCGCTCGGCAACCAGAAGAACTGGGTCCCGTTCTTCGACCCAACGGAGGCCGTTAACACTCACGCGCAGTTTCTCTACAACCTCAACCCGCTCGAAGTGCTCAACTGTGACTTGGCGACGGGGGCGTGCAGATTTATCCAGGGCAGTGCTGCTGGTAATAGTGTTTTAAAGCTCAATGATTTGAAGCTTTCGAAGATGCGCGGTGGGTCAACTCTCTGGCCTATTCCAGACGCGCTCCAGACAAAGCTTTCCACAGGTAAGCGTCTCTGGGTGGGGTTTGCACGAGCCCATTTGGTCAACTGTGGCTGTGGTGATTCTATGTACCGCCCGAACTTGTTTGTCCTTCAGCAGAACACCTTCACGGGGGAGTATGAGGTTTTGGCGAACAGCGAATTTCTCGACTTTGACGTAGAGATCACTCCGTGGAAAAATCCGCCAGGAGAGGATCCAGTGTGCGAAGGGGTGAATGTGTTGATTCCAAATGGGATCAGTTACTGGTATGTGAGAGAAACGAAGAAGCCGAAAAAAAGCCCATTCGGCTTGTTCGGGGGTAAGCTGAATGAAGAGCAGGATGGTTTAAAAGGAAAAATTCACTTGGCTCCCAACCTGACGGAAGACGCAAGTTCATCTCTGGCTGAAAGTGGAGGGATAGCGAGTCTCGGGGAACCGAAGGCAACTTCAACTGCTAAGGACTCGCTTAAGTCACGCTCTAGTGGCTCCGTGGCTGAAACTTTCTCGGAGGGACCAAACCCTGGCTCTTTCGATGATTACATGGGCCTCACAATCTCCAGTGGTGACGCGAACGTCCAGATTGTCCATATTCGTGGGCTCCTCAACCACATTGCTCTGCTCCCCGGGCTCTTTGATGACGTAGATTCTGGGTCTTTCCAAGACATCGAGTCGCTTGCGTCCGGAAAAACACCCCTGTTCACAGAGCGCCGCTGGTCCAACGCCGTGGGCTGTGCCCTCCAATACTCGTCATTTTACTGCATGAAGCTCGGAGCCGCCAACGACAAGGTCTTGGAGATGAAAAAGACCAAGGAGTACCAGGAAAAAGCAAAGGCGGAGGCAGAGGCGAAGGCAAAGGTTGACGCTGAGCGCATCAAGGAAGAAACTCGAATCAAGGAAATTGAGGAGGAGGAGCGAAAAGTGAAGCAGGCGTTGGAAATGGACGAGAAGAAAAAGGAAGAGCATCGCAAGGCTATGCACCAAGGGGAGAATAAGTAATCTCTCATGGTTGTTTCCAGGTTCTTTTTCCGCCGATGTTTCATGGGCAGCCATGACTGAATAGTTTTTCGCAGTGGGTATAAACCATTTTAATATTAAATATGTACGCTATCAGTTTTATTATAGACAAAAGAGTAAGCTTTAGCTTCCCATGTGTACTTTACAGATTCATTGTCTGCGTATGAACGTCGTGGGGATTTCGGATGGTGTATACATTAAAATGGCTGGATATCATAGATACAAAGAATTGGCGAAAAGAGAGCGGTGTCAACAAGAGAATCACGGTCTCTCAATTAATACAGTCCGGATAACATACGACTGCTGGTTATCCACGTGGAAGATCAATGTCTGAGATGTTCGGTACTATCGGATGCTTTGAATCTGTTTGGAGTACTCAGATCCGTTGCCTAAGCAGCACAGGTAATAAATACTTGGCCAGTGATTCTCGGTTACTATTTAGCCATAGGCTGACCAAACACAAAAATTCGTAGCCCGTTTAAATCTGTAAATTGGCAATCTCTAGACCCGTACGCTCAGAAGCGTGAGACAACTTTTCAACATCTAACGTGGTATGGAGCTTCAAGAGATATTACCTCATAGCTTGAAATACTATCGCGACTCCTTAAACTTTCTCTAAATTATGTATGCCAAGGGACTAGACGGCACTCTAAACCGCTGATCGTAGTGACCAGTGGTTCACTCATGAATCACGTTTCAGATATCGGTAGAGCCATTGCAGACAGATTAGAACCGTGAACATGCGCGACTGCAGCTCTCGAACTCCGATATTCCTTGACAAGCATCATCTTACGCGCAGGTCGTTTCTTTTTTGAGATTCACTATTGTCTAAGAATAGATTTATGCATCTGCGCGTCGCAAGTCGCAGCTGCATGTAGACAGCCCGCACGTTTTGAAAAATTAACTAGTGTTAACTTTATCTTTATCAGACACTAGAACGCGACTGGGCCTCGGTTCATAACTAAGGCATAAAGGGCCTACCGTATACGGTTATTGCACCATGTACGTGTTCTTGGGCTCAGATTACGCAGCAATCACCCGGCCTTCGCTCAATATGAGAGTGCCCATTTCACCGCATCGCTACTTCACGGAGTTACTAGCAATTTAATTTATTATCACGCTTTAAACTTTGTAGCCCATTTGTCCAAAGTTCCAGTTACATAATTCACCTCCGGTTCTTTCATTTTTTCATCAGGTTAAACCCCGTGGCAGCTCCGTTATCCATGCTAAAATTCCACCTAATAATGAAGGCCCTTCCTAAGCCGATTCTCGTGGTTGCGGTAGCTTCCTTTGCGATTTGTTTTGTCATGTACCACCTCACCTTCATGGAACTGGGCACGATTGTAAAACAAACACCATTATCAAGTCACCACGCAGGCCACTACACGGAGTCTCCTAGCTGGCTATGGCGTCCATTACCCGAAGAACGCAAGACATCACCTGTGGGCCAGTACATTCTCAACGCAAAATACAAACCTCTCTCCTTCAACTCCTTCACAGGCAATACCTCATATGCATCTAGTGAAGACGAGTTTGCCGAGAAAAACTCGTGTGAGCCGTTCTTAGTTCAGGCAAACATCTCGGTTACCAAAGCTGAAACCCTCCGTCTTTCGTTTGCGCAAATTGAAAAGGCCGTACTAAAAACTAAGTACAAGGATATAATCAAGTACCCCGATGAGGATAATAACCCCGCCGAACGGTTGAAAAAGCACTGGCACTACTTTTCCGGGGCATCTGTCTGGTTGCAAGATTACGGTGTTCATTACTATACGACCCGGGTGATCTTCTCTCCCAATGGCGGAGGCAAACACGATGGCTCTATTTCTTTCGTCTACAACCAAGTATTTGACGCTAGCTGGCGTGAAATCACTGATGGGGAGTTAGAACTTCCGGAACATATCTGGAAAGACGTTCCTGGGGCCAGAAAGACGCTCAACTTCCCGCTGGTAGTACCGGTGCCGATTGTCTACGATAAGGGAAAAATGTATATGGGACCCGAGGACCCGCGAATTCTCACCCGACGCAACCCTTCCGGGTTCGATGAGCCCATGATTGTGTTCAACATGATGGTGTGGGGCGAAGACACCAAGCGCGGTATGCACGCCTACTTCCCCTTTACGGATACGCTAGTGAAGTTTGTGGTGACCGGTTTCGACCGCTTGGAGAAGGAAAAGAATTGGACACCGTTCTTTAACCCCCAGGAGCCTCATGATGCCACCGTTGAGTTCATCTACAATGTCAATCCCTTGGAGATTCTCCGGTGCGACTTAGTCCACGGCTGGTGCCATTTTATCCATGGAATGGGCAAGCTTGACGAGATGCTGGTGCTGGATATCTCGTCTCTCAAGGAAATTCCTGTCTCCAAGATGAGGGGAGGGACAACTCTCTGGCCATTGCCTGCGGTGCTTCAGACGAAGCTTCCCGCGAACAAGAGGCTCTGGGTGGGGTTTGCGAGGGCCCATTTACAGAACTGCGGCTGCGGTGGTGACACCTACCGGCCCAATTTCCTTGTGATGCAGCATAACACCGTTACTGGAGAGTATGAGATATTGATCAACGGGGAATTTCTGAACCTTAACATGGCTGTAAGTCCGTGGAACCCCGGATCGGAGGATTTGTGCTCGGGAATAAGCGTTTTGATTCCGAATGGAATCAGTTACTGGCATGTCCAGGAAAGCAAAGATGGATATAACGACTACATGGGTTTGACTCTTTCCAGCGCTGATGAAAACGTCCAGATTTTACATATCCGGGGGCTTCTTGACCACATTGCATCGATTCCAGGTTTGTTTGACAAAGCGGAGGGAAAAATAGAAGAAAGAGCAGAGAAACCTGCGCCGAAATACTCCAATGGTGTTTCGTGTGCTTTGGAATACTCGCGCAAGGTCTGCAAGGAGTACGGGAAGCACCAGAAAGAAATCAAGGATGCGAAGGAGAAGCTCTAGATGAGAAAGTAGCCAGGCCGCGGCTTGAATTTCTATAAACTGAATAGAGAATACTAGTACTAGAATTAAGTGTCGGTACTATCATAACCAATCTTAGATCCATTGTAGCGTATGTGCGGTGCCCATAGATCTCTGAGAACTGCGGATGATATCGATTTATCTGTATAAATGCCAAACGTGCTGTATGGATGCCATTTAATACTGCAAACGTCGCCGGCAGATATTCTCCGATCGAACAATATTCTGTGCAACAACCTCTTGTATGGCATTTCGGTATCCTATCTCCGTCAAGCCGGGAGCGGCATTGTTATCCAGTCATGGCAGTGCCGCTCCCGGCCCTCTATATAAAGACCCCGACTCCTCTATATAAGGACCCCAACTCCTCCATATAAAGGCCCGGATTTCTCTGCTTATATCTTATCTACAAACTAAACTCTCTCTCTTAGCTGGTATTTGGTAATATCGGAATATCACGCAAAACCTCACCAGATAGTGATCTTGTCCCTCCACGCGATGCAACTCCGGGGTATGTGTGCTCCACAAATCCGATGTAGAGCTAGCATGGTACACCCGGTCTGGGGGCTGTGACGTGCGTTAACCAGTTGGAAATTCCCCCCCTGCCATTGGCCCCCGAAAACCAATTCTCCGGGCTCGCTCATATTCCGGGGCACCTAACTAGCTGCCGAAAAACCCGCTGCAAAACTCTGCGCTTCGCTTTAGGCCTATATCAAAACGTTCTCTTTCTGTTGTTTAGCCGCCCTCTTCTCCCCCCTCCCTTCTCCACACATCTCAACATGCTTTCTTTGCGTCGTTCTGCTTTAACCTCTAAGAAGCAATTGGCCCGTGGCTTCAGCTCCACTGTGGCCCGTTTGCAAACCATCGGTGACATCGATGGTGCCAAGGCTGCCTCCCTCCTTGGTGAGAACTACCACATCGTCGACCACGAGTACGACTGTGTGGTTGTCGGTGCCGGTGGTGCCGGTTTGCGTGCCGCCTTCGGTCTTGCTGAAGCTGGGTTCAAGACCGCCTGTATTTCCAAGTTGTTCCCAACCAGATCCCACACCGTTGCCGCCCAGGGTGGTATCAACGCTGCCTTAGGTAACATGCACAAGGACGACTGGCACTGGCACATGTACGATACCGTCAAGGGTTCTGATTGGTTGGGTGACCAGGACGCTATCCATTACATGACCAGAGAGGCCCCAGAGTCCATCATCGAGTTGGAACACTTCGGTCTTCCATTCTCCAGAACTGAGGAGGGTAAGATCTACCAGAGAGCTTTCGGTGGTCAATCTAAGGAGTACGGTAAGGGTGGCCAGGCCTACAGAACCTGCGCCGTCGCCGACAGAACCGGCCATGCCTTGTTGCATTCCTTGTACGGGCAGGCCTTGAGACACAACACTCACTTCTTTATCGAGTTCTTTGCCATGGACTTGTTGATGCATGAAGGTGAGTGTGTGGGTGTGATTGCCTACAACCAGGAAGATGGTACCTTGCACCGCTTCAGAGCCCACAAGACCATCTTGGCCACCGGTGGGTACGGGAGAGCCTACTTCTCCTGTACCTCCGCCCACACCTGTACCGGTGACGGGTACGCCATGGTTTCCCGTGCCGGCTTGCCATTGCAGGATTTGGAGTTTATCCAATTCCACCCATCCGGTATCTACGGTTCCGGCTGTTTGATTACCGAGGGTGCCAGAGGTGAGGGTGGGTTCTTGGTCAACTCCGAAGGTGAGCGTTTCATGGAAAGATACGCCCCAACCGCCAAGGACTTGGCCTCCAGAGACGTTGTTTCCAGATCTATCACTATCGAAATCAACGAGGGCAGAGGTGTTGGTCCGGAAAAGGATCACATGTTCTTGCAGTTATCTCACTTACCTCCAGCCGTGTTGGCGGAAAGATTGCCAGGTATCTCTGAGACCGCCGCCATTTTCGCCGGTGTCGATGTCACCAAGGAGCCAATCCCAATTTTGCCAACCGTCCACTACAACATGGGTGGTATCCCAACCAAGTGGACCGGTGAGGTTGTTAATGTCAACGAAAAGGGCGAAGACATTGTCGTCCCGGGTTTGATGGCCTGTGGTGAAGTTGCCTGTGTCTCTGTCCACGGTGCCAACAGATTGGGTGCCAACTCCTTGTTGGATTTAGTTGTCTTCGGTAGAGCCGTCGCCCACACCGTCACGGACACCTTGCAGCCAGGCTTGCCCCACAAGCAGGTTCCAGCTGACATCGGTAAGGAGTCCATTGCCAATTTGGACAGGATGAGAAACGCCACCGGCTCCAAGCCAACCGCCCAGATCAGATTGGCCATGCAGAAGACCATGCAGAAGAATGTTGCCGTCTTCAGACAGCAGGACACCTTGGACAACGGTGTTAGAGAGATTAACGCCGTCGACGAGACGTTTGAGCATGTTGGTACTACCGACAGATCCATGATCTGGAACTCCGATTTGGTTGAAACCTTGGAGTTGCAGAACTTGTTGACCTGTGCCACCCAGACCGCCGCTTCCGCCGCCAACAGAACCGAATCCAGAGGTGCCCACGCCAGAGAGGATTACCCGTCCAGAGACGATGTCGAATGGATGAAGCACACCTTGTCTTGGCAACAAAACACTGGTGATAAGGTTGACTTGAAATACAGAAAGGTTATCTCCACCACCTTGGATGAGAATGAGTGTAAGTCCGTGCCACCAGCCATCAGATCTTACTAAGGATCCGGTCCCATCACAACATTCACTTCATATCTAGACCCGACTTATGTACATGAGGGTCGCCTTTTTTCTTGTTATGTCTTGCACCCTGGTGCTCCCATATTATTTATTATATAACATCCAATTCTTGATAATGTTTGTAGGGAATATTTACGACGGTCATCTGGTTGTAACGAGCCGGATTTTAGGATATGTAAGAGGATTAACAGAACGGTTTCAAGATTTCAGTGTGTATATCTTGAGTTTTATCTTGGATTTTATTATTTGTTTTCCCTGAAACGCCCAGTGGGATAGCCGGTGGTTGCCAGAGCTTAGACCGCTATTTTTCAGATGTCATTCCTCTATGTTGGTACATAAAATAACCCCATTTAATAGCAATTTATTTTTCGGAAAAATGGAGATATCAATATAGCCTATCAAGTCATGGATTTCGGCTCTCAGATTCTCTCTATCTACATGACTCTTCCTGCAAGTTACAACCCAACCCTTCGCAAAACTTAGGCCCGTATTCGTTATGCGAGATAGTTGGAAACCCGGAGATATCGTATCACCGTTTTCTCACTAACTTAAACCAAGTACTAAACACATTATGATTCCTCTCAATATCCGACAATCTGAATTATATCCAACAATCTGAATCATATCTGGCAACCTGAATTATAATTTAACATTTGTTCAAGTACAATCTCAGTTAGCTATCCCCCTTTAGTTAGGTTAGATTAATTTACACACCACTAGATGTAGTCCTCGTCACTGTCGAAGTACTCGTCGTCCGACTCATCAACCAATTGCTCAAAGTTAACCTTGTATCTCAACAAGGCACCGACACCACCGAAGCCCTTGACGAACTGGGCACCCTCGGAGGATCTGTCGGTGACAAACTCGAGAGTGGCACCAAAGTTCTTGTAGTTCTCTGCGAGCCATTCCAACAATGGCTCTTCCTTGACAACCTCCATCTCACCGCCGGTGTACTTGTCCTCCAAGTACGCCTTGTCTGTGGCGTCTGGGCTGTGGAAAGCAACAACCTCGGTACCTTCAGAGTCCTTCAAGGTATATCTGATGGTGTTCAAGTTCTCGTAAACGATGATAATCTCGGCTGCACCCAAGTCCAACGCCTTCAAAGTATCGTCAATCCCGTAGCAGAACTTCCCAGTGTCTTGGGAAATCTCGTCAAAGTACTTCGTGATGAGCTTCTTCTCCTGGATGAACTTGACGTTGGAGAGAGTCTCGGCCGACAATTCGATTGCCTGGTTGAAACCGTTCTCTCCCCCGTACGACACATCCACCACCTTGATGATCTTGGCAACCAACCGGTTGTCGAACAACTCAGACTTTCCCAAATCAGTCTTGAAATCGGCGGACCCGGCCAAGATCAAACCAGCCACGTTCACCTTATCGGCGGTGATGAAGTTCTGGACGGCCGTCTCTGCAACCTTACGCACGTAGTTGTGTCTCTTTTCGTCTCTGAGACGCGCGAAACGTAACGCAGACTGACCACCTCTGCCGTGCTTCTTTGGCAAATCCACGGTGAACTTGTGCAAAACCTCTCTGGTGTTACCCGAAAGCGTACCGAAGAGCGCACCGTTACCATCCATGACGATGAACCCAAACTTGTCGTCGTTCTCCATCAACTCGGAAAGCGCTTCGGTGTGGAATTTGTTGTCACACAAGTAGAGCGAGGTGTTGATCGGCTTGAACGGCTCAAAGTCAATGGTCAACTTCTTTTCCTTGCCCTCCTCGGTGATGACTTCACCGCAGTAGATGATCAACCCGTTGGTCGGCACCTTGTTGTACAACTTCAACTTTTGCTGGGTGGAGGTGATTGCCGTGAGTACAGACAATCTGTTGACACGCGACTTGATGTTGGACGCGGTCCCGTATTCGTCCGTCAACATCTTCTGGTTTAGCGAGATCTGGCCCTTTGGCGGGATGATAAGCGAGATCATCGAGGTCCCGTTGCCTCGCACCATCTGCAACGACTTGATCAACTTCTTGACCTTCCAGATCTCAATGTTCTTCTCGGCTTCGATATCGGCTGGCGTGGACATGTTTTGTGGTGACGAGATGAACCTAAAAAGAAAGTCTGAGGTGTGTGGTTTGATAAAGACAGCGAGCGGTGGCACCTGCGTTGCCGTGGGTCAAAATTTTCAGAGTTTTTTCCTTTTTTGGGCGTGCGCCGACAGGCTGATGTAAGCAAAAATTACCAGGTTGGTGGGAAGCTGTGGGGATATTCCGGGAAATCCTTTAGTATCTAGGAGTATTTGCTTTAAATTATAAGGATCTTTGGTGAATATTTATCTCTGGACCTATCTTTGAGGTATGGGGTTATATTGCATAAGTCAGTGTTGCGTTATATTGATATTTATCTGCAAAATTATGAAAATGAAAATGGAAATGGAAATGGAAACGGAAATGAAAATCATGAGAATTATGAAAAGTAGGAAAACCATGAAAATCTCCCTTATTAACCGGAATAAAAAGCCTAAATATCAAGAATGGTAAATAGTACAGGAAACTGGTTATTTCCATTGCTTACCTTATCTATATACATGTGCCAAGATGAAGTGCCATATGACTAAGTGGTTTCGGCCTAAGCACGAGGTTTTATGGTTAAGTTACACCATCCGTCTATCATCCTAAACCAAATAAATGTTACTCTGAAATAAGATGAAAATAAGAGTGATTAATCTACGGCTATAATACTGACCATGCACAGGGCGTGAGAAAATCACTTTTAAAGCCTGCGTGTTTTTCCATCTGAAACTTTGAGGAATGTTACAGGTGGATGAAAAAGATGCTTTGCGCTAGAAAGTTTCAAAATCAAGGACCAGAGAGTGGAATAGTGAATCACACATTTTATGAGAAATACAAGGACAAAACAAAGACTAAGGGTCAAAAAATATAGGATGATTTCGCCCAGGATCGAACTGGGGACGTACTGCGTGTTAAGCAGGTGCCATAACCAACTAGACCACGAAACCATTCCATAACAATAAATAGCTTTGGCTTATCTACTCCACCAGGGGCTAGCCCTTTCCTCAACAGATTTCCCGTTCGTCTTCACCGCCGCACCAACCCCGCCTAATCTAGCGTGGCACACAATCTCGACATCCGGGTAACTTGCGGGTAAATCCCAGCCCGGCGCCACGCCGTTGTCTCACAGCGCACCGCAGCACGTGACGATAGCCTATCTCTTATCACGGCTTGCGCGAAAAATTTTCTCCAAATCTTATCGATACTGTCAACGCCAATCTGCTCCGGGGCGCTCATAATTTTTCACGATCCTCACCTCATTTTTCGCTGTCGGGATGTTTCCTCAAACCCCGCCGATACCTATACACGCAACCAGTATTGTATCAAAGCTTGAAATATTGTATTGAAATCTATTCCGTATACCAATATAAGATCGTTGCAGATATCCCCAGTTAGACAAAGCAACTAGCCTCATCGCTCCGATAGCCATCACAAACACATACGCAAGATTGTCAAGATCTAATTTCGATTAAATTTCGTATTATATGGCTCATACTTTCCCTGCGTCGCATCCTTTCTATTTCTCACCGTGCACGTTCAGCGTTACCCTATACAGTTTGCGTAACTTTTCACTATTCAATCGTTTGCCTAATTTCCATTTATCATAACATCAAAATTCACCATGTCCGAATCCGCCCCTGTCCAGACTGTGAAACAGGAAATGCCACCGCTGATGCCGGTTGCTGCATTTGACCTGCGTGCTTCGTCGCTGGCCGCACCGCTGTCCCCTGCCGTTGGCACGCCGGTGCACCCCAACGCCAAGTCCACCACCTCCACCCAGAACGGCACCACCACCACAAAGTCCAGCATCTCGCAGCCCGTGTGCCGAAACTGCAAGACCCAAACCACCCCTCTCTGGCGTCGTGACGAGACTGGCCAGGTCTTGTGCAACGCGTGTGGTCTCTTCCTCAAGCTCCACGGCCGTCCGAGACCGATCTCGCTCAAGACCGACGTTATCAAGTCGCGCAACCGTGTCAAAAATCCATCGAACCGCTCGTCGCCTAACACGCCCGAGCTCAAGGCGAAGGAGGCACCCGCTGCAAAGCCCCAGTCGAGCGCTGCACGGCCCGCAGCTGCACCCGGCAAGTTCTCGCCCAAGCAGTACAGACCAAAGCCGAAAGAGTCCTCGCCCGACGATGCCACACGCGTACACCCCGTACACGGCTCGCCATGGTTTGCACAAGCCCACCCTCACTTCCAGAGCCAACAGGTGCCGCTCGGCTACCCATCGTCTACGCCCGCGCAGTTCGCCCCAAACCTCAAGGCGATCACCTCGCCGTTGTTGCTTGCGTCGGCAGGGCCCCACTTCCAGCCCCTCCACGCGCAGCACTCGGCAACTAACGCGCTCGCGCACGTCGCCGCGGGCGCCTTGGAGAACTTGAACGGGAAAAATACGAATCAAACACCGTCCAGCGCCTTGCAGGCGATGATGGAGCCCCATACGGTGCTTCCGCACTTGGCAATGATGGGCTCCGCCCCGCCAAAGCTTCCAGCGTTGGTTGCGGCGGCATCGGTAGACACGGCCTCGTCGGTGGTGAGCTCACCGCTGTTTGGGCCTCAGTACTCATTGAACAACCTCTCAAGCTTCAGTCTCAACGGGCCAGTGCCTAGCCTTCCATCGTTAAAGCCGATGGTTGGGCGCAATGTTACCGCAACAACGATCCACCACCATCATGACGAACCGTCGTCGAACCAGTTGAGCTCGATCTTGGGAATTTCCCCCGCCGCACGTCCTAGTCTGGCCGCAGCCTTGCGCAGCGGTTCGGCTCTCCCTCCACCGCACAGCGCCTCTACCGACGACACAGTTCTGTTGCGTACACGCATCTCCGAGCTTGAGCTTGTAAATGACTTGTACAAGTCGCGGATTGCTGAGTTGGAGAGGTCCGAGCAACAAGCGCGGGCGAATGCAGAGCAGTTGCGTCAGCAGGTTGAAGAGTTGAAGGTGCCGACTGTGCTGACAGCGCCAAAGGTGTGGACAGAGTTCAGTGGGCCGATTGCCGGGGCGCTTCAGGATAATAGCCCGGCAAGCCCAGCGGCAGAGGTAAATAGCCCAGCGGCCGTGGCGACGCCTGAGGAGAAGATTCACAGATTAGGGGAGGCGGAAAGCGGTCAGTCGCCAAAGAGAGCCCGTGTGGAGGTGTAGTAACTGATTTAAAGGTTAAGGAATAAAAATGTACATTCAACTCGTCTCACAGAATCTGACGAGTTTTTAAATTTGTGGTATATTTAATGTAAAGTGGGGAAATCGGTAAATACTGTGTTATGTGTATATCTGGCTGGCACAGGTTAGAGGGGCGATTGTACTAGCCAGTCTGAGTCTTGTCTCAGTTGGTAGATATGTTTTTTTTTCAAACAGTCAATATTCTATGGCAGTTAATCGTAGGATAAGTCGGTATCCTAACGTCCTCAATCGATATCATTATATTACTATTTAATCTTGTCAACTCTAACCCTCGGTAGAACCTGTACTCTTCCTCCCTATCCCATCGATATAATGTATTAGAAAATGTGGAATGTGCATTTTTTCGATCAAAATATCTAAGGATAATGAAAAAAGGTTTCAAACATGTGTAAATCACACTACATATTAGCATACAATACCTCGTGTGGAATACCGATTGATCTCAAAGTTGTAGTAGCCGGCTGAGAGTCCCGTCGACCTATAAACTCACGTGACACACCACGTGCCTCTGCAGCGATGAGGAGGATTTTTTTTTCACCATGCATGAAAAGTGAAAAATTTCTACATAATAAACCTCCTTCTTACCTTCCGACACTTTCTCATTATAGCAATACAATGGGTATCACTAACAAGAACAAGCGTTCCGCGCCAGAGCCGGCTGCTTCCAAGAAGGCCAAGACCAATGCCAAGCAGGCCAAGAAGGTTGAGTCTGAATCTGAGGCCGACTCCGAAGACTTGGACATTTCCGACTCCGAAGACTTGGACATTTCTGACGACGAATTGGATACTCCAACCGCTGATTCCGATGATGACTTGGACGAGTTGGACAACACCTCTGTCACCCAGAACGGCAAAGATGAAGAGAACTCTGACCTCTCGGCGGACGAAGATCAGACCGAAAGCGGCGAGGCTAAGCCGGTGGACCCTAACAAGAAGTCGTCCAAGGAAGCACACGCCGAGCAGCGCAAGATGCTTTCAGAAAGAAAGATGCAGAGAAAGGCCGGTGTGGAGGTCCAGCAGGTGAAGCTTCTCTGGGAGAAGTTGAGAATCAGAAAGCCAACCCCGCCAAAGGAGGTGAGAGATAAATTGTGCGACGAGATCTGGGAGCTCGCCTCTGAGGTTATCAAGGATTTAGTGATGAAGCACGATGCATCTAGAGTGGTGCAGACCTTGGTCAAGTACTCCTCGAAAGAAAGAAGAGACACCATCGTAGCGTCTTTGAGAGGCAACTTCTACGAGTTGGCCACTTCCGCGTACGGTAAGTACTTGTTAATCAAATTATTGCACTACGGCTCCAAGGAGTCACGTGAGATGATCTTGGACGAGTTGCATGGCAAGCTCAGAAGATTGATGAGACATAGAGAGGGTGCGTACGTGGTGGAGGACTTGTACACTTTATACGCTACCGTTGAGCAGAAGCACCAGATGATTAGAGAGTTCTGGGGTTCTGAATACGCCTTGTTCAAAGAGGCCGGTCAGGATAAGGACATTATTGCCGTCTGCGCCGAATCCACCGAAAAGAGAACCTTGATTGCGAAAAACTTGGTCGGGACCATCTCCGCCTCCGTGGAGAAGGGCTCCACTGGCTTCCAGATCTTGCATGCAGCCATGAGAGAGTACGTCCAGATCTTCGAGGGCAAAGAGGTTTCCGAGTTTATCGAGTTGTTGGCTGAGCAGTTTGCCGAATTGGTCCATACCCCCGAAGGCTGTGAGGTTGCCTGCACATTAATTGCGCGTGCCAACGCCAAGGAGAGAAAGACCATTATCAGAAGCTTAAAGTCGCACGCGCTCAAGTTGATCAAGAACGAGCACGGTAACATGGTCTTGACCGTTTTGATGATGTGTGTAGATGACACTGTTTTGGTCGGTAAGACCTTCACCGCGGAATTTGCCGAGGAAATGCACAACTTGGTCAAGGACAAGTTCTCCAGACGTCCGTTCTTGTACTTGTTGAATGGCTTGGACCCAAGATTCTTCTCGCCAACTGCCAAGAAGGACTTGCTCAAGTACCAGGAAATCTCGCTCGAGACCTCCAAGAAGCCCCAGAACCAGAGACGAGGCGAAGTCTTGAAAATCTTTACCCCAGCGTTCCTCGACGCGATCAACGAACACTTGGTTGACGTTTTGGCCGAAAACATGGGTGCCCAGTTCATTACCGAGTTGGTGTTGAAGGCGCCGGCGGACGAAGATCCCGAGGTTGCCATGAAGAAGAGCTCGTTGTTGGAAAATATTATCGGCTTGTTTAGAGGCGACGTATTGGAGGAGTTCCACATCATCAACAAACCGTTCTCTACCAGATTGTTGAAGACCTTGATCCAGGGAGGAGCCTGGAACAACGCCACCAAGCAGATTGAGGTGTCGGAGGTTGCCGGGATCGGTGCCGAGTTTGCCACTGCGTTGTTGGAATCCATCGAAGGCCAGCACAAGGTCGTGCCATGGTTGCAATCCCCAGGTTCATTCGTCATTGTGTCGATCTATGAGTCTTTGGAGAAGAATGACAAGAAAAAGTTCAAGGAGTTCTCCAAGACTTTGCAGAAGGTCAAGAAGGAGATCCAGGAGGCTGCCATGGATGATAACAAGGGTGCGAAGTTGTTGTTGACATTGTTGGAGAAATAAGAAAGGATTCTGCGCGGCAGTTTGTTTTCTTTCATTTAAATTTGTAATATATTCACTTTAGTTTGTGGCGTAAAACTGCGCAACGATTGCGTGATGAAAGGTTTGGGAAATAGGACATCCAGTCATACGAGAGAAAATATGGTTAAATGAGTGGTGGGGGAAACGAGGCCTGAGATGGGGTTCAGGATATGAGGCCTTCTTGAGCAATACTAAGCTGAGTTAGTTCAAAGTTCAATCTTTGAGGTTTATAGGTTGCATTTTTTTTTTTTGTTGGAGAATGGAAACGGTCTCATTTTACACGTATATAGATTGACTAATGTCTACGTATCTGAACGGCCTTTCTTATGGTAGACAGATTCTTGCCTTTCAATGACAAGCTCCGGCCTGTCGCTAGCAAAACGCCTAGTGCTTGTGATCCCTGAGCCTGCCTCTGTACGAGAACTACAGTCTACCAGAAAGCATTTTCTATACGATATTCGCATTTTTACCTAGGTCATTGTTCATTCCAATGATATTCAGTACTACGATCTTTTACAAAGAATTAGCCCAAATCTTTCCACCCCGGCTACATTCGTTCACAGGGCGTGCGCAGCCCGCAAAAATATTTTTGCGATGCCCTCTATATCTCTGGCGCTTGATTTGGCTGTCTTGCTCATCCTCATTCCCCACGCGATGTTTATTTTATCCAACGTGACAGACTTGGTACGGATCCCGCCACACACATTTGGTCGCCCCGTGAAGGAGTCCGTGACGACGGAGCTCAACAAGAAATACGCCAACAAGATCATCAATAACTTGGGGCTTGTGGTGACGATATGGGACTTGCTTGAGGTTGATGACGGGTTGTTGAAGCCGGGTGACGGAGCCACTTTTATAAACGTTCGGTTCCGCTGCGTTGTGTGGAAGCCATTTGTGGGCGAGGTCTTGACTGGCTGGATCGCTAACTGCACGCCCGAAGGGATCAAGGTGAAGTTGGAGTTTTACGACGAGATTTTCATCCCTGCAAACTACTTGTTTGAGGGCTGTGAGTATTCTCCCGAAGACCTGGCCTGGGTTTGGCGACCAGATGCTGACACAAACTTGTATCTCGATGTGAATGAAAAGATCAGATTCAGAGTGGAGGAGGAGATATTTGCAAACATCAAGCCGAAGGGCCCGGCGGGGCTGGACGAGGAGGAGAAGAACGTGACCCCACCGTACGCGTTGCTAGCGAGCTGTCAGACCGACGGAATGGGCTGTGTTTCATGGTGGGAATAAGTAAGTGTATTGTATATTAAGGTCGAATGGATTGTGTAAATGAACATGACAAGTTAGCAATAGGACAGGCCGAAAGATAAAGATTTGATAGGGTGGGGTTGGTGAGGGTAAAACAGTAGAGTCATAATGAGGGCTTTGTTCTGAGCGATAGATTTTTTTTCTCTCTCTCGATGAAACGTTTGAAGAGAGGCATATATGATTCCAAGATTTCAACTAGGAACCTTCTTACCAACGCTGAGTCTAAGTATATAAACGTACTTTGGAAAATATTATGACTCTTCACCAATTGCGTATACTTTAAAACTCTGGCTCATTTTGGTCACTCAGAGACCATTGCGCCCTGGAGTTTGCTGCTTGGTATATCCCTATACATGTACTTGTAAGGACCAGCAGTTATGTTTATCCTGGAGGCCATCGGATATATTGAAGCATAAAAATTCCTATCCAATGTAAATTCAGCATTCTTAGATTAAAGAATAAATCGGAGCAAACTCAATTAGGGAATGTAACCAATAATAAAAGTCAGGGTCTGCCAAACGTATACAGCCAAGCAATCCTCAGAAAATATCCAAGTTAATGACATATCCCACGGAAACGGGATATTAAATAAAAAAATAATTTATAACTCAGTGTAACCAACTCTGTATAGAATCACAACCTCATACTGCCTGCGGCGGTGTTGTGGTGGCGTGGTCGTGCGCTACCAACCGGGTAACCGACGGAGGCAAACACTCCATTAAAATGAGCATCAAAACGAGACACCCAGTGCTTATCTCCTCGCCATACCGAATTCATACACACAATGGCACCAAAAGCAGATTGGGAAAAACACAAGAAGTCGGTTGAAGATGAAGACAAGCCTGAAGAAAAGATCGTGCCGTTGAGCGAAGGCGACATCCAGGTACTCAAGACGTACGGCGCCGCCCCCTACGGCGCGCTGTTGAAGCAGATCGAACAGGACTTGGCCGCAATTGAGACACGGATCAAGGAGAAGATCGGCGTCAAGGAGTCCGACACGGGCTTATCCGCGCCACATCTCTGGGACGTGATGGCGGACAAGCAGCGAATGAGCGAGGAGCAGCCGTTGCAGGTGGCGAGATGCACCAAGATCATAGAGTCGTCCAACCCGAACCCAAACGTGGGTCCGCTCGCAAATGCCGATGACAAGTCAAAGTACGTGATTAACCTCAAGCAGATTGCAAAGTTTGTGGTCGGCTTGGGTGAGCGCGTCTCCCCCACGGATATCGAAGAAGGGATGCGGGTGGGGGTTGACAGAACCAAGTACGAGATCCAATTGCCATTGCCACCGCGAATCGACCCGTCTGTGACCATGATGACGGTGGAGGAAAAGCCAGATGTGACGTACAGCGACGTCGGTGGCTGCAAGGAGCAGATCGAAAAGTTGAGAGAGGTCGTGGAGTTGCCATTGTTGTCACCAGAGCGCTTTGTCAAGTTGGGGATCGACCCACCGAAGGGGATCTTGTTGTACGGGCCGCCTGGGACGGGTAAGACGTTGTGTGCGCGTGCCGTTGCGAACAGAACGGATGCCACGTTCATCAGGGTGATTGGGTCTGAGTTGGTCCAGAAGTACGTCGGTGAGGGTGCCAGAATGGTCAGAGAGTTGTTTGAAATGGCCAGAACCAAGAAGGCGTGCATCATCTTTTTCGATGAGGTGGATGCCATCGGTGGGGCCAGATTTGATGACGGTGCAGGCGGTGACAACGAGGTCCAGAGAACCATGTTGGAGTTGATCACGCAGTTGGATGGGTTCGACCCGCGTGGTAACATCAAGGTGATGTTTGCCACCAACAGACCGAACACGCTTGACCCGGCGTTGTTGAGACCGGGCAGAATCGACAGAAAGGTGGAGTTCTCGTTGCCGGACCTTGAGGGTCGTGCCAATATCTTCAGAATCCATTCAAAGACCATGTCGTGCGAGAAAGACGTCAGATGGGAGTTAATCTCGAGGTTGTGTCCGAACTCGACCGGGGCCGAGTTGAGATCTGTATGCACGGAGGCCGGGATGTTTGCGATTAGAGCGAGAAGAAAGGTGGCAACCGAGAAGGACTTTTTAAAGGCCGTTGAGAAGGTGATCAAGGGGAACTCGAAGTTTAGTTCCACGAGCACGTACATGCAGTATAACTAAACGAAAGTTGAGCAAAAGTTGAGCAAAAGTCGAGCAAAAGTCGAGCAGAGCGAGACTCGAGACCTGATAACTTGGTTGACCGAAAGAGTGAAAATAACTGGTAGATGAATAAATGTTTCAAATCGAGACGAAAGTCGAGCGGATATAGTGTAAGGGTAAGCAGGGTAGCTTGTAAATTTATTGTAGACTAGAAGGACATGACATTAACCAAAGAACATTGCAAGTGATTGTAATGCCAGAAAATACCAATGACACCAGAAGCTGGTACATCTGGTATAATCGAGTTGCTATAATCTCTAGTTATTTTCATCTGTTGCATATTACTGAGCTTTCGCCTGATTATCCGTGCAAACATACAACTTGCAGTTGTAATATCAAAGCTGTTTTCCTCGTGAGCGTCTTCCTCAATTTCCTTCCATATTTCCTCTGTAGGGTCATTCTACAACACACCTCCCAGCCTCAACTCTACTCAGCTATCATTAATCCTATTCATTTTCGGCCATATCTACATCACCACCACTTCGAGCAACTTTCCACAGTCAAAACCCTCACCCGAAGCAATATCTATAATCCGTACACCCTCGAGGTTAAAGATTCCCCGTTCGATCGCTATCAACTCCACTGTCGTTTCGTATACCGCTCCCGGGTCCAAGGGTCCGATCTTGATGTCATTGGCGAGAGGAAGAATGCCTTGGGGAACGAGCTTGATGGCGTTGTACATCTTCTGCAACGCGGGCGCCGGGTACGCAGCAAAATCCAGCCCGGGCAACCTAGGCTGCGACTTCTCAAACATGTCACGCGCCTGGATATACAACGAGAGGTTGAGCCGGTTGGGCGACTTGTTAATTGCCTGGACTTTCCAGCGGAACACCTCGCCGATTCTGACGTCCGTCTGACCTGAAAACGTAATCACCAAACCCGCAAGCAGCGGGTTGCCGGATCTGGGGATGGCCACGTTCAAGGACGAGGAGCTGAGCCGGAGCGGCTTCTGGAGGTCCGAGCTCGACCGGAGACGGTTCTTGCGGCTAGTGGCGAGCCTCGGGGGTTTTTTTGCGGCGGGAGGCGTGATACCAAAATCTACATTAGTGGCCCAGGAAGTGACAATTTCACTGCCAAAGGTGGCATGCACCGAGCTGGAGAACGGATCAAAGCTTCGGGCGATGGAGGTGATTTTGATGCAGATGGGTTTCACAGACCCGCTGGAGTCGTGGTGGAGCTTGTACGTGAAGTTGAGGATATCGCTCGGCAAGAAACTGACAGGGTACGTAAAACCGCCTGGGAGAAACTCCTCAAGTCGTCCGTCGGTGAAAGTAGTTTCCACGTTTAAAATGTCCAACGCCACGCCAATTTTCATGAGCTCCTTCGACGACTCTAGCTCGAGCGTAGAGAAGAGGACGTTGTCTCTGCCCACCGATTTGGTGCTCTTCAACCGCATGATGAGCGCGGGATACACCGGAAGCTTGACTGAAGCGGTGAGAGTCGACTCGGTGGCGGTCTGTTGCTCGAGTGTCACGTCGTCTGGAAGTGCTGTGAGCACCTGGGGCCTGGAAAAGGAAACCAACTTGGAGGCACGGCGCTTGTCCAAGATCAGGAACTGGAGGTCCGACAAGATGTTGCTACTGTTGATATCGCTCACATCGTGTGCGCCTGCGCGCACGCCCGCACTCGCACCGGGCGCGTTGCGGAGTGTTAAAACTATCGATGCAAAAACCTGTGGCGACGCAACCTTCTTCTTTGGATAGAGAATCGGTAACGCAAACTTCCAAACAGTAGCAAATGACGTCTTTCCTTTGAGGTTCACTTCGGAGGAGAACAAGAGATCCGTCTTTGTGAGCTCAATACTTTTGATGTGGAACTCGGGATTGTGGGTCTGGGCGCTATCCGGGATAACGGCTAGGTCAATATAAATTGAGGCATCAGCCACATGGTTGCCGAAACCCATCACCTCGTCAGTGAGGTGGAGATACCCGGTGATGGTTTCATCTAGAGGTTAGTGCGTGCGGAGGACAGGTGGCGGGATACTTACCGAAAAAGGTGACCTTTCGTGAAGGTGAACTCTGTAATTGCTCGAGAAACGCAGTGGGTATTAGCGTTTCGTCTAGCCCGTTTAGCGGGAGGTGGATCTGCAAATCCATGGTTGGGGAAAAGAAGGATGTGGTCAAGGTGTGAAACGTAAAATAGCCTTCTTGATCAATCCTGCATTGACGCTTCGGGAAACAATGTTAGCCAGACGAGAGATTTTTATCGTGAATTCGATCCTCCCTGAGGTCAGTTATGATGTTGGAAAGACTAGACTAGGTTATTTTATTATTAATGTTGAGTGTCTAGTCCATATATCTTTACGGAGATCTCCAATGCACGCGCTACTTCTGAAACTCGCCCGAATGATGAGATTAAATTACTAATTACGCACAAGTGCACGGGCAACATTGCGTAGTTTGCAAATATACATGTTATAATTAACTAGTAAATTTAATCATTTTATAATAATAATATACCTATCAGTAAGGGAGCTTATTCGTATTAGTATAAGTTTAAATGATATATTTATATATGTAAATCAGATATGCATAATATAGACTATAATTCTATAATTGAAAATATGCTCACGTTATATTCGAACTTTACTATATCTTTACATTTGCAATATATATCTGAATATTACATTTCAATATATAGCAGAACTGGACTCAGTTAAAAAGATAGGTAATCTGGGTCACCCTCACACGTGTGTACAGATCTGCGGGCAAAATTCAAATTACTCCCATTCTGCACAACCGATCAGCTCCTAGGTCGTTTTATTTTAACCAGAGATTTCGTGGCCAAGTTGGCTAAGGCGTGTGACTGTTAATCACAAGATCGTGAGTTCGACCCTCACCGAGATCGGGTATTTTTTTCCGGCACGCGATTTACGCGTCAGGCATAAAAAAAGACGCGTATAAGGTTGCCATCAAAACAGAGGACAGTTCTTGCTGCCAGTACCCTTTGCTTTTTTTGCAATGACCGAAGCCAAGATCCGAGAGCTCAAAGACCTTTTCCCCTCCATTGATGACACATTTCTCCTCGAAATTCTTCTCTCCTGCGATGGCTCCTTAAACCAAGCCGTCTTGCTTCTCAACGAATCCGTGGCCCAGGACCTAGAGGCAAACACTATAGACGAGAAACCGGCGCAGACAAAACGGCGAAAGCTAAAAAGCTCGGTTTACCAATCGTCACTTTCGCTGTTTATGAGTCCCAGTCAGACCGCCGCTTTGCCGAGCAAAAACCCGGAACCCCCAAATGGAAATACCAAACCCGATGTCCAGAAAGCACCTGGAAAAACCAAAACCATCCATTTATGCACAGAAGAAGCTATTGAGACTAAACTTTCACCCTATATTTCGTTCCACAGGAACTTCCTTCCCCCAGATCTTGCTGAGCGGCTTCTTTTCTTTCTCAACAAAAATGAGGCCTACTCCAACCGAAGGTTCTACCTCTTTGGCCAGAAATGTATGTCAAATCATGACAATGTAATGTTTGGAAGTAGTAACGATGGGGTAACGGAAAAGGCGGAGATTATCTATAACGGCCGCTCGGTATCGAATAATATCCAGCCGTACAACGACGATTTGAGCATTCTCCAGGTGTTGGTGGAAGATTTTATCAACCGGGAGATTGAAAAGCAGATTGAAGAGCACACATTGACGCCCTTCCAGCTGTTGCAATGGCGCGGCGACATCTGTAATGTCAACAGGTACCAAACCAAGGAAAACAACCTTGACTGGCATTCGGACAGACTCTCGTACATCGGTCCCCACAACTTTATCGCATCCATGTCCCTAGGGGCCACGCGCCACTTCAAAATCAGACGGCAGTACCCCGTCAAACAGAATCCTAATCCGATCTATTCCATCCCCCTTCCCCACAACACGTTATTGCTCATGCGGCCTGGGTGCCAGGAGGAGTTTAAGCATTGTATAATGGGGTCGAAGCAGCCAATAGACCTCTACCCAGACCCCAAGATCGGGGAAACACGGATCAACGTCACCATGCGGTACTACCGGGATGATTTAGTAAACTATCGGCCCAAGTGTGACTGCGGGATAAACATGGTGTTGCGGCGGTCATACAAGGATGTAAAGTTACGTGGCCGCTACTTCTGGTCGTGCGAAGCAGGTTATGCCAAGATTGAGGGAGGGTGCAAGAAGTTTTACTGGGCCAAGTTCCATGATAATAGCAAAGGCGAGATGGAAGAGGATCTGATGGTGTTCTACACGGAAAAGGCGGATGAGTGCTCGATATGGGTGGCGGATGAGGATTCAGAGAAAAAGCAGTACCTTCAGGAGACGGAAAATAACCTGGGGGATACGCGTACTCCATGTAGGGATTCCCCTGTGATGTAGAAGTGGGCACAATCTGGGAGGGTCGAAAACATGAACAAAATGTCAGTAAGATCCAGGCCTGCATAATGTTTTATGAGATTTATTTATATAAGGTTTGAATATAAAACTTAGACTCGAAGAATTCCAATCGATACAGCATTTATTATACAGAGTTTACATAAGAATTTATAAATTCTGCATTCAAGCGATTCAATACTCTTTCTCAACCTTCACCAAGCTCTATCAAGCTTCGTTCCTCATGGCCCAATGGTCACGGCGTCTGGCTACGATTTGTAACCACTTCTGGAACCAGAAGATTCCAGGTTCGACTCCTGGTGGGGAAGCTTTTCTTTTTTTTTTAGCCATTCAACACAGGGGCTTCTTTTGAATCACCCCAATCTTCATATTCCAGAATGCCTTAGCTACAGCCGCAAATTTTCACCTATATTCTCTCCCGGCAAGCTTCACATTGCTGCTAATCTGGGGCAGAGGTGCGGTGGGAGACATTCCTGCACCGTACGAAACGGGCCATCCCCCGGTGGGCTAATTTGACAAAATATTCATAGCATAGTTTAATACCATCCCGATTGCTTTCTCCCGATATTCAAATAGATATACTGTCTTGGTATTTAAATACTACATGGTTCGGCCTTGTGTTATATTTTATGTCTTTGGTCTTGTGTAACAGCATAATCTTTCCTCCCCTTCGATGATAAATTGGCTGGTTACTGAACAGACCGACCTTCCGTGTGTCTTAGCCAGGAGGAACGTTGTGAGTGCGTCCACTCAAGTCATGCCTGTTTTTGATAAGATAAACACCACTATCCACCGGTTGTTAGTACTATCACAGTGAAACCACCCAGTTACGCTTGTGTACCTCTACACAACCACAATGAAAGTATGTTGTCGGTAGTTTCGCCCAGTCTGCCACTCTGATGGATATCAGCCATCTCTCTTGGGATGGTGGTTTCCGCGAACCGTCCCAAACCCAATGGATTTTATGGCCCTATTTCAGTACTAACCCGCAGTTTATCGACGAATTCGATATTGAATTGGTCAACCAGGCGTTGACCTTCGACACCTCTGACGCCTCCATCAAGGGCGGCTGCGACCTCTTCACCACCAAATCGGTAGGCAAGGACAAGAAATTTTACAAGTCCTTAGAGAAACACTTGGACCAGATGCTCCAGGACAACAATACGAACGAGGTGTTGGCGCGCTCCATTGCGGATGCTGGCGCGGGGTTGTCGCTGTCGCCACCGCGTCTCTGGGAAGAATTGCAACAGCGTATGAGACGGCGCTCGTCGGTGGCAGGGCCAATATACCAGAGACCAGTCTTCAAACCAACGCCTCACACCAAGGGACGGTCTTATTCGACTGGAAAGGAAAATGGAAGGGAAAATAACGGTGCCAATGGGCATGCCAATGGAAAGGACAGTACCCCGTACGTTTCTCCCCCAAAATCGTTCACAAATTTGGATATTGAAACGATTTCTGAGCACCGCCGGTCACGCAGAGGGAGCAACCAGAGCAACTATGATCCGTTTGAGAACTTTGAGTTTGACCCGTTGAATGACCCGTTGTCAAGAAAAATCTACTGCTACGTGATTGCCATTCTCAACGCGCTGTATCCGGACCACGACTTTTCCGAGTTAGAACCCTCCACCTTATCGGTGGTGCTGCTTGATGAAATTATTGCTAATATCAACTCCATTCTCATTACAAACCCCAATGCCTCGAACATCTCTACCGATGCTGGATTGAACCCAAACAACCTCTCATCTCTGGGCTCGTCCAAGTCCTGGATGTGGGAGATTGTCAATTCCCACATGGACTTTGAAGACTGTCTCTGTCTCAAGTTTGGCCCGGACGACCAATCTTTCCTCGTGGACGACGATTTACAGTCCTCTGCCTCTTCCCCGGAGCGGGCCGAAACACCCATGACCGTTAACGTACAACCCCAAGTGGACGATCTGATGGAGATGGACATGGAAATGGACGACGCATACGGGGAGACGCCGCAGGATATCGCCGCGGAGAGTGCGATTATCGATGACTTGTACGACGGGCTGAATATTTTGTGGTCAATGTTCTATTTTATCTACAACAAGAAGCGGAAGAGGGTGGCGTTTGTGTATATTAATTCGCGGACATCATAGGGGACGCTGCGAGTGAAGCAGCAAAACGCGAGCAAAGCGATCTGAAGAGCTGTTTGGCTAGTCAAAGAGCCAACCAATGAGCTACTTGGCTCATTGGCGACTTAACCAAGTGGGGCTCCTACTGAAGCTCCAACAAGAGTTTGGCAATGTATAGTAGTGTGTCTGGGACCACGTTTTTGTATTTATTGTTTCTAGTGTTTTCAAGATCTTGATCTTTTCACTCTCCCTTTGACCTATATCTCGCTTGAGAAAACAGCTTGAGAAAACAGCTTGAGAAAACACAGCTTGAGATGGAGCAAGTGGAGGGTAGTACATTGGAATATCAAAGGGTGTCCTATGATCAATACCAACCATACGCCGGAGATTTGGCGCACCGGAGATCAATTCACTGTGAATTATAACCAATGCATTTGTATAAGAGACCTACTCAGTGGCCGTTACAAGTTGGATGACAACGAACGGAAACCGTAGTATCGCACAAGCCATGGAATGGGATTCCAACCCCAAAAGTAAATAGCAATTGGTGATTTGACGATGATATAGGCTAGATCCTAGCATACCCTTTGTGGATGAAACACCGGCCAAACCACCACCCAGCACCTGCCGCCATCAATCCCAACCCCGCATAGTTCCACACCATCCAAGGGTCTCGTACCAAACCGGAGAGCCCAAGTACCACCCCCATCATGCTCCCACCCGCGGTTGTCACAAGATACAAGCTCATAATAAACGACTTCATCAGCTCCGGGGCGTTCTTGTATGCATACTCGAGCCCGGTGATTGACGCAAAGATTTCGGAGAGCGCGATGAACACGTACGATGGGGCCTGCCATGCGATATGGATCTCCTCTTTCGAGCCGTATATGAAGTGTTGGAGGAGTGACGCATAGAACATGGCCAGGGCCGCGAGGAAGAAACCGATGCGGATCCGGCTGAGATCAGACAAGACCACACCATGGTGGATGCGGACATACGAGAGAAGCCGCTCAACGAGGGGGATGGCGATGAGTAGCGTAATGGGATCAATATTCTGCATGATATCGTTGGGAATGCCGTGTGTATTCATCGTGGCGGCCTGGGCCACGAAGTTGTTGAGCATCTGGCCGTATACAAGCCAGTACACGGGGAAGAAAAGGAATACCTTGCACGTGCTAAGAGCTTGCGTAACCTCCCCAACGAATGCGTCTGTCCACGGAAGGTGGGCATGTGGGTTGCTTGAGGGAACCACACGGCTCACATCGCCGCCCGTGCGGAGTAGGATCCACACAATGTGGAAAGAGTGCGAAATGACCGACCGCGAAGGGGGTTTCTTGACGTAGGAGTTCGATCCTGCAAAAAGGGCGATCAACGCAAACAGAAAGAACACAAGCGGAAGTAGAAACGCTGCCCAGAAGCCCACCTTCATTTCCAAAAGTGTGGTAAAGATTGCACTGAGACTCCCCACATTAATGCAGAAGTAGAAGATCATAAACACCTGCTGCATCGTAAGCGCAGGGTCCACTATGCGGCGCGCGCCGTTGACTACAGTTGCATATGCAGACCGCTGGGGCACCTGATCGGCAACCAACGGCGAAACGTTTGCTTTGACACCGCCCGTCCCAAGTCCGATAACCACAATTGAGAGCACGAACCAGGCGAGGGAAGTGGAGGCGTCGGCGGAAAACGCGGGCAACGAGGAGAGGAAGAGGATGGCGATCCCCGCCATGTACACTGCGGAAAACACCACAATGGTTTTGTACTTTCCCCAGTAGCTGTCTGCGATGTACGCGCCGAGAAGAGGCGTGGCGTAGCACCAGAATTGGAAGAAGTAGGAGAGAATATTGGCACCGCGCGACCCGAGCCCGAGCTTTCCGGGGATCTTATCCGTTGGAGAGTGCTGCACGTAGTTCTGAAACGGGCCTGAGAGCCCGTAGAAGGCAAACCGTTCGCAGAGCTCGACCATCGCCACGAGGAGAGAGCTTCTGGGGATTTTCGCCGGGATTCGTGGAAGCGAGGGGTCTAGGTCATTATCGGGAGAATCAGGGTTATTCGATTGGGTGCCGACGTCATCAGGGTCCGCGATGGATTGGGAGTGGATACCAAAAGAATCGTCTGTATGGGGTTTGAAGGAGGATAGCTCCAACCCTTCCATTGTGTAATTGTCTAACGTATGCGGGAAGGCTAAAAGACACGGCCGTGTCTCAGTGGTGGGTAGCCCGGAAGGTGTGCCTTACAGAGATATGGGGCTACCTGTTTCTGAAAACACCGAACCGTCGTGTGTACGACCTGATCTCAACACTGGGGTCACTCTCGGAATCACCACAAATGATGCCAGGTGGTCGATGAGGCATCAACGTCACGTGAGCTATATTGTTGCACTTTCAGTTGTGAACCAGTATCGTTCTCATCCCCGGAGGGGATTCTCAAAAAGGTTGCGTAGGAGGATGAAAAACGAATGTTATGAAAGGAATGGAAAGAGTGAAGATTGTACTGGGCTTGCAAGCAATCATGATTTGATAAGGAAAACTCCATTTGTTTGACAAAACTATCCATATCATCTTTGCCCCAACAAGCGCCTGGCTAGCTCAATCGGTAGAGCGTGTGACTCTTAGCAGTACGCGATCACAAGGTTGCGGGTTCGACCCCCGCGTCGGGTTTATTTTTTCCATTTCCGAAACATATCCCCGTCATTATCGCGAGGGTCAAGAGAAAGCCCATTTTAAGCGTCATAGACCAGTGAAGTTTCCAACCACGTGCCGTGAGAGGTGCATAGCTGCTCTGTGGTGTGCGACTGAGGGGAGAACTGAGTTATATCGCAGTAATTGTAGAAGTACTCCACTACAAGTATTATTTATCTCATGAATAGTGCATCGGAATCTAGTAAATTGCAAGTAAGCGTTTGCATCGCTAATGTCAAGTGCCTACAACCAAATGCGGTAATGCCGCTCACTGCCACATTGGGCGCCAGCCTCCATCCTTATCGAGCTCTATATCTGAACCCACCAGACCTACGCCTCCTCGGGTATTCATTCTTCCCGCAACAATGAAGTTCACTAGCCTTGCTGTCACTGCAGCTCTCTTATCATCATGCCAGGCATTTGCCGACACTGCGCCATTTTTGTTGCGTTCACAGAACCCGTCCAGCCAATTGCCATACTTCACCGAGGAGCAAACCGTCGCTGACCTCGTTTCCCGTCTTTCTGAGGAGGTTTGTGGGCAATCTGACAGTCCACTCATGGTTGTGAGGATACCAGGATTGAAAAAATACGATTTTAATACCGTAACCTATCTTAGTAACCTTGTCAAGGATGCCAACACCGTGTACTCGCCAAACGTGCACTACACTTCGGCCGACGCCTTCCCTCTCTCCGATGCCTGCGCTGTCTCCAGAATTTCCGTCGATTCTCTCGACTTCCAGTACTTTGCGGAGTTGTTTGACACCGCGGCACAGGTTATTGTGGTTGATCTTCCGGCCTTCACAGCTGGGGAATTGCAGCAGGTAGACGACAATCTCGCGCAGTTGGACTTTTTTGTCAAGACCTTGTACAAGATCGCTCCAAACGTGGTGATCCAGGGGTTGCCGACATTCGCTGCGCCGCTCAAGCGTGAATTGGACCAAGACTGGGAAGAGACGGAAGGTGTCGCCATTCGCGCGCAAAACTCTACTTTTGTCATCAAGAACCCCAACTTGTTTACCCACTACCAGTTCTTCACTCCAGGCGTGTGGATGTCCACCATTGTGTCGTTGTTGCTTGTGGGGATCCTCTATGTCGCGTTAAGCTGGGTTTCCAACTTGAAGATCAGTTACCGTGCTTTTGACAAGCCGCTTGACTTTGACAAGAAGGCAAACTAATCTAATAGATTTTACGAAATTTATCTGTAATGTAGATGTATCATCGATGTCCCCGGGAAGTAGATAGAGACGTGACTAGAAGCTCAAAATCGTTGACAGTACCCCAAAACTTATCGTCATAATGTGGGTTAAAATTTTACAAGAGTCCACACAGCTGAAAAATAAAAAAATCAAGTTTTATACTTAGTTCGAGCATGGGTGACGAAGCTAGTTGCGGAATGATCTAGTTAGTGGCACAAACAAGCTTCGGAGTAATTTTATTGGATACCAGTGCTTACACCTAATTCTTGCGTCTTATCAAATCTGTTCAAGAACCAAAAAAGCGTATAATTAGTATACGAATAATGTACATGGGCTCTGACCATTGTCGTGAGGATCAATTTCCAAAAATCCAGGAATTAAAAGCATCCGCTTATTCATTCTTCTTTTCCAAAGCTTCGGCTTCGGTGTTTTCCATAAAAGCAACCACCACGTAACCGATGAGAACCACGTTGGCCATCAAGGCTGCAAGCCCACCACTGACAATGGCGTTGCCCCCTGTGATCCACAGTACGGAGAAGAAGGTCACGAGCGGAAAGATGATCATGGCAGTGGTAAAGAAGACGAGCTTCTGGATAACGGATCTGAGTTGTTAGTACTTGTCACGGGTGAGATTGATCGATCGCGGTAATGTGTTTCGGCCAATACCGCCATGGGCAGGTGTTGTTCAGTGGTTTATATACAGAACACGTACGTTGGGATTTCAGCAGCCATTGTGTAGGGTGTGTGAATGGTGACTGGGTTGGAAATTAGCCGATGGTTTTGTGCTGATATGCATGTCAATATGTATGAAAACGTATGGGCGAGCTTCGAGACAAGCTCGAGAAAACCCGTGGACCAACGGTGCAGGCTGCAGTGGCTGTGAGATGGATACCAGAATACGAGGTGGAGTATTTGATAATTGACATGGACTTGGGGAGGCCCAAATCTTTGATGGTTTAATTTAGTATCAGACCCAGTAGCTTTTATCGATTTTACCACGTATATCAGATATTTGACCGAAAATGTTGGTGCCCTGCACTTTGTATGTGCCCATTTATGATCGAGTTCGAGTGACAATAGTATGCGTTTGCAGCTTAATAAATGGTTACATTTAGGCATATTAATCTCGTCAATTTGTTCAAATGATCATTTCCTATAAATTTAAATAATGTTAGCCATGAACTTACCGGGAATGGCATGGGATTTTGGCACCTTTATAACCCAGGTATATATGCAAGCTCCGATACTTGGTTGAATACCATGTAGAATAGGGTGATGCCATGCGAATAGTTCACATCCGTGGAAGATTACTTCTAAGCATCCACAAACCTTTTTGGTCACCTTACGGCTTTTCCTGGACGGTAGCCACCCGGCCGTCCATACACATTCTATCGGGCATGGCCAAGTCAAACAAGCCTGCCAATTCAGCCTGGAGCAGAAGCAACTCCGTGTTTGCCCGGCTCAACGCATCCACATCGGTCATTTTTGCCACGTTGACATACGCCCGAACAAGGAATTGCCCCGACCTGTCCAACAACTGCAACGGGATCTTTTCTGGCGTCTTGTTCTCTCGTTCGCCCATTTCTCGCTGGAATGTCTCTGTGTTTGCAACAAAGATTCGCGTGAGCTCGATGATGATGCGGTTATGGAAGAAGCGGTGCCCCTGCACCCAGAACTCAGTCTCCATCTTGTATCCCAAGACGGTCAAGTACGGCAAGACATTCCCAGAGGTTATCGTCGATTCGTAGATTGCCTGGGATGTTGTAGAGCGCTTCCCAGCCAAGGGAATGTCTGAGAGCTGGATCGTCCACACATCGTTGCCCAACCGTTCGTTGTGCACGACACTGCGAGCCCGGATCTGGGGCGTGTGGTCCTCCCAGTCCGCCAGAGTCCACTCGCGTTGCACACGGATCTTGCACATTTCAATCTGGTTCACCTTTCCCGGTTCAACCTTTGGGTAATACTTCAAGTACGGCATCGCAAGGAGTGTATGCACACGGACGGGGAGCGGTGCCATCCCTGTGAAAGCTTTGAGGGTGGAGACTGCAAGTGGAAGCTGAGACTCGGGGAGTGTGGACACCAAGGAGATTTGTTGGACCATAATTGATTACAGACTGCGGAATGCTTGTGGGTAACTTATGAAAGAGATGCTTATGACAATGGAGATGTTTATATGCGGCTGGAAAATAATCACGTGATGGAGCTCAAGATTCGAGGGGAGCATGGTTTGGCAGCGCTGCCAGATTACTAATAAAAAAGGTTATCTATAACATAAAGTGGTGAATCTAATACGGACTGTACAGCTAGGGTGAGGATTTATGGAGTGAACGGGGAACTAATCATTAGGCATACGAAAGTGCATAGTGCCGGCTGGCGTTTCTTAATATCTCTGGAGCATTCAAAAATCGTGGTATACCTATTCGCCTGTAAAACATTAAGGAATGAACTGTTTTAGAAATTCTTGATCTCTATTCTTTGACTCAGTATCCTTTCAATGAGATTTTTAGATACTGGAAACAATTTTCAAGTTCCTGAAAATTAAACTAGCTGACATTGAAAAGATACCTGCAGAACAGGTATCTTCGGTGATTACCACGAATTTATCCAGTTCCACCCGATACGGTTCGACTAACCAAAAATTAGACATATGAGCTGATGTTTCATGACCAAATATACATACTCAGTCCAACGGCAATATTCCATCTTCACCAGAGTCTACCAGTTCCCATCCTTTATCGTTTCAACTAAAATTCCCCCATTCACTCAGTCATCAAGAAGCTCACTGACGTATTGGTTTTCTCATATGCATCGCAGTAACCATGCCTTAGCTCCCTATCTATTTTCTACTCTGCTTACACCGCGATTACTGGTTATGACTGTATTATACACACCTCAGGCAGCTGGCGCGTCCGTATTGGTTCTGACATACGTTTGGTTAAAGTTTTGGCCCTTTGCCTTGGCTCCACCTCTGCCGCCTCTGCCGCGGCCACGCCCCCCGCGGGTCCTGCGCTCACCGGTGACCTCCTTGCTCTCTTTGTCTTCCGGTTTTTCTTCTCTCTTCTCCTTGCGCGGTCTTGGTTCCGCTTCAGTCACTTTGAACGTTTTGACGTTTTTTCCCTCTGCTGGTTTTTCGCTGTCCTCCCCCTTGGAGTTGCGTTCCCACTTTCCGCCAGGCTTCCCTTCGGGGCGTTCACCACGCTTGGTTCTCTGCTTAGGCTTTCTTTCTCTGGTTTCGTCCTTGGGCTTTTCACCTCGCTTCCTTCTCTCACCACGAACGCGAGGAGCGCGCGGCTCCCTAGCCTCAACTTTTTCCCTTGGCGCCGAAACATCCTTTGGCGCCGAAACATCCTTTGGTGCCGAAATATCCTTTGGCACAGAAACATCCATTGGTGCAGAAACATCTTTTGGAGCCTTGGGCTTGGTTTCGTTTGGAGTCTCAGACATATTTTCCTTTTGTCCTTCAGACACCACATTTTGCTGCGTTACGGCACTTTGTGGCTGTGGCGAAGGCTTCTTCTCAGTATAATCTCGCACTTTCTTCAACCGCCTTGGCAGCAACGCCTCCCGTGGCAGCGTCATCGTGTATTTTGATTTCATACCCTCGGAAAGGAACTCTCTTCCTCGCTCCTCCTCATCGCGCTTCACCGGAGCTCCGTTCAAGAACGACGGCGCAGCCACAAAGCCAGACGTGTATTCACGACGCTGATAGCGGGTGTCTGGTTTTAACACCGGGTACGTGCTCCCGGGATGGCTGAGACTCATGTGGCCACGCAGCGGCGATGCCATGAATGGCGTACTAGGCTCGGGCGAGCCGTAGAACATCGGCTTCATCATGTGTGTAAACTGGCGTTGCGGCGACGCATGGGGCGACAAGAATGGCTGTTGGAACCCGCGTTGCGGCGACTTGTATCCGTATTCCACGTACTCCTGGGGGTGCTGATGGTATGGGGTATTATCATAGCCATAGAACTCGCGTTGTGGTGAGTAGTGGGGCATGTAGTCGGATTGGGCTGGCGGCTGGTACTGGATCTTGTTGAGCAACGACGAGGACATGTTTTCAGAACGGTACGGCTGGTAGTCCGGTTGGGACGAGTAGTAAGTGAGTTGCTGTTGCGGTGTCATCTGCTCGGACCAATTAGGGGTGTGGCTTTCGGAGGCAAACGGCAGATGATCGGTGCCGTCCACACGGTGGCGGAGTTTGTCGTTTATTTCTCTGAGGCGTGATTCAAATTCCTCCTTGGTTGCTTCCTTAGGGGGGCCTAGAGAAGTCAAATGCTTTGGCGAATCCACTCTAGGGGTTTGGGTTGGAATCGGGGATTTAGCATGGTCAGTAGATGGGACGTCAGTGGGGGCCTCTGGCTGAAACTTCTGGGATGGCCGATCTTGGGATTTAGGCAGAGACTCGGTCTTAGAAATTGAAGACTCAACCTTCTTCGGCTCAGCCAAAACTTCCTTAGCAAGTACTGACTCAGCCTTGGCTACCTCCCTAACCTCATTAGTCTCCTCCTTAGTCTCCTCCTTTGGTTCCTCCACTGGTTCTCCCTCCCCTAAATCTTTCCTTTGGCCCTCCTCTCTTGGGTCTTCCCTCCTTGGGTTCTCCGGCTTTGGTGTTGGAGTGGCAGAGTCTGGACGCGTCTTGCGCTTCAAAATTACCTTGGGCTTGCCCTCGACCCTGATCGGGGTCACGCTCTTTACAGTGGCCAACTTGGCAGAAAATGTTGTGGTGGTGCTGATAGGGGCGGGCTCTGGCGCCGGCTTGTACTTGCTAGCTAGCTTGTCCGCAAGAGTTTGTGGGCTAGATACAGGTGCTGGAACGGGTGCCGGAATAGGTGCTGGAACGGGCTTGGGGACAAGCTTGGTGGCGAGCTTCTTCTTTGGCTTCTCAGTTTTGTTAGCCTTGTCCTTTTTCTTTGTGTGGTCCACGGGAAGCTCCTCGTCGGGGCCCAACGTGCGGAACGTGGTCTTGTTGATCGACAAGTGCTCCAATGTTTTATCAATCTCGAGCTGCCGCGAAAGTGTGTCGATCGGTCTGGCATTGCCAAAGGGATTGGTCTTCTTTGGGGCAGTGACGGGGGTTGCAGCGGTAGCGGGGGTTATGGCACTAACAGGGTTTGCGGCAATAGCGGGGGCTGCGGCGGTAACCGGAGCTGCTCGCTCAAGCGGTTGCCTGAGAGCTTGTGGCGAGTGGCCACCTTTGACATCTCCGGTATCGCCCCTGGCACCATTGCTGCCGTGGCTCGCCTCTTGGTCCAAGCGATTGTACAAATCTTCTTCGACCTCAGAGATCTCCTTTTCGTACTCCTGGTTAAACTTGATTGCACTCTGGAAATCATCTCGCCTGCCCACGTCAATCACCACTCGCTTATTCGCCTCGTAGTACAAGTCCATCCACTTTAACGCCTTGAGAACGTCACCGCGGCTGGCCAACTCAACAAAGGCAACCTTCTTCAAGCGGAGGCTAGGAACGGCCGCTGCGAGGTTTGACTTCGGGTCCGCCAACACCTTGCACTTGACGTACTTCATGTACCGCGATGCAAAGAGAGAGGTCACAAATTCCTCCTCCGCGTCTACCGGGAGGTTATTCAACCGCGCAATGAACGGCGGGCCCTCGATCTGGGTATCGCCATCATGGTGGCGCAGAAACGCGCCAAATGGGTTGTGTGCATGGTGTACAGGGTGCGCGCTTTGCGCATGTGGGTTCAGGATCGGCACACTGATCGACGAGAGATCAATGTCGTCGTCGGCCCAGGAGCCTCCCAATGCTAGAGGTTAGTAGTGCACTGATATAATAGGGGATGCTTGGCTGTTAACGGGAGAGTTATCTGAGGTGCGTATGACATTGGTTAGGTGAATGGATCATGTAGATTAAGCGGTCAAGATGTGTAAGCGGGAAAAGTACAGGGCTTTGGCAAGATACTCCTAGGCTGTATCGGCAGATTCCCTCTATAAACTCAGCCCATTGCCATATCAAATCCATTCCATTGTTGCGTCAAAATGGGTGCGTAGCTCCCACTTTGTTTCGTATCCTCCAACGCACACGGTCTGCTCCACTTTTAGTTGATCAGTGTGACTATCGTTCCGCCTTTAGTTTCAAGAATCACCAATTCCCTCATAGTTCTTCAATAACGTCTCTTATCAATTCCCAGGTGGGCTCCGTTTAACAGTTTAATACTTACTCTCATCGGCGAAGAATTCGCTCAATGTCATCTTCTTTGGAGCTGAAACATGTTAGTATCAGACGTGTAGCGCACAGAATATGTCTATGCAGGGATTTCTAAGGAAGTAACATACCCATAATGCGATTGACTGTTGTCTTTTATGGATAGAACTGCCTTCGTGCCAGGACGGAATGTGCCCCTTTTCAAATACACCCCAGTTTTGCAGCTTGGCGAAAATTGCCGCCGGTCCGTTCTGATGGTGCGTGTGTGGTCAACGCACGCCCTGGAGAAAGCTGCTAAAGCCTCCAATGTCTGAAGCGGAAGTCTGGGTGATGAATCATTTATCGGCGCTGAGCCATTTTAAAGGGAGATATATCGAGTGCGACATACAATTCAGTCTAAGCTAAGAGAGGCGTACCTTTTTTTATTAACAAGGAGAAAATTTGACGAGTAATAGATTGTAGCTCAAACGGGTTGCCGTTTCAAACCGCTTGCTTTGCCATACTACGGAGGTTAAAAATAGCATGATAGATGCTTACACATAGGAGATTGTGGGGTCAGACAAAAGGGGTGTTGCCGTTAATTAATTAAACACGAAGTGTGTCATTTACGCTCAAGCATTAAAATAGATTTGGTGGCAGATAATGATTCGAAGCGTATATTATTTAATGGAGTGTATAAAATGATCAGGCTAATGATAACGGGGAAATCGAGTTAGGATACAAGGAGATCCGTTCCATCAAGAAACCAGATAGTTTTTATGTTGCTAAAATAAAGCAGAACATTACTCTATCCTTACCAACCAATTTTCCTGGAATCTTCGACAAGTCCTGGACACGGATTGGCCGGAACTATTGGGTCCCACAAATGGTGGTTTTCTGGCCGAGTTGGTCTAAGGCACCAAGATAAGGTCCTGGTCTTTCCGGAGGCACAAGTTCGAATCTCGTGGAAATCATTACCTTTTTGTCATTTAACAACATAATATCTCCCCCTCAATTTTTTATCCCACTTTGTCAATATTTACCGAAAAATGGAAGGTGTAGCCTAGGCGTCTTGCTTCAACAACTGGTTATAACACGACCTCGTCGACAATTATTAAATAAAATGCAGATCAAAACTCACACAGCTCGTCTTCGTCTATGAGCCATATCCCTTGCACACCTTCCAATTTCCTCCACCCATTTGCATATATAATGACCCAAGGAAGCCCGTGGAAATTTAACAAGGTTGTGATTGCGCCGCCACTTACACCGGCAGAGAGAGAAAGCTACGGCCTCCATACAACTGACGTGTTGGAGCGATTCGGGATGTACGTGCACCTTCAATCCGGCTTGATTGTCGTCCACTGCTTGGGTAACAAGTCGTTTTCCATCCGCTACAGCAGACATGACTTGGGGCTTGTACTCCGTTTGGGGTTGTCGCTTTTTGCGCATGACACATCGATTGAGGACCTAGAGAACGAGTGGGTGACCCTTTCTGGGCAGACTGGTGTGTTTTTTCCGTTGCAGGTTGATCCTGCGGCGTTTAACGCTGAGCTTAAGTATCCGTTGCCTTTGCTTGCGGTAAACAAGGGTGCTATCGATGCAGCTACGCGCGAGAGTTTTTCCAAAGACGCCGAGTTTTGGAAGGCGTTTGATGAAGCACCAAAGAGTTTTGCTTTTCAGACGTTGTATACATTCTCTAGCAATCCTATTTCTATTTTTGTACAGGATGCCGGGACTGCTCCCGCCCCGACTCCTGCCCCTGCTCCTGTCCCTGCTCCAAAGCGCACGATGATGATGGTCTTGGAGGAGCTCAGTGACGACGAAACGCGGTCCAAGCGCGAGAGAAAACCCTCCAGACGCTTCAACTCAGAAACTCCGACATCCCCGGCCGAACCAATCTCTGCGCGCGCCGCACGTGCGAAGCGCAATGCCGAAGAAGAATACGTACCTGACGTGTCCAAGGAGGCCAAGTTCAAGAGCTCGGCTACCGAAACCTTCCGCCCCATCTACAAGGAGTCGCGTTCGGCGTTTGACAAAGCATCCCTCATGTTTTCCTGGCGCTCGTTCCCGAACACGTCTTTCCCCGCGGAATTGGTCCGACGCACGTACAACCAGCTTCTCAGAGACGTCAATGTGATTCTTGAGATTTCGTTTCCAAAGTTGTACAACCATAAGTACATGCCCGACTACGAGCGGATGTTTGCGCCAGAGTCCATGTCGTACTATCAGGATAACGCGGCGCGCATCAACAAAGACAAGTACGACTTGCTTTCGGCGAATGCGGACCTAACTGGAATCAACAGCATCCGCGAGGGCTCTGAGCTGTTTGCGGTCGAGATACATAATATTCTAGCCACGCGCATCTTTCTCCTTATGTCGTTTGGGGGCTTCTTTGCGCCGTCGGCTAAAGAGCTTGACACCATGAACTGGGAGTATGCCACGTCGCAGCACTATGTGGCCGATACTCTCGTGATTACCGGTCCCGTGGGCAGTAACTGCGTGGGGGTGGTTCCTGAAAAGGCAAAGAATGCGGTGCTTTTCTGGCTCTTTGTGATCAAGCCAGCTGTCTTGCACCACTATACGGCGCGTGAGCAGCTGGCGGAGGTGGCCATCTACCGCAACCACTTTTTCGCGCGCGACAACGAATGGAAGCGCAACTTGTTCTTGTACCACTGCCTGACGGTCTTGCGGCGCTACCACAAGTGGAAACTTCTGAATATCGAGAACCTTTCGCTCAGCTTCGCCAACTTGCTTGTGCTGAACATTGCCGATGCGTTTTTACCGGCAACGGGCGAGGTTGTGCTTCCCGAGCCGTTTGCGCTGACGATTCCCGGCGCCGCCGAGCTCATTGTCCGTCTGAGGCACTTGCAGCTGATCTGGGAGTCTGAGGCGCCGCTTCAAAGCTTTGTGAGCGACGATGTGCAGTCGACAGATGAGGATGAAGTGGAGATAGAGGCGAAGGAAAAAATAAAGGAGGAGGTGAAGGAAAAAATAAAGGGAGAGGCAAAGGAGGCAAAGGAGGAGGGTGAGGAAAAGAAAGGGAAGGGAGAAACAAAGGAAACAGAAGAGGAGGCCGAGGCAAATGAAACAAAAGAGGAGGCTAAGGCAAAGGAGGGGGCTGAAGCAAAGGAGGGGTCTGAGTCAAGGGAAGAGGTGAAGGAGGAGGTGGAGGAGGTGAAGGAGGAGGCGAAGGAAGAGGTAAACGTTGTCACGGAAATGAAGAAAGAGGGTATTTAGGATTATGCCTGAGATTTCAGGTGCTTTTTGATAAGCAACAAGTTATAGGGCGATCACTGGGAATCACCTTAATCATACGACAAATGTTCCTGTACGAAGTTTTCGGAAACAGCCTGATCAATGCGAATTTAAGCATTTTGTTAGACAAGGATGTCAAATAGATTCTCAACGAACTTTTATCGATCTTATAATACTGTACGTAAAACGCAAGAGTCATATGAGCCTCGCATATAAACTTTGAACATTGTATAAACGACTTAAATACCAATACAGATGGAACTATATATCAAGTCTAGTCGTTTAACCAGTTAGATAATACCATTGTAAGATATACCCGGATACATTCTGAGTTTGAAAGTTCGTTTAATTCCGAAAACCGAGGCATAACATGACCAATTAATTGCAAATGTCCCTAATTTACCCCTGTAATTCACATATATACTCATATCAACTCTGAGATAAATCTAATTCTACGTTTGTATCAGACATGCTCTCGCTACTTCAACACTAACACCGAAACTGTCTCCACGCCTGCATGCCAGGTGGTGCGGCTGAAAGACATTTTTTTTCACTCCGCATGTTTACTAACGGTAACCTTGAGTGAATTCCAATACTTTACCACTTTGTCCCATAATCCACATCTAAAATGCCTGCCAAGCGAAGGATAACTCCAAAGAGATGTAAATCCATCACTGGCGCCGATAGGGCACCACGAGGCATCAAACCGCAGAAAGCCAGAGCGCTTATCAGAGGCTTCCATGTGCTCCAGAAGCACCGCACCAGTATTTTCAAAAAACTTTCTGAACAATTCGGGGAGAGCGTGACTGAAGAAAATTACTTGAAGTGCTTAAAGACATCTCCCAACGTTGATCGTTCTCTCACAAAGGTGTATGCTCGCAGCATAGAGCTTTACCAACCCACGGACGAAGTAATGATTGTCGACAATAAACTTGACGCGCGTGCCTTGGTGGTGTTGTTAGGAAACATCGATGCCGAAATCGCAAAAAAGGGGGGTATTGGGGCCTACCAAACCGCTTCTACACAGGGTCAGAATGGCAAACGTGGCGGCGACTCCTCAAAGAAGTTGATGGAGTGGATTGGCAAGAAGCAGCAACCTGTCAAACCCACAGCGCTTGAGATCGGGTGCCTTTCATCCCAGAACGTTATTTCAACATGTAACTTCTTTTCTAATGTTGTGAGGATTGACTTGCGCTCTCAGGAGCCGGGAATTCTCGAACAGGACTTTATGAAAAGACCGTTGCCGAAGTCAGACAAAGAGAAGGTCAATCTTATTTCGTGCTCGCTTGTGTTGAACTTTGTGCCCAGTCCGAAAGATAGGGGCGAGATGTTGAAGCGGTTCACCAAGTTCTTGTTACCTCCAATGGAGGGACTGCTTTCAGCATTGTTTATGGTGCTTCCGTTGCCTTGTGTGGCGAACTCGCGGTACTGCAACCAGGAGACGTTTAAGGAAATCTTGGGTAGCTTGGGTTTCTCGGTCAAGGAGTACCACGAGGCCACCAAGGTGGCGTACTGGTTGTTCGAATGGAACGGCGAAACCCGTTTCCGTAAAAAGTTTTCCAAAAAGGAGATCCATAGCGGTGGCAAGCGCAACAACTTTTGTATTGTGCTAGAATAAATATGAATCAGGGACGTTTAGACATTAATCCACGAGTGGATGAGTGAACGTTGCTTAATGAGATCCATATTTTAACAATAGTGGAGTGCCAAGGCACGGGACTAGGTTATAATTCCTACAGGCAGAAATTATAGCCTGCTTCAAAGGAGCTAATAATTTATGATCACAGGAGGTTGGCCTACAATATATTACCGTCTCACACCTTGTATGGTGTAGGCATCTGTTTGATCCAATAACCTGATATAGCGAGAGGGACATAAGTATGGCTTAAAGAATAAAACCAGATATCAGGATATAGGTGTTTTTGGGATTCGGGGAAGATACAATATATAGAACCCACAAGATCTAGAAGCCGTCAAGGTTATAAAATACTATCCGGTTCCTATTATGGAGATGATAGTTTATAAATTCCAATATTTCAGTTGATATCAGCTACTCTCATGCAATCAACAGCCCCATATTATATTGTGGTGGCACCATCGTAAACCTCTCCTTTTTCGCCTTCAGTTGCATGCCTGAGGGTCGTGCGCGCTCCCAACCGGCGGGTGGCCAAAACTCAACGCCAACCGTATATCAACCCAAGGAGCTGCGATTCACATAAATTGCCATTCCTTATTGCAATTGCATTACTACACACCAACTACTATAATCAATCATGGTATGTACTTTTTGAAGACGATTTGGCACACTACTAACAGCGCTCAGGGTCAAGGTCCTTCAGGAATGCCGGGTGGCAACGCCGGTGACAAGAAAAACGACAAGGTATGTATTATCAATGAAGGGGCACTTTTGCAATGAAATGGATATGATAGATATACAGAGATTTTGGTGCTCAACAGAAGGGGACGGAAACTTTGAGTAGTATGACACGGAGACAATCGATGCCATAGCCAGTTGTTGATTCCAGGTTTGCATCCATCTTGTTAGTTTCCCTATGCTTAGGTTATCTTTCCTTACTTCTCTTGCGGTTCTCCGTTTCCTCTTGTTTTCCCGTTCTCTACGCCCCATCTTTCACATTCTTCCCATTTATCATTTCTCCATTCTGTATACTAACCCTTTAGAAAAAAGAAAAGCCAAAGTACGAGCCGCCGGTGCAGTCGAAGTTTGGCAAGAAGAAAAGAAAGGGTCCTGATATGGCGGCAAAACTCCCGAACATCTACCCGAATACGCGCTGCAAGTTGAAGCTCTTGAAGATGGAGCGCATCAAGGATCACTTGTTGTTGGAGGAGGAATTTGTGATGAACCAGGAAGCATTCCAGCCGACCGAGGCCAAGCAGGCGGAGGAAGGAGACAAAGTGGACGAAATCCGCGGGCTGCCTATGTCGATTGGGACCTTGGAGGAGATTATCGACGACGATCACGCGATTGTGTCATCGTCGTCCGGTCCTGAGTACTATGTGTCCATCCTTTCCTTCGTAGACAAGGGCTTGTTGGAGCCGGGCTGCTCGGTGTTGTTGCACCACAAGACAGTGTCTATTGTGGGGGTCTTGCCCGACGACGCCGACCCAATGGTCTCTGTGATGAAGCTAGACAAGTCGCCAAACACGTCCTACGCCGACATTGGTGGTTTGGAATCGCAGATCCAGGAAATCAAGGAGGCGGTCGAGTTGCCCCTCACGCACCCAGAGTTGTACGAAGAGATGGGGATCAAACCGCCTAAGGGTGTGATTTTATACGGTGCTCCGGGTACCGGTAAGACGTTGCTCGCCAAGGCCGTGGCGAACCAGACCTCTGCCACATTTTTGCGTATTGTCGGGTCGGAATTGATCCAGAAGTACTTGGGTGACGGGCCACGGTTGTGCAGACAAATCTTCCAAACGGCTGCAGAGCATGCTCCGTCAATCATCTTCATCGATGAGATCGACGCGATTGGGACAAAGAGATATGAGTCCACGTCTGGTGGTGAAAGAGAGATCCAGCGCACCATGTTGGAGTTGTTGAACCAGTTGGACGGGTTCGATGACCGTGGTGACGTCAAGGTCATCATGGCGACCAACAAGATCGAGTCCTTGGACCCGGCATTGATCAGACCGGGCAGAATCGACAGAAAAATCTTGTTTGAGAGCCCAGACCTCACGACCAAGAGAAAGATTTTGAGCATCCACACCAGCAAGATGAGTTTGGCCCCAGACGTCAACTTGGAAGAGGTGGTGTCGTCCAAGGATGACTTGTCTGGTGCTGACATCAAGGCGATCTGCACTGAAGCTGGGTTGCTTGCTTTGAGAGAAAGAAGAATGCAGGTGACCGCCGAGGATTTCAAGGGCGCCAAGGAGAGGGTGCTTAAGAACAAGATTGAGGAGAACCTCGAGGGGTTGTACTTGTAGAGTAAATGTTAATACAGGAAGGGCTGTAAGATCGAAGAAAACCCCGAGGGGGTACTTGTAGAGTAAGTGTTAATACGAAAACGGTTGTAAAGTCGAAGGTAAACTGTAGGAACGAAAAAGGTCTGACTGGGGGTTGCTAGCCAATAAAATGTACGACGGAATCGAACCAGAAATGGCATCATAACGATAACAGTAATGAGGTGTCAAAAGGCAATATGAGAGAATTGGCAGATGTATTATGCTGACCGATGTTAAGCTATGCACTTTCCGATGTTAGCTTGTCTTACAAAGGCTGGCACAAAACGTCCACCTTCCCTTAGGTCTACATATAACCACTGGTTGGAATTGCCCAGGACGTCTCAAATAGTGGTGGCTGAAAGTGAGACCAGCAGGAATGACCCTTTTAGAATGCTGAAAGGGATGCTTGCACGCCTATATTGGAGCAAAGTCTGTCTTAAGTTATGCCCGTTATATCCTAGCAAGGCAATCGGAGATAATTTCAGGGCTGACAATTTTACCAGGCTACTTTCTCACTTGGAATGGCCGTATTATTCGAATTATACCTATCAGCTGAACCTTATAACAAATCGTTAAATGAGCAGCGCCATAATCCTTGTACCATAGATTATAGCGACAACTCACCCTGGCGCTAGTTCCCACCCCATTTACCCTTCTTCCAAGCTGCAAAAATTAACACGTTCGAGGCTGCTCCATCTCCGTTTATCCGAAACACGTTTGATACCATGCCATTCCTTGTGTGGCTCTATTGTTAACCTGTTCACCCTGGCACTTCTGACGTCATATGCTGCTGTCGTTGTGTTTCACTTTGTAACCATTGCTCTTACACAGCCTCCTCGGCATGAATACGTCCTTACTATACGAAACCACTGAAAAAATAGGGAAGAAACAAGTAGCGAAACAAAATTCTGTTTGACAATTAGAATTCTTCACAACTAAGCTCGTATCTGGGGTACCAATCATCTATTCATGCAAGTCCATATGGCTCTACGGCCCGAGACGTAGTCATGTGCACATATCCTGCGTTTAGCTTGACAATCGCGTCGGACAGATCGAAACGGTGCATAACATTGACATCAAAACGCAATCTCTCCTCTTCTCTCAAATATTTTTCCAACTGCTTCCATACTTTCACATGACAGAACCCTCTACAGACCCGTGTTTCCGCCTCTCCTTTGGAGTAGGCGTCGCGGAGAACAAAAACTCCAAATACCGCCCCACGATGGAGGATGTGCACACGTACGTGGCCAATTTTGCCGAACGGCTTGATTGGGGGTACTTTGCGGTGTTTGACGGCCATGCGGGGAAACTGACGGCAAAGTGGTGCGGAAACAACTTGCACGCGATTCTTGAAGAGGAAATGGCGCAAAACGAGACCCAGGACCTCCGCGTGACGCTAAACAACACATTTACCAAGGCAGATGAGGCCTTGAAGGAGCAGCCCGGAAATAGCGGCTGTACCGCTGCGGTGGCGGTACTCAGATGGGAATTGACAGAGCTGGAAGCCGAAAGTCCGGCTCTGGCGGACGCCCCGTTCGACTTTGTTCCCACAGCAAACCACCGCCGGGTCTTGTACACAGCCAACGTGGGGGACTCGCGGGTAGTGTTGTGCCGCTGGGGCAAAGCCTATCGCTTGTCCTATGACCACAAGGGCAGCGATATCAACGAAGCGGCGCGAATCTCCAATGCTGGCGGAATCATGATCAAATCGCGAGTCAACGGGATGCTCGCGGTCACCCGTTCCTTGGGCGATTCCTATATGAAGGACTTGGTTGTCGGAAATCCTTTTGCAACCGCCACAGAAATCACAAAGGACGATAGCTTTGTGATTATTGCCTGTGATGGTCTTTGGGACGTGTGCACTGACCAACAAGCCGTGGAGCTCATCAATAACGTGGAAGATCCCGATGCGGCGGCTCGAAAGTTGGTCAACCACGCCATGAACAAGCTCACAACGGATAACATCACGGTCATGGTGATCAGGCTTGATAAGCGGGTGTTTGAGTACAAAGGGAAGGCGGTGTAGGGGTGTCATCCTCCTGTTGTCTGGTTTGAAAGTTTAACCGAGATTTAACCGAGATTTAACCGTCGCTTTGCGTATCGGGAACCCTATTTCGTTTGAGTCCAATGGGACGGGTATCCCTACTAGTATAGGCTATTGAGTAGTCTGTATAACCCAGTATTAATCGATTCGTTGGTTACTCCAATGGATAAAACTGTAAAACTGGATGTGTAGATTTGAGATTTGTAACTAATAGAAAGTATTCTATGTCGCTATCTCTATCTGGATTATATAATTGGGGTTCTATGACCTTTTTCATGGAAACTTAGCATAGAGTGCTTCCTATTTTATACATCCATGCTGCAATAAGTCGAATAAAAGGGACGGATAATTCATACCAAGGGAGGCTGGATATAAAACAACGATATCAACGTGGAGCACGATCTGAACTGGTAAAAATCTGAATTACACTATCGCAATGGAAAGAGAGGCTGCTCAGACCGAAGTGAAATGAGGCTGACCACTGAGATCTAACACAGTCAGGGTAGCCCTTCTACTAAAAGTTCGTAAATAAAACGATAATCTGTTACAATAATTGTATAGCATAGCCTGTAACGTAATGGAAGCGATTAACACCGAGGACATCTAAACTGAAAACTATGTAAATAGCCATTTGCTGAAACTAGGATGTTGGCAATAGATGCACTCCAAACAGCAAATCTTGGCAGACAGATCAACCCCATCATACAAATCAATCTTGTCGAAGAGTCTAAAACCTTGATCGGCTCTGGTAAAAAAAAAACCTTTTTCGCATGAAAAACTCGAGTTACACCCCCAATCATAATTCAAACTCAATAAGATCTGCATTCTTCGAGTCAATCCTTTCGGTGAGGTTCATATCATGTTTGAGTTCGCTAATAGATTGACCCCGGCCGTCCAACGGAACGTCATTCAACCCCTCTACCTCGGCCCCGTTCAACAAATCCTTATCGTTGTCGTTTGGCCCGAACGCATAGTCCTCGTCATCCTCATTGGTCTGCGAGCGTGGTCTACTCTCCTTTGTGTCGGAGGTTTCGGCCTTGGAGGCGTCATCCATGCGGCGGCGGACCTCATTTGCCACGCGCTTCCCGTCCGCGAGCAACCCGTCAAACATGTCGCGGAGATTGCGGTTGGATTTGTCGCTGGAGCTGATGGGTGTGTCAATGTCGATGGAGTGTGCAAAGGATTCGGAAAAGAGGAGTTCGTAGGTTTCGTCCGCAAGGATAACCATGCGAAAGGTGGGGAGATTGAGGGAAACGGGATGGTCGGGATCTAACGCAGCGTTGGCACGGAGACGTACTAACGCTTCATCCGAAAAGTTTTTCTTGTCAAGAGCATTCGTATTGTCCGTGACCTCGCCTAGGTCGATCAAATCCGCCTCGCCCGCCGCCTCAACGATCTCCGGCTGCGCATATTCAAATGCCCGCTGAATAAATCCACTGGCTGCTGACAAATACCTCTCGGTTTGTGCCTGTTCAATCTTCTGGCGGTCAACATCGACCTGGCTCGGCATCACAAACTCCCCCACACTGCTCTTCTTCAACTCCACAATCTTATCGGCCATCGCGGATTCAATCGCCTTTTGCGTAATCCTATCCAACACCAACCCGTCTCGCCACGGCGCTGTCACAAAGAGCAAGTCCTCCGACATCTGCAACATCCCGTCTCTGTCCACCTTTCCATCCTTTTCGTACATTGCAAAGAAGTTGGAGAGGTTGGCCATGAGATCCGGTTCCACAAGGCGGTTCAAACCGACAGCAACATCGGCCAAGCTGAGACCACCCCTGTTCTCGCAGTCCCAGGTGCTGAACAACCGGTGCATAAAGTCCTTGCGATTGAGCGGAAGCGAGTGGTCAACGCTCCCCCACGGGGCGATCCCCGCCATAAGCTCGGTAAATGCGTAATAATCCATAAGCGACCCTCCATCGTCGCCAATGTCCACCGCGTGGCTCTGGACACCGTAGAACCGGGAGTAAATGTTCGACAACTGCGCCTGGGCAAGGTTCTTTGTCTTGGGCAAGTTGCGGATCTGTGTCCGTTTCACAAAGTTCTCCACGCCTTCAAATACCTTGTCGCGGTGCCTGTCACGCTGCTGTGAAATCATCTCATCGGAGATGTTGGCAAACTCCTTGAACGCCACCACGAGCAACTCCTGGAACTTGGTCACCGAGCGGTACTTTTCATTCGGCGAGTTTGGATGGGCCGACTGATCCAACGTCAAAAAATACTCCTTGAGGATCAGAATAAACGCGCCATCGTCGTCACTTTCAAGCAACTGTTCCCCGTTGATGCGCAAAACTGCAAGGGCCACTTGGAAGAGCGTTCGAGGTCCCTGGAGCATGAAAACGTCTACAATCCGAAAGGCGTAGACAAGTGGCATGGAACTGAGATAGAGCGAAAGGAACCACGGAAGGGAAACCACCGAGAGCTGGATGTCATAGCGCGAAATGTGCTCCGCGAGCATCGGCATCGTCTTCTCAACCAACGACTCAAACACCTTCTGGTCTAATAACGTGCCGTACATCGTCTTGGAGTAGTACCCAGGCACTTGCTTCTCGCAGATGATGTTAAGGCACCAGAAGGCCTGTTCCTCGGACATGTAGATCAAAAGCGCTGCCACGAGAATGTTCATCGCCTGGCAGTAGCCAATATCCGGATTTCGCCAGGAGTAGGCGGTGAGCACACGTCTGAGGCGGTTGATACCCTCGGGGCTCTGGTACGCCGGGTATTCCGGGAGGGATCGGTTCAAGTCCTTTTCGATTTCCTCAATCGCTAGCGACTCCTGGTCCTTGTATTTGTTTAAAAGGCCTTGGTAAACCCCTGGGTTCTTGAAGCGCACATACATCGAGCCGCAGCACAACTCCCAGATCTCGCCCCGGAGACGATTGGGCACGCCCACGCGAACGAGCTTGTAGAATAAAGGCACGCGCGTGAGTGCGAGGTGGCGCCCGTTGGCGCGGAAGTAGCCAAACCAGAAGCGCATTTTGGATTTGTCGCGGAGGGCCTTGGCGTCACCGGGGTATTTAAACTCTAGCCCTAGGCCACCCGGAGGGTGGACGACGTTCGCAAGGCCGGGCAAAACCCCAGGTGTATGGCCGGGGCGAGTCCCTGTTGCCGGTGCTCCAGTGCTCGCCGCAAGACTTTTTGCTACCAAATACTCCGAATAGAGCGTCTCGACAAACGGCCGGAGCTGCTTGATATTCACCAAATTCTCCTTCAACTTCACCTTCAACGCATGTGAAAATTGCTCAGAGTGCGATCGGATCCCAATAAACTGAATCACAAAGCTAAACCCCGAGTACGTCTTTACTGACAACGCAAACACATACGATCGGGTCGGTACGCGCTCGAGCTTCTTCACCGTCGATAAATGAAGCGCAAACAGGCACATTTTGCGGTCATACACGTCTCTGAAGACGAGAAACTTCGGAGTGAGGTACAATTTCCCCTGGTAAAACTGGTTGTTGCCCTGGGTGTCCTTGCTGGCGGGTGGAATCACACACACCTCAGCGGAGATCTCATCCACAATCGTCTCCAGCGCCGGGAGGGAGAATTCTTTCTGAAAGACCTCATCTTTGGAGAGTACGGTGGTGTTGGGCTTGTCAAAAAGAGATAACTGAGCCGCCTTCGAGCGGATTGCTTCGAAAAATGACATGGTGGGTGGAGGAACGGAAAGAAGATGATGGGTGGCAGAAAGTGACAGCGATAAATACGGGATAAGGCATGGACTGGGCACGACCAGCGCACAGGACACTAGGAGTGGGGCACGTGCTGGGTCAAGAGAACAGTTCACAGAGACATGGACATATGCCAAGAGATGAATATAAATGTTTGTCTGATTTTCTACTTTTTCTGTCTCTACTTTGCTATTCTATATGCCATAGCGAAAACCAGAATAAAAAGCCATAAATACATGTAATCTAACCATACGGAGATTAAAACGTAAAATACAAATTCACCGAAAAAAAATAAAATACAAAAATAAAATACAAAAATCTCATAACAAAATCTAAAATACACTCAACCTACACCTTCTGAGCCTTGAACTCCGCCACATCCAGATCCGTCTCATCAATCACGGCCAACCCGTAGCTATCGACAGGATTTTCAAACGGCGTGCTCGAATAGGCGATATTCTCCAAGCTGGACTTCTCTTGGTGTTTGTGGAGGTGTTTGTGCCCATGGAGATGCTCATGCAGTACATTCTTAGGCTCTGCATGCGGTTGCTCGTTAGCAAGATCGTGGGCGGAGGTGAAAGCAGCGTAGGATGTGAGCTGTGGCAACGGCCGGGATGTTGCGTGCTTCTTCTTGTGGTGGGTCAACTTGTTTCCAAGGATCGTTCCCGTGTGGCTGAGCACCACCTTAATCGCATCTTTCTTCAACGCACTAAGAAGTTCCTTAGACGACCAAATCTTCGCCTCGTACTGCATATCCGGCACGCGCAAAACCAAGTTCTGGACATCAATAATCTTGAGCTTCTTATCACCCTTGAAGCTGATCAGCAACATGAACCCGCGGATCTTGAACCGGTCAATGCGCTTGTAGGTCGACGAGCGAAGGAGCATCTCGGAAACTTCGTCACGGTCCTCCTTCTTCGGCGCTTCTTTGATTCCGTGCTTCTTCATGAAGTTCAGAAGCGGTCCCAGACGGCCCGTATCGGAGCTCTTCTGAGCACTAACGTCCAGATCTGACTCATCATCGGAGAATGTGAAACTGGAGGCGGATGAACGGGGACTAGTAGAACCGTCGGGCTTGGCGCTCTTATCGCTCAGACTGTGGAAGAGATACGCCATGATAGGCTTGATGTCGTTATAGTCCACCTCAATCTTTAACGGCCGGACATCAAATACCGCGTCGTGGAGCGTCTTGATCCCACCCACCGAGGCGAACTCCGTCCACTTGACATTAATTAACGGCGCCGGGTCCTTGCTCGCCCCTGAATCGGTCACCAAGGGGGAGAGCAACTCGGGGAAACGCGAGCCGTTCTTTAAGTTGAACCCCTGTAACACCTTCACAACAAAGTTGTTATGGCCAAGGCCGCCAGGATGGAGCGTACTCTGGAAAAGTGCCTTGGCAAAGGCAAAGTCCACCAACGGAACCTTGTCATCGCCCACCATATGCCAGATAAACTCGTCCACGTTGACCACAAACTGCGTTGTTTCCTGATGGCCCTTAGTCACTAAAAGCGCCGTCTTTTGCACCATGCGCATGAGGAGGAGAAGCTCGAGCACGAGCTTGTAAATCTCCACGTCAAAGTCCGTGATATCCTGTGCCGTCACAAGCCCGGAGTCCTGTTGGAGTCGTAAGTTGCGCTTCAACTTGTTCAACGTGCGGATACCGAATTGCAACTCCCGGATCTTGCGGTCCATACCTGCGAAGGATTCGTACTCCGAGAGGTCCAAGAACTTTTCCAACTTCTGGAGGTTGTTGGAGGTGTCATGCGACGAAAACATGAGCAAGTCTAACACGATATCGTACACGATGTTGTACTGGTGGTTGTCGCAAGTGAGCGTGAGCTTCGGAAGATGGACCTTGTACATCTTGCACTGGGAGCTCGCATTGACGTAGAGCGGGTTCGATTTGCGGAGCAACAACCCGAGCGAAGATTTCTCCACAATCATGCGATGCGAAAGAGGCGAGCTATCATAACAGAACTCCATCGGCAACCACGGCGACCATACCTCGTTTCCGTAATTGTTGTTGTAGAACAAGTATGGCTCGGCTATAACGTCCATCTCTTCGATCACATAGAAGTGGGCGTCGCGGAGAAGCACCCCGTACCGCGTTTCAGACAATCTGGATAACTCATCGATGTCAGTGAGACCCTCTACGGTGCTGTCATTCACCGCAACGATCTTCATCTCAAGGTCACGCGACGTGATCAACATGCACGAGTTGGGTCTTTTGTCGCTCACCAACTGGATCTGAGGACTGATCAACTGCACGTAGTAATTCATGTCCACTTCGTGGTCATCCGAGTCCACAGCCGTCAAGTTCCGTGCATACTCCTGCACGAGGTCTGTGTCTATAAACTGCGCAAAGTCAAAGTCATTTTCTTTTGGGGGCTTGTCTGTCACTGGGGTCTTCAACTGCAGGGTAATCAAGTCTTCGACGTATTTCACAGCGTTGCGACTCATGAAGTACTGGAGTGCGCGGCGGTCGCTGATCCGCAGACCGTAGTCCGCCATAATGTCTCTTGTCTTGTTCGACCACTTCAACTGCGGGTCGTGGAGGATGAAACGGTTGTGGAACTCGTTCTCTGACGTGACTCGCCCGGTCTCCTTGATCTCGTCGTAGAGCTCGCGGCTGGGGATAATCGAGAGCGAGCGTGCACTGGACCGTCTGGAAAGGTTGCGGGAGAGAGGCTCTGCGTCGGACAAGTCGTCACCACTGAGCGACTCCAAGTCAACCTCCTTGAGAACAACCAAGTCATCGATGACACAGTGGACCAAGTGCAAGCTGTGCTTCAACTGCTTCAACTGATCACGTTTCACCTGGTCGGCCCCAAGCTCGTGAATCACGCGCTCCAAGCTGTGGATCTGTTCGCTGAGCACCTTCGCGCGGCGGTGCGCGATTGCCTCCTGGATATCCTCGGGGTGGCTTTGATCAAAGAGACAGTCGTGGAGGGGCTTTTGGCCGAAGGGGAACGGTACCTCGTATTTCGGCTTGCAGTTACGCATGTACGAGAGGCGCGGTGAGTATAAAAGTGGTACGAGTGTCACCTTAGGGGTGTGGGTCAACTCCTGGATATCGATCTCGATGAAATCGAGCGGATCCATCCACGTGGCCTCGCATACAGAGCCGGAACTCGAAAACGACTCGCTGGTGGAATGAGAGTCGGTCAGACTCAACATCAGTGCGAGATAGCCAGCGGCAGCCCGCTCATTGAAAACTGCATTGAGAAGGCGGATGTCAATGTTCTCGCAGTCCAATTCGCCCTGGGATATCTTCAACTTCCAAAAGTCGGGCGTGTCCACCAGGCGCTTCAACACCTCCTTGACGTGATGGAGATCGAGGGAAAACCGGTCCAACTTTGCCTTCGAACCCGTGATTGACACAAACGTGTCCTTCGCGAGCGTCTCGAAGTTCTTGTTGCGGTTCATGCTTGAGATCATCAACGGCTGGAGACGGAGCTGGTATTCAATGCTGAAGAGCCGCTGCCCGAACTTGTCGCCCGGGCGGTTGTCCAACTCCCGCCGGTTGTACAAGTTTCCGCTGCGCACGGGAAGATTTGTCGCGTGGAACAATGTCCGCCACCACTCGCGGAACAGTTCACCCACATTGGGTGAGAGGTACAAATTGTTCGTGTATCCACACGTGGAGGATTCTGTCTCGGAGATGATGGACACGTACATGTGGAAGTACTTGGATCGGAAGCCTGCGAACGAGTCGTGAGACTGAGGGTCATCGAGATAGATTGGGTTCCAGAGATTCACGTCCCAGTGGGGCGTGAGCTGTGTCGTGCGGGGACTGTACCCGGCCCTTTCTTCGCTTTCCGTTCCACTCCCCGGCTGGTCCTGCTGGAATAAGAAACCGAGCTTCCACCGAACCTGGCGCTGCGACGTGAACCTCATGATAATCTTTGCGTACGGATGGTCGTGCTTCACAAAATCGTAGTCTACAAGACGTTTGACCTGTTTCTTGCGACCCAGACCCCAGTAGTTCTGTTGCGCAGCCGAGAGGTCCGGCACCGCAAACACAAACGAGTCGCTCTTCACCACCATAAAGTCCTTGCTGTGGTCATCGTTGATGGCCAAGCGCACGTTGTCGCGCCACGTGAACACCATGCCCGCACCGTTCCCGATCATGTCGTACGGGTTCATCGAGCCCTTCACGTACAAGTTCAAGTCGTTCTTTACGTTCATAACAAAGCTCCCGTGCATCAACAACCGCACCTTGTCCCAGAACCCTATCTTTACGGACGGATCCACCGGTGGTTTCGTGAAGTTGTCCATCTGCTGCGTCATAAACTGGAGCGCCGAGTGGGTCGCCCTGCTCCAGCTGAAGATGGATGACTTCTCAGACGCAATATCCACCACTAGGCTGTGGTAGAACTTGACCGGCGAGAGTGTTCTGGGCGTGAGAAGCGAGAAGAACGTGTTGGTATGGCAGTCCTTAAACATCGAAAGGAAAGGCACCCAGATATAGCGCATTGAATGGTAGAGAGGCACCGTCTCGCCCACCACCAAGTCCCCGTGCAAGTGGAAGGCTGGCGCCGAGCTGTGGCTCTGCGGGAAGTGGAGCATCGGGAGCGGATAGTCGCGGAGCACTATGAGCACGTGCGAGGATATCACCTCGAGGTGCATCGGGATCAACGTGCACATATCCATCTTTGGCTGGTGCTGACCATGCATGTACATAAAGTCGTACACGTTATCGAAGCTGGGGCGGTCGACAATGACCTCGAGGTCGAGGAGCGAGGCCGCAAACAAGCTGCTGTGGTGGGCAGCGCGTAGCACGCGGTACTTTGAGAGGAGCACGTCGCTGAAGGCCTCGGCCCCCCCGTAAAGCTCTTTGAGGTTGTCCATGAACTTTAGTCTATGGCCCTTGGTCGCTTTGAAGCTCGTGGTCCACGACCTGGAGAAGTTTGCCAAAAGGCGGTCACGGGCGTCGGCAATCTCCTCCTCGAGGTCTGCACGGTGAAGAAGATACTCCGGGTCCTGGGAGTAGTCCACCTCGGGGTACCAATCTGGGTGGTCAGTCGAACCAGAGGTCTTGGAGTCGACGGGGTTAAAGTTGGACCTGGAGCTCTCTGTCCGCTTAGAGCCGTTCTTCTTTTTCTCCTCCCGCTTTTTAAAGATGGAACAGTTGGTCTGGGTCCCGCACTCCTTGAACAAGCGGCACAAGTTCTCCTTGCCCTCTACTTTGACGGGGGAGTCCGCGCTCAACTTGATCTTCTGCTCCCTCACCCACTGCTTGTAGTCCTCCTCCACGATACGCCTGCTAGTACGCTCAAACATGTCCATCTTGGACAAGCGCTTGATCTGTTCGACACGCCCGAGCTGGAACACCAAGCCCAACTCACTCTCAAATGCGTCGTCCGTGAGAGTGAAGAGAAACTTAGATGCCTTGATAGACAAACGACGCGGCACCATTTTGGCGTCCTCCTTGTGCGGGTTGATGATTGTTGGCGGCGTGGTGAGGGCCGAACGGCGAAGTTGCTTGAAGTTGTAGTTGATCTGGCGTACCACCTTGAACAATGTCACGAGGTTGTCAATAATCTTGTACACCAAAAAGTCCTTGGGGATGTAGATCCGGATGAACGACGAGGTGATCTGGAAGTCAGAGAAGGCAAAATCGCTGATGGTGACCGCCCGGCACCATACATCGGAGGGTATGGTGGCATTGAAATCGCACACAAAGAGGCGGATGTTGGCGACCGAAGTGGTGAGGGGAGCAGACGCAGACTGGGACACCTTGAGGTTGTCAATCTCAAACAACACCTTTTCTTCGTTGGGGATACGCGCGTTGATGAGGATGGATGGAACGGAGAGCTGAAACTGGGCGGGTGGGCCAGTCTTTGGGGCCTTCGGTTCCGGCGTCTCCAGCGACGCATAGTGCCGAAGGAAGATGTTGGTAACAAGGTACACCAAAAAGACAGCGGTCACCGAGAACGCGAGGTCAACGTCGGCCACCTCCACGGAGATAATATCAGTCTTGCGGACCTTGACCCACGGAATTGCCAACATCGGGTGCACCTGTTCCAGCTGCACCGTTGCCACTAGTATCTGCTCTACATCGAGCTGCCACTCCACAGCCGCCGCGTTGGTCATCTCAAATTGGAGGTTGTGAATGGTGGACGTGTAGCCCTTCTTGCACTCGATGAACTGGGACGCCTGCGTGTCCGTGAAGCCCAACAGGGTCAAGTCCAAGGCGAGAATATCGATCAAGGCCCGGACAGAGGTGACACAGTTGATCACAATCGGGTGTGGGGCGTGCTTAAAGAGTTTGACGCTGGCGAGTTTGCTCACTCCCTGCGAATGGGTGAGCTTTGCCTCGAGCTTGAAGGAGATGAGGTCGTCGTCGTTGGTGAGCTGGACAACCTTGACCAGCACGTTCTTTAGCGTGACCACGGCAGAGAGGGACGTACCGCTCATGCTACTCGCAAGAGAGAGGTGGCCCACATGGAGAAGCTGCTGGATCTTGAGTTCGCCGGCAACGTCCTCCGTGGTGTGGACGCCGGTGAATGGCACCCGCTCCTCGTATATGCGGATGTCTGTGAACTCGATCGTGAAGGCAAGTCTGAGGAGGCGCAACAACGGCGCGAGCTGTTTTGGGACCCGGAATTCGAGGCTGGATGGTGGCTTCGGCTTTGAAGGTGCTTTGGCTTTGGCTTTGGCCTTGAGCTTCTTGAGCACCTGGAGGTCTTCAATAACGACGGTGCGGGTCACAAAGGAGAAGCTAATCCGGCCCACAGATATGAGGCCCTTGTACGTGATGCGTTCAATGGCAAAGAGTCGGAACCGTGCGACGCGGAGCTTCGGCACACAGAGCGTGATGAGGCGGGGGAGGAAGAACAACAGGCATATCCAGAGACACAAGAGCGTAAAGAGATGTTTGAGCATGGTTGGGAGGCTGATTTTGATAAATGAAAAATATTTCAGTGGCAAGTTGATGGAAAGTCAATGGCAAGTTGATGGAAAGTCGATGGCAAGTCAATGGTACTGGCACCGATAAAGTGGCAATTTACAGAGGTGCAGCAGTAACGTAGTTCCCGTTGGATTGTGATTGAAGATAGGAAGCAATGATTGAAGACTGGAAGTAATGGTATTGGAATCTCCGTAATACAATTAGTTTAGAGAGCAATTTTCAGCAGAAACGGTGGCAAGTAGGTTCAACAAGAAACGAAACGGTGGTGAAAAGCAAGGCTATGAACTGGTAAACAGAGGTCTATCACGCCGAGATATAAGTGGACTGGTGGGGATTGAGAAAGCTGTCAATGATAAAAGCTCATACGTCTCGTGATATCTGGGCCGCTGGCCGTTATCGCTGTGATTCCGGGCAACTTGATAATTGCTTACCGGCACTTCCATGCATGCGCACGTGACACCAGGGAGAATGAGGGCGGGCATCGCAAACTGACGTACAGAAGCCCGTATATGCGTGCAGGCAAACTCCGGGACCAAGCGAATTCCGAGATCTGGCGTTCTGCAAAACAGTGTAACAGGGACTGAAAAGACGATTGAGATGAATTATTAGAGATTCTGGTGAAACTTGTGAAATCTTGTTGCATCAGCCTAAGCACAGGTAACACTACGTGTGTGCTTAGATGGTAGAGGCTTTTCGCTCGCATAGGCCGTATACATGCAGGCTTCTAGAATATTGCGCATGTCTTAATTACAGTCTAAACATGCGCAACACTAACATGGAGACTTTATTTTAGCAGGTAGGCCTTGGAGGCCATTCAGCATAGCAGCAGCGCTGAAGTCCTCGAAGCAAAACCGTGAATGATATAAGTCATTTCGCGAAGGCTTAGTGGTATGAACCTTTGATGGTCCCCTGACTGACTAAAATATTTACTTGGCTCTAGTACATGACTAAGGTGCTCGTAGTTCCGAGGTAACTGAGGCCTGTATCCATTGGAGGCCCCGCATGCGACTAATTTTCTTACGAGGCAGGCCCCCGCAGTACAACTGCGCTAATTCCTCAGAATTGATGCCTTTCAATGACATCTAAGGTTCTCAGTATGATGCCACATTTACAAGCCTAGTCTCTGGGATCCATACCTGCGTCTCAACCCCGATTGGTACGTGTAGAGTCCTACAGGTGCGCCGGCTCTAGTGATACTTCAGACGATCGGATGCACCGGGTTCCACAGATAACCAGGTTAGTGGCTAATTGTACATATCTAGCGTTCAATTAAAGACTGGTATATTCGAAGCTGTTGGTCGACCGAAGAATCCCGAGCGGAAGCCTAGGAGTTTATCACTACCGAGTAAACGTTTAATGGTTTAACTTTTTCAAATCCCATAACTGCAGATCCAAGCATTGGTATTGTACCAAAACATTGTGTACCAACGGGTTAATTTCATGGATCAAAGGTCTATGCGTGGGTTGTCATGCCTACATATCGGTCAGAAAACGCCCAGTTTCTAACTACATATTTCGAGTCAATAATAATATAACCGTGAATGGCATCCCTACTTCTCCTGTACATCAGCTTTGTCAAATAGCTCGTCAATTATAATAATACATAGCCATAAATGGCGCCCCTATTTCTTCTGCTCATCAGCCTTGTCAAACAGCTCGTCAATTGGCCCTAAGATCAACTTCTTCAAGTAAAACACCCTGTCGGCGACATCATTGTTCAACTGCACCTTTTCCTTCTCAAACACGTTCGTGACATCGATCAAATCGCCAATGTCCTTATCGTCGTCCAAGTCGTTTAAGTAGTCCGCAGCCTGTCTGTCGTCACCGACCTGGGCAAACTGGTACAACACAGATCCTGGGGCGTAGCCGCCCTTGACCAACTCCTGTCTGGTCTGCTTGACAATCTTGGCAATGCCGTCTTTGTCGGTAAACGGAGGCTGCTCTCCATAGGGCATCCCGTCGGTGAGCACCACCACCAAAACGGGTTTGGCAAGTCTCTTGGCCGGCACCCTCTGCAGCACAAACGGCTTGATGACATTCTCGTAGAGCTTGGTCGCAAGTGGCGTAACCCCAAAGTAGCCCACATGCGGGCTGTTCAAGATCGCTCTGACGGTATCTTCCGATTGGATGTTGTCGAAAGAGATCCCCGTGTCCTGGTAGACCCCCTGCTGGAGCTGGTCGTTTTTGTTCATGAAGCGCAAGGCGAACCCCTCATTTTTGATACTAATGGTCTTCATGATGTCTAGCATCAATGTCTTGAACTCCGTCTGTCTCTTGACATTCGCCATGGAGCCAGAGTTGTCAACAAACAACACTATGTCGAAAAACAAAAGCTGCGCAAGCTCGTCCATTGGGAAGGCCGGTGGAATCTGCAAGTTCTGCTTGATCTGATGGAGCTTTGCCAACGCATTGTTTTCCCTAAGAATCCGGATAAGCTGATCACGCGACGTGTAGAAGTTATGGGTCTTGCGCGACGGGATGAGCGTCGAGGCAATTTGCGCAAAGTCCTGGTCGGTGTAGGAGGACTTGGAGCCCCCGAACATCTTCTTGAAAGATGACTTTTTCCGTGTGGATTTGAGATACTCCAGCCACAACTCTGGGTTTTGCAACCGGTTAAGTGACTTGATGATTGAGGGCAAGAGGGTTTCGTAATCGTGGTCGGTGTATTGGGAAGTCTGCGGAGGGGCGTCAAACAGCTGGGGCTGAGACTGTTCCTGCTTGTACTTCTCCTTCAAGGCTTGCTTTTCCTGTTCCGCAGACGCTGGCGTGAATGGGTTGGAGGTTGGGTGGCCCGGCGGTGGGACTGCTGGTCTCTGGTACTGCGCAGTCGAAGTGGAGGAGCCTTCGGCATCTGGAGCGTAGGCTGGAGGTGGCACAGCACCCGGTGGAGGGCCTTGTGGGCGATTGAATTCTGACATGATAAAATTGTTGGCAGTTGTGAAAGGTTGAGCCATGTAGATGGCTTAAATATTTGGTGACGAAAAATTTAAGGGGCGTGAACTGCAGATCATTCGCGCATTATGACGACATAGGGTGTTTGGATGGGGCAGATCTGCCTACAATTAAAACCCGGTAGGCGGTCTAAATGCCATGTCAATAGATTTTTAATTTATACATTGCTATATATCCAGTATCTATGGCCCATGTCTAGCTTTGTTTTTCGTAGAATAATGGGCTTTGCTCGGGCTCGGTGCCAAGCTTTAAACCCGATTGGATGTAGCAGGGCTATGCTGCCTAAAGTGCAATGATGGACAACAGCCTGTTGGTATTTTTTTCACCAGTATGTGGTTCATATAGCCGCAGCATTGTTAAAACCCATAATTGAGTCAAAGAAGCTACATAATCCCTGTCAAGCTATTGCTTATCGGGGACACTAGGTGGAGGTGAAAACTTGTATGCATTGGTCGAAAATGCAAGTAACCATTTGTTCCTGGCAAGAATCTCCACCTAAGGACAAATTTAATTATTACATCAGGACGATATCAGTACACTGTATAAACCACTTGGCTTCAAGTTTTGCGCACATCATACATGGCACTGCCCCTTTACCTCAATGCTGATTCAGCCAGCAGCATGCATGGCACCATAGACAGCTTCGCGAGGCTAATACGGTAACCCCAATTATGCCCCGTAACGGAAATTCCTACGCGCTGAAACTCCCGATGACGTTCACCCAAATGCAGAGTCATCCCTCAGTCCCCGGAACTTCTCCTGCAGAAAAAAAAATACCTAGTCCCCAAACTCCGCCTTCAAAAACTTACACCTCCTCTCATCTCCACTTCTCTTTTTTTCTAACTATAACCCTACAATGAACAACCAAGCCCCGCCAGTATACAGTGCGGTCTCTGAAAAGTCCTCCACCCCCAGGACGTTCACGCGCCCATCAGGCCCGCCGCCTGGATCCAGCCCCGCGGTGCGCCGCCAGTCGACCATTGCGAGTATCTACCAGCCGGGAAACTACTCTGTATTCCTCCCGCTGATTATCAAGTCGCTCAACCGATTACAGAACCCTCAGTACTGGAAGGAATACAAGAACAAGTCCAGTCTTCTGAAGCTCTTTCTGAAGAAGAAATACTCCAAAACGGATCTTCTCCGCGCGGACGACGAAATCTTCCCGTCGCCAAAGTACAAAAACTTTTACAAGCACAAGGAAGAGATCTTGGCAACGCTCCAGCAAACCAACATTATTGAAAACCTCAACGCCATCCGCCGCCAGTTGCGCATCCCAGTGTCGCTCGACCTCCACGAGCTCGCGCAATTGGTCTTCTTCGACTGTGTAGTGTACATTGACAACTCCGGATCGATGTCGGAGCCAAAGCGCCAGAAAGAGTATAAGTCGATTATGGAGACGTTTATGCAGATTGTTGCAATCAATGAGAGTGGCCTCTCGTTACGGTTCATGAACAACCACGAGAACATTGCCGGGGCCATTCTCGAGGATATGGGCATTGACATTGACCGGCGGATTTCCTCGCCTGAGCTTCTTGCGACAATCCTCAACTCTCCGCACGTGGCGTACTACGGCGTCACGCCCCTTGCGACCAAGCTCCACAAGAATGTGTTGCAGCCTTTTGTATACGACAAGCTCCTCGCTGGAACCTTCACAAAGCCGTTGCTTGTCATGGTACTTACCGACGGCGAGCCATACGGTGAAGACCCAGGTTTTACAATCAGAAAAGTGGTGCTTGATACCCAGAAGATGTTGGAGAAGCACGGTTGGCCCCCGGCCTCGGTGTTGTACCAGTTTGGCCAGGTTGGGAACGACAGGCGCGCCGCCCAATCGCTCGATGATTTGGATAACGATCCGTTGATCGGGGACGTTATTGATTGTAATAATGTGTATGAGAAGGAGAAGTTACAGTTGCACGACGACGTGGCAAACCGCATTTTTTACGTCAAGAAGTTGGCCTTGGGTCCGATCGATGAGAAGTTTGATCTTGCGGATGAGCTGACAATGTGAGAATGGGAATTATGTGTATATTATTAATGAAATAGATGTACTGGCAAGTTTTTCGTCCACGAGTGGATATTCCATAATATATATTATTAAATTTTGTTAGTCATACATGCATACATATTTAGTGCAATATATAATTTCCCAGTTTCGATAATTAAAATTTTATTATAAATATCGGATATTAGCCAATCTACCAGAGTAAATTCCAAACACTAGCTGAAGTATCTGAAAAAAGTATAGCTCTTACTTTTAACAACAACTACATTCTGCTCTCAAATGTTGCTGGTATAGCACAGTAGATTGCAAATCTGGTTCTCCAATCCTGAGTACGAGCCAGACTTTATTTTATCCGGCCGTTTTTATGACTCGGCGCACCTCAGGCCCGGAATCCATCCGATTGATGCCGCGGCTGAAATTTCGCATGAGTCTTACAAATTACTCATAGTTGTGCACAAATTGGAAATAGTCTTTAGCAAAGTGTGAGCTATACAAAACTCTGGGGTTGACACATAACTGTGTAGTTCCCTTTTCATCAGACCCTAGCGCATAACCCTAGCACATAACCCCCGCACTTCACCTAGCAATGCTGGTGCTGGCAATGGCGAAACCCGAACCATCCCCAGACTCTCCTCCTGATTACCTCCATGAAGATAGTCCTCCCGAGTGTCGGATCCTTGATACCACCCCTCCCTACTTCAAACACGGCTACTCCAACGATGAAAAGATCCACAATTTCCACCAGTTGCCCAAGGCCGTGTCCAAAAAGATCATTATCGAGATCGTCACCACCACAAAGCCTGATTCAGGGAACCTCACCCAGCCGTTAGTTCCCACGGCTGCGGACAAGCTCTACACCAACGGCGATTACGTGTGTGGGTACATCAATATCCAGAGCACGTACACCGAGCCCCTCCCGTATGCCGTGTTTGCAGTGACGTTTTCCGGCAACATCAACCTTTCTAGCCGGAACAACTCGACATCAAAGACGATTTTGCACACAATAGACCTCTTTGCATCTTCTTACCCTGAAGTGGACGCCCAGTTTGCTGTTTTAACGGCCAGGGACTATGACGGGGTGGAAATCGCCTTGCCATATTCGTACGACCTCCTTCCCCGGGTCAAGTACCGCAAATACTTTGTCTTTAAGATACCCACAAAGCTCCTCGACACGTTTTGCGAGCACGGAGAACTGCAACACTGCTCCCTTCCGCCCACAATCAAGGACCGTGGCACCGGTCTGGGAGTCAAATACGCCATAGAAGCGTTCCTTGTGTGTGGATCCACCCTAAGAAATGACGACTTTGTAGTTAAAGGCTACAAGAAAAAAGAGGTGAGGTTTCATCCCAGGTCCGTGGCGGCGATAGAGCCGGAGCTCCCTGACATGCCGCAGTACTTGCGCCAGACGACACGAACCTTGGAGACGGTGGAAGACTCTCGCATACGGAATCTAGCAACCAGAGAGAACATTGCCGCAGCCAGACCAATTCTCTCGCCCACCGTCTCTTCCATCAAGGTCATGTACTCCAGCGCAATCAACCGGAGCTCGGTTCGCGATTCTAACCCCCCGCCCGAGATCTATGTCAAGTACCAGTCCAGCAACAAAGTCTTTGGATCCACCCTCTTTCTGACCTCCAACTGTTTGGGTGAATTGAGGCTACAGACGCGATTGCATCCCCAAATCGTCCCCCTCCTGGCTCTAAGAGACGGTGTCAACGTTTCCATCCCGCTCGTGCTCCAAATCGAGTTCTTCCCACAGACCAAGTCTAAGCCCCCTAAGTTCAAAAGCTTCACAGCCTCTTTCGTGGCGTTGACGGTGGAGTCACGGTATGCGATTCCCATTCACTTTTCGGTGGACTTGTTCTTGAACAACGGCGGAAAGACCATGGCCAATGCCAAGGCCACTCTTAAGAGCATCGCCGAGCGAGCCCTGGAATTGGGTAATGAGGCCTTTTCCGCAGAGGTGGCCAAGGCTCGCAGTGCTATCCATTCGATGTCTGTCACCCAGCGCCGCTACTACAAGTCTGTGTTTGCTGTGAAAGGACATGCTGGCTCCCTCTGGGGCGCAGGAAATGATACCAAAAGCGATGTGGAATTGTGTCTAGAGCTAGGCTCGACCGGGGAGTTTGCCGAGTTGAAAACAGATATCATCCCCAGCTACCACAACTGCTTTATCAACCGGTTGTATGGAATCAAACTTGATGTGAACTTTGCCAATAACGTCACGGCATCGTTGTACATTCCAATCACCGTGGTGTAGCAATTTTATACGAGTGAGGAAATTTTAGGTAGATTATACGCTGCTAAAGAGCAAACCTTGGCATGACTCAAAGTTGTAACCCCTGAGCCAGAGTTTACTCACCAATGGGCTGCAGACCTCAGTCTCCCTGATATACTCGGACAAGTCATGCCATCTCAAACTCTGCTCAATCTTTACATGATAGTACGGCTTAGGGTATTTATTGGTCGACTCTATATACAATGCACGCGTCCACCTTAGCCCTCTTTAACAGCCATGTCAATCACCTTCCAGCTGTCATCAACAACATCGGTCTTGCTACCAACAATCACCACGTTCTTTTCCCCCCCATCGATCAAGTACTTCTGGGCCGCACCCCTCACGTCGTCCAACAGACACGCCAACAAGCGCTCTCTTCTCTCTTGTCTCATCTCCGGCGTGATGCCATCCCTGAACTCGATCGCACCGTCATTTCTGACGCTGGTAGGGGCGTCAATGCCCTGGAAAATCGAGAGCTTGGCCTCCTGCAACGCTGCAGCGTCCCACTCCGTCGCCTGCACAGCGTAGGCCCCGGAGGCTTGGAAGAGATCGATGGATCTGTACGGGTTAGGATCTCTGTAGGTGTAGAAGCCAAACACGCCGTCGGCGCCTCCGTACGATGCTCCGGCACCATAGGCCCCACCCTTTTCCCTGATTTCCTTGTGCAAGTGCTTAGAGGTTAACATATTGGATAACACCTGCAAGCTAGAGCCGTCGTCGTGCACATACGGAACGCCCGGCAAGCACATGGCGGCGTAGTTGACCTGGAACGGAAGGTTCACAAACGTCTTGACCCCGAGCTGCTGCTGGGCCTTGAAGTCGGCAGCAAACTTTGCAAGCTCGTTCATCTGGCCTTCCGCCACATCCGATGGCAACTTGCTGACAAAGTCCCGCAAGAGCTTTTCGTTCGAAGCACTGGACGCCTGCTCGTGGATCAAGTGGAACTTCATGTTGGCAGAGCCCACGAGCAACTGCTGCAATCTCTCCAACGCGGGAATGACCTGGGTTTCCAACTCGCCGTTGTCGACCCACTGGTTCAACTTCTGGATGAATTGGATCTGGCTGATCCCGCTGAGCTTGTCCTGGATCTTCTTGACCGGCGTGAGCTCAGATGCCGCCAAGTTACGGGCGTAGGAGTGGCCCGCCTCTGCGATGGAGCTGATATTGTTGGAACCCATCATCTTGATCAAGGTGGTTAACTTTTCCACGTTGCGGAAGTTGGTGTCAACCAACAACTCGCTCCAGATCTCAAAGATCTTGGCAACATTGCCGTTGAGCGCGCTCCCCGACACGGAGAACTGCAACGTTGGTTCCGAGATGCTGTATGGGTCCGGTCTGACGCTAACCGAGGCGGACAACCCGCCGGTGTACAACTGCATGTCGCTCTCGAGGTCGCTCATGGACTTGGTGTTGGTCCCGAGGTTGGTCAAACAGTCGGTGAACAACGGCAAGAACTCATAAAGCTCGGCTGGTACATGGGGAATGGCCTTTAACCCGCGGAAGTACGTGAGCCCGTTGGTATCGGTGATCCTCTGGCTTACATCCCCGGCAGTGGTTATCGCGGGGTAGTCACCGTACGTCGGGATGTCCTTCATGGTCAAGGTTGGCAACACGGAAACATCCTCCACCTCGTTCTGTTTTGCCAATAACGCCAAACCACGGTCATAAATAACCTTCTTGTCCTCTTCGTTGAGCTCCGCAACCTTGAACGCCAACCTCAGCTTTTCTTCCGCGATCGTATCGCTCTTGAACTTTCCGCTGGGTTTCATGGAGAAGGTGAAGGTTGGCTTGCCGATCAAGTACTGGTCGATCAAGCGCTCAAACAAGCCGCCACGGGCGTACTCCGCCTTGAACTTCTTGACGTTCTTGTCAAATTTCAAGTTTTCGAACGGGTGCATGTCGTTGGCCCAGGTCGGCGCAATCCCATAGAGCAACCCCATCCCGAAGTCCGCCTTCTGGTCCTTCTTGCTCAACTCCATCAGGTGAAGGATCGCCTGGACGCGCTTGTCAAACACGGCACCGTTGGTGTCCACCAATTCTTGCTTCACAGATTGAAGGATCGCCACCACCTTGGCCCGCAAACCGTCGGAGTTTTCCTTGGACAAGCCCTGGAGGCCAACGGTAAAGGAGCTGAGGGCGGTGGTGGAGTCAAAGCCGGCGTTCACACTAAAGTCTGTGCCATACCCGGACTCGACCAACTGCTGGTAGAACGGCGACGCATGACCGTCCATCAACAACGTGCCCAAGATCCTCATACAGAAGGTTTCGTAGACGTCGGTAGGAGCGCCGCAGAACCACGTGAGTGACGTCTTGCGCTGCTGTTCGAGCGGCGCCATTGGGTCCACAGGACCGTCCAACTCCACAGACCGGTCTTCCGTCAACGCGAGAGGCTGGCGGATGTCATTCTTTGCCGCACGCTTGCCGTACGTGGAAAACTGTCTGTCGAGGTACTTTAACTGGTCCGGCAACGGGATGTCGCCGTAGGTGTAGACACGGGCATTGGACGGATGGTAGTTGCTGCGGTGAAAATCCACCAAGTCCTGGTAGTCCAAATCGGTGATCTTGGTCGGATCGCCACCCGAGTTGTTCAACGACGGGTACACGGCCTCCTGGAACTTGATGTAGTAGTAGTATGACGCGTTCGAGACCTGGCCCTTCATCTCGTTGTACACCACGCCCTTGAATGTCAAGGCAGAAGCAGCGTCCTGAGGGTCTTCGTTCTCCAACCGCCAGCCCTCCTGGAAAAAGTCCTCCTCCTTGAGAAGAGGCTCGAGCACTGACGAGAGGTATACGTCGCGCAAGTTCTCGTAGTCCTTCATGTTGGTGGTGGAGAAGGGGTAGAACGTGTAGTCGTGGCCAGTCATGGCGTTCATAAAGTTGGAGAGCGAGCGGTTGAGCATCTTGAAGAAGGGGTCGTGCACCGGGTACTTGTACGACCCGCATAGGGTTGTGTGCTCCAAAATGTGCGGCACGCCGGTGGCGTCCGGTGGGTTTGTCTTGAAAATCACCGAAAAGACGTTGTTTTTGTCACGTCTGTCGATGTGCAAGTGCTTTGCTCCGGATTTTACGTGGGTGAGATCAACAGCCGTGAGGGAAAATTCAGGGACGGGGAGCACGTCGTTGATGATGTAGCCGTGGAGCTCGGAGCCCACGGGGTACTGGCGCATCGCCGCCGACGCATCATAAGAGGCATACCGGTGGAATACTGCAGAGCGCTTGGCAAGTACCGCTTTTGCGCGAATGAGAGAAGACATGAGAGAAGGAGGCAAAACGGTGGGTGACAAGAATAATGCTTTTTTTGGTAATTTTCAGTTGATGTGCGCAGGAGGGCGGGGCGCATAACCTGTGAAGGATGTACCATTGAGAATAAGCCAGAGGATGCCAGAGAATAAACCGGAGAATAAACCAGAGAATAAACCAGAGAATGGACTATTGAGAGTGAACTATTGAGAATAAACCATCGATTGGGGCTATAACGGTCATTTAATTACCCGATGGTGTATTATGACACATAATTTATTCATGCTTGTGGGGCAATACACGAGAGGTTAGTTCAGCCTTGCATTATAATACCCATGGGTTGGAAATCTCCAGCACGTTAGATACTTTTTTTTAATACGCAACAAAGATAATTATTGATCATATATCTGCTTAGTTGGAGTAAAGTATATGACTGGTTTGGGAATGATCCATGGTTTCATGGATTGTGTTTGTGAATTCGTGGGTATCCTGCCCATGCAATTCCTGTCGCGACCTGAACCTGGAACTATCCGGCACACACAACTCACAACACTCCTTTCAATTGGTATTTTGAACTATCTTCCATTACACTGGACTAAATATTGCATATATACTAACAATACTGATCAATTATCCTTATCATGTCATCCTTGGACGACTATCGCCAAGACATTCACTCGCTCTCTACGGAAATCCAGTCTTTGGCAGACCAGCGCCAGACGTTGCTCCAGACGTACAAACAACTTTCCAACGCTCTCCAGCGGTCTCAAACCCCGGAACCGTCCCCGGAACCCACAACTTTCACCTCGGAAAAGGAGCGTCGTGACCACATGCTGTTCAAGCGACAGTTTGCGGGTATTATCGTACCGCCGAGCGCCAGACACCTCCACTTTGATGAATCCATCGCTAGTCTCTTTGAGCCAGAGATGCCAGCGAAGAAGCAGAAAACCGCGGCTTCTGTGACGCCAGACTTTGTTGAAGAAAATGCCAAAACCATTGCTGTGAACGAGCAGCTCCATATGGAGAACATCTACCGGATGGGCGGTGTGACATTGTTTCCGTTGAATGAGCAGATCACCAAAATATACTTTCCAGAGGAAAAGACGGATCCGAAAGACGAAGCAGACCCCCTGGAGGAGATGCTTCTAGGAGTGAGAATCGACCTGACCTCCCAGACCACTAAAACTTTTGGCAAGCCACACTACGTGATCTTGAGGAAAGCAGTGTCTCTGGGAAAAGCAAACGTGGAGGCGAAGCTCGAATGGGAGGTGTTTAAGCACACATTACCCCAGTACATATCCCTAAAAGAACACACCGCCTGGTTGAATGTGGATTTGCAAAAGTTTGGTTCCGCCATTCGGAACGAGTTGGTGCAGTACCAGTATAAGCAAGACTTGTTTGGCCCTGAGGGTGTTTTGTGCCAGTTGCGTCTGGATACCGGAGACAAGCTCTTCGATAGGGTTGAAACAGACTTGGCGTGTATGGTGGTGCGTATCTTTCTAGGTGCGGAGGGTCCTGGGGGTCCGGTGGAGCTCAGACTTCATTGCCATACCAAGTCGGTCTCGAAGTGCGAGGTATTGAACACCCGAGAGGGTGATGAGGATATCCAAATCCTAAAGAATGTGAGAGTGATCAAGTTGCTCACTGGGGATTTTGCCTCTAACACTGACGTCATGACGAGAAAGTTTAAGCAGTGTGTGGAGATTTTACAGGCATAAGGGAAATGGAAGAGTGGGAAATGAATTGGGGGACGGAATTGATCGAGATCTGTACATGCTACAGAAAATTTAATTCATCTGACAAAGGTTTCCAACCTACTAGTGGGATCTTTAATAGTTTTATTTATCCATAATCAGCGTTCAGAGATATGCGCTTGATACACATAACATCTTACTTCAACTATTATCTTTCATGTATAAATTGAAAAAAAAGCTTTGATGATTAAAAAAAAGGCTTGATTTCATTTAGACAAGCAGTCTCAGTCACAGCAACCTCCTTAATCTCTGCTCTGGGTGGCACCGAGAATCTGCAAAATGTGCAAGAACAAGTTGATAATGTCCAAGTACAAGCTGATTGTAGCGGCAACCTCTTCCTCTGGATGGTATCTCTTCATAATCTGCTGGGTATCGTACAAAATGTACGCACAGAAGATCAAGGCAGCAATTCCACTGTAAATAATCTGGGTGGTGGAGGTGTGTGGCACAAACATAAGCACAAACCCGGTCCCAATCAAGCCAAACAAGGACCAGGACAAGACGCCCTGCCACGAAGAAAAGTCATACTTGGTCTGGAAAGCAAAGATTGTCAAGCCAAGGAAGATGAAAAGAGTGATGAACACAGCCTGGATCACAATCGTAGAGTCGTATCTCGTAGTGCAGACACCCACAAGGTAGCTCTCGCACAAGGTGAACCCGCCCAATAACGCCAAATTTACCGGATACTTTCTTGAGCACACCATGGCGCCAATCAAAAAACCGAAACTCCCAACCATGCTGACCCAGAACGGCCACATGTGCGTCAACGCGAACTGCCTGACGGTTTCGTTAGTGTAGATAACCGCGCCGATCAGAACCGTGGCAAAAAGCTGGACCGTAAGCAAGGCGTATACCTTGCGCAAGAACATGTGGCGGATGGGAAGCTCGCAGGCGGCAACATTGGTGTCATACTTGAAGTCATCGGGCACGTTATCGCCCTCAGCACGAGGAGTGGTATCGAAAAGCTCGTTGGAATAGGAAGGTGGTGCTCCCACAGGTGCATAAGCGTTACTCATAGTTATCGTTGGTATAGTTATGGTTAGTGACGAGGAGAAGAATAGTTTAGTAGATTTTAAGGGTGTAATTATTGCAGGGGCAAACAGGATGGGTTGAGTCACGTGATGAAGAGCACTGCGCCTGCGCCACTCTGGCCGTGCGCTTAGAATTCAGGTTTATGCATGGATGATAAGGGGTTGAATATGGGCTACATATAAATTATCCCGGAAGAGACTGCAAGTAGGAAAGTTAAAGGCAGCGGTATAAGACTCTTTTAATAATGGACAATGTGTAATTACAACTGGTTTTGACTTCTGGGGTGAATGTACATCTGTGAAGGATAATAGCCTAGACTCGCCCGATGCTCCAAGGTAGCAATCCGAAAATGGACTGCAAGGAGGTAGGAATGAGCTGGTGCACAAGTCTGAATCAGTGATACAGCGTTGATCAGCTTTGGAGGACTCGGTTAGGTTTATTTCCAAATTGCTATAAAAGGTGGCTCGCTTTTAGCGATACTTGATACTGGAATGGTTATAATGATACACAGCGGAAGGTATCTCGAGAAAGCACGGCAAGGCTCATATGGCACGTCAACGCTCCGAAACTTTTTCTGGCTACAATGTTAACCTATCCAACTTTCCTATTAAAATTGACTAAACGCAAGAAACGAGTTGATAAATAAAGATTTGAAATATCATGTCCGACCAGAGCTTGGGACGACCTTGATCACGAAGGTGTGGGGAATATCACTTCTGTGCAATTAGGTAGCGCATGAATGTATAACATCACCTCTTTTTTTATTCAATTTCCAAGATAATGCGAAGTTAGGCAGTGTGCAATTCAGTTTGCGGTCAGCACGTATTTCTTCGAGACTCAAGTACCTTGTCAGCCCATACTACTCCAAGGGCGTATGAGAATTTATCCACAAACGACCGAAAGTAAACGAGGCGATGACAATTATATCTACCATGAGAAGAATAAAAATGCCAGTTTTTGCTACGATTAAAGATAGGTTCTGTTGAGGCCCTTTAAGAAACATCATATTAATCGCAGCCAAGCCAATGCACACAGGGATCCAGCTATTGTGTGCGAAGTATCGATTCCATTTGTCATTTGTATAGATAGACATCACTCGAACATAAGAAGTGGTAACCAGAATCATTATGGCCAGTGAGAACACCATTAACCCCCAGACTACTTTCAATCGAGTCCGAAGAGGTTGAGACAGAGTCTGCCCATTTTCGGGGTCAGGGAGAGAGGAGAGGTTTTCGTCTTCACAACCTTCCAAAAATGTCAGTCTTGAACCTCGATCACCTTCGGCGGTAGTACTTGGGGTATTGTCATAAGAGTCCGAGAAGCTCATGTTTAGGGAGGAGATGAAAGTGTGGAAATTGTAGCAGCCTTTTAGGGCTAACAGGTATTTTTTTGTAGGGATCTAGAGCTTAAAGGTCTAGAAATAACGTGGGGTGGGAACCTTCAAGAAGAAATACGTGGAAGAGGATGAGGCAAAGCGTAATTTGAAGTTGCTGAGAACCGTTTAGCTAAATCACATTATACTACAGGGATCGACCGGGTCTTTTAGATAGACGCAGGGTAACCGCACTGGGAAACTTCAAAACCAAGCCACCAATTTAAGCTTTTTCGAGTCCGATGGCGTATCTCTGTATGACGGATAGTATGACTGAATCTTATTTCGCCGACTTTGGTGTATTTCGACAGCAGGAATCCAAGAAACCGGGCTGTGTTGTAGGAATTGATTTTAATGTGCGTCTGTATAATCTAAGGCTCAAACCTGAGTGGTAACTAATTTGCTAGTATTCCTAGCTAGGGCGTTTCCTTAAAACCATTAAAAAGCTGTTCAATTAATTTGAAAGTTCAAAACGTTCGATCGCTCGAATTCTCGCCTCGTAATCAACAGATAATGGCTCTTGAGGTTGTGAATAGCCAGATATTTCTTAGATCAGAGAATGGTATCTATCGAGCCGAAATTTTTGAATTCAGCGTTGGTCCACGAGATTCTGCACAGAATAGTGGAGCCTCGTCACTGAACGCAGTGCCACCTAGAAAGTCACTTCTACATCTTTCCAAGTGCGAGGCATCATCTCTTCTTTGCCTCCGAGCTACGCATCTAAAATAGAAATTAAAACGTTTATTCAACTTCCAAAATAATACAAACAAGGAAGTAGGCAATTCAGTGTGCAGTCTACTCCTATTCCCTCAAGACCCAGATACCCTGTCAGCCTGTACTACTTTAAAGACCCAGGAGCGTTTGTCCATATCCCAAGTAGAATAAATATGTGAAGGGCGAAATGTACGCTGCATACCAATTGAAAGACAATAAACGAGAAATTGGTAGTCATTGAATTTGGGTTCCGCAGCATCAGTTTACCCACACAGTAGCTAGAAATAAACAAGGGCAAAAGAGTGAATAAAGGGATCCAAGGATTGTCAGCAACGTATTGCTTCAATTTGTTACCTGCAAAGGAATTCATTAATCCAATCATGGAAGTGTTAACTAGAATTATGAAGGCCAGTGATAGAATCGTGAATATCCAAACTAGTTTCCACGGATACGGAGAATTTTCATGGGCCCGCTCATCCTGGGGACCAGGGAGAGAGGAGGGGGTTTCGTCTTGATGATTTTCCAAAAAATGCAGGTTCGAATCTTGATCACCTTCGGCAGTAGTATCCGGGCCTTTGTCATACGGGCCCGAGAAGTTCATTGTTTAGGAAGGAGAAGAAAGTGAGGGGTTTTCGGTTGAGGTTTAGGGCCAAGAGGTAAATCCTTTGTAGGGATCTAGAGCTTAGAGGTTAAGAAGAGTGGTAAGGTAGGAGCTTCAAGGGGAAATATGCGAAATAGGACGATGCAAAATGTGATTTGAGGTTGCTCCGAGAATTGTTTAGCTAGAATGCATTATACCACGGGGGTCGTTTGAGTCTTGCACACTAGCGCAGGGTAATCTCACAGGAGACTTCAAAACCAAGCCGCCAATTTAAGCTTTTCTGAGCTTGGCAGTATTTACATGATAGGCCATCAAATTTGGAATCTAGTTTCGCGGCCTTCGATGCTTCTCGATAGCAGGGATCCAAAAAGCTGGGGAGTGACGAAATTGATTTTAATGTGCACCTACTTAATCTGGGACTCAGATCAAAGTGGTATATAGTTTGTTAGTAATCTTTGCTAAAACCTTTGCTTAACTCTCAATAAAAGCTCTTCAATAAATTTGAAAATGCATAACATTCGATCCTTAGAACTCTCGACTTGGACCAAACAGATAATGGTTCTTGGAGCTCATCCTTGAGGTTGCCAATGACTAGATATATCTTGCTACCTGATAATGATATTGTCCAATCTCAGGGTTGAATCCGAAATAAACCCGCGCATCTCTACAAAGTGTGGAGGCTCGTTTCTGAACGCAGCATTTATAAAATGGCACTTCATCTCTTCGAATATAGTGCTAACTTATCCAAGATTCCTATTAATATTAACTAAATGCGAGAAATGATTCAGGAGGAATCCTCAATCACGGAGATTGTGAATTCATATCACCTAATTCACTGATAAGGATATATTATAAACGCCACCTATTCCTTTAGGTCTGAATTACATATTCGAACTATAGAAAGAATACTTATTCAGCTACCAGGATAATGCGAGAAATCCGAGAAATAGGAAATTCAGTATGCAGTTTGTACATACTCCGCTGAGACCCAAATTCCCCGTCAGCCTGTATCATCTCTAGCTCATTGACACTTCAGTTCCCCAGAAAAATGCAAGAAACCATTATTACAGTAAGATATGCACTCGTTGAAAATGTATAGGTAGTGAGCAGGATTTTGTAAGCCATTGAATTAGGGTTCCGTCGATACGCTGTACCAAGACAAAACGCAGACGTCATCGTGGCCAAATTAGTGAATGAACGGAGCCGGTAATTGTGTGCGACGTATTTCATAAATTTGTCACTTGCAAAAAAGGTCATTAATGTAACCAAAATAGCAGCAATCAAATACAGTAATGCTTGCGATACCAACAATGCTTTCAACAATGCTTTCAACGGCCTCCGAGGAGTTTCAAGCTGAGGTTGCCCTTTCTCGGGATCAGAGAGAGACGAGAAGTTTTCGCCTTCATAATCTTTCATAAGCGGCTGTTTTAAATCTTCATCTATTTGGATAGCAGTACCTGGGGCTTTGTCATACAGGTCTGAGAAGCTCATTGTTGTGGAGAAGAAAGTGAGGGGGTTTTAACTGAGTTTAAGGGTGAAGTGGTAAATCTGTTGTAGAAATCTAGAGTTTTGAAAAGTATTGAAAAACAGGAGACTATAAAACCAGGAAGAGATGCAAAATATGATTTGAACTTGTTCTGAGAACTGCTCAACTAGAACAGATATATATTTTAACGGGGGTCGTCTGAGCCTATAATACGCACGCAGGGTAACTGCACAAGGAGACTCCAAAACCAAGCTGCCAATTTAAGCTTTTCCAAGTCTGATGGCATATTTCTGTATGACAGATTGGAGATGCAGCTTCACGGCCAGAGGTGCATAACCGTAGGAATCCAAAAAGCTAGAGTGATGAAATCGATTTCAATGCGCACCTACCTGATCTAAGGCTCAGATCTAAGTGGTATATAAATTGAATCAAAAGTAGACCTACACACCTCTACAGAGTAGAAACTTGTTTCTGAACGCTGAATTTATAAAATGACATTTCATTTCTTCGAGTATAGTGCCAACTTATCCAAGATTCCAATTAGTATTAACTAAATGCGAGAAATGATTCTGGAGGAACCCTTAACCACGGAGAATGTGGATTCATATCATCTAATCCATTGATGAAGCTATATTATAGATGCCATCTCTTCCTCTAGGTCTGAATTACATATTCGAACTATAGAAAAATATTTGTTCAGCTACCAGAATAATATAGAAAACCCGATCAATAGGAAATCCAGCATGCAGTCTAGTCATATTCCTCTGAAACCCAAATTCCTTGTCAGCTTGTATTATTCCCAGTGAATTAACACTTCAGCCCCCAAATCAATTCAAATAATGCCTATGGCAAGATATGAGCTCAGCGATAATAAATAGACAAGAGATATGATTTTGAAAGCCATTGAATTCGGATTCCGTTGATGCACTGTACCAAAACAAAACCCAGATGTAAGCATGGCCAAATAAGTGAATGAACGGAACCGGTAATTGTGTGCGACGTATTTCATAAATTTGTCACTTGTAAAAAATCTCATTAATATAACCAAAATAGCAGCAAGTAAAACCAGTAAGGCATACAATACCAACAATGATTTCAAAATTGGTTTCAGCAACTTCCAAGGAGTTTCAGGCTGAGGCTGCCCTTTCTCGGGATCAGAGAGAGGGGAGAAGTTTTCGTCTTTACAACCTTCTAAAGGCGTCATTTTCGAATCTTCTTCGCCTTGGACGGCAGTATCTGGAATTTTTTCATAAGGGACTGAGAAGCTCATTGTTTAGGAGAAGAAAGTGAGAGAGTTTCGATTAAGTTTCGGGGTGAAACGGTAAATCCGTCGAGAGAATATAGAGTTTTGGAAAGCGTGGAACAACAGGAGACTATAAAAATCAGGAAGAGATGCAAAATATGATTCGAACTTGCTCTGAGAGCTGCTTAACTAGAACGGATATATATTTTAATGGGGATCGTCTAAGCCTATAATACGCACGCAGGGTAACTGTCAAAAAAGCTCACTAGTCAATTCGAAAGCGCATGACGTTCAATCCTTAGAACTCTCGTCTTGTACTAATCAGATAATGGTTCTCGGAGCTCATTCTTGATGTTGCCAATGGCCAGATATATTTTCAACCTAAGAATAGTATTTTCCGAGCCGAAAGATTTGAATTCAGCATTGGCCCACACATCACTACAAAGAGTGGGGGCTTGTCTATGAACGCAGTACCTAGAAATGGAGCTTCTACACTTTAAGTGCGGTGTTAACTTACCTTAGTCTCCTATTGGCATTGACTAAATGCGAGAAATAAATCGAGGGCGATTATGAATTTAAAGATATGCACGGCTAGAGTCGGAGGCACCCTCAGTCACCGGTGTAAGCCCATATTTAATTTACTAATAAATTTGTTATAAATGTCAGACGTCACCTTTTCGGTCGACTTTTGGATATGTATCTGAGGTGTATGGGAATATCCATTCAGTATCTACCTTGAATAGCCAATTGAACTGTCGGTAATTGAATGCCCTGAGCACTTATTGTTTCAAGGTGCAAGTACTTTGTCAGGCTGTATTACTCCACGAAATTAAGAGCTCTAGCCCATATATATAGAAATCATCGTAAACGTCTCAATAAGAAGAAAGACCCCCAGTATTAATGTATAGGTGATCACGAGGACTTTGGAAGATGATTTTCGCCGAAGAAAGATTGACATACACCAAATAAGCCCAAAGGTGATTAATTTAGACCAGTAACGGGTCCAGGAAGTCAGCACACTGTATTCCCTCAACTGGTCGTTTGCAAAAAAATACATTAATCCAGCCAAAACAGTTTCTAAAACAAGGCCACAGGCAATCTTTACAAATATTGAATTCCACCAAGGAGTTTTGTCATGGCCCTGCCGACTTTCAGTGTCAGATATGGAGAGAGTTTCATTTTCCAACACTTCTGCATCCATCAGTACTAAATCGTACTCGCCTCGGTTAATATCAGGAGCTATACCATAAATTCCTGAGCTCATGGAAAGAGATTTGTAAGTGTTCAGGGAGAAGCTACAAATCAAAGGTATAGCGATTGAGAAATGTGAGGGATTGAGAAAACAGGGAATGGTAACTTCTAGAAATATGATATATCGGATGTTACAAGATCTATGAAATGATTTTATGACTGTCAATTTCCACAGGACGTCAGCAGACGTGCAGGATAGCCATGAGAGGCTGGTTGATGCAGACACGACTGATATGTTTTGAGAAGCCGTATATCCAGTTTCTTGTCGCTAGAGTTCCTATGACATAACCCTGAGCTTCTAGTTTGTCTATTAAACTCCTAATTTTCTTGATTCGGTATTACAGTACGAAACCCTATCCATCTCATTTGTATATGGATGGATAGGTGAATGGATGAAGATATTCTATTTCTGAGCTTAGCGTCACATGGTTTGTCTACGTCGCTCTGGTATTAACCTTCGGATATATACCCGTTAGATAGAATAAAAATGACTCATAAAAGTCGTATACAAGCTCTATTTCACCTAAATGGTAGAGATCTCTCACCAATAGCACCTCTAAATTACGTTTGTCACACCTGGTTCCTACATTATTAGATATATTTTTGCGGCATTCATAACTTTTAGTTAATGCTCTAAATCCCTAGCTTCTCAAACTCGTCAACAGGTATTGCGCCCCCAACAAGCTCAAGAATCTCCCTGGTGAGCTCCAAAACCAAAAGTGACGTATTGCCGTTCAGCTTCCCAAGCGATTCCTGCACCTTCTGGCAAACAACACCCCACTGGCCACCTCTATGTCTGTCCGGAGTGGCGAGGAGCACCTTTAAAATTCGCAACAAGCACAAATGGACAACCGATCGTGTCTGCGAGACGGAATTCAACTTGCGGAGAATCGTATCGATCAAGCGGCGATCGAATAACGCAGAACAGAGACGTGGGTTTTGCACCAAAATCAAGAAATTCTCCAAAATGCTGTCAAGGTTAGAGGGATTGGGCATAGAGAAGGCGTTGCTGATCGTATCGATGTTAGCAATGATCGCACGTTCGACCAATCCCGGATCCTGGATCAACCACTGGGTGATTGTATCCAACGCGTTCGACTGCCAGTAGGGATCGCTTAACAAGCGTAAATACGACGTCAACACCTGATGTTTCCACAACGCAGCTCTGACCAGCGAACCACAGTGGACCAACTCGCACAAAAGAGACAATACAAACTGCTTGAACGGAAGGTTGATAACGGAAAGGTGTTGGAGGATCGGGATGATCCCCATGTCGACAATCTCGCTCTCACGAGAATGGTTCAAATAACACATATTGTAGAGAATCGGGCAGACAATGTTGGTCACCTCCTTGTAGCCAGGGACTCCAGGCGTATACTCCTTCAAGAGTCCGACCATGAGCCCTAGTATTTTGCACGAGTACATCACGTCACACACGGGCTTGCTCGAAGATATTGCCTTGAAAAACTTCAAAACCACCAACTGGTTGTCAAAGGGCAACTCGTTATATACCCTGGTCATCGATTTGAACAAGGTGACGGTAGAGATGTTTTTCCGCACAGTCATCTCCGAATGCCCAAAGATCTGGAGGATTCCGAGAATCTTTGCCACGTACTCGGTCTTGTCCGTTCCATTGCATTGGTTTAACAACACCCCCAACCAGTCCACCGTGCCGAAGCGAGAGATGATGCGACAAAAGTCCGACTTGGGGGTAACCGAAGGGCGGGACAACAAGCCGTGGATAAAGTCGATGCTCAACAAGGCGAACGCCGGTTCGGTCTCTATGTCCTCCTCTATAAACCGCGAGATAAGGTGCACGCCGCCACAGGAGACAAACATCGCGAGCGCGGCGTCAGAGCCGTCCAACATGGCCCGTACAAACACAATCACCTGCAAGCGGGTTTCTGTGGGAAACTTTAACTTTGCAAAGTGGGTAAAGACCGGAATCCCGCCAACCAGACAGAACCGGTCCAAGGCGGTGGTGTTGGACCGGAAGAGCGAGTTCAAGATCCGCAAACACGGCAACCAGAGCGGCAAGTCAGGAAGCATCGGGGCCAGATCCAACAACTCCATGATCGGTAGCACGCCGTGGTTGCGGTTCATAGTCTTGCTCGTCAGTGGATGGGCTGCGAGCAAACGAAGGATTTCGTCAAGAAGAAGGCCAATCTCCATAACCACTTGGGAATCACCGCGGCGATGGAAATGGTCAGATTTTGCCGCTAAATCGACAATGAGCGCGGTCATCTCGTTCTGCGAGCGCACATCTTCGTTATCCACCGCTTCCTCCATGTCCAACTCCAAAAACGGGTCTTCCTCGACCGTTTCTTCCAGTGGTGCAGGGGCCTTTAATCTAAAGGTGACATTATCAAACTCGGAGAAAAAATCGTCTGAGCCTTCACGGAACTCACTGAGAGGTTTAGGGTTTCTCAACTCCAATATTCCCGAGTGGCTAGCAAGGTTGTCTTCTTCCATGTCGTCAAATGATTCGTCAGCTTCTCGGTAGCGATCCAAGGAGAGCGGTCTACCAACCCTCAGCGGTGAATCATCGAGAGGATAGAATTTTGACGGGGAGAGCTTTGACGGGGAAAGCTTTGACAGAGAGAGCTTTGACAGAGAGAGCTTTGACGGAGAGAGCTTTGACGGAGAGTCCTTTCTCAAATCATTGTCAAGGCTGCGCCCTGCTGTATCATGACCATACCCGCTTAGCCATTGATGCTTCAACAACATACTGGCGCCACTGCGAATACTAGGCTGCTTCTGGAAGCACTCGAGTAAAAAGTCCCTCAACTGGGGAGAGATGTTGGGAGGCAAGGGCGGATGAGCGTCAGTGCCAATGGCGTGGAGCGCAGCCATGGGGTTCAAATCGTGATACGGTGGGTATGTTGTGAGGAGCTCAATGATGGTGGACCCCAATGACCAGATATCCGAAGCGGTGGAGATTCCCTCGCCGCCTAGAATTGTCTCAGGGGCCATCCAGTTTGGGGTCCCCACCACCGAGAGATTTCTATTCGTAACTCTGGCCGCAACCCCAAAATCCGCGAGCTTCACGTCGCAGCCTCCGTTGGAAAGAAGCACATTTGCAGCCTTCACGTCACGATGGACAACCCCTTGTTCGTGCAAGTATCGGAGCCCGGAGAGAATCTGGTGAATGTACGGCACGATCTGCGCCTCCGGGAGGCCACAGCCTCTGGCGCGGTAGAGCTGGCGCAAGGAGCCATCGGGACAGTACTCAAGGAAGATGTTGAGCGTCAGCGTGGTCTTGACAAACCCGTGGTATTTGACAATGTTGCGGTGGTTCAAAATCTTGAGCAAGTTGATTTCACTCATTAACTGAGTGATGTTATCCTCGTTATCTGCTAGGACGAGTTGTTTGATGGCGATGATTCGACCTGTGTGCAAGTTGCGCCCACGGTACACCTGGGCCGAGGCTCCCCGACCCAAAAGCTCAAGGAACTCGTAGTTTTCCGTGAGAAACCGGCCTGGCTTCTTTTCCGCCCGCTGTGCCGGAGTGACAGAGATCAATTGTTTCGAAGAAACCCGCAGAGAACGTCTCTTGGGAGTTTGTGGAGAGTCAGACATCATAGGAGTCAGTCCGCCAGAGATGTGTCCTATGGGTGTGATTCTCAGATTCTCGGGGAGGGTTCTTCTGGGAGTTCTCAGGCTGTCTGGGTGCCTTATCGGGGTGATCCTTGCACCTTCGCTGTCATTTCTCGGTGTTTGTATCACTCCAGCTTTCGGAGTTTGTATCCCCGGGCCATTACGCAACGGTTCCTTCGGCGAAAAGAATGGTGACTCATCGCTGAAGTGTTCGTTTAGCGGGTGTGTACTCAGAGCATGGGTATGTTTGCTAAACGATAGTTCAGTCATTTCCAGGAGAACCGGCAAGTCGGTGCCCATGGATACCCGTTTGGGCGTGGTTGAGGGCGGATTTGGCGGCGTGCTCTCAAAATACTGTTTGACGCGGTCCACAAACGGCGACGGAACGGGAGATCCGCTGTCTTCTGGCCCCATGAGGGAAATCCCAGAGGTTTCGGAAAACTTGGAAAACGACAAGTTTATATCTTCGTTTAACTCCGAAAAGTCCTCGGCCTCGTCCTGGAACTTGGAGAGGAGGTTGCGCTTCTGCACGTCTGTGAGCGGCGCCGAGCCGTGGATACTCTTGAGCGCCATCTGGGACGGTCGATTCGGCGTAGAGAGGAGGGTTGGGGAGGCGGGCACGGTGATACTGACAGATCTCGATCGGGTGGAGCCATTGCCCTTGAACGCAGTCGAGCTGTGAGAATTTTTTCTGCTAAGGGGCCGTCCCAGTTTGATCTGAGGGCTGACTATCGGCCTCAAGATCTCGACAGCCTCGGGATTGGGTTTTGGTCGGCGTTTTGAAGACATGTAGAGGCAAGGGTTTCATTTGGGTTGTAAGAAGAAACCGGTGTGGGGTTGGTGTCAGGTCTTTATTTACTTTTCGTGTTGTGGCTGTGCGGCGCGTATAGGAAGTACCAGAGAATACGAATCAACCCTGGATTTAGGATTACAGGATGCTGGATTTTAAATACATCAAAGCCGGCAGGTATTGCCAGAAGTGAATATTTACAGATAAGGGAGAATAAAATTAGCCTTGTAACTTCTGTTGCAGCATGTAATGGCTACAAAAAAATAAAGATCCAGTGCAGGGCAAAAATCCTCGCAGAGTGTTCCCATCTGCATATGACAAGAGTTCGTTTGAGATTAAAAATCCCTGATTGTCGAAACACTCAGCCAGCCACTTGACCATGGATCGGGACAGATCCTATCTATATATCCCACTTCATCTTCTCTATTACCCACTAAACTCTTTAGCCGGATCATTGTCAATACCTTGGTTCATCTCATTAAATAAAGGTTCTCGTCACTAGTCGTGCACAGCCGAGCCCGAATGGTTCTGCCGGATAGTTCTGCCGGCTCCGTTCCGTGCAGCACCGCGCATTTTCTAATTCGTTTCAAACCACATGTCTTTTTCCTTGCTTTTCACACTTTACCGGAAACTACACCACCATGGCTAGAAACAATGAACTGGACGATATTTCAGATTCCGAGTCGTTCTCGGACTCCAACGTGGATGCCTTGTCGCCACAGAGCAGGCGTCCAGCGGACAACGCCTTCAGACAGCAACGTCTAAAGGCTTATCAGTACGTACCCCCGTTACCATCCTACCAGCCATACTAACAACCCAGTCCTATCATTACACCAAAGACCGTTGTGCCGGTTTTGCTCTTGCTTGCGGTCATTTTCATCCCGTTGGGTGCCGCCATGTTGCTCGCCTCTTCCCGTATCGAGGATTTGACCATCGAGTACACCCAATGCGAGGTGTCTGCTCCGACCGGTGTTTTTGGCGAAATTCCGGCGGAATACTACACCTTTAACTTCAACACACCCTCCACGGTCAAGCCGCAGTGGATGTATACGGTTGACCCGAATGAGTCCGATCCGGCCGAAGCTGGCCAGTGCCACGTGCAGTTTGAGATTCCTCAGAACATTAAGCCGCCGATCTACTACTTCTACCGCTTGAAGGACTTTTACGCAAACCACCGTCGGTTTGTCAAGTCGTTCAGCGAGGACCAGTTGAACGGGAAAGACGCGTCGGAAAACACCATCAAGAACACCATCGGCCAGAACTGTCAGCCATTATCGACAGACGAAAACGGCACCAAAATCTATCCGTGCGGGCTCATTGCCAATTCACTCTTCAACGACACGTTCACTCCGTTGCAAGCGGTCAACGGAAGCGGGACTGACTACCTGATGACCAACAAGGGCATTTCCTGGAGCAAAGACAAGGACCGGTTTAAGAAAACGGTGTACAACGCGTCGCAGATTGTTCCGCCGCCAAACTGGGTGAAGCGCTTCCCTCAGGGTTATAATGATACCAACATTCCGGACATTTCCGAGTGGCCGGAATTCCAGAACTGGATGCATCCTGCGGGTTTGCCCGACTTTTCCAAGATTATCTTGCGCAATGACGGTGATGTCTTGCAAAAAGGGGTTTATGAGACAGTGGTCGGCTTGCACTGGCCTGTCAGAGGCTTCAGTGGCCACAAGTATATCTATATCAGCACGCGCTCGGTGATTGGGGGGCGGAATCCGTTCTTGGGCATCAGCTGGGTCGTCGTCGGCGGTCTCTGTTTGGTGTTGAGCTTGGCCTTCATGATTGTGTCATTGTTGAAGCCGCGGAAGGTGGGTGACTCCAGCTTGCTCAGCTGGAATAAGGAGAAGGTTAATTAGCGTTTTTGTCTACTACATTGTATTTTATTGTGTTTGTAAGAGAAGATTAGTTGCACCTAGGAAGGAGTTGACTGGTTTCTTTCTGCTTAAGATGGATTGTAAGGGGTGCTAACACTTTGGGTGTTGCATCAGGGGCAATGCTGGTACCGTGAAGACATTACTAGGTATAGGAGCATTGTTAAGCATAAGAGCAATGTTAAGCATAAGAGCAATGTTAAGCATAAGAGCATTGTTAAGCATAAGAGCATTGTGAATCACGTTCGGTAAAAGAAAAAGGCAAGCCCTTGTGTTTCGTATAGCTTACTGACCTAGGAAATCCCATAATAAAATCTTATTAAAACCCTACCTAGCACTTTTAGTTACTCCCGAGGTGGTTTATGAAACCCCTAGCCTGTTAGTAGTGAGTACTTATTCTGTTTGTGGGTTGCACCTTTAGGCTACCCTTCCATAAGATCGCCTCCTTCCTCACCCAAGACTACACTTGTCAAATCTCTGTTTTTTCATTCCAACTGCGCCTGTAAACAGCCTGTGGTAGTTGATCCTGATACTGGGCATGCTTTCGTACCTTTTGCCCAATACAACACTCGCATTATTAGTTTGAACCCCGGCTTTCTATTCTATCCTTTATTTTCGTCAGTTTATCCGGATTATGCTGAATGAAACTCCAAGGTATACACCTTACGGCAAGCATAGGTTAGAGCAGGGCCGAATGTCAATAGCAGGTATCGAACTATCTACAATAAAATACCATTCGTATTCCTCTGCCAGAATATCCTTCTACATAGCTTGGCATATTTGGCCAAGCCATAGATCACGATCGGTATCTGGCCGTACAATAAACGCAGTCCCGTGATGGTCTACACTAGATGATTTCGCGGATTGGCCACTGCTTACGCGGCCTGCTAATTCCTGTTTAATATATACCTACTTGTTGCTGTTGATGGCGTCCAATAACTTTTGTGGCGCGGCACCGACAACCTTGTCAACCTTGGCACCGTCCTTGAGCAAGATAAAGGTTGGCATACCGGTGACACCATACTCAGCAGCAATGGACTGGGCTTGGTCAACGTCGACCTTACCAAACTTGACGCCTTCAGCCTCAAAATCGGAGGCAAACTTCTCCAAGATTGGAGACATGGCCTTGCACGGGCCGCACCAGGTGGCGTAGAAGTCGATGACGGAGAGCTGTGGAACGCCGACAAACTTGTTGAATTCACGCAAGCTGGACAACTCGGTCAATTTGGAGGCGGCCCCAGAGGCGGCACGCGCCTCAGAGAAGGCGCGGACCAGACCCTCAGAGAACTTGGCCACGGGGGATTGTAAGGCTGGGATGTATCTGGCTAAAAGCGGGCGGGCAAACATGACTGCAGCAAAGAAAATGACTTGGTAGCTGATGTTTTTAAGGATTTCAACAAAGGACATGGGAGCGAGGTGTTATATAACTGGATGTGTTTGCGGAGGGGGTGTGCGTGGGTTTTTTGGCTGAGTAATAGATTCGAGAACGCGCACGACTTTGGTTAATGTTCGTCAAGCCGCGTGACGAATGCAGGGATCTAGATTACCGATACGAGGATTGGAAAGAGAACTGGTCGGATTTGAATGGTGAACCAGCGACGATTGTCAAATTATGTTAAAAGGGAGATGGAGGGTTGTAGCTGATGGCAAGGCCGCTATACCGTGGGGTGTGATTGTCATGCATTCTATGGCTCCAATGAATAGTGTAGAGACATTACCGCGTATCAGACAAGCTAAACATATGAAGCTATAAAAATATACACGTCTGATAGGTTTGACAGTACAACTGGTTGATATGCTAACCCTTGTCGGCATTTCATTTAGGTGATACTTAAGTTTACATTTTGATGTTAGTACCAGAAACAGACCCTGTCATCGCGGGAAAGCAGCCGGGCCGCACTCAAATGGAAAAATATATTTTCAACTTATATACTGTCATTGGTCTAAATTCCAACACTCTATCCTGGAGCTGAGACACCCTCTGGGCATTCGGACAAGCACCTCCGATACTACGCGAAACTTAAAATTAATTATAGGTCGTTTATATTCATTTTGGTAGGGTACAGTCTGGGTGTCGTAGCGATTGGATATCGGGGAATATGCGTCATAATAGTAGTACAGAGGGCCCGAAGAGAAATTTTTTAGGGTCTTTTTGAGTTTTGGCAGTTCAGGACAACCGGTGGATTTGTGCGCCAGTTCTTTTGTCCAGACCGATATGGTACACACCGGTTTAGCTTTCAAACTGCGGTGCTTGGCATTGGTGTTTTGGCATTGGCGCTTTGCATTGGTACTTTGCATTGATACTTTGCATTGGTACTTTGCATTGGTACTTTGCATTGCTGCTTTGATTGTTCAGTTTCCAAACAATTTGGTGCACTTAAAAACCAGATTCTTCTGTTTCTGGAGTATCACACGAGACACGCCATCCGCATCTTCCGCCGAGACATTATTGTAGACGCTCCAGTCCACCAAGGGGCACGTCACAATTTTGGATGGCTTAACCTGAGGCACCGCGCCCAAGAGCTGGGCCACGCCAGCAGGGGTGCTGACATCCGCTTTAGTCGCCTCAGCTTTGAAGCTTGCCAACGTGAGGATTTCGTTTCGGATTTGCTGGCGCTGTTCGCGAAGCAAGTTGATGGTTGAACAGAGGGCAATGTAGTCGATGTTGGACGAGAGCTCATCTGCTGGGGCCGTGGGCAAGGCTGTAGGGGCGGTAAGCTGCTCTGTGCTCATCGGCGAGGGCGACTTTTCGCCAGATGTGCCGGCGGGCGACAAAGGCAAGGCGTACTCCTTTCCCTTCCGCTCGTCTTCTCGCTCCGATTCCAGATCGTCCAGAGAGGGGGTGTTAGGGGTGAATTCGTCAAAGTCAGCGGCCTTGATGTGGCGCACATGACCAACGATGGGCTTGAACCGTTTAAGGGTGCTTTCCCCTAAGCCGTTCATGTCTAGTGCACTGAGATGTCTTTTGTTGGAGATAGACCGTGGGTGGAACTTGACTGACGCCATTTTATCAATATGGATGGATAGCAATGATGGGAAGAATTTACAGCGGACACTAATGACACGCGAGCTGAACAAGGGGTCGTGTGGATGAGGGATAACTTTGCACAGCGTTTATATTTTCGGACAAAGCCAAACAGTGATGTGCGTTCCTGGTGGCAACATTGCCGGCGGGGAGTGCAGAATCGGAGAAAAAGGGCACGCAGGATTTCGAGAAATTTCGACAATTACGAATTGTTCCATGTTGGGTAATATCTTGCGCCGACGTGTTTGGTTATCCGGCAGCGTGGGTTGCAGACCGGCGTTCACGTGATGGCAGGATGATTCGATCGGGGCTACCACCCTATTAGAGTCCCGACTAACGAGATGGGTCTACGTTGATTGCCACTTCGTAGCTTGTCTGGTTGGAGCATTATAGCGATGAGTTGTATAGATACGGGGTGATACGAGAGGGACATCGGACCAATCGGGCTTAGCCTTTAGTCACCTGACTGGTAGACACGTCTCAAGGGCCCAACATTTCCACGCTGGTAGTACCCAAGGGCCCCGCCGGCAGTCAAATCCCATGGCCTCTAGGCACTATTATCCTCTACAAGATGCCAATCAGAATAAAAATAAACCCTCTAGATATACGCGAATAGCCATCAGATCAGCCACAGGTGGTAGCCACACGTCTATCGTTCTAGGTCCGACCGAGTGATGCATAAAGTTTTCTGCCCATGCACCAGGAAGCACATTGTCTCAAACATAAATTGAAAAACGCTTGGCAGAACAGATTGCGCCATACAGTTGATAATCTCGGTACTACCAGCTGCCCTTTCAGAGCTTTAGTATAGCCAGGATCCGTCTGCACCTACTACCAAACCTTAAATATTTCACCCCGCGGTTTGGGCTCTATATCGTTCAGCCAGTGCCCTTTCCATGAAACACATCCCATTCTTCCCCTTGCGATGAATTCCAGCACACTGAAATACGTCGCCACGGCGCGAATGCTCCAGGAGATCTTCCCCACCGTCCCAGTAGATGTCGTGGATGAATACGTACAAGAATGCGACGGGAACGAGGACAAGGCAATAAACATGTTGATAAACTATACGGCCCCCTCGCCTCTGCGTCTGCCTACTCCTGAAAAGCTGTTTGTCATTGTGCGAAAGCCGTCGCTAGGGTCCTTGGGAACGCCTATAAACCCCAAGAAGAAGCGTAACCCCAAATCAGCACCAGTGGAAATTCCCAAGGGAGAGATAAAACCGGTATCTACCCACCAGGGAACTAAAAAGAGCTGGTACCAGATGAAGGAAGAGGTGGAGCTTATCAGCAGTTTGACCAATTTCCCGGAAGGCACGGTGCGGAGTATCCATCATGAAAATGCGGGAAAAATCCTCAATACGATTGTCGAACTTATGGTAAAGAGACCCGGGGCCACAGTTAAGTACAGAGTGAAGAAACCAGAGACGGATGCGGACGACCCCGCCTTCGACGTGGCGCAAAAAACGAAACTTCAGATCCCAAGAGGGGGTAGAGTCCAGTATGGCCGTGCTACCAAGGCGTCAACCGCATCCATCGCTCCCAGACACACACCCATTACAAAGAAGCCAGAACCCGCGGCTGAACCGTACAAGTACGATCCCCAGGGCGAGGATGCACGCATGCTCCGGGAAATCGAACGCTCCAGCCCAATCTTGTCCAATTTACCGTCAGAGTTTTTCCTGAATGCCATGGAACATTTCTCGGGAGATGTAACAAAGGTCTGCGAAATCTGCCAGTTTGTCATCGAGCATGGCAGGTCGAAAGAAGAGCTTCCGCGCATTGGGTCGTTGAACCTCGCGAATGGCAGCACTCAGACCATGCCGTCAGGGTCCACGCTAGTCACACCAAAATCGCAGGTGGATAAGTGGCGCCAGGTCAGTGCACAACCTCCTATAGTGGGTGATACCATGGGAAAGACCCCAGGGGAGCTCCTCGAGCAGTCCAAGTACTTGGCTCTCAGGGCAAGAGACTCGTCGTCCAAGTTGATTAAGCAGCACTATACCAGCATGGCTGCGGACCAACGAGGACGATACCAGTCTGCTGTTAATGCAGAGCAACAGGAACGTCAAGACAAGACGCTCCAGAGCTTCCGCTTGGGCCACTTGGGGAATAGGGTTGATTTGCATGGATTCAACATCGATACAGCTATCGCGACCGCCGAGGGCTGTTTGGAACATTGGTGGAGCAGCGAGCGGGAGCAGCAGGAAATTTCCGGCCGGTTCCGAGCCACAAAGGTGATGAAGGCCGAGCACGTTGACCCGTTGGTGATCATCACCGGCAGAGGGATCCACAGCAAGGGTGGTTATTCGCGCGTGCGAAAGGAAGTGAAGCGGATTTTGCAGGAGCGCGGGTTTGTGTTTGAGGAGTCGCTGTCCTCGTTTTCCGTTCAAGGGAAAAGAAAATAATGAGATTTTGACTAATAGATTAATGAGGAACTTGGCAAGTGTCTTGAGTAGAGATAAAGAATTACGGCCAAGCTAGTCACAACTCATGTGACGATATCCTACATGTGTTTTGTAATCATATGTTTGGCTATTCATAGACTGCTAATTTTCAGGTATATATTAGACCCCGCTGTCAAGTGCTTCAATCCATGTCAAATTGGATTCTCGCTTTTTCCTTATCTCATTAATGATTCACTATCGTCTCTTGTTCCCCTGTCTCTTGACGGTAACCGGCTTAATCACGGTCTCAGCCCGCTTCAATTGGACTGGCCGCTGCCCCACATACTTCCCGTTCATCTCCTTAAACGCCTTTAAATAATCGCTAGAGTCAGCAAACGCCACAAACCCGTACCCCTTGTTGGCCTGTGACTTTGGGTCCATCGGAACTTTGACCTTGCTCAAGGAAGGGTACGCGCTGAATGCACGCCCGAGAAGCTCGTCGGTTGCGTCTACCCCCAAGTTTCCCACAAATAACCGGAAGTGCTTCGGGTCCCACTCCATTAACGATGCATCCTCCCAGGTCTTACCACCGCCGGATCGTTTTACGGTCTTGATCTTTTCCGGGACGTCCGAGGTAGGTGTAGCAAGCGTATATTGCGGAACGCTCGGCCCGTTTTGCCTCTGGATCAGATACGGGAGCGGTTTGGGTTGGTTTGTGAGGGCGTTGTGAAGAAAGGCGGCGGGCTGCTTGCCAGCCGCGAGCCTTCTGTCGGAAGACCTAGATGTGTTGAGCTGGGACTTTTTCTTTGGCTGGGGCTTTGAAATGCCTCCATTAGATGGATAACTGTTCATGTTTGGGCGGAGAATTGATGAGTATTGGATGAAATTTTTCAGACCAAACTGATGTGCATAAATTGACAGGATTTGTATGCCGGACCGGCAGATGGATAACCCCTTTACAACCTCAGGTATCGGTGAATATGAAAATGGTTGAAAAATACCTTGAGATCTCGGAAATCAGGAGAATATGAATGTATTGATTCCAACTATGGATACGTGTGGACCTAGGCTTAGACCAAAGCGTGACAGTTTCTGGCAACTCGTGCGAGCCCCAATTCCCCGTTTAGCCTCGAATATTATAGAACATAAATAAAAGATTACTCCATTTGTATATTTAAGTTCCCTTGAGTTTATTCCCTTTGAATTTATCCCCCTAGAATTTATTTCCCTAGAATTCATACATCAGTATAGAACCCATTATATCCCCTACAATCCATTCAGCTTTGATAGCTCTAGTAGCCACCTGGTCGTGCGTGCTCCAACTCGGTGGCAACTCATAACTTCAGCTTCGAACACTTCTAGACCATTTTGCTCAATTCCCACAGAACCCTCTACCTTGGTTCTACCTTCCTTAATAATTCACCATTCACAATGAGCTACATGGACGTTGATTCCGAAAACATCTTGGCCACCTTGCGGATGGCGGCGGACGCCGAGTTGGCGGGCCTCTTCTACACCTTGGAGGACCTTTACGAGCGCAAGTTGTGGCACCAGTTGTCCAACACCTTGGCAGAGTTGTACGCCGACCCAAAATCCAGAGGGATTCGTTTGCGCGTGTACAACCGCTTTGTCTCGAACTTTGCCGCCAAAATCAACCAGCTCCAGTTGGTGCGCTTCTTGCTCGCCTCGCTCGACGAGTGCAACGGCTTGGAAGAGGCATTGGAGTACCTCACCACGTTGAAGAAGAACATTGCGAAGGAGGAGCAACAGGCACTTCTCTTTGTGGACATCCAGATTGCGCGCTTCCAGTTAAAAGCCGGGCAGACCGATTCCGCGAAGGAGATCTTGAAGACCGTAGGCGACGATATTGACCGTTTGGACTCTTTGGACAACCGAATCAACGCCGCCTATTATCACACGAGCGCGGAGGTGCACAAGTTGAGCGCGGACCATACCGCGTTTTACCGCACCTCGTTGCTCTATCTCGCATGCATCGATGCCACAGAATTGAGCTCGGCGGAGAAGCAGACAATTGCGTACGACATCGGCGTGAGCGCGTTGCTCGGCGACCGTATCTACACGTTCGGTGAGTTATTGACCCACGACATTCTCCGCAGCTTGGATGACACCGCGTTTGCGTGGGTGACGGAGTTGTTGTTTGCGTTGAACGCGGGGGATTTGGCGCGCTTCGACGCGTTGCTCGCGGCGCACAAGAGCACGGCACCGGTTTTAGCGGCGCAGGAGCCGTTCCTCAGACAGAAAATCTGCATCATGGCGTTGGTGGAGCTTGTCTTTTCCAAGCCATCGAACGGGCGCACCTTGGCGTTTTCCGAGATCTCGGCCGCCACGTCCTTGGACCTCGACGAAGTAGAGCACTTGGTGATGAAGGCGTTGAGTTTGGGACTCATCCGGGGGCATATCAACGAGGTTGACGGGGTGGTAGCCGTTAGGTGGGTCCAGCCGCGTGTCATGAACAAGGACCAGATCCAGGGAATGCATGCCAAGTTAGTTGCCTGGGACGACAGTGTCCGCCAGTTGAGCGAGATGATCCATGCCAACGGCCAGGAGATCTGGACGAGTGTTTAGTGTAATAGAATGGTAGTGAAGGGTAAAGTAGGAAGTGGAAAACTAGGTGAAATCATTCGATTTAGCGGAAGACGGATTTGTATTCTAGAGTTTATGAATTGCAGTCAAACAGAGTGATATTACTTGGATGGGTACTGGATGGGCACTGGGTTGTGCTAACCATCTAACGATGTGTTCGAGGTAGCTTCGTTGTACATGAGCTCTTACCAGACTTGCGCTGTTTAGTGTCAACGTTTGGTTTACAAGTAGCTAGCAATACGCGTGTATAACCTGTGCCTATCGATGACCCAAAACTGGCAGTTGGGATATAAATCTATAGGGGATGTTTCCATATAGGCTTGCTCATACTACAAATCAACGGTGTGTTTATTCCACCAGACATAACAAAACCTATTTTTGAATCTCAAAAAGACAGACCCCATCATACCCGATAGGATATGATAAACTCCATTAGTATCCAACACTGGTTGTCTAAGCGATCATACGCGGAATAGCCAGACACATCTCAGTCCGTTCACTAGTTTAAATTTAACTAGGCCAGGTCGATTCCGTTGACTGGAAAGCTAAATGCTAAAGATCTTGAAAAGTCCTGGAAGGAAAGTCTTGGGAAGAAAATCCTGAAAGGAAAGTCCCGGGAAAAATGCCAAGGCCTGGCCTTCCAATCAGCGCGAAAAGCTCGTCGGTGATAACCCTTTGTCATTAAACTTTCAACTACGGAAAACGTAGCCATGCAGGTGGTTCAACACACTGGCATGACGTCTGCTCCCAATGTGTATAAAACAAAAGGTTGGTATTTGTAAAAGGACGAGGAATGTGGCATATTCAACACAAGAGCAGTAAGCATGACTACACGAATAGTACAGAAAAGTAGTAAACACGAATAGTACACTAGTACAGAAAAAGCAGTAAACACGAATAGTGCACTAGTACAGAAAAGCAGTCATCAAGTCAGCCACAACTCCAGTAATACCTTATCAATTCCCGCTCCCTAAACTCTCCAAAGTCTGTGAAACATCGTTTTGGCCGCATTTGGTAACCCCGGAATTCACTTACTAAACGCCGCCTCTTACTGGCCCTGAGAACGAACGTTGCAGCGGCACGAGAAGATCTGCCGCACCGCTGCACGGATACTGCGCACAGAAGCGTGTCCGCAATTTCGCCCCCGTCCGATGGCAAAAATTTAGCGCCGCCCGCACGACCCAAAACAAAGTACGCCGAAACAGCTTGCTGACACATCCCGCTGGCATTGTTATCTGAGATCCTGCGATACTACAGCGCCCCGCCGCAACACTTGATTCCACTTTTGATCGCTAAACGTCTGGCCTGGATATTCATAATCCTAGCACACCTGGCCTCTCCCCTATACTCTCTGCTGATACCTCAGACTGTCGAATACATACCCCATCTGCTTCAACGTCTCGGGAAGCTTTCAGGTAGCATTCGAACCCTAACTGCCAGTTGCCACCCCCTATTTACCACACCGTTATTCGCTGACCCTTGCATCGTGTTCGTCATTTCCCGTATTTGCTTTCTCCCTTTCGTCGCCTTGTTTCATCCCTGACCCCCCAACATGAGAGAATCCAATTACAAATCCATCGTAGGTAACCGAGCGGCGGTCTGCATCACAACCTCGCTCTACGATCGGCGCGCGCTCGACTGCACATCCGACCGGCCGCTTGTCAACTCGCTCAACCACCTCACGTTTCTCGCGTCGTCTAGCGCCAAGGTGCGCGAAACTCTCGCGAACGACGGGGGGCTCGAGCGCTTGATCGACATTCTCCACGAGTGCCGCGGTCAGAGCACGTGCCAAAACCCCCAACCCGCCCAGGGCAGCCTCCTTGTGGCCTGGAAATGGACCCTTGCTTTCCAGTGCCTCGTGCTCGTGGGCACCCGCGGGACCGAACGCATCAGAAAGCGCGTGGTGGAAGCGGGAATGATCCCCATAATCGCCACAGTGCTTGACAACTACCTCTTGCAGCATGCGCCGCCAGCCATCCATACCCCGGGGGAGCGCGTGCTCGTGGCTCCCCGCGATCTTACCAGCGCCCCTGCCACGGCTACCGTGTCGATGAACCTCACTAACCTCAACATATCCAACCCCGTACCCGAGCCGGCGGACTTTCTGCCAGACAGGCTCGTCAACACCCGCGGGAGACCGGACCAGCCGGTGCAACAGCAGTTGCATCCCCAGAGCGTGCGAGCCTCCAACTCGGCCGACGAGATCGAAACGATTCTCCTCATGATGAACGACGACTCGCCCAGAGACCACTCGCAGCGCATTGCTGCGCTCATCGAAGACGAAATCAACCAGGGCCGCGTTCCCCGCGAACACTACCTCCGTCTCCTCAACGCCTTCATGTCCGGCGCCGGCGACGACGAGGGACGTTTCTCCGGGATCCGCAGCTTTATCACGCGATTGGAGGAAACCTCGCCCCGCCAGCCGATGCCGGAGTCTGAGCTCCACGAAGACGTGGATCTCGACACCATCATCTCCTACATGAGTTCGCACCTTCTCTCGCGCCCCTTCCGGCCTGACTTTGACGATGAGACCGACTTTTCCCAGATGCAGCTGCCGCGCGTCTTTGAGAACGGGGTCTTGATTCCACGCGATGACGATGTCGTGTGGTCGCTCCAGCTTCTCGCGTTCATCTCCAAGTACGCGTACCTCAAGCAAGACTTGCAAGAGACGTACATTAAGCGGGGGATGTCGCTCAGGGACGGCCCTACCCACACATCCGTGTGCGTTCCGGGCCTAGAAAACGATGACATGGAAAATGACAGTGACTCGGTGATGGACGATCTTACGCAGAGCCAGACTCAGATGACCGGCCACCTCCAGTCCCAGCTGATTGAGTCAAGCGACTGCTCCTCCAAGTCCAATGAGACGTACCAGGTGATGGGGTTTGTCCCGCGCATGATCGCTAATGCTACTAGCGAGTGTGCGAAGGACCGCGGGAACGGCTGCTGCATCAGCGCGGCGTTCGCGAACCTGGCTATCGTGCAGTCCATCCGCCACGCAAATACGCTCCTGAGGTTGGAAAAGGCCGTCTGTTTCCGCAAGATCCGCAGCACCGTCACGAAGAAGATGCAGTTTGAGCAGATGCTCACGCGCTTCTCGTGTGTGCAAAAGGGCTTGTGCGACAAGCGCAAGCTCTCCGCAAAGTGGGACTATGACACGTATGACCTTGTATCGGACGAGGACATGGACCATTCGTTGGACGCATTGGAGAAGGTGAACATCTTCCAACTCGTGGAGAAGTACTCGGTTAAGCTGGTCAACACCCAGGACATGTGCTACTGGTCCGGGGTTGTGATGCGCAACTCGTGCCGCAAGGACGATGCGCGCGGCGGCGTCCGCCAATGCGCGTACTTCGACTGCGGCAAGTGGGAGGAGTTTCCCAGACAGTTTGCCAAGTGCAGACGGTGCAAGCGCACCAAGTATTGCTCGAAAGACTGCCAGTTGAAGGCGTGGAATTACCACCGCCACTGGTGCGTGCAGAGCCACCAAAGTTCCGGAACCCAGAGTCTGGTGTCCACCGCTCCCAGCACGGCTGACGAGATCCCAATGCAGCCACAGGCGCAAATGGGCTCGCCGTTGGGACGTGTGGTCCAGGAAGGTGAGCACGACGACATGCGGCGTTTGTTGCTCCGGAACGAGATGGGCAATGCTATGACGCCAACCGATGACCCGATAACCGCAGAGACCGTCACCAGTCCAGATAATAGTTTTGTCTAGCGGTGGTGAACTTTCCTTGGTTTCTTAGCATTCGGTTTTGCATTCGGTTTTGCATTCAGTTTTGCATTCAGTTTTACATTCAGTTTTACATTCGGGTTTGGTTTGGCAGCACTGTTTTCCTTTTTTTACTCTTCACTTCTATTTGGTTTTCGGTTGTTTTATGTTTGGTTAGTGCTGGGCCGTGATCCGTGAATCACTTTTTTACTCGTGAACTGGGTTACTTTAACGAAATTGCTATGCTTATTGCCTGTTGAAGTGTATTGTGTGTCAAGTCAGATTAGATAAAGGTCTAGAGTATTCAGTTTGCGACCACTCTGGTTTTTACCGTGGGAATTATTGAAATCTAGGATTGAATAGGGTACTCTTTGGGCCTTGCTCACATATAACGTTCGGTATTGGTCTCCATGACATACATGGTCTGATGGTATCGTAGACCCTTCAAAATGCATTATATGGGCATCTCGAACTGGAATAAAGATCAATGACTAGCTAAAAGACCAAGTCTTTAGCTGTCTCTCGTGCATTATTGTAGACTGAACCTTTATGTTCGGGTATCTGCGCCCGAACGCCTGCACGTGTCACGTGAATATGCACCATTTCACAGCCGATCCGGAGACCGACTGAAAAGTTCAGATAAGTTGGTATTCACCTGGATGTCAGCTATAGCCTATCAACCCTCATATATGACCACCTCCACCCACAAAAAGACGGCGGCGCAGGATATCTCGACCCTTGGTGGTTTTATGGCGGGTGGGGTTGCATCATGCCTCGCAGTGACCTTTACCAACCCTATTGAGATCGTCAAGACAAGACTCCAGCTCCAGGGAGAGATGGCTGCGAAAGATGCGTCGGTTCCCAGACCGTACAAAAACACGTTTCAGGCCTTGGGGGCTATTTACAAGAACGAGGGTGCCAGAGCCTTGCAAAAAGGGTTGGGCTGCGCCTACGTGTACCAGATCGGACTCAACGGGTGCAGATTGGGGTTGTACGAACCCGTCAGAGTGAATTTAAATAAACTCTTCTACGCAGACCAGGACCCATACAAGGTCCAAAACGTGTCTATCAACGTTTTCACAGGTGCGGTAACGGGTATGGCCGGCGCCGTAGCCGGTAACCCGTTCTTCTTGATAAAGACCAGGATGCAATCCTACTCCACCGCCATCCAGGTGGGGCAGCAGACCCACTACAGCAGTTCCTGGGCTGGGTTGCGCACCATTCTTCGAATCGAAGGCGTACGGGGCTTGTATCGGGGGGTGGATGCGGCGATGTTGAGAACCGGGGCAGGCTCTTCCGTGCAGTTGCCTGCGTACAACATGGCGAAAGGGTTTGCTCAGAGGCACGACTTGATCTCTGAGGGCCCAGCGTTGCACTTGCTCTCATCTACGTTTGCGGGTATCGGTGTTGGTTTGGCGATGAACCCGTGGGATGTAATCTTAACTAGGTTGTACAACCAGAAGGGGAATTTCTATAGCGGGCCAATCGACTGCTTCCAGAAGACCGTGAGATCCGAGGGGGTCATGGCGTTGTACAAGGGTTTGGGTGCCCAGCTCTTGCGTATCGCCCCACAAACCGTCTTGACCTTGACCTTTATGGAGCAGACCATGAAGGCGGCCCATTACTTTGAGAACGAGGTGCTTCCGATCCAAAAGTTGGCTGCCTAGAAGTGTACGATTAGAGTTATGGTGGATTTTTTATCACGGGACACCCCAATATAGATTAATAGATGCGCTGGTATAAATGCGCTGGTATAGATGCGCTGGTTCATTTGGAGCGATTAGGGCCGTTATATAGACGTGGAGGGGGTTGTTTATTCGGTGAGTCAGAATAGCTGGTTCTTGCTTTATGACCAAACGTTCAACCGATTTTTATAAATCACAACTGTTAGATTCTTATTTGTGTATATGCATGGTTATAAATATTGTGGTAATAAATCTACAATATTTGGATATACCTCCGAATTAATTTTTTAACCATGTCGTTTAATATCGCAATAGGTATGTTAATCAATTATGAAAATATAACTATAAATATTTTCTAAATACCTCTACGTGTACATATTTAGGACTCCTGACCGGCATTCGGAATTTTCCAATAGTAGTTGCCTAATATATCCACTGAAAGATTGGCCAGAGCGAAGCCAATATAAGATAGTTATCTAGGAAAATATATATTCAACTATGGTACATCAGATGCATTGTTACACGCAGGACATCTCCCCTTCTCATCCCCATCAGGCCCACTTTCCACCAGATTCAATAAAAACGGAGCAGTAAAAACAAACCCATGTTACGCCAGAATTAAAATAAGCTCACACAATTCAGACAAACACTTCCGTCTTACGTAAACCCCGCCTTCCGAAATGCACTCCCTGGACGAACTTACTTGCAGGTCATCGACCATGTCAATGTCTCCACTCAACCTCCACCACACTCGAATAAGTCCGACATCTGCATCAGTGTAAAAACCTCTGCACAAAGCTAGTCATCTTACCGTCGCCGACACCCCACTTTTGCCCGCACCCACGGCACTCCCACTGTTGTTCGCCGTGGGGCCGCCTCTGGGCACGGCACCTGACACTTGCGTGCCGGATATGTCAGAGGTTCTGACTCCTTTTGCTCTGTGCCGGTGGTTAAAAAAAATCTTTACACCCTTTTCTTCTCTTCTCTTTAACCTCACCGTATTACAATGTGCTCCTCCCAGGTTGAAAAGCAGGTTGAGGTCCTCCCAAAGAACCTCAAGCCTTCCAACTATGACATCCAGATCTTTGACATCGACGCCGTTGCCAACACCTTCTCCGGTAGGGTTGCCATCACCATGGAGATCCTCCAGAACACCTCTGAGGTGGTGTTGAATGTCAGAGACTTGGAGGTTGCCTCTGCCAAAGTCCAGTTGACCGTCACCAAGACCGAACAGGAAATCCCTGTAGTTGAAATCACCAGCGACAAGAAGCAGGAGACCGTCACCCTCAAGCTCGCCGAGCCATTGAAGGCTGCTCCGTCCGCCAGCCTCGTGGTCACCCTCAACTACACCGGTCTCATCCAGACCAACATGGCCGGTTTCTACCGCTCTCGCTACACCAACGCGGAGGGCCAGGACGCCGTCATGTTGTCGACCCAGTTCGAGGCCACCGATGCCAGAAGGGCTTTCCCGTGCTTTGACGAGCCAAACTTGAAGGCTACCTTTGACGTTGCCATTGTCTTGCGCGCCGACTGGACTGTGCTCTCCAACATGCCTGAGTTAGAGTCCCGCACCTTGGACTCTGGCAAAAAGGGCCCGGGCGCCGACCAGGAGCTCAAGCTCGTCAGATTTGAAACCACCCCGATCGTGTCCACCTACCTTGTGGCTTGGGCTATGGGTGACTTTGAGTGCATCGAAACCACCACCGCTGAGTTGTACAACGGCAAGCCGCTCCCGGTGAGAGTCTTCACCACCAAGGGGATCGTTGAGCAGGGCAGATTTGCCCTTGAGATGACCGCCAAGACCCTCGACTTCTTTTCCCAGAAGTTTGAGATTCCGTACGCGTTGCCAAAGGTTGACTTGATTGCCGTCCACGAGTTCTCGCATGGGGCTATGGAGAACTGGGGCTTGATCACCTTCAGGTCCACCGCCATCTTGTACGACCCGGCCAAGTCCGATCCAAAATACCAAAAGAACGTCGCCTACGTCGTGGCCCACGAGCTTGCCCACCAGTGGTTTGGCAACCTCGTCACCATGAACTGGTGGGACGAGTTGTGGTTGAACGAGGGGTTCGCCACCTACGCCGGGTTCATGGCTGTCGACAACTTCTATCCCGACTGGAAGGTGTTTGACGCTTACGTCTCCGAGTCCTTACAGAGCGCCTTGAACTTGGACGCCTTGCGGGGCTCCCACCCGATCGAGGTTCCGGTCTACTCTGCCTTGGACATTGACCAGGTATTTGACGCTATTTCCTACCTCAAGGGCTCCTCTACCATCAGAATGCTCGCCACCACCATCGGCGTCGACACCTTCTTCAGAGGGGTGGCCAAGTACTTGAACAGACACAAGTACTCCAACGCCACCACCGCCAACTTGTGGGCCGCCGTTGGCGAGGTCTCCGGCGTCGACGTTGCCCAGATTATGGAGTCCTGGATCCAAAAGATCGGGTTCCCAGTTCTCTCCGTCTCCGAGACCGAGGACCACAAGTTGAAAATCACCCAGGACCGTTTCTTGTTGTCCGGTGATGTCAAGCCAGAGGAGAACGAAACCAAGTGGTGGATTCCGTTGAACATTGCGTCCGACGATACCGACGTTGTTAAGGCGTTGGAAGCCAAGGAGCTTGTCATCGACAAGCCAGCCAACTTCATCAAGCTCAATAAGGACTCTGTTGGTGTCTACCGCGTCAGCTACACCCCAGAGCTCTTCAGCAACATTACCGCCAACATTGAGACCTTGAACGCCAAAGACAAGGTTGGATTGATTGCCGACGCCGCTTCCTGTGCCAAGGCCGGTCTTTCCGCCACCTCCACCTTATTGAAGCTCGCCAAGGCGCTCTCCGGGGAATCCGAGTTTGTCGTCTGGTCCGAGTTGATCAATCGTGTCGGCGAAATCACATCCACCTGGTACCAGCAGCCAGAGCCGGTCCAAAAGGCGTTGAACAAGTTTGCCAGAGAGTTATACGGCCCGGCGTCCGCCAAGATCGGCTACGAGGTGGCTGAAACCGACGGTTTCTTGACCTTGCAGTTGCGAGCCAAGTTGATGCTTGCCGCTGGTCTTGCCGGCGTGCCAGAGGTTGTTGCCTTTGCCCGAAAGACCTTTGACAGCTACGCTCGGGGCGAGAAGATCCACCCATCTTTGCGTATTGCCGTCTTCTCCACCGTTTTGGCCGCCGACACCGTCACCGCTGCCGACTTTGACCTCGTGTTGAAGGAGGTCTTGACGCCATCGTCCTTGGATGGTAGAGAAATTGCCTTGCAGTCCTTGGGGTGCACCAACACCGCAGTTTTGGGCAACAAGGCTGTGACCTTGTTGTCTGACGTGCCAACCATGGATGCCCACTATCTTTCCGTCTCGTTGGCCGCCAACACTGACGCCAGACATTTGTTGTGGGATTACTTTGCCGCTAACTACGACGCTTTGTACAAGGCCATGTCCACCAACATGGTGGTCTTGGACAGATTCGTCAAGGTTTCCTTGGGCTCTTTCGCCGACATTAAGGAAGAGGAGAAGATCAGAGCCTTCTTCGAGGGCAAGGACACCAACGGGTTCCAGAGATCCTTGTCGCAGATCTTGAACAAGATCTCCGGTAACGCTATCTGGGTCAACAAGGACGCCGGTGATGTTGAGGCCTGGTTGAAGGCGGAGCACTACCTTTAGGTAAGGCGAAACATATGATGCGAGAGTCATGCATAATGCAATGTTTAGTTCAGAAGTTCACGTAAAGATTTATTCCTGAGCTAGAGAGTTGTAGTCGCAGTCTATATATCTAACGTAATAGAGGTTAATCCTCGTGGAAATACCATAGGGTAATATGTTATACAAAACCATTATTATAGAAAACCTTCACTAAAGCATATTCACGATCGAAGCATACACCAAGTTGCCACCGCGAGAGACGAATACCCTTACAACCTGCTTTCGTCTCTGTGAGAATTACCGACAAACTCGCCACCCCAAACAGCCCTCACCACATCCCAGAACTCTTCGACATAGCAAATATCAAGCCCAAGGCGATCCTTGATCCACGCTTCAGGTTTTCCGTAAATAACGCTTCCAGACATTTCCTCGGCCTGGATCAACTCGCGCAAGAGACTCCCATCTCCGAAAACGCCAAACTTGTTCGAGTCTCCTTCCTGGTTAAGGGCCAATTCACAGTACTCCTTGATCACATCGCGTCTGTTAATCCGAGGCAACAACACACGCTTCATCCCGGCCATGTGGGCGCCCAAGAGCTTTTCACGGACCCCACCAATCGGCAACACCTGTCCGCGGAGAGTGATCTCACCCGTCATGGCAATATCGGTTGGCACCGCTTTCCGAATGGCAAGCGAGAGGAACGCAAGGGTCATGGTGATCCCCGCAGACGGCCCATCCTTTGAAATGCCTCCTTCTGGAACGTGTAGGTGAATCTCGGTGGCGTCAAACTGGGACAAAATGTTCTCCATCTTTGGGGCATCCATCCCGAGAAGATTGCGGTGGAGAATGGAGCGCACAAAGGTCATGGCAATGTTGGCAGATTCGGTTAAAACCTCGCCCAACCTTCCCGTCATGTGCAAGCTTCTGCTTTTGGCAGGTAGCCCAATCGCCTCGAACACGAGAACACCACCAGAGCCGTTGGAATTGTAGCTGAGGCCATTCACCACACCGTACTCCCTGGCCTGTGGCGACACAAACCGTCTGCGCTGCAACTCCGATGGATGGGTCGGCAAACCGATGTACTTGGTCAAGTCGCCGAGAGAAACCGTTGGAGAATAATCCTCTCGCTCAGAGAGCTCCACCGTTTTGGCTCGGCAGATCGCCCCAATCGTCCTCTCCAAGTTACGCACTCCCGCTTCGGTGGTGTAGTCCATAGTGATCTTCTTCAAGACCTCATCGTCCATCACCACAGCCTTGGTCCCCAAGCCATTCCGCTCAATCTGTCTCGGAAGCAAAAAGTCGCGCGCGATCACAACCTTCTCCTCGTAGTCATACGCCGGGAGGTTGATAAATTCCATACGGTCAAACAACGGTCTGGAAAGCTCATGAGGCTCATTGGCGGTGCAGATGAATACAACCTGCGATAAATCCACCGGGAAGCCGAGGTAGTGGTCGACGAAGGAGGAGTTTTGCTCTGGATCCAAAACTTCGAGAAGAGCCGCGGCCGGGTCGCCCTGGACCTTTCCTGCGGCGTTAGGACCGCCAACCACTTTGTCAATTTCGTCGAGAAGAATCACCGGATCCATACACCGGGCCCGGCGGAGTGCCAGGACAATAGCCCCGGGCATGGCGCCAACGTAGGTGCGTCTGTGGCCCCTGATCTCAGACTCGTCACGGATACCGCCGAGGGAAATACGCTGGAACGGACGGTTGAGTGCGGTTGCAAGGGACTTGGCGAGGGAGGTTTTACCAACCCCGGGCGGGCCACCGAGGAGAAGAATCGGGGCTCTCACGGGCTTGGCCCGGGTCACGGACTTACTCAAGGCGGGCGGCTCTGGCTTGGATTGGGAAAAATCAAATGGAACGAGCGCAGTGGAAGACGCCAAGGAGGGGTCTTTGTCTACATTCTTTCCGCCAGCAGAAGTGCTCTCATCATTTTGGGCATGCAACCTCACAACTGCGAGGTATTGGACCAATCTCCGCTTGACGGTCTCTAGCCCGTACGAATCCCTATCCAATTGCTGCTTGACCTCGTGTAGGTCCAAATCCAGTAACCTGGCACCTCCAATCTCGTAGCTGGTGATGTCCCACGGCATATCAATGACAATGTCAAAGAAACTGCGGAGCACGTGCCATTCAGACTGCTGTGGAGGCGTACGCTGCAACTTGCGAAAGTCAGCCTCCAACACCCGCTTGGTGTCGTCAGAAATGGACGAGATCAGGGGTAAACGGGTAATGAAGTCAGCAATAAGCTTCAACTCGTCGTCTTCAGGTGGAGACAGTGAAGCAGACTTTCGCAAGACGCCTCTTGGGGGGGCTTTCGTGAGCTGAGGGGCTTTCAATCCATCTTTCTGGTCCTTTCCAATAGTGGCAAGCAACCCTCTGAGGCTTCGCAACTGCCCGGTAACAAACTTGGCGCGCTGGACCTCCGTCGCCAGGCCCATAAACTCCTCCACGTACGCAATCGCCTTGTTCATGGTGGAAAAGAACTCGATGTAGTAGTCGATAACATTACTTAAAACGTACCTGATCCGGGCGAGCGGGTCGGTCAAGGCGAGGATTTCGCACTTGGCGGCAAAGGGGATTGGCATCACGGCAGCGGTAATATCCATCAACACTGGAATGTTGGCGTCCTTGGTGTACATACCTTGGAGGCGGTTCAAAGCCTGTTGAAATTCGGAGGAGGAGAATTGAATGTGCAAGGATGTGGCCAACGGTGAAAGCAGGAGCAAAGACTCCCCGTCATACTTGGCAATAAACTCTTGGATGTCGCTGTACAACTTGTTAAACCGAGTCACGATGGCCGAGGCCTTTTCAGTCTTGGAGGGGTGTTCCCGGAAGATGTGCACAACTTTCTGGGAGATCTCGAGGTTGTCAGAGGTCTGGACGCTGCCTCTGGTGAGAGCGTGGAAGGAGACAACCACGTTATTATTGCTTTCGGTGTCGAAGCGGACGTTGGTAATGCGCGCCACGCTCCCAACCTTGGTCTGTGGAAGACACAACACAAGCGCACCGACACTTCTGAGGGCGCTTCCCGCAGCATCGATGCCCTGGAGGGTTTCGGGGGTAAACGGAACCAGCGGAAGGCCGCTCAAAGAGGAGATGACCTGTTGGGTATCAACCTGGGAGAGGTCCGGGAAGGGAAGGAGCAAGGACGCGGCCCTTTCCGGGGTGAGGGCCACGCGATAAAGCACACCCGGGAGAAAGGCCGTGTTGGGCGGGAGCTGAAATACCGGGAGTTGAAATGGAGACATGGAGAAGGATTGGATAATGGAACCGCTGGGGGGGGCTGTTAGAGCACTGGAGAAGAACGCAAATAGATTTTTGTTCAAGCCGGTTGAGGTAGGCAAGGTGATTCAAAATATTTATCTGAGATCCAAGACTTCTGTGTTAGGTTGAATAAAGAGTGATGGCGAATGCGAAGGAGTTTACCCGTTGGTGTTTCTGCGTTCACTCTGCCGAGCCGAATTGCGGCGCGGGGAAATCGGCGGCTACGTCACATGCTAGCAGCTTTACAGGCCGATAAGCCTGTGAGCGCAGTGCCGAATGCGGTATAATTAGCCGGGCACGTGGTTTGGCAGCGCCACGACTGTTCAGGGGAGCTATACTGAAGGGTGACACTACGAAGCGAATTTTAATGAAAATATAACGAGGGGAGATTTGAGCATTCTTTTTATTGGGTCTAGGCCTGAGTTTCATAAAGAAACTAGCAGTTTAGGCCCGGTTTCTCGGGCTACAGGCCCTCCGAGATGCTTCCGAGGTCTGTTCACTCCGGCATATGCGGAAGTCCCCTGATGAGATTCGCCCGGATTCACATCCACCTCATAAAGTCTAGCAACTGCCCAGATGAGACCTACGAATAATGGGGTATGCATACTACAAAGAATTAACTAAAATGCGTGAATATTAGCGTCCACTTCAAAGTGGAATGTTCGCCTTATGTCCGTTCTTCCATCCCGGGTTTAGAATCGAACAGAAGCTTAAGTTCACTTGCGTCACAAACTTTGTCTAAACCACTATCATATTTTTCTATTGTCTCTGCATTTGGGGGGCCGCGCGCATCCGGCAGCAAACTATGCACAACCGCGACAGGGGAAACGAAAAGGTCTTGCGCGGCTAGCAGAAAATTGCCACCTGCAACTTAAACCCGTACTCCTTCTCGCTTAACGCCTTTCATTTTCCTCAGACGTGCCTTCCAATCTTGGTTTGCTTAAATCCTTGTTCCCAACCCGACTCTCTTCTTGCAAGACATCCGAACTTGAGCCCTACCAACCCCTGTCCATATTAACCAGCAACACAGGCCCACCACCGACTTTTGTATAAAACCAATCCACTTTCGGTTAGTACCAATTGCTCCAGCAGCTATACTACAGCCCTACTCAGAAATTACCCCTCAGTGTTTATCCCCCAGCAGGATACCTTTCCTCTTCACAAGCAAGGCATAAACCGCTTCATTTCTTTTCCAGAGTAGGAAATTACTCCCATTCAAATTTGAACTATTTAGTTTTCATTTCGTGGTCATGTCTGTGAACTCACCCCCATCAACCGCTTCGTCTTTTACACGGCGACTGTCACCGTTCACGCTGTCAACGTTCACGCGGCGACTGTCGCTGGCCTCAAGCGTCTCGCCCGGGTTCCTCTCGAAACTTCTTCACCGCAAGTCCGTCGCCTCGTACGAGACGCCACCGGACCTCGATATGCTTAGCCTTGCATCCTCCGGCCACACACACCTCGCGCTCGACCTCGGCGACACGTCGTCCGAAACACTGGAGGAGGCGCCCAAGACGCAGTCACGGCACACGCTCTGTCCTGTTAAATTCATGTGTACGAGTGTTTCCCAGACGAAACCTGCCGAGCCCGCAGCGGAACCTGCGCCCCTGTCTCTGCAGCCGAACCAGGGGGCCTGCGATTCGTACTCTCTCAATCGGCTCCTGGTTCAGCCCAAGTATCTCCGTCCGCACCGCCACCACAAACGAACGGCCGATTGTCTCCGTAAGTTGTATCTCGCACAAGAACTCGCCGCAGGGTCTCCAGATGATGCGGACATCGGTGCCGCGCGTGCCACATACTGCATGAAGTTCTCCGGCGACGGCAAGTATCTCGCAGCAGCCGGTCACGACGGTGTGCTCCGCGTATGGAAAATTATCTCGTCGCCGATCGACCGCTTAGAGTACGAGCGCCGCTACTACACCGCGGCCGATGAGTCCCAGACGTATTCGCCTGTCTTCCATGACACGCCTCACCGTGTCTTCCGCGGCCACACCCAGGAGATTCTCACGCTCGAATGGTCTAAGAACAACTTTCTTCTTTCGGGCTCGATGGACGGTACAGCTGTTCTCTGGCACGTAGACCGGCTCGTGCCGCTCCACACATTCAAGCATGACGACTTCGTGACCTCGGTCGCGTTCCACCCGCTCGACGACCGCTTCTTCCTCTCTGGCTCGCTCGACAAGAAGCTCCGCTTGTGGTCGATCTTGGAACGCGAGGTTGCGTATGAGTGCGACTTGGGGTGTCTCATCACCGCTATCGCGTTCACCGGAGACGGTGAGTATTGTCTCGCGGGTGGGTTCAACGGGTGCTGTTATTTTGTGGAGACCAAGGGGCTCGGGGTGATTGCGCACACGGCGGTCGCGAAGGCGAAAAATGGCGCGTCTGCGAAGATTACAGGCATTGTATGTTACAAGGGCGAACCAGAGGCCCGCAACGCGCACGATAAGAGTTCAAGTGTGAGCGACACAAGCTCAGGCGTACCTGCACGTGCGGCCACGGACAGCTCTATAAGTAGCTCATCCACACGTGCCGCTGCCTCCACGCGCGCCTCCACGCTCACCTCCACGCGCGCCTCTATCGCCTCGCCTGATGCAGCCGGGACCACAGCACACCTGTATGCCCTTATTACTACCAACGACTCCCGCATCAAAATCCTCGATCTCGTCACCAAGACGATTGTCAGCGAGTTCCGCGGCCTGACCAACACCTCCTCCCAGATCATGGCCACCATTTCTGATGACCGCCGCTACGTGCTTTCCGGCTCCGAGGACCACTGGGTGTACGTGTGGGAAAACAAGCCCAACGCGAACGTGCCGCTCGAGTACACGTATGACAACCCCGAGTATGAAGCGCCGGCTGCGGGCGAGGGTGGGCACAGTCTCATGAGCCGCTGGAAGCGTCACCTGCTTGCGCGGCGAGCGTCAGCGCGTGCTCATTCGCGCGAGTCCACGGCCTTCCACGCGCACCAGGACCCAGTCACTGCCGCGGTCTTTGCGCCGCCTTCGACACTCGCTGCGCTCCGCCTCTCGAACGATCCCATCTACGACCTCACCCTGAAGAACGCCGAATACTGCGTCGTGCTGGGTTTATCGCTTCTGTCGGGCGTAGTGGTTGCGCCGCCCGGGTGTAAGCTTCCAGGGATGACCGTGACGGACCATCTGTACGATCCGCGCGAGTCACCAACCGCGGGCTCAGATATGATCATCGTATCTGCCGATACTCGTGGGATAATCCGCGTTTTCCGGCAAGACGTGGCGTACTTTGCACGGCGCCACCTCTGCGAGGTGAAGCTTGCGAGCCTCAAGCCTGCGAGCCTCAAGCCTGCGCGCTCGCGCAGCAACTCGCTCACCGCGCGCCTCGGCCGCAATTTGAGCTCCGAGAGCTTGAGCTTGAAGAAGAACATACGGGGATCCGATAAAGCGTTGGCCAGTATGGACTTGCGCATGTCGGAGAACCGTCGGAAACCACTGGAGTTGCTCACGCCCGACTACGACCTGAGCCACCGCAAGATTATGTTCGCGCATGATGACAATGACTCGTTGGCCTCGTCCGAGAGTGCGTCCAAGGAGGCCAATAACCTCCAGTGCGCGGCATGCCACGGACTCAAGTTCGAGGTGCGCAAGCTGGCGGGCAGCTTGGGTTTTGTGTGTATGCACTGTGGGACCGCCGCCGCGGGATATTAAACGGATGGACAGCGACCAGATGTGATTACTCTTTGCTGTTATATGTTGATGGTGGGATTCTCCAATCGTATATTTTGGTTGGTGATGGTTTTGAATATCAAACATGGTGTGAATATGATCTAATTAAATTATTTGGAAAGGATATCCTCTGGTACAGTAGCAAGTATGATTTCTACCAATCCGTGTCTTTTGCTGTAGCTATAAGCCAATGTCCGGTGTACTTTGCCGGGTCCAAGTGGTTACTAGATGAATAATATTCCGTATATGATATTTACATAAACCACTAATACCATGCTATAAGCATTTTCATAAACCCGTAAGCCTGAGTTCGTGTTATACTCTGGTACGTACGTCGTGTAGCTACCGCCCAGATTTTCTGTCCCATATAAACGCAGCTCCTGGCCCTTAGCCCTCTCCCTTCCGCCACCATCCACACATGTCAGAATCCAACACCCGTTTATTCATCCAGCCCGTCCCCAGTTCCGCTGAAGAGACGGTTATTGACGGGATTTTTGCCAAGTATGGCCCGCTTGCAGACGTTACTATCGTTGGTGAGTCCGCCTTTGTCGCGTTCCAGTCGCCCGACGACGCCCTTGCCGCGTTGAACGAGCTCAACGGCCAGGAATTGTTTGACTCTGAGCCGGTAAACGTTTCATTTGCAAAACAGAGAGAAAACGAAGGGGAGGGAATTGAGTCCCAGGGTGAGAAAGGGGGCCCCCGGCTAGAAAGGGAGGGATCTGAGCCCTCGGGAAATTCACACACAGACTCGCCTGGGTATCTGGATACCCAGGGTAGCTCATACCCGGGGAGTGGGTATCCACTGGGCCCGGGTGCTGCCCCAGGCAGCTCATATCCCCCGCGTGCGTCCCGCGAAGATGTCCGTGGCAAGTTCCGCGCCGTCGTGGCCGATCTCCCAGAAAACTCCGCGTGGCAGGACCTCAAGGACTTTGTCCGGGCTGAAACAGGCGTGACCCCCGCCTACTGCTACATGGACCATCTCCGTCCCAACGTGGCCAAATTCGAGTTCTTTAGCCAAGGAGACTTGGAAATCGCCGTCGAAAGAGCCACCGCCAAGGAATTCAGGGGTTATATGGTCACTATGGCGTTTGACACCTCGGAATATGTCCCTCCACCACCCCCTAGGCCCCGTGAAGGCCGAGAAAGAGGTGGGTTTAGGGGCAGAGGTGGCTTCAGGGGCGGGTTTAGAGGCGGCTATGACGGAGGCAGGGGCGGAGCCCGAGGGGGCAGAGGTGGTTACCAGGACCGCGCATACTCCGATAGAGGATTCCTGGATAGGAGATATCTGGAGAGGGAGTACCCAGAGAGAGGGTACCCAGAGAGAGGGTATTCGGAAAGAGGGTACCTGGAAAGAGGTGGGTATCAAGACTATGGGAATCAGGATCGCGGGTATCCAAACAGGGGGTACTCAGACGGGGGTTACTCGTCTAGAGGTGGGTACCAAGACAGAGGGTTCCAAGACAGAGGGTTCCAAGACAGAGGCGGATATCAAGGTAGAAACTTTGACAGAGGTGGGTATCAGGATAGGGGTGGATACCAAGATAGAGGTGGATATCAAGATAGAGGCTTCAATAGAGGCGGGTACAGAGACTCAGAAAGAGACAGCTACCGTCCTAGAGAAGAATTTGGCGGCCCGCCAAGGGACTCCTACAAGCCGAACTATGAGAACCGTGATAGATCTCCACATAACTAACTTGATTTGAACGTTCAGAAGATGTCACTGAACACAGTGCTACGCAATGTCAAATGGTCCGTTGAATGATCCCGAATGTATATGATTTACTCCTTTTCACTATTGAACCTGCTTGATTTCCAATTTGACATTTCCTCTCCTGTTGGTGCCATGTGCTCCCCCGAGCATCACTGATACTATGATCCTATTTTCCTTTTGGCCCGATACCAGTCAAATAGTGACTTGACGTTGAGGATTTTACCATTTTTGTTGGCTATGATTTATATTTGATGTATTTATATTTTGGTATAGGGCCGCGTATTACGGCTATCGCAGGGGATTATTAACCGGAATTTGGCTCTGTATCTATGGCATAGGAAAGAGGAATAAGCATGAAGAGGAATAAGCGTGGAACCTTGTCCGTATGTTCATTGTCTCATGATGGAGCAATCCACTGACCACCCAAGATTCGTCGTATTTAAAACACTCTGAGGGGAAGGCTCCCTGGAATTGTTATTGAGCACACTGGTTTAGAACTCCAATATTTCCTCGTGGTACGTGCAGTCGCACATAATGTACTTGAGGGACTGGCCGAGGTTTTGAATGCTAAATCACAATTTGATGGTATCAGCTTTGGGTTTTCTCTTTGTTTTGTCATTCTAGTTTGATAAACGTCAAGTCCGGGTAGAGTTGATGTGTATCTAGCCAGAACTGAAGTCAAGTTACGACCTACTGATGCGCACAAGTGTGCCTTAAAGTTATGTTCGTGGTAATTCCGGAAAGCTCCCTATCTAGAGTGTACCAAAGAAGCATGTAGTATCTCCCTATTCCAAGTCCCATGCGTATATTTCTTTCTATTACTAACGTAACTGAACCAGCATTTAGTTCTGAGCGTTGCTCTATCCCTACCACTCAGTCTAGATTGTAAGCAGGTCTTTACTTGGCTCTGCGACCTTAACACCGAAAATGATTAGAACATAGATCAATAACTGCATAAGATTATATCACCATTTACTTATATTCAATCCCGGGTGTATTTCACCAAGATACCGTAACTTCTGCTAGCCAGATTATATATCAAACTTAGCAGGTTAGACTAGTTGGCCGACCTGTCGATATCTTAACAGATACAAAAACCAAACCTATTGCAAGTCTCTCAGTATCACTAATTTCTAAACACATCAGTGCCGTAACTCCTCTTTATTCCTCATCTAAACCCCTAAATCAATTTAATTGCTGAAAGTCAAGTCAAATAGAACAGCCTGGTTTCGGTTACCGCATAGGGCATGTCCTTTTCCGTGCACTCTAGATATCCTTAATTAAGCGCTCCTTTCTTAACACCCAATGATCTTATCTGCTCTCACTACTCATTCCTCATCACTTGATCTACACAGATATCAGTTCCGATACACTAAACCCACTGCATTACCATTCACATGACCGAATTGCTGCCGGAACAGGAATTGAAACTTGCCCAGTACAAGGACATCACCTCCTTTGAGGACGCTGACTTGGCACGCAACATCGCGTTGCTAGAAGAATGCCACTGGAACTTGGAAGTTGCGATACCCCGCTTCTTTGACGGTAATTTTGCCACTGCTACGCCGCCGGTCGAAGAAACACAGGGCGCACTCCGCCAGCGCCGCGCCTCCGGCCCCCAGATAATGAACTTGCAAGAAGACATGTACATGTACGACTCAGGGATCCTGCCGCTCGCCTCTGCGCTGCCAATCACGAACATCTGGGAGCGAAACGTGGGCTTGATACGACTGGAGGAGGTCAAACCGCCGTCACCACTAGTGGTGATTCTCTGGTTCTTGCCCAAGACGTTGTTGTACGTGGCAACACGCCTCCTCCAGATCCTTTTCCCCTGGTTATTCAATCTGAGCCAGGGGAACACATTTCCGCGAGTGTTTGTTCCTCCCTTGATCCTGGACAACACCAGTGTGAAGGCGCTTCTAGGTGAAGAGTTGGACAAAAGTGACAACGAAAAGGAATCCCTGGCAGATTTTAGTGAAGGGGATTGGGCCGCATATGAACATGAATCAGTCAATTGTATTGAAAAGGAGTCTAACAATGGGTTGCAATATGTTGAGACAAACTTCAATGGGGTGTACGCTAAGTGCAAAAACAGGTTTGAATGGCTCTTGGTGGTGGTGGTGGACGATTCCGCGGATTGCGCCCGGTTAGTGGCATCTCTCGATTCGAAGGTGTTCAGAGAGTACATGGAGGAGCACAGGGTGAACCTATTCTTGTCCCACGTGTACAACCCCGAGGGCTGGGAGGTTGGACATGTGTACAAGGCAAGACAGTTACCGTTTATCACAATGCTTGCAAACGTTTCCAACAGGCCCGGTACCATGCACTCGATGTCGATTGTGGCACCAGCGCGGACGTTCAACCACGGACGGAAAATGACGGCAAAGAAGATAATAACAAAGGTGCAGCCGCTCATGTTCCAATACGAGCCGCAGTTGATTGCCGAGCGGATGGATTTAATGGATGCGGAGTTCTCCAGACTGCTCAAGCAGCAACAAGATTCCGCCTACGAAGCATCTCTCAAGGCCGACAAGGCAAAGCAGGAGGCTAGAAAACAAAAGATGAAGGAGGAGGAGGAGGCTAGAAAGGAGGAGGCGCAAGAAGAGAACGAGAGGGCAAACAGAGCTGCGTTAAGAGAGACATTTTTACAGTTTAATGTGCTCAATTTCCCGCATTTGCTCACCGATGACAGCAGCTTGGTGCGGGAAAACTCGGCCAATATCCAGTTCAGGCTCGGTGACGGGTCGCGGATCGTCAAGAAGTTTCCTAAGGAAACCACAAACTACGAAATCTACTTGTTTGTGCAGTTGCGGTTGTACTTGAATGCAGCCAAAGAGGGGGAAGAGGGGGAGGAAGCGGTTGTAGAGAGAATTGCAGAGGTGTTTGACGTCTCCTCAGCGGAAACCATCAGCGCGTACGACTTTGCGTTTGACTTTGAGTTGATCCAACCGTTCCCAAAGGTCCGGGTCGAAGCTTGTAAGCAGGCTATTGAGGCTACCAAGGAGTTGTATCCGAGTGGGAATTTGCTTGTGGAGCTCTTGGATGTATAGCGGGTGGAGATGGTATTGTGTGGATGGCTAGGTAGAACTCGATATGTCCACAACTGGTTGATCGTCCTCATATGTCTAGATTAATGTAGAGTCTGGTTATTTCTTCGGAGCGATGGTTGATCCTATTCCGTGGCACTAAGCTTTGGGCTTCAGATCTTAATATCTATGCGTACAAACTGGCATTCGCAGATTTTCATCTTGATTTATTGATACTGACTTTTTACCAGAAACTCATTGACCAGGTTTACCCCGAATTACTCACTGCGATAACAAAATATTTAGCTCACGCCGTTTCTGTATCTTAAATAAAACCCTTTTTCAAGCTACTCCACACTTGCTTTCTCCAAAAATCTTCTAACCGGCCCTCCAATATCATCTAACGCGAGTAAAAACGAATCGTGCCCATACATGCTGTCTTCGTTCGTCAACTCGTGATATTCAATCCCCCTTCCATCACCCCCTTTGCGAAGCACCTCGGCAATCTCCCTCTGCTGCCAAACCGGGAACAAAATGTCGCTCTCCACACCAATCACCAAGATTTGCTTGTGGCTGATCGGCTTCAACCCCTGGACCAAATCGTTCAATGACTCCTCCGGGGTCTCTGTCGCCTGGTGCTTCTCCTGGTACGGCTGGCTAGGCAAGGCACAGACACCAGTCTGTCCCTGGCCTAGGTTCTGCGACTCGGTCTCTGTCCTCTTCTTCAACGCACGGGAACGATTCTTAATCCCAAGATCGAACAAGTCCATTGCTTTGGAACCGTACAACAAGGAATTGGCATCGTACTCAAGAGAAAATTTTTCTCCCTGGTGGTCCAAGTACGTTTCAACGAGAAAGTCCGGACACAACGCTGGTGATTGGGAATTATCAGCCCTGTTGCGCCCAAATCTGAGCTCCCACTCTGGCCCAGAGCGGTACGTGATCGTGGCAATCTCTCTGGCCAACTTCATGCCTACGTGGGGAGGCACACCATCGTAGTAGAAGCCTCTATTCCAGTTAGCATCCGCCATGAGCACCTGGCGTTGGCAGTGGCGCATCGCAATGGAGTACGGGTGCGATCTAGCACAGCCTGAAATCGAAACCACCTTTCCCACCGCTTCGGGAAACTCCGACGCGTATGCCAAACTCTGCATCCCGCCCATGGAGGCGCCGATGGAGGCGAAAAGCTTTGCCACGCCAAACTCTTCCGTCACCATGCAGTGCTGTGCCCGCACCATATCGTTGATGGAGAGGATGGGAAACCTAGTGGCATACCTCTCACCATCAGCTGGATCGAAGGACGAAGGCCCCGTAGAGCCGTAACACCCACCAATAGCGTTTGTGCACACAATGAAGTACTTGTCTGTGTCAAGGTACTTCCCTGCGCCGATAAAGTTTTCCCACCAGCCGGGGGCGGGGTTGGCCTCTTGAGATTTAGCATGAGAGGAAGCTGAAAGCCCCGTGTGGACAAGAATCATGTTGTCTTTAGCGGCGTTGAGCGTCCCCCAGGATTCATACGCAATCTTGAATTCCGGAAGGTAGCCACCATAGTCGAGGAAGATGGGCTCTTTCAGGTGGAAGGTCTTGTAACCCGACTGGATGCGAGAGTACGACGGTTCAGGGCCTGATTCCATCGAATTTGCCGCCGGTTTCAGTTGGAGTAGGGCGTTTTTCTTTTCAATTCTGTCAAGACACGGGAATGCCATCTGAGGGTTGGACGGGACGGGATGAGATGTGGAGGCACGAGCGACCCTCGAAGGGTTAGCAAGGCTGCGGAGAGAAGTCCCGAAGTGGCGTGAAAAGCGAAGCATTAAAATGGGCTATTTTAGTTATGGAAGACTCGCTAAGAGTTTAGCAATGGAACCTGACAGAGGGGTAAGACGGAAATTTCAGGGGGTGGAAAGGTACACACAGGTTTGGAATTGTGGCGATATCTGACGAGAGCTCAATGTTTTTTTGCGACGGATGTCGATTTGAGAATTGCTGCGAGGAAGTAGCTGAAAATTAGTCGGAATACGGGGTATGATTTAAACTGATTACAAATTTCGCACCCCAATAGTAAAGGCTGTCCTGCGTGAGCGGGGATGCAACAATTGCACGTGATGTAAGAATGGTGCATGCATGGGTGGCACGTGCATGTTCAGGTGATGTCCAGATATACTGTACATTGATGAGGCTACTGGAAGTATAACTATAGGTTTGGATTAATGCTTTCCATAATTGCAGCCTAATTAATTAGTTGGTTCGTCTTATCACACGTATTCCTGGTCTACTCCAGCTTATAGTTGGACCTGTAAGCATTAGCAAACCAAACACGTTTCTCATTTGCCTTGTACCAGATGGGCGTTTTAAAACGTAGTATATTACCATTTTACCCTTATCAAACAGCCTCCCACTTCTATTGGTCGTTTGCGTATCCTCCACACTGGTACTTTAATGCTTGTACCCCGTCATCTCCACTCCGAGGAAGCTTATGAAGGTATTACGATATTTCCTTCCGCCCTCAAATCCCCGTGACGTCACTCACACGTGACAAGGTGTCCACGCGCTGTTTACTCTGCATTTTCGTGTCAACACGATTTAGGTTATTTGCCTTGTGCTCCTCGTTCTTTCCCCGCATCTCTGATTCACTCTCAATTCAATACCTATGGCTTCCTTTTCCAACTCCTACTGGTCGCCGAACTACCACGAGGGGATTACTAGCCTCTCACAGCAGTCTGCCGTGTCGCTAAAGCAGCTCCACGACCTCGAGCGCTTGGTCGAGAGCTACGTCAATTACTATACAAAAAACTCTGAGTTGCTCAGCAACATGTCGATTGAGCTCTATGGCCAGAGCAGTGGCTTCCGGGCGAATGCCCATGCGGAGATTGGTGCCCCGAGCCTCATGAGCATCGGCAAGAAGCTCGCGGCGGCGATAGCACCGGAGCTGGCGGAACTGACGCGGGTGGAGGAACCTGACACCTCCGAAACGCAGAAGACGACGCTCAATGGGTTTTACGAATCTCACATGGACTTGTTGAGTGAAGAGTCGTTCAGCATGACGAATTTGGCCAATCTGTTGGACAAATCGGTGTTGTATGAGTTGAAACGATTCATCGGCGAACACGAAGCGACGGTGAGGAGCATGCTCCTGGATTTGGCCCTCTCAGCCAAAACCTACGATGCCTGTTTCAAGCACTTGATGAAATACAAGACGGATTACGACACCAGGATTGCCAATACCCCCGAGGAGTCGATTGAAGAGGAGCCAGTGGCCCCTGCTGCTCCGCAGACCCTCGATACAGAATTTACGTTCCCGTTGAAGCTCGGAAACAGTATCTTCTCCTCTGACGAGCTCCTAGAGCTCTTCCGCCGCCTTTTCACGGAGATTGCGACGACAAAGCGGAAGATCCCATTGCCTGGGTACACCAACCTCTTGTTCTCAAGCGAAGCCTTAACGAAGTGGTTACGGAAGAACCGGTTCCTGACGGAGAACTCACGTGCTGCGATTGAAAAGTTCGGCCAGGACTTGCTCGAGTTGGAGTTGGCCAAGTCGGCGAACGCCTTTTTCCTGGCCAGGAAGTTCAAGTCTGATGGAATGTGGTTGGAATGGACGGATTTGGCTGTGTACCTTGGAGAGTACGATGCTGATAAGGTTGAGGAGGTGCCTGATGTCTCAATCAACCTTGGCGAGTTTTACGGAAAGTTCACGCAAAAGTTGGTCAAGGCAGGTAAACCAGTCCGGCTTGCCAAGCTCGAGGCCCTGTACAACGAGGAGTACCTCCGGTTTGTCGAATTGAAAGGGAAGCTTGAAATAGCCATCACCACTGCCAGTCAACGGCTCCAGGTGTTTGAGTATGACAAAATTGGCGTGATCTACAAAGCGCTTGCCAGCTTGTCCGGCCATTTGTCCGACCACGCGATGCAATCGGCCCATCAGGTGCAGAAACTAGCGGAGTTCCAGCTCAGTAACGCGGTCATTACCAATTTCCGCCGCGAGTTTGACTTATCGTTGGATAAAACGGCCACAGGAGTGTACTTTCCCACCAGCTTTCCACCGGAATTCACGTCATCGGTCCAGTCCAGCCTCAACTTCCAGAACCTCCACCTCCGATTCAACTTGTACGCAGACATCTCACTCCAGCCAACGTTAAGCGATGTCAGCGGTCTCAATCCCGGCGAGATCTCGCCGATTGTGGAAGACCCGTGCATGCGGTCCTTGCCGCTATTTGTGTTTAGTATTGTGGGCTCTCTCGATACGAAGGATGCAAGTGACGCCGAGTTGGAATATCTCAGATCCCAATGGCTGGCCCCGTTCGACATCAAGGATGCGTATCGCACCAAATATGAGGTTCTCAAAGTCATCCAGGGCTTCCAGCCGAGTCCTGAAATAACCGTTGAGCCTCCTCTCTCTGCGCTGTCGCCTAAAGCCTCACTGTTTAGATCCCTCTCGGTCACCAAGCCCGAACTGGAGAGTCATGCCAAGGTTATTGACAAGATTATCGGTTACTTGATCGCGCACAAGACGAAGCCCCAGATTTTGAATTTTTTCAAACAGTGGTTGCTCGAGCTTAGCGACTCACTCATCCCGTTCATGGTCTACGACATGGTCAAGAAGGCGTATGAGCAGTCGCTTGTGGACGAGAACCAGAGACAAGAGGAGTTGGGAAAAATGTTTTCCTCCGTTCCGCGTCACAACTTGAGTTCCTTGGTGTTTTTGCTCAACCACTTGGTGTCCTTGTTTCCGACTCTTGCCCAACAAGATGATTTTTACGAGAACGCACCAATTGCCAAATTGAATGGCGTCGCGGAACCCGGTGCCGTGCCGTTTATTCATTTGATTTTCCGTCCGTCTGTGTTGCGTAGCTCTACCGGTTTCAAGCCCGATCTCCCGTTCTACAATACGTTGTTGGCAGATCTCGTGAGTGAGAATGTCCGTACCAAATTGGTTCTGTTGCTAGAGTCTCGCGAGGAGCAGTACGCTTCGAAGCGCCACAGTCAGACAGTTTCCTTGGGCCCCCGTATCACCAAAACCGAAGTCGAGAGCGCCCCTCCGAGACCTCCACCAAAGGCGAACAATGTGAATCGTTTGTCGACTGACAATATCACATTGAGACCGTTTCGGGTTACGTCTCCGGCTGCCACGCCTAGCCTGTCCCCCAAAAGCTCACCCGTTCTGTCCCCGCTCCGCCCCTTCAAGGTCCGTTCTCGTTCAGGTACAATCGACGAGCTCGTTCTCCACGACACCCTGATCCTCCTGCCGCCGACTAATGGAAACCCCGTACAGATGGCCGAAGAAGGAAAGGAACGACTGGACGAAAGTTTGAGTAACATTATGGATGCTTTACAGGAGCACATGAGCGAGGAATAGTCTGGCAGAACTGGAGAATTTCCGTGACCGGTATTCAGATGTATATAAATTATGTATTGTTTATCTGTGCTATAGACAGATGGTAATATTTGAAGCGAAATGGAGGTAAAGTATCTTCCTATTCTATGCATCACCAGGGGCTTAGAAACGAATTTAGATTACTTTTTTTTTCATACAAAGTCATCCATTAACCTACTCGTCTACTCGGCATCTTCTGGTCCGTCAATAATACATTTGACGGCTCTACCCTGGCTAACGACCTCGTAGGCTTCCACGGCGTGGTCAAACGTGAATCTGTGGGTGACCAACTTTTTCACGTCAACCTTACCTTCGCCCACCAACTTCACCGCCAAGCGGTAGTCGTCGTGTGAGTACCTGTAGACCCCCTTGACCGTAAGCTCCTTGTTGCCCACGGCAGCCATTGGGAACTCGATCTTGACCTTACCGACACCTACTTGCATAAAGGTCCCACCAACCTTGATGAGATTGATCCCGGCAGTGATGCACGCCTCGACCCCGGTGGCGTCGAAGACAATATTTGGAACGTTTCCGCCAAAAGCAGCCAACTGGAAGGTCCTGTTATCATCCTCCGAAGCGCCTCTATCCTCGGATGAGTTGTATGTGTGAGTGGCGCCTAACTGCTTCGCAAGCTCTAACTTGTCATCAAAAATGTCCACAACCATAATTTCGGTCGCTCCGTAGGCTTTGGCCGTCGCGGCAATCAACAAACCGACCGGACCAGCACCGTAGATCACACATCTGTCGCCAAAGGTGACATTTGCCAATCTGCATGAGTGCACAGCGACAGATAACGGCTCCACGATGGCACCTTCTTCCAAAGACACGTGATCCGGTAACTTAACCACAAAGTCATCAGGTACCATAAAATATCTGGCCAAGGTTCCATTGTTTGGAGGGGAGGCTGCGAAGACCATGCACGGGCACAAGTTGTAGTTACCGCTCTTGTAGGCATCGGAGTAACGGGACGGAATGCCCGGCTCGATGGCCACACGGTCGCCCACCTTCACAGAGGTGACCTCGGAGCCAATTTCGGCAATCACACCGGAGGACTCATGTCCAAGCACCATAGGTGACTTGACCACCTTGAGCCCATTGCGGCCGTTTTGGTAGTAATGCACGTCGGAGCCACAGATCCCCGTCTTTTTGACGGCAATTTTAACGTAGTGAGGGTCGGTAATTTCTGGGACTGGGCGGTCCTCAATGACAAGGTTTCGCGCAGCATATAACACACAGGATGGATTGGCAAGGTTTCTGGACATTGTAGATGGTATATCGACGGTAAAGATGAGGAAAAGAGAAGGACAAAGGAGCGGTGCTTATATAGCTGCACCTGCATGCAGGAGTGAAAAGTTTTGTGGGGGAATTTCGGAGAACGCGTAGGATTCCGAGCAGAGCACGGAAGCGCGAAGAATCTCCGGAAGAAGTGCGATTTATTGGACGTTTAGATTGATAGTTGCGATATTTGGGAAACAGAGTCATATCCCGAATTTAGTTAACATAAATAAAGGACTTGACGTGGACTGTAAATTTACAGTAGAATTGGAACCTACACCCTGAATTTCAGATATCCTCCCACTCATATTAAAATTCTTTACCTAGATATCCTCCGGCCCGTCGATGATGCACTTGACGGCCTTGCCGTCTCTGACCAACTCGAACGCCTTTACTGCATCGTCAAACTTGACTCTGTGGGTGATCAACTTCTTTACATCAACCCTATTCTCGCTAACCAACTTAACTGCCATTTTGTAATCATCGTAGGAGTATCTGAACAAGCCTCTGACGGTGAGCTCCTTGGTGCCCATCACGGTCAACGGGAAGTTGACGTCATCCTTGCCCATACCGACCTGTACGTAAGTACCACCAGCCTTGATGAGGTTGATCCCGGCTCTGATACACGGTTCGGCACCGGAAGCGTCAAAGACCACGTTTGGGGGGATGCCATTCAACGCAGCAAGCTGCTTGGCAACCAGATCGGCCTCCGAAAGGCCTCTGTCGCCCCCAGAGTTGTACGTGTGGGTAGCACCCAAGGTCCTGGCCAACTCCAACTTGTTGTCAAACACGTCGATGACCAAAACCTCGGTCGCACCGTAGGCTTTAGCGGTGGCAGCAATCAACAAGCCGACAGGCCCGGCCCCGTAGACAGCCACACGGTCACCAAAGGTCACCTTGGCGATTCTGGTGGCGTGCACCGCCACAGATAACGGCTCCACAAGCGCCCCTTCCTCCAAAGACACATGGTCTGGTAACTTCACCACAAAGTCCTCTGGAACAGTGTAGAAGCGGGCCAAGGTGCCGTCATATGGTGGGGTGGCCGCAAAGACCATACACGGGCACAAGTTGTAGTTACCACTCTTGTACTCGTCGGAGTAGCGGGATGGCACACCTGGCTCCACGGCGACCCTATCACCGACCTGAATATTCTGCACGTCAGCCCCGATTTCCACGACGATACCCGCAGATTCGTGGCCTAGCACCATCGGATTCTTCACCACAAACGGGCCAATACTCCCGTGGGTGTAGTAATGCACGTCAGAGCCGCAAATCCCGGTCTTTTTGATTGCGATCTTGACGTAGTGCGAGTCCTGAAGCTTGGGGACGGGGCGGTTCTCAATGACGATTTCGCCAACCTGTTTAAGCACAACAGAGGGGTTTTCAAGTTTCAGAGACATTGAAGGTTATTTGAGTTAAAGATATGGGACTAGAAGAGAATACTAGCGGAATCGGCCGAAATTTATACTTCTTCAAGTGAAATGTTCTTGCGGTTTTGATATGCAGGCGGGGTCATTCACTACCCGAAAATTGTGCGAAGACGCGCCTCCGGGGTAATATGCACCCGAAAAAAACAGGACAGGGTGCAGGGTAAGGGTTGTCCCGTTTAATACCTAAATCTCTCGGTTGCTGTCAGTTTCATTCTTTCAAATCACCTTCATTGTCTCATAATGTGTACATGAGATGAGGCGGCCAGTTATCTACACATTTAGTCTGTATCACCTCCGCTGGGTCAAATGAGGGGAACGTTACGGATTTGCGATATTTGAACCCTTATCATGGAAAAATAAAACATTACTTATAGTCAGACCTACTAGAATCATATGTGATACACCCCATAAGGGAAATTTGCTGATTTACATCTGGAATTGTCACCGCAGTATCGGATAAACCACCCACCCCCATTCTGCAGACTGGTGTATGGGTCTCCTAAGCAACAAACGGAACCATGATCTTTCTTCTTGGATACGTGGCGCCAAACTCCTTTCTGTACCGCTGGTGCTTCTTGACGGCCCATAACCACATCTGGCCGGTGGAGACCACGAGAAACAAGTACGAGCTCCAATTGTTGACCAACAAGGAAAAGGCAAGCCAGGCCAACGATTCGAAGAAGTAGTTCGGACACGACACAAGGTCAAATCCGTAGCCGTACGGAATCTTGTGGTCCTTGGAGCCGTCGCTTCTCAAGTGCTTGAACGTGAGATGGGTGACACCATTGGAGACCTCAGCATACGCCCAGAACGCGACAAGAAGCACCTGGACCAAAGTAGAGTGGTTCGCGGTGTGCGTGAAGAACCCGCTGTCGGTGTCGACAGGAGCATAGATAAAGAGTCCAAGCAAAACCCCAGACAAGCCCCAGTAGTGGAAGGAGTTCTTGAAGATGTTGAAGGCTGGCATGGTGGCCAACGAAAAACTGTGCACATACACGGTCTCCCACTCGCGCTTGAGGAAGTGGAGCATCACAAGCACCAAGGCAGTGGTTTGCGTGGCGGAGTGGGCGTTAGTGGTGGAACCGTAGAGCCTACCACCGTAGAAGTAGATCAACGGGTGGATAAAGAGCGGACCCGCATACTCCGTCATGAAGACGTTTCTCCACGGGATCTGGGGACCCAAGTCCTTCACGTAAACCGTGACGGTCTGAGCGTCCAACTGATTCTCCGCAAACGACTTTTCCACATTCACAGGCACGTGCTTCTTGGACTTGTCGTCAGGCAAGTGGGTCAATCTCAAGCGATTTGGGTTGATCTTGTTTTGCTTTGCGATGAACTGGATCAAGTCAGGCAACGTGGCCGCGGATGTCTTGGCCTTTGCCAAATTTTTCGATCTAGGGATGATCTCAACCGAAACCATTGTGATGCTATAGAGAGCAAAAGAAGGAAAAAAGGAGAAGAAAAAGGAAGAGAGAGGTTATATAGCGGATTTCGGCGGAGGTTGGTATATGGGGTTATTGATGTGTGCACGACCAGGAAAGAATCATATCCGACTAAACGGTAATTCGTGTTATATACGAAGATCTGAGGAAATATCAACCAAATCAGTGTATAAATGCGCGGAATTGCGGATGTTATCTGGTTCATCATGGGAATTGGTTGAAATGGTATTCTAAGGGTGAACGTAACAGGCGTATGCGCCCATTCTCTGTTTAGAGGTTAGCTCTTTGGGTGACGTGCCATTCCATTCCATTGAGGAAGAATCTGGAGTAGTTGTTCGGGTAGAAGGTATTTTTGATATATTAAACAATTCGGTGCTCATTATCAGGTTTTATATTGACATTTAGAGTGGGTATTACAATAAACTCTTTGTTAATTCAAGCCTGAAAAAAAATCTTCGATCGGTGACTACCAGGAATGTCAGATGGATGTGAAATAGCTCAGTGGGGTTGAGTATATAATACGGATCTCGCGCGGAAAATGGCATAACAACAACATCCACTATGGAGTATTAAAATTAAGGTTATCTACTCTGTAAATGAAAATCAGCTTTAATATCCCCTTTCCACTCTGGCGTACACCATGTCCGCTCTTGGGAAAATATCCTGCATAGCAAATTTGGTGCCACTTCTTGAAAAAGAGGTTCACCACTCCACTCGAACGGTTCCCATCAATCCTTCAGTTCCATCACAACCGGTAATCTTTTACAGCTGATTTCGATCCGTTCACCCCTTTATTCTACCGCATATCTTACACAATGAAGTTGGTTAGATTCTTGATGAAGCTCGCCTCTGAGACGGTCCAGGTGGAGTTAAAGAACGGGACTGTCGTGTCGGGAACCGTTGTATCGGTTTCACCCACCATGAACATCACATTGAAGTCAGTCAAGATGACTGTCAAATACAGAGACCCTGTCGCATTGGACTTTATCAATATCAGAGGAAACAACATCAGAAACATCATTCTCCCCGACCAGATCAACCTCGACAGTTTACTTGTGGATTCATTGGCCAAACCAAAGGCTGCAAAGATTAAAAAGCCGGTGATTACGCAAGGTAGAGGCGGTTTCAGAGGTGGCAGAGGTGGTAGAGGTGGCAGAGGTGGTGGTAGAGGCAGAGGCAGAGCGTTCTAAGGGACGAACCGGAGCTAAAATAGCTCTATGTACTATAATGTATTAATTCCAGAGATGATCGCGTGTGTGATTGGTGTATAATGAGGGGAAACTTCATAGCTACAGTAAACCCCAAATTTTTTCTTAATATCCATCTTCTGGGACTACACATTGCAGGTATATAAATACGTTTAGTTTACCCGGTAAGCGTAATATATTGCTCATGAAGCGCATATAGACGAATTCGACATCCAAACAAATCTGTTGGCTCTGGTACGTATACTACGATTAATGAAGGCATGTACCTCGTTAATACTACCGTCCAGCCCATCAGATGTACACATAGCCCGACAGATATATACCTCGTCTAAGCATTCATAACTTCTTCTCTTGTCCTGACCATCCTACAGTCATCTCAAAAAAAGGTTACTTTATTACCGTAGACGCCGGGAATTTCAATATATACACATCCTAGTCATCTGAACACTTTGGATCACCACAACTGCTTCTTCTTCTCAGCATTCTCCTCCATTCTCTTGTAGTGCTTCTTCCCTCTCGAGGCTGCGATCTTGTCGTCAGCAGCCTTCAAACCAGCCTCAACCTTGGCCTGTCTCGCAGGCTTGGATCTCTGGTGGACTCTCAACTTTTGGACGTACGCACCTCTCAACAAGGTCTTGGTCTCGTACTTTTCGTCATAGAATTTTCTGTCACCCTGCAATGGCGGTAACATGTCGCTGATCCCGAACTTGTGGGCAAGCTTCCACAAGTCTGCCGCACGTCTGAGCGAGTACTTAGGATCGTGCACGGTGTTGGTGACCGGGTGACGGTTGGGGAAGAACGGATTAGCGTTTTCGGCATCGGTGGAGGTCTGTTCTGCCGCGTAGGTTCTGAATGGAGCCGGTGGATACTTCTGGAAGAAGTTTGCCAACTTGCTTGGCAACTTTTCAAACGCTTGCTTGGCCGTAAGGGACATATTGGTGGACTGAGCGGAGAAACGTGATTTGTATGTGTCGGCTGTTGGAATTGGAAAATTATAGCGAACATTTTCGGTAGAGGTTGTGTGTGTGGGGCACGACCATGGTGCGGCTCAGATAATACTGAATAAGCGAGGGTGCTAGTTATAATTTTGGGTGAATTAGAGTCGGAGGATATAAAATCGATACATTTTGAGAGTTATTGACCATTGAGAGGAATTTTTAACGTCTTTTGAAACTTTAGGGTAGTGCCTATTAACACGGATGTCACCAACAAAATGTGTGGGGAGTATTTAGGACGGCTGTTTTGTCAAAGAACTAGTACGAGCTTGGAGATACTATTTGTAGCGGAGAAATTTTCATACAGTTCTAACCCTATATTGTCAGGCTGAACCAGCACATGTGTTTGTAGCTATTGACGCAGGACTGATGCTTACACGTTCTTCGGTAATCAAAACTACGGTTCCAAGACCCATTTCCGATTAAGCCCTTTCGGCTCATGTAGAAAAATCATGTAAATCTGATATGGTCCCGTAAAAGCACTGCTAAATAGTTCTTTCTTGTTTCTACTCTTTACTTTCCGTCTATTTCTACTGTACATCTTTTATCCACTTAGGCATAGACCGCTTTAACGGCCTCGGCAAAGAGCTCCAAGCCTTGTTCGATGACTTTATCCTCGATATTCAAAGCCGGGACAAATCTGACAACATTACCACCAGCAGTAATCACAATCAACCCTCTTTCCCTTGCAGCAACCACGATTGGGGTAGGATCATGGGCGAACTCAACCCCCAAGAGCAACCCATCGCCTCTGACGTCCTTGATCTGTGGGAACTCCTGCTTCAAGGCATTCAATCTCTGCTTAAACAAGGCAGATTTAGCATTAACGGCAGCCAAGAATGTTTCATCAGAAACCTGGGATAATACGTAGTTACCGATTCTGGACCCCAAGGGATTGCCCCCGTAGGTGGTACCGTGGTCGCCCACCTGCAAGGCGTTTTCAACTTCTTCGGTAATCATAGTGGCACCAATTGGGAACCCATTGCCCAAAGCCTTGGCCATGGTTAAGATGTCTGGGTGTGCCTCCTTTGGCAACTTCCCGTGGGCCCAGAGGGACCCAGATCTGCCTAACCCACACTGGATCTCGTCATAGATCACAAGTGCCTTGTGGTGCTTTGCAAGCTTGCTCAATGCAACCAAAAACTCCGCATCGATCGGTATCACGCCGCCCTCACCCTGAATCGGCTCGATGATGATCCCACAGGTCTTGTCAGAAATCAACGCCTTCACAGACTCGATATCGTTGGGCTTGGCCACTCTGACGCCCGGAATAAGGGGCGCGAACGGGGCCTGGTACTTTGGGTTGGGGGTCACAGACAACGCGCCCATGGTTCTACCATGAAACGAGGTTTCAAAGGTGATAAACTCGATCTTATCGTCGCTGATCAACTTTCCGTGCTTTCTGGCAAACTTCAACGCCGCTTCATTGGCTTCTGTCCCGGAATTGGCGAGGAAGACTCTCGAGGCGTTCTGCATCCCGCCAGAAAGCTTGGTCTTTTCGACCAAATTCTTGGACAACTCCCCGGTCCACATATTGTGGTACAAGTTGGAGGCGTGAACAAGCGTCTTTGCTTGGTCGTAGATGATTTCAGCAATCTCCTCGTTGCAATGACCCAATCCGGTGACCGCGATCCCCGCGGTAAAGTCGACGTACTGTCTGCCTTCCATATCCCACATGTAGCAGCCTTTGGCCTTTTCAAACACCACATTAGGTCTGGAGTAGGTCGTGGCCTGGAACGGCAGTCTTTCCTCCACAAACTTGCTCGTCTTGGAGGCTGCGCTGGTGGGGTCCGGGTGGGTGACGGCACGGATGGCGGTGGTGGAGAAGAGCCTCACCTGTCTCGTATTTCTGGAAATGATTCTCAACATTTTGTATGACACGGTGGATGAGGAAGGAGAAGAAAGAAGGGAGTTTTCGCAGGACGGAAAAGAGTTGGAAAAATGAGTCAGTAAAGTGTATCACCTGGCTGTTTTTTCATGAGCCGCACGCTGATACGACACAGCGGTTAATTCTCGATTACCTAATTAGGCAAGGTCTAACGTGATTGGCTGAAGCAGAGGTAGTACTTTAGGGTGATGAACAACACTCAGCCAGGTTTATAATAGCTCTGGTGAAATTTTATCCATGTCTTTGGTCTACGTTAAGTATTGTAAACTCCATTTGTGAATGTCACAGGCTTCTTGACGGTTTATATCCTGGCATATACGTGGTTCTTGGTATTTAATCAGGACCGGAGCTGGCCGAGCCAGATGCCTATTTATAAGCTTGGCAGATTCTGGAAAAGGATCAGGGAGCTCGTCATACCCTTTAGTCTGGTTTGCCATGGGTTTATATTCTACGATCCCGAGGACACTATGGATGCATATAGGGCATGTTGATGTATGAGATTGCTTCTGCTACGACTAGACCCCGTATCCTTAAGCTTGAACATTTTCAATCCCCGGCACTACATTTACAATCCTTAGCGCTGCATTTAGGTTTCGTGCCTCAACGCCCTTACGAGTGTAGGAATATAATCACGTCAGATAATAAGCGACTTTTATTTTCTAGGGAGACGGACTTTCCCTGAGTGTGTTACGCAGGCTAGGATGCATACTTAATCCGCCTTACGTGAAACATATCTGAATGCGTTCTAATTTTAGGCATCATAGCCCAATAAAAGATAAGTATCGTCCGGAACTCTATTAAAACCGAAGATAGCAAATGAAACCATGAAGAAAATGGCGAATGAGGATCAAGATGAAAAAAAAATGGTTAAGTGAACAGAGTCACATGAGAATGAAGGTTAATATACAACGGAGGAAGATGATGAGTCGCCAAACCAACAAACATCGTGCCTAAGCAATCTGATTTGAGGACTTTGAGTTGGTCTAGCCGGAGAAGTCTGTTATTACTTGGGTTGGGTTGGAGTGACGGTCACGTAAGTACGCACAGTCCCAACAGTTCCAGACAATGTTCCTAAGCCGATAGAGCCCAGAAGCGGGGAAGCAACCGTGCTATACATCGGAACAAACTTTTGGGTGTACAACACCTGGACAGTTGCCAAAGCACCATTGGCTATGGTTGTAGTTACCCAGATAGGGGTGCTAATCAGGGTCAGCGATCCCTGATCCGTGCCCCCTGTGGTGGTGGTTCTGAGAGTGGTGGCAACAGGAGTAGTGGTGTCAGTGGTGACACCAGTAGTAACAGCGCCGACAACTGGAGTAGTGGTACCGGTGGTGACACCAGTAGTAACAGCGCCGACA